CTCTCACCTACGCCAAATTCCCTTGCGGCTTTTGTTAACACGGCGGAGTCTATTGCACCAGCAGCTCCCACTAATAATGCAATCATACCAACATTGGCCGTGTAAAGAACTCGTCTGGTCAAGGACCAACCTCGAGGATTGCATGGATCATCCGGTCCCTCAAATTGAACAATGATTGGTGTTTCATTGATAATTCTGCTGTCTGACAACTCATTCCTCGGGATTGTTGAAGTAAGACTGCTGTTTGTAAGGTCTCTCGTTACATATCTGTGTGATCTTTGTACCACGTCCCTTTCCACGTCGAATGACTCGTCTGATGGCACGTTGCGAGAATGAACATTAGTCTGCTGAAGCAATGTAGTGTAGTTTTCCGCATAGTTTGCTCTTCCCTGGTGATTGAAGGTCCTGATCTGTAGGTAAGACTGCATTTCTGAGCCACAGAATCCTGATGTTCATTTCTCAACGTCCTTGTCCTTGATTCTCTGACACTCGAACGGTTTTACCGAGACCATGTGACTTTAAATACAATCTGAGTAATCCGTTTGTGTATTATGACAAATCCAATAAGTGAAAGGGAATACTAAGAAAGCATCCTGGTCGAACGAGTACGATAGCGATGATGCAAAACGAATATTCTACATATCTACTCTTCTTGCAGTATGACCAATGGACGGCCGACTTGACCTGAGAGTCAGGGTCAGATTGATAATTTTCAACGAGCTAGCATTCCTCGACCCACAAGATGCAGGCCTTTACAGAGATCTAGAATGCCTTCATTGGACACTCGCCTAACTCGTCTAATTCGCTTGACTCGTGTTCTGACGATACGCAAAAGCGGCACCATCTTTCTTCACTATGGACGCTAAAAGAATAAGAAATTTGTAATAGAACAGCTAACGTAAATCACAAGCGACCCGCCCACCTTCCTAAAAGTAACTCTTGTATTTAGTATCAACAAGTTAATCTTATAAAGTTATAACTTATATAAGGAATATTATAAATCTAATGTTATGAATATTAGAGATTCTTCTATTTTTTAAATTGTAAATAGCTCATTAAATTTATTCCTTAATTTTGGTGCTTTTTAAAGGGGTTTTGTATGTGAATTAGTAGCTTTTCGACGCGTTGAAATAAGAGAAATCAATATAGAGAGTTATTTTTCGGGGAGATGGGCGGGTCGCTTGTGAATCACGTTATCTTGCTGAGTAATCATATTTCATATTTGTCACAGGTAAGCCAGCATTTTTGCAGATCCATGTTTGTAAGCTCATATCGTCACTGCTGAGGATGGTTGCCGAGAATGATATCAACTCGATAATCCGCTTTACTTAGTCAGTCCAAATTTGTTCTCTAGTTCGTCCATTGTGGAAGAGAAGATTGTTTCAATATCGTTCGCAGAAAACGGCTTGAAAACCGAACAACTCGATGGAAGAAAGAAAGCAGCGAAGAAAGACCGGCTGCTTAACATGTCGGTTACGCCGAGTGAAGTGCGACGAAGAGAGACCAATGTGCCATCGATGTTTAGCGTCAAATCTGGAGTGTGCAGGTTATGAAGAGAGACGTCGATTGGATACAGGGAAGCTTAGGCATCTGTCGTCTAAAAGGCAGCAGCACCAGGTACCTGGTCCTCTGGAACACCAACGACGTCTTGACCGCACCACCGCAGTAAGCATACCAGATCTTGTTGAGCATCGAGAGGACGGTCTTCCTTTGATAGGCTTGCCAGTCAATCCGACCTCATCCCAAAGACCACACACTCGTGCACGCGATATATTAGCTTATCATCAATTTTTATTTCGCACTCTACCTATCCTATTTCCTTCACGGCATATGCCTTTTTGGAGAGACTTTATATGTCAACAGTGTTGGGATATTGAATATGTGTACGATACAATCACGGCGCTCGGGAGCATGCATCGCGCTGTGCTGATGCTGTCGCAACGTACAGAAAATGATCAGAACCAAGGCTTGGATACCAAAGTGATCGCATGTCAAGCGTACACAAAGGCACTACAGAAAATGGCTAACGTGGAGAAGAATACATTTTCATTCGTTGCCGTAGCTGTTCTTTGTGCGTATTTCGAGGTAAATTCAAAGGCTCACTCAATTCTTCATAACAATGAAACAACCACGTATTGATGTTGATGAATTGTACTAGTGCTTTACCGGAAATGTTCTCGCCGTTMCCCGCCATTTTCATACAGCAAATTATCAAGCCAGACTACTCAGCTCAGATAGCATAAAAAACCAAGAGTTGCACATCATCGCAATCGAATCCGCCTTACGAGATCTGGCCCTTATCTGCACTATAAATTTACCCTTTCCGAGCGAAGTACAAACTACGAGATTTTCAAATCCATCGACCTCTCGACATAGAGCAACGGCGCCTTCGAAGTGGAATAGAGATATACAGGGCTTTCCGTCGCTGACTGATATTCTCCAGGCAATATTGAACTTTAGTTCTGAGGACAAAGAAATGCGAGACCTAATATGGAACCCAGTGTCTGTATGTTTGGCACCAATCTCCATCGAGAAGKCCCAAAAGTTTTACGAAGATTTAAATGAATGGAGAGGCACCCTAGCGACTATCTTATTGACTTACGATCTTGATCTCCCTCTATCCCACCGCAAAATTTAACCTGGGAAACATGTCGTCAGCTTCCCATTCCGCCCTTGCCGTATCCTGCGATTCCCACTCATTTACGCCTCATATTGTCAGTATACGTTTTCTATGCGGCGCGGATCAAATGGTCGATGAGTATTTTTAATCGGGACGATAATCACGATTACGAACTGGAAGCATATTTTTACTTTTACCAGCAACTGCGACTTGCATCAACAGAATTCAGCTCGTTGATTACAGCCACCACCAAACATGAAGACCAAGAGAAAATAGCACAATCTTATTATGCCTGCGAATCACTAAAAATAGGCTTCTCTCCCTTGTTGTATCTCTCAGGCCAATGCTGCTATTTGATGCCCACTTGGATGCAATGGATAACTCACAAAATAAGCGAGCTAGGGCAAGAGGGAGTTTTCAATAGCCAGATCTATGTGAAGAATCTAGAGTCTATAGATCGTTTCAGGCGGCTCTCAAGGATGAATATTAATGGTACACTGCCACGGTTTTCTCATGTTCAGTCCAATAAAGAGATCATTCTATCTCTTCTTATCCCTACTTGTAGGAGAAGAGCTTATGTTGCCTATTACATCCGACTCTCCTCCAATGATAAAAAGCTTGGTGCAAATGCGGGCGACAACGAACATCGTCATTCTCATGATGTTATAGGGATATCGGAATGGGGGGATGGCAGTCGTGGTCTCCTCGACATGACTATTGATAGTACGAATGAAGCAACTAGCGAGTCTTTCAGCACCAGATGGTTACTGGATCAACCTATTGTTCAGGAATGGAGCGAATGGTCGCTGAACCCTGAGTTCAGAGTTGATCGCGTGCTTACGGACCATATTGTAGGCGGGAGTCTGGATCGGAACACTCAATACATATATACCGAAATAGTGTTAAACGAGTGATGAAAGTAAATATCTACAGATGTTCCGTTGATTTTCAAATTTGGTCAGCTACCGAGTATGCCCAAAAAGCTCCATTATACTGCTGTCTATTTCATACAAAGACTGAGGCCCACGGTTTAACTCCGACTCTTGTCGCCTCTCAACCTTGAAATGCAAACAGGAATTAATTCTAAGTCATTCAGATTAGCAAGCTGTCAAAAAGATACGATATATCAATCCGGAAACAACACTCCATCTGTAGAGTTAGAGAGTTCTCTAGAACAACATCTCATCTTCGACGAGTACCACCCAGATTTTGAGCTACAATCAGCTCCTATATTCATCGACAATGGCGTAATCGTTGGTTTTTGGTACGCGGATCCGAGTGGGAATGGGAAACGACCGGTGTATTGCTTCGTTAAAGAAGATTTCAGATTTCAGATTTGCGTATTGAAAAGGAGACACATTCGTTTCACAACAAATGGTGATTTTGATCTTCAGTTGAAATGCCATCCCTGAGAAGATCACTGCCCGTAGGGGATGATAGTCCGCGTCCAATGACAAAGTCGTGGTTTCTTATATAAGAAGCTATCTATCCCTTAACATAAATCACAAGCGAGCCTTTACCCCAACTGAACCGTCATTTTTTCCGGAACACATACACAATATTAATTCTATATTATTCAGCCCGTTAATATACCACCAATTCACAATAAAAATTGGAAAACTTTAGAAGAGGAAGAGGGATGAGGTAGTAGTAGTAGTAACGTAATCGGTAAGCCACCCGCCCATGTAAGCGATCCGCCCACCCCCATACGCCATACAAATTAGCCATGCCTGAATCCTTATGTGTTGATAAAATTAATATATAGTAGTATTAGAGCTATTATTGAAGGGAGATAGAGTTTATGTTTTTTTAAACACTGGAGTATACCTAGGTAATATTGCTTCATAGAAATTCAGGGGTTAGATCCACATATACATACAGGAAAGCCCGATTCACATGATCAGCAGTCGTGTGATCGAGATACTGTAGAAATTAAAGCAGAAAAGAATTAGGATCTTCAAGGTTACAGTTCTGCTATGAAAATTCAGGTGATGTGTTGAACATATCCGCGGATATCAATAAGTAGAGGAGGAGTGACTGAACTCGGGAGACTTCTCTAAGAGAATGGATGGGAGATCTCCAGCTCACAGCTCTTTGCAAAGTTCCTTCTTAAGACAGAGTCAACAGTTTGACGAAGCCTAATCAGAATTTGCTTCCCCGCCGTCAAATAGGAAAAAGCGGTCTCAGTTATGGTCAATATACACCCTTTTCTAATACTGTAATGACCTAGATTATTTGTACTTATATACCATACCATAAAATAATATTTCTTACAGGCTACGTGTCCAAGGATATTTTCATTGTAAGGGGTGATACTAGATTCAAGGCCTCGCAGGATAAGGAAATTAATCTTGTATTCCTAACCCGATCTATTTCGGCCTCAAGCAATCTCTATCCCAACCTTACCCTGATAGTTTCCTGACAGCATATACTTATAAGCTTCTTTAAGCTGCGCTAGGGGAAAGATACGATCTACTACAGGACGTAGTCGATCCAAATTGCCCTCAATTGCCTTGCACATCTCTTCCATCTGCGCGCGACTCCCGACCCACAGCCCTCTTGCCGTGAAAAGTTTTGTCCATGTATCCAATAGAGTTGGCAATCCGTCTCCTTCGCCCCCGACAAAGCCTACCACGCTGATTACACCATCCAATTTTACGCTCTCGACACTCTGTTGCATAGTGCTGGGGCCTGCAACCTCTACCACTAGGTCCACTCCTTCCCCTCGGGTCAATTCTCGTACTTTGGCGCCCCAATTGACAGTTCCACGGTAATTTATGATGTGATCTGCTCCCAGTCTCTCGAGTATCTTTGCTTTCTCCGGAGAACTAGTGGTGGCTATAACCCGAGCCCCAACCGCCTTGGCAAATTGTACTGCAAAGATGCTCACACCACCCGTCCCTTGCGTTAGAACCCACTGTCCAGCCATCAGCGGCCGCCCAGGTAGACCAAACAGCGCATTCCATGCAGTAACTCCTGCACAGCTCAGTGTGGCGGCCTCCACGAAACTTAACCCCAAGGGCATCCGTACCAGCCCTTGCTCATCAAAAGCACCAACTGAGCGCATAGTGCCGTCAACTGAAGCACCAGTCCCGTATTTCATGGCTTCCCTAGTAATAGAACCCGCCAGATGTTGTTGATTGAGCGTTGTTATCACTCTATCGCCAGGTTGAAAACGGGTGACATGTTTTCCAATTGCCAGGACGGTGCCAGCACCGTCGGAACCCGGAATGAGGTCAGGCTTAATTGACCATGGGTATTTACCTTGGGCGATCATAATATCACGAAACTATCAACTGGTCAACAAACGCTAAAGCAGGTGTTACTGTAATCATACGTTTAGAGACGCTCCTTGGACTAGGAGAAGACATTAGTGTTGACAACGTTGGAAAGCAATGAGTATCGAAATACTCACTTTTCACGAGCACTTGGTTATCACCGAGTGTGGATACGAGTTCTTCTTCCTTGAAATCCAGAGAATCCGGACCATCATGGCCAATGACAGTCCACTTCTTCACGGTTTGAGGGATTTCCTGAGACATGCTGATATATTGGGTTGCCGTACTGAGAGCATAAATACACCAGCTAAGGCATGTAAGTAGGCAATAAATTGACACATAAATGGGAACAAAAGATTTGGTAGATCAAACCCCTTTCTCTTGATTTAAATATTCAAAATAGTCACACTGAAGATACTTATACATGCTTGTCTAGGAGCCCGCAGACCAAAAAGGCATACGACACCCTACTACCTTCGGAGAAATATTTTGCAGATCGGCGTAACATCTAAATAGTCTCCGAAAAGCTGAGTTACATACAGAGATGTAATTACTTGTTGTTTCAACTCATTTGTCAGCAGGTGAAATATGAATCTTTTTAGTTTGAAGATATATTTAATAAATCTGAATAGACAATTGCAGAACTCTCCAGCCAGATTTATAAGCAGGAATATTCAATTTGTGACGGTCAAGTAAGCCCTAACTGAGAACACAGGTATCTGACAGATGGGACGCACGGACCTCCAGAGCAAAATCGCCCTGTTACGTCTTCCTTTATTTGCTTCGCGAAGCAAGTAGTCAATTTCTATTTCGAAAGTCGCCGGAGATTATTAATTGCTTCCAAGGACACTTTTTAACGAACTGTGAGGTACCAAATTTGGCTTAGATAACCACCTAGATATACTATATTGTACCAAAGTTTGTATAAATAAGAGTCCGACTTGCACGATTCTTAAAAGCCATCTAAATTTGATCAATTTTTTGGCTCCTCCTTTCATATCATTACATCACCCGTATAGATAATCCTTTGCACAATGACAGTTGCCGTTGACTCTCGTCTCTTTAAGCCTCTTGCTGTGGGCAATATGCTACTCCAGCATCGCATTGCCATGGCCCCTGTCAGCCGTTACCGTGCAGATGAAGACCACATCCCAACTCCCATGATGCAAGAGTACTACGGCCAGCGCGCAAAGGTCCCTGGTACACTCATCATTGGAGAGAGTACATTTATCTCTCCAGAACAGGGTGGGTACGCGAATGCTCCAGGAATATATAATGAGAAGCAGGTCGAAGCTTGGCGCAAGGTCACAGATGAAGTGCACATGCATGGGAGTTATATCGTCGCCCAGCTACTGGCAGTTGGTCGCTCAGCTGACATAAATATTGCAGCTCGTGAGGGCATTACAATCACAAGCTCGAGTTCTATCAGGCAGGATGATGATCACGCAGTCCCAGTTTCGCTTAGCGTGCCACAAATCCAGGAGACTATACGTTCTTATGTCTCTGCAGCCGAGAATGCGATTCGAGCGGGATTTGATGCCGTTGAGATTCACGGAGGTTATGGATACTTGATTGATCAGTTCCTTCAAGATACAGCCAACCAGCGAACGGATGAATACGGTGGTAGTATTGAGAATCGGTCACGATTTGCAATTGAAGTTGTCTCCGCTGTAGTGGAGGCAATTGGAGCGGAGAGGACTGCTCTGCGATTAAGCCCCTGGAGTAGAGTTGCTGGAATGGGCATGGCGGATCCAGTCCCGCAGTTCTCTCATGTAATACGGAAAATCAATGCCCTTGGGCCACTTGCTTACTTGCATCTAATCGAGCCTGTGGTCCACGGTTTTGAAGACATTGAGGCACCGAACATGGAAAATCTGGATTTTGCTTGTGCATTGTGGGAAGGCCCAATTCTACTAGCTGGTGGCTATAAGGCGCAGTCGGCGAGAGAGCTTTTGGACGAGAAGCGGAACGGGCAAAACGTTATAGTTGTATTTGGGCGATATTTCATCTCTAATCCAGATCTGCCCTTTCGGCTGCGACGGGGCCTGGACTTTACAAATTACAAGCGAGAGTCCTTTTATACGCCGATGGCTCGTGAAGGGTATACAGACTATTCATTCAGTCCCGAATTTATCCAGACTTCGACGGGACAACTATGACCTGGTTGGTCTGTGAAAAATAAGTACTTAGGTAGGTAGATACAATGGTTTTTGGTCTTGTATATCAATCAATCATTAGACGCCATATAGTCTTTTTTCTTGATTTTGTACCTAGTACATATATTGGATGAGATATATTCTAACAAGCAAGTAAAATCTTAGCCTCTTGGGTCTTCCAAAGGTCGTAGCTAGAACCCTTACATCCATTGATTAAAGGGGAATTGGGTTTCGTTCATGTCAACATTTATTCTACGCCGATCTTATCGTATTGGAGGAAAGGCCAAACTCAATTATAGTTGTTACATCTCGCATTCTTCTTTAATATCTTAGTACTGGAACCAGTCTATAACGAATTGGAGGCCATTGATGGTGATTGGCTGACATCCATGCACGAACAGCTGTCCAACAAACCCCACCTACTTGCATAATCGCCATCTGCTTCTAGCATGCGATTATGTTTGCGGCTCTTATTTAGGCTGTACCGTCGTGACAGAGAGAGAGAGAGAGAGAGAGAGAGACTAAGAAGTAAAAAAGAAACCATGTCATTTGGATTCGCTATAGGTGACTTCATCGCCGCCGGCCAGCTGGCCTGGACTCTGTACAGGGATTGCTACACTGTTGCACGGAACGCACCACAGGAGTTTCAGCTCCTTCTCGGCGAAATCTCTACGCTATGCAACTCACTGAAGATGTTGGAGGAAGAAGTCAAGAACGAGCAGTCTACCCTAGTGCGAGCCGGCGAGGATCGAGTGAGGATGGTTAATGAGATGGTGGCTGGGATTAGCGAGACACTGAAACGACTAAAAAAAGTGGCCTCAAAATATGGTATCCTTGGTTCAGCCGGGTCAAAGGCAAAGCATATCTGGATAAAGATCAAGTGGTCTGCTGAGTTCAAAAGCGTGGATTCGTTGAGAAGTAAAGTGGGTTTGTCACATTTCGTTATTTTTTGAACATGCGTCGTATGGACTAACTGTTCTAGCTGGTGTACCACAACACGGTAATGAATCTGCTATTAACTTCGGTTGCCAAGTATGTTACTCTGCACCCAAATGTTTGAAATAATTCTTGTATATTGAGATTCAATATCCATCAGTTCCTCTCTTGGCCGTATCGAGACCTCGACTAAAACACTACAGTCTGATATTGCAGACATTAAGTCTCATCTCCAGACGTCCCAAGATAATAACAACAACTCACCGCCATTGGCCTCAATGGTTGAAGACGAAGTGTACAAGCTCTCCCTCAGTGCAGAATTAATGAAAAATGCAGAGACGTTGCAACCTTGGAGTTCTATTTCAGTGGACAAGTGGGTTCAGTCGGGAAAATGGTGGTTGCTCCGGGTCCGTACCACTGCTTCTGATGAAGGAATAAGTGCTTATTCCGTTTTTATTCACAGTCCCAGCTGGAAATTTACGCCCCTACCAAGCCCAACGACCACTCTGTGCCTGTATCTGCATATACGAATCTAATCAAAGCGTCTTGGATTCTGATAGATATCATCGACCACCACCCTCAACTTACCTTGGTTACTACGGACACACGCCTAGAGGTGCTTCTCCTGGCAGCTGTTAGTTTCATGTCCAAGATCGAAATACAATGTGATTTTAACTGACAAGTAGCCAGGAACTCAAACAAGAATTTAGAAGAATCCACGAGCTGACCCTCGCTACGCCAGACTGGGAAATAATAGAACAGCAAGACTTGCGGATCTGGGAAAATAACACTAGGGGTCCGGTTCTACAGCCCAGCAAACGGAGTCAAAAGACGAAGCTAGTGCAAACACAGACTGACTTTTGGGTCGTTCGAGGCGAGCAAGTCTATTTCCAGAAGTAAGGGATTTTCTTCATTTCATTCATCCTCTTAAGGAGCTGTCTTTGCGTCCTATGAAGGCATAGAATCAAACAAACTCGCAACGTTTCCTAGCTTTCGGTACTGACCTTGAATCATGAAATAGATTTTCTTTGTACCAACGATCTGACCTCACTTCACCACAAACATGTGTGGTGCTTTTCTTGATGCATAAACACGAAAGAAGTGGAAGATTAGTTGCTCAAGACCAGCATGAGTCTTCCTTGATTGAATTCAAATGTAAGTATTTGTTCACAAATTGCATCTATATAAGCCGGTTCATTAACATCCAACTTTAGTACGGGAAGACCTCTACTTAGAGGTCGAGAAAAATGGAAAATCTCTGAAAGTGGGTTTTAATAACACTATATATACTACTTTCTCCGATATGGTCAATTGGAAGAAAAGTATAAAATCCCTGAAGGTTGGGACTGAAACGCTTAGATTTAACTTGGAAACAGGTAGGCTTCTACCTTCGAAACCCCCTCTACAGTCCTTCGAGAATACTAGGCTTACCGAATTGATAGACGTCGAAACTCTTTTGACTCTCATAGAATCAGCGTATGTCTACTTATTTAGACGTGACTCAGACATTCTCGATCTCAAGATATTTGAAGGTTTTGCATTGATGACAGCCGCAAAAAACGGAAGTGAAATAGTCATTAATCGGCTTAAGCAGAATTCAACCAGTCTAGATCCAGAGACTCTTTCCAGTGCACTAACAGTAGGATCAAGTCTAGCACGAAAAGGAAACAACCTCAGCAGCTACCTGTCGTACTTGAATGAGAGCCTGTACTCATGGGCAGTGGGTCATGGACTTGTGGGCATAATCCGTATTCTTCTTGCAGAGAGGCTTCGTGTGGACATGGAGAGATACTTATGTTACGCAGTCGAACTGAAGAAGGAGACGATTGTCCAAATTCTTCTAGAAAATAGTGCCGATCCAGATGCGAGGAGCCACTTACAGAAGATATCTCGCTTTGGAGTCACTCCACTTTGCCAGGCTTCTGGAAGCGGACAATTAAAGGTGGCGCAGATGCTACTCAAAAAAGGGGCAAATATCAACGCAAGAAGTGGCAAGGGACAGACAGCACTACACATGGCAATCAGTGGAGGACATACGGACGTGGTTGACCTTCTTCTAGAGAAGAAAGAAGTTGATATCAGTGCTATTTACAGTCGAGATATGTCTTCAGAGGAAGGAATGACACCTCTGCATATGGCGGTGAGAAATGGTCGCTATGATTTAACGCAAAAGCTGCTTGAACGAGGCGCCAATGTGAATGCTAAGGAAACTTTAGACGTAAGTGTTATAGACGAGGAAGAGTACGTCACTTACACACGTCTTCGTACCTGGGGGATAACGCCTCTTCTACTAGCAGTTGAGAGGACGGCAGCGTCTCAAGAGGAATCAGTAGTAGGGCTAGACATGATACAGCTCTTACTTGCAAATGGTGCATATATCAATGCAGAGGCTGGGAGAGAGACTAGGAGAATGTATCAGAATAGGACGGAGAGTACATCGGGAAGAATGTCTGGAACAACACCTCTATATGCGGCAATTGAGTCTGCGCGAGATGAGAGATTAGCACTGGTCATAGTTCGGCTCTTGCTTTGCCACGGCGCAAACGTTCATCTGGAGGCCTGGAATGAGAAAAAGCTGTCTGCCGATGAACAAGGGTCTATAAAGAGATATGAAAGAGTATCCGGAGTGACACCCTTGCGTTTGGCAGTCAAAAGAGGCTACAAGGACATTGTCAAATTACTCCTTGAGTCGGGTGCAATACGAGATCAAGAAACAATAGAATTCGCAAAGGAAGGCGAAAACTGTGAGATAGAGCAGCTTTTACAGGATATGGATACTTATTGATCTCAATGGGTGGAACTTTGCTTACATACTGTCCAATGACTTATATCCCAATGCAAGCTTAACTTTTTAAAAAGAATCTTCATGATTATATATTGTTATTTTTCTTCTTCTTCTTCTTCTTCTTCTTCTTCTTCTTTTTTTGCGCTTGTGCCGTCTGGTGCAATAGCACAGTTTGATTATATAACAAACAACACATGAATCAACAAATCGGAATAAATAAGGGTTGCGTACGTCCATTGTCAACGCAGCTATTTTTATTCACGTATACAGGACCAAAGACCTATAAATACCTAGGTAGGTTGTGCAGGAGCCTGCCATATGATATAGAAGCTAATGACACCTCTAGCTCCGCCGAAAGGCATATTTTCTCCCGACACTGCGTTGGGTCACTCACCAGCTCGTCGTCTAAAGCTCAAATACGTTGGGCGTTGATTGAAGTACCCACCTCTGCTTCATCGCAAGAGCTGACTATACCACATACATATACATGTATATATATATATATATATATTAATTCATCATGCGGTGATGCCCCGCGACCAATTGATGGACTCAACTAAACTCCAATATTGATTTCTTACCCAATGCGGATTCCCCGAAGCTGGAATTCGTTCCTGCGCAATGCTAATTTAACCCCTAATGCCTAACCCGATTCTCCAGTAAACAAGCACTGTCAAGCAGTGCTAAGAACGTGTGGACCACCGGAAAGTCCAATTTCGAGTCGTTCGCACAGCTTTAATGTGCCATGCCATATGATAGGATCGGCGAGTTGCCCCTATGCATAGTGGGCCCTACAATGATCTTAACATCTTGGTTACTACGTTTGGTTTAGCGTTGGGGTCTAGAAGATAAATCGGTGACGTATCATATCAAACCTATGTTGGAGATCGGCACCGTGCGAAAATAAATAGAAACTGCTCGCGTTAAACTGCACTCGGCAATCGAGGTGTCACGATTCGCGAATAGATTCGAGATCCAGTCTAACAGACAGCTTTTCGGACTCCTTTCTAGTTAGATCTGGCGATTTGGTTCCCATCTCGAGGCTGGGAAACTTAGGGAGGAACCAACGGCCTTTTAAGGTAAATTCACACGATGTAGTACGCTGTACCTTTTAGATAGGAGAGACTGTACAGTGTAAGACATACGTATATTGTTTACCCAAATCAGCCATAGAGGCCTGGTAGGCTCGTATTTAACGGCCCGCTAATTACTCATGAGAAGGTTATTCTGTGTCAGCCCCTGTGGGGTCGCCCATAGTATACCCTATTTGTAATAGCAGTATGTACAAGAAGTCTAATCCGTAGATATCATACATTCTAAGATAAGTTGCTATTTTAAAGAAAGTCAGCTTGGACATTAGCTAAATAGGCCTAACTAGTCATTGCGTCATACGTAAACAGTGGAGATACAACCAACAACTTCAGCTTGGGACAGGGCGAATTAAAGATCAGGGTTGGGGTAATTGGGACTCTAGATTAAATGAATTGCCAAAATTGTTTTTTGTTGGGAATACTTTTCGTGAAAAGGGCAGACTTGGGGGCGCCCAAAACTGGAAAGGATATTGATTATGTCCGGGTATAAATAAAACCTGCTGAGTACCTGGCTACTATATCGTGGAATTGTCAATAATTCTTTCCATACATCTCCAAAGCTCGAGCTTCTCGCTATGTTACAGATACCATGTACTTCTTTGGTGAAGGCGGCTTCCGCATGGCTAGTCCTTGACCTTATCACCACCACATCGGCGACCTACCTCAACTCTAGTAACCCGGGGTACAACTGTCACGCTGGGCACTCCTGTTGGCCGACTATCAAAGAATGGGAGAGTTTCAACAGCAGTCTGGACGGAAACTTACACCGCACGATCCCCTATGCAGCAAGCTGCTATTACGACTCCCCCTACTATGACCCTTCAGCCTGTGTTGTCGCCGCAGAGGACTACTCAGTAAACCAGGCACGAACCGAAGTATACGGCGCAGCAACAGGACTCAACTGGGAAGTGTGTCAAACCCAAACCTGTACTCTGGATCCTTATGACCCGACTGTGGTCTATTCCGATCAGTGTTCCCTTGGCCGACTGTCGTCATTGTATGTCGATGCTCGAAACGCAAGTCACGTAGCCACTGCCGTGAAATTTGCCCAACAGCACAATCTCCGAGTCTCGATCAAGAACACGGGACACGACTACTTTGGCCGCTCTACTAGCCCTAACACGCTGGCAATCTGGACTCATAACATGAACAATATCACCTACCATGAAAACTTTACCGCGTCTAACTGTCCTGCTTCCAATGGGCAAAACGTTGGTGAGATGGGAGCCGGTGCTCAGGCGGCGGACGTGTACTCATATTTCGGGGATCTCAACTTCGACGTGACTGGTGGCAACGAAGGATCGGTTGGCCTTGCTGGCGGCTTTGGTCAAGGAGGTGGCCATGGTGTCTTTGGCCCTTCGTATGGTCTGATGGTGGACAATGCGATCGAATTTGATGTCGTGACAGCAGACGGCGAATTCCGAACAATCAATCAATGCAATGACCCCGAACTATTCTGGGCCATGCGAGGTGGAGGCGGAGGCTCCTTTGCCATTTTGACAAGCTACCGCTTCCAAGTGTATCCGTCAATAAAGATCAATGTGTACTCGTTCAGGGCCAACTTCACACTCCCCGGCAACGAAACTAGCAATTATGCAGTATTGGAAGATGTCCTCACACAGCACGTCACTCACCAACCTGTCTGGTCACAGAACAACGTTTCAGGACACGCTTATTATTGGGCGGATAAAGCTGAGATTTACCTAGTGCTGCCTTCGAACAATGTAACGGCTTTAAAATCCCTCACAAGTGAATTTTCCTCCTTTCTGACCAACCAAACGGGGATTATTGTCTCCGAGAGCTCTTATACGACCTATCCCAATTACACCGGCTTCCTGGGTCTCACCAGTGAAATTGCGACTCGGCTTACACCAGGTGGTATCTTCGACGTTCTCGCAAGTCGACTGGTGCCGGAATCATTGTTTGAAACCAATATAACCGGCTTAGTTGACGCTACTATTGAAGGAGTTCGTCTCAGCAATAAGTATATACCTGACGAAGGCGTTGCCATGACTCAAGTCATAATGACCACACCTATCAATACCCAAAATGGCAATGAGACAAGTATTAATCCTGCCTGGCGCACAGCTCTCTGGCACCTTATCATGACAGGGGGATGGTTCGATGTGCTTCCTACTGCGAATGAAAACGCAATGGTCGAATCATGGTTGGAGACCAKSGAGCCACTAAAGGAATTGACCCCTGGTGGAGGATGCTATGTCAATGAAGGCCACTACTTGGAACCAGAATGGAAAGATACCTTTTGGGGATCGAATTATCCTGAACTGCTTCGGATTGAGAATAAGTATGATCCTACCCATTTCTTCGACTGCTGGAAATGCGTTGGCTGGGAGGGACCGTCCGAGTAAGTTTGCTTCCTTATATTCCAGTGGTTTTCTGTTTTGCCTCTAACCTTGGAATGCGTATAGGTCCTACAAGTGTTACGGCACGCATAACTAGTACTCTTTCTGCATGTTCCTAGATTTGGTGGCATGCAGCACGTCGTGTAATATTCCATCTGTTAATGATGCAGATGTTCACTTCTTATCTATACTGTTTCTTTTAGCGAATAATCATTCATTGTTATGAGCTAGTCTTGTCTAACGCTCACCATAAGGGCATATTCGAATAGAATACATAGCATGAGGAGAAGAAAGAGAAAGAAAATAACAAGTTCTTCGCGCGCATACAGTCTTATATAGCCAAGGGAAATCAGGAGCTTCCAACAGGCTTTCTCTCTGGGAATCTGGGTTCGCCGGATTTGCCGGGTCAGCCCATAACAACAGGCAATATGGCCTTCAAATTGACTATCGATTCGGCGAAGAGCACTGATGTCAATATCCGTAAGGGCTTCGCACGTACATGCTCATGAGGTCAGCTCATAAAATTTATTCTTAAATACATCTTAGTGACCAAGACTTGATTTCTTTATACGTGATCACTGACTACCGTGCGTCTTTTTTGTCCAAGTAAAGACATAATATACTCGTCAATAAACCCACTCAACGCATATCAAGATTTTTCCGTAAGACCTGAAGCAAATTTGGAAATAGACCCCTTACGGGAAGACTGCATGAAACAATTGGAGAGAACCTAAATGGCATTGCACATTTGTCCCACCCGTATGAGAGGGATATTATTTTTCAACAAAGGCAACTTACACTTGACTTGTCGAATCGTCAACTGAATCTTTGCTTACTTCACCATTAAAATCTCTGGTCCGCTACTCTGTGCTATGTACATCGTAATGCTTTTACTGAATCAATACAAGTTGCTGACTTACATTATATAACCCTAACGTGATCAGTTCATGCTACTGCAACCATAGTCATCCCCACCTTGCTACGTTGATATACCAGTACTCCATAGATAAAAAGAAATTTGGATACCCCTAAGTAGCAATAAATTATAATGTTATTAGTTACACTGATGCATCTATCTGAGGTTGCTCAGACAAATCTACCGGCTAAGGCATAACCCCTAGATATAGATATCTCAGACAGCGGAATTGGATCAATGTTAAGCTTCGCATACAGATCTACACCAGTGAATCCTTTTCTCCAAGGGTCAAAAGGACTTCCCAGGTTAGACGACGAGAATTGAGCAAGTATGGATGCAACAGGCTTACGTAGTAACCCTATTTTTCAGAGTAACACAACACTCTTCAGTACAAGATTGCTATATTAGTCACCGATTAGCTTTTTTGGAAGTACGTTCATTGCGTTGCGGATCTCCGTTGCTTGATAGTTTCTTGACAGCGTCCTGGACGAAAATGAAGGCCAATCCCGACCAGACAGTATTTGCGGCTGTCAGATAATTCGGATCTCCAGAGGCAGTCAAAAGAGGCAGTCAAAAGAGGCAGTCAATCAGAAGCTCTGTCTTTTAGCCCTCAAATATACTCCTTCATGATATATCACAACTCACGTCAACTACACAAAAAATAAACTCAGAAGAATGTCTATAGAAACCCGGCTTTGGAACCTCATGTTGACGAATAAACAGACAACTCAATACATACAATCTTGCTTGTCACTTCTTCCTTTCCCATGCGTCTGAGATACTAATTTGGACTGATCTAGAGTAAACCCACCAATCCGACAGCTGCGACAAGGTATTCAAAAAATCAAAGATCATTAGGTGTGGTGGACAAAATACAGGGCTGCAAAAGAGGGGTTATTGGACGAGGGAAGGTTTAGCCGAATGCCACATCAGTCGATTCCAGAGGGGTAGGCGAGTAGTTCCTGGCAAAGCAAAGCTGGAATTAGAGCAGCACCGTAAAATCTGCTTCATGGAACGAATAATCAATAATAAAAAAGTCAACAAAAAACATACAACAGCTGGGATTCGCTGGTGGACCCAACTACTAACCAGCCGGCGTGTGGCTTAAGTACGGCTGAGCGGACGGGAAGCCCTGTTTTCCACACCCTATGGTCGTATGTACTCATGAATACGAAATAATAGATTATATAGTTGAGAGCAAATGACATGATGAGAATGTTTCGATATAGATGAGAGACATCAACTTTGATCTCCTAATGACTATACTGAATGGTGTATGCTAGTGGAACAAAGAAGTTCTGAGTGTTCTAATCTGATTTCAGGTGAATTCCACTAGACATAGAAAGAAATATTTGTAGACCTTAGTAGAAATCCTATAACTTACTAGATAATAAATCAGTAATATTATATAGATCTCTGCAAGTCCCATGGGACTAAAGTTTTTTTAGTCCCAGACTTAGACTCAAGTTGGGATAGATTTTTGGTCACTTTCTAAATTTCCAACCTAAGTTACCTAGTTTATTCTGAGCAGTGTACATAGTACGTAATTAAAGTAGCATCTAGCCTCCCAAGCCCGCGTACAGCCTCCGAATCACAACCCAGAGCTGGTGAGCTCAGGTTTATATTAAGGTTTTTAGATTAGGTTCTAAATGTCCGACCTGTTCTTGGCAGGTTCGTGTTGGGTTGGGTCTGAAATTAAATTCTGAATATCCAACCTAACCTTCTTGGCAGATCCGGGGTTGGGTTAAATCTAAAATTGGACTCTGAATAACCAAAAAATGCGAAGCTTTCCCCTTTCTATACAAGCTTGTATGCATATTGCAAATTTGACAACTTGCTTGTTCTTTCTTTCTCTTTCCTCATATTATATTTACTCTTCAGCACACTTACAGGGGCGTTAATATACCGTTACCAATATGCCTAGCTCTCATAATCGTCACTTTCTATGTTGACTATACATACTCCTCCCTCCTCAGTCCCCCACAGGACATGATATTGGTTGAGCAGATACGAGTAGTGGCGTAGCATCTATTAAAGCGATATATTTATGGAGAGATTTAGTAAAAATTGAAAGATTATTAGTATTTTCCTATTTGACTGTAATAATTTACTATATTTTTTAAATATTATAGTTAAAATCACATGCCACTGTTTAACGAGTTAGGTATTAGAAAACCCCTGTTGACCGCAGTGATTATGTTGGCCCTAAGGATCAAAGTCTCACATATAAGGGAGCTGAGTGGCCGAGGGGCATGCCATCTGGTACGTTTCGAAGAGTGATCTGCCGGATTGGGCCCCTGGCCATCACTATATACAAGGAGCGCTTGGGTTTGAATCCTGGTAGGAAAGACCTCGGCGAATGGATAGAGGGGTTTATGGCCAAAAAGATATTTAATTTGCAATCACAAAAGACAGGGAGAGGACGGAGTCTAATCCTTAAAATATATCTCCCTCAAATTACTTTATATTAGATATTTTCACAGTTCTTTACGAGGTTTTTAAGAATTTCCCTCTTGATATATTATATATATAGGCTATAGCATCTACATTAGATCCCTAACAAACTAAGTGGAATTACGGAGGCTGTAGAGCCTAAAAAATAAAAAAGCAAGATTCATGTATTTAGCCTGTTGATATTTACTGTCTACATGAAGCCAAATAATAAGGCCGCCGCACAGGACGTTAAATAGATATACCAACAACCAACCAACCAACCAACTCACTCTCGTATATTAGAATTTAGCTTGGGGTAAAGTTTTCTAGTACTTGTCTCACAGGGCCTTCAAAAAAAAAAAATGCGGCACAACACGAGAAAGAAAAGTGAAAAGGCTAGAGGCTACGGTACAGCCTGTTTTATCAAGTATATATAGGTTCATTAACAGCTAGGTTATAAAAGGGGCCTAGCAGAACAAAAAAGATATTCACTAGACACCCCATCTTCAACTTTCAAGTCTCTATTTCCTTTCCAGAACATCTCATCTCCAGCCTTCAAGTCTCCAAACATGGCTTTCATCAAGTATCTTGTCGCAATATTTGCTACAGCCGTTCCCGCCACCCTCGCCAACCCGGATTGCTCGCCGACAGGCGCTGGGACCTGCACTTTGACGATCTGGGGCGACAAAGCAATGGAGTCCATTGCGAACCCTCCATGGTTCCCAATACTACGGGATCGTATGGACTGGAAACATGCGGTAATTTCCAACAACGCTTGCGAGGATATTTCCGGGGACGTGAAACCCTACCAAGGCTACGCCATGGATTCCCAATTGCCATACACCGTCGTGTTTGAAAGGCTTAGCCCGTATGGCAATTACAATAGCTTTCGCTTCTGCTATGCTGGCTCGTGCTACGACGGAGGTGCAGCTTGTGAAATACGATCCCAGACGGGCGATTATTGGGAAACAAATTATTGCAGGCGGGCTTTCGATTGCTAGACTGGTAGGGTGGAAGGGGCTGGTAGAAACTGGCGGAAGGCATTTGCGATGTGACTACCTCAGCAGGCAGTGTGACAGCTATCACTGATCGATTTATCTGATCGCCTCATCAAGCTCTACACATAGATTACCGCCTGGGAGTATCTGACCGTTTCATTGATCGCTTTATTAGGCCCCAGCCATAGCGCTCACTCTTCTCCTCCCCTTCTTCTTCTTCTTCATATTTTGTATTCTCGCCGAATAGCGCCTAGCTTAAATATAGCAATGGAGTTGTTATGAGATCTAGATTGGCATCGTCACAGGCAGCGTGGTCACCTGTACTAGTATTTGTTGCTCCAATAAATGGGCCTTCCCCAGCATGGCCTCTTATTTTTCGTCTAGCTATTTGTGGCCTCGACCGGAGCTTTCAAGTTCCTTTAGCAGTATAAACTATATGCACCCGTGGAGCAGTTCACAGCCCAATACATTTATGATGGCGTTAAGCTTGCACTGAGGCTTACACTGACCTTTTGGGGCCAATATCCGGTAGACCCCTAACCAACATTGGTAGTGGGGAGTGACAAGACGGGTAGTTTTCTAGCCTTGGTAGACAATTCCGTCCAACTCCTTGCAATAAAAGCCACCTGAGGTGCAGGAAATTCTCAATTTACTTGGTTTCTCTCTCTTAATAACTCAGCCAGACATTCTCATCGGTGCGACTATGTGGGCAAGGCCATTCTATTATGGAAATGTGGCGGGKTCGGAGTCTGAAGATGGCTGCGAGACACAACCGCCTCAAAACACGTTCCGGACAAAACTCATCGCCCCATTTAATCTAGTTTTATTTTTTATGAATCTTCTGTTCCTGATATTTACAATCTGGATGTTCGCCCAGCAAAAGTCACCTAGTTGGATCCTTAAAGAAATGAATACTTACTGTAAGTAGTAGTGCTCCTATCCCATAAGGATGTATAGTACTAATTGTTTGTGCGCAGCACCGCTTCTTGAAGAGTTTCAATTCTCCTTCCATCAGGATAACCAAGAATATGCAAGCATCTTCAATGACCCATTTACTATCTATAAGGCAGATCCGTCACCTGAAGTAGACGCAGCATGGGAAGCCCTATCCGAGACACCACTACTGGCGTTATCCAGGGAACAAATAATAAAGCTAGGCAAGGATCCAGAATACACAGTTAGGATGCCTGAAGAATTCGGTAAGCCATGCATTGCATCAACAAGGAAGCAACAAGAGTATATAACTGATACCGCTATGATAGCTTACGGAGAAGAAATGTACGTAGGGGCCATGGACGGCCAGCACCTGATCCACTGCCTAGATCAGCTACGAAAATTCGCCCACTACGACTACTATTACCAATCTAAATGGGGCGACATGTCGAAGATGCCAGCTCTTGATGCTTCTCACCGATCACACTGTATAGGCCTATTACTTGATGCGCTAAAGTGCCAACCTAATGTCAACGTGGCAACGTTCAACTGGATGGAGGGCAATCATTATCCGTACCCAGACTTTAAGACCCAGAGAAAGTGCCAGAATACAGACCAACTTTTCCAATGGATCAAAGAAAGAGCGGGCTCACGAAGCGGAAACGAGGCGTGGAATTTCTCTCGGCCGGAGGGCGCAAAAGAAGTGTCGATGCCACCACAATTCAAGGCACTCCAAGAAAGCCTAATTACATAATTGGCGCATGCATGTTGTTTTTTGCACCCAAACCTACTTTAGCTCCGTAGCAATCTACCTCCTGTGAGGCATCAGCAGTCTTCGACACTAAGCTAGGGCTTAAAACCTTTGAAAAAGATCCCCATTACACCGTAGTTATTACAGCTGGTAGACTGCGCATGGGCAAGTGGACGGGCAAAGTACAAAATCTTCCTGCGAGGATGGGGTATGTACGCTCCTTTGGGAGAAAGGTCATTTGTATCTATTCCCCATTTTGGGAATTTCTTGATTTTGGGCTCATATCTATTTTCGGACGGAACAAATAGTATGGGATCCACGAGAACGTTTACTTTTATTGGGTCTTCACATTGCAGCCCTCAGGTGAATTATACCGCGAATTCAAATTCGTGGCGTGGGCTTGTGGACTTGAGCTTGAATTGAAGTGAACTGGAAGCCGGGACTAAGGGACACACAACCACGAAACTCTCACTATCCAGAGAGTATAAGCCTAGCTACCAATAATAGGTATATTATATTTAGGCAGTGTAAATGCGAGGAGTCCGTGATAGAAAGCAATAACCCCGAGCGGCAATAATTTATACCATAATCCACATATATAATACATTCCTTCATGAAACATTAAGGAAGACATTCAATGAGAACACACCATCAATCAAATCTCTAGGGTGGGATGCTCCGAGAAGCACGGAGCAAAGGGCTCAGTGTCAGATACAAAATCCCTCCAACATAAACTTCTGAAACAGACACGCCGACTGCGGCGGCTTACAAGTCGAAACGGCGTATCCCTAACGTTATACACCGTCTCAGGATCTTCTCTCCAGGAAACACTGACTTCGAAGATTAGCAATCCTGGCTGTCGGATCTGCATCAATGACCCCAGTATCGGTTTGATGTTATCTCGCATGACCCCTGGTTCATCCAATGCAGCTCCGCCTAGATGCATGTATAGTTCTTGAAGACTCGTTAGACTTGCAAGTACACTGCACGTTTGTTCCCAGGTCTTTGCGTCGAAGGGAGCGACTGTGTACGAACTTTCTATAAATTGATCCTGGTCTGATGAGGGTATATCCTCTGGAGAAAATACTGTGTCAGGCATTGAACGGATATATGGAAAGTGGAAAAATGAGTGCTGCAAGCGAATGACACGAAGAAGATTGAGTCTAGATGGCAGGATGGTCTGCGAGAGACTGAGTATGGTGTCTGGGCTATTGAAATCGAACGTATTTCCGCTGTAAATAAGATCTATTGCTTCTGAATATCTTTCTTACCGGTTAGATATATCTTCTAGTCATGGAAAAAAAATTAAAGGTATATGGATTCTTACATTAGTCGGCATGTTTTGAGTATAGAGAGGAGATTCGCATTCTCGCATTGTGCACCATCCTTCTTTCCTTTGTAATAACCAGCCGTAGAGCGTACGCTAATTGTCGAATAACCCCAGCATTCGTGGCGATAGGGACCAATAGACTCATCTTCATAGCATTGAACTCCCAGAAGCCGCTTGGGGGCGCGCACCAAATGTAGATGTTGGTCGCATAGAAGGTATCGCCATATCAGGATACGAACTTCGTATGGTAAGCGGGTAATCAGCAACGATTCTTTTTGGGCAAAAGTCCGCTGCTGTATTGTTTTTCTCTTCTTGATTATTCTTGATAATATGTTCTGGGATCGGTCGATTTGACTTTTACCGTTGTCGTCCTCCAAAGGCAATGTGAGCGCTCGAGGACGGTTTGTGGGAAGCGGTTTGGCGCGGAATGCCTTTCTTTCTTTGCTGACTTGGGCGTTTGTGGGAAAGCCACGAGTAGCGCAATAGAATACCATGGTGAATGTAAATGACTGTGCTTTCAATGCATGAAAGTGTGATGCAATGAACAGATGTCAGTTAGAAAGGGTGTTCATTAAATTCAGCCTCGTATGCTGCGGGCACATAACACAGCCACCCTAATATAGCCAACAGATCGGCATAACTGAACCAACATCGATTTCCGAGGATACTGAAATGTATTGGTTAGCGACTTGAATTATGACAGTGCTATGGTAACGTCAATTCCTAAAAAGCGATTCAGCACCAAATGCTTTCTTTCCTCTGTGATTTCGGCGTTTGATGGTCATCCGTTCCCACCATAATTTATTTTAAACCAATTTTGCAGAAATCTAGAGAATTCGCGAAGAATCCGCCCTTTGCTTGTCTGTACAATGACCTCAGATTGAATTCAAAAGTCACGCAGGAACCCCTGCCCAGTCAGGTAAGTTCTTGGCGTTTCAAAAAATGTATATTCCATTCCACCAGACGACATCGAAATTCTTTGTGGGACATGTAATTGATGCTGTGATCCTGGTCGATAGCTTTAATAAGCTAAGATAGAGTAAGATTTTAATTTGGAAACTATTGAGTGTCTATTCTTAGCAATAAAATTGCTTCACACATTCTTTTGAGTTGCTTTTATGGACGATTATCGTTATAATCAAACCCATGTATGCCATGGAAGTCCGTCTCTGAGAAAGAATCCATGTTTCTCCCACATAGGGCCTTCTGCTTCCGGTACATAACCGTTCCAGCAATAGTCAAACTTCACTCGATTCTGCTGGACTTCATAAAAGTCGTCAAACTTGGATGATAATGCTTCCTCGAGGTTGGAAACATTGCCGTCTGGATGCAAATTCTTCCACGGTTCACGACATACTCTTCCTTTGCAGGATTTGAGGACAAATAGCAAAGAATCCAAGCGACTAGCCACCTTTTCCAAGGGATAGCCAGCCACCAAGAAAGCTGGCTCGGCGGTTGGTGAGAGGAGGTTGTTCATTTGTCCGGGGTCTTTGGTCATGTCATAAAGCTCATGCTCGTTGTTACACCAGACGGAGTAGTAGAGGTTGTAAGTGGGTCCCGCGATGCGGATTGCTTTGTAGGTGTTGTTTTCGTGCAATGTGCCTGGGAGAGAAATGTCAAGGTAAAATCTAAACTTCGGAGATTTGAAGAAACTTACGATCATAAATACCCTCGCCACCGGCATATCCCCAGTACTCCACCGCCACATGTTCACGTGTTGACAACGTCGACTCGATAGCATCCGGCGTAACAGGGAAAGCCCTGCCATCGAAATCATCTCTTAAAGGTATTCCCAAAAGTTTGAAAAACGTTGGTGCCAGATCGGTGTGTGTGGTTACGATCTCCGTGGTATAATTGGCTGCAACTCCCGGACCACGAACAATGAGCGGTATATTTATATCCTCCTCATATCCGCATGATTTTCCAGGCTGTAGCCTATGTTGGCCAATATGAAAACCATTATCACTACTATAAAAGACATATGTATTATCAAGAATACCATATTCTTCAAGTTCCGCAAAAAGATCATCCACTAATTCGTCCACGGCTTGAAGTGACCGGAGTCGTTGTCGATGGTAGTGGTCATTGTATTCCACATTTTCTGGGCTTTGCTGGGGTAGCTCTAGAAGCCAGTTGGCTCCGGAGGGCTGTTGAGATTTATTAGTGCTATTTCTACGTAATGAGATTCTGGTCATCTCCTGACTGGGTTGGTTTTCTGTGTAAGGAGACATACTGTGTCAGGATTGAAATTTTGCGTCCGCGGAACTTTCACACCTTGAAACAGATGTTCGTGTCGCTTAGCTGACACCGGTGCCGTGTGTTCAAAAACCGGATTGTCATCCAATGCGCTACCATTCATGTTAATGTTACCATGTGGTGCTATAGGCGCGATAGTAAGGAAGAAAGGCTTCTCGGCTATGACTGCATCTCGGAGTAGGCTCTGGGCTTTTTGAGACATGATATCTGTCGAATATCCGCCCTCATAACTTCTTGGTTCTTTGCCCTTGAGTTGGAAGGTGCTGTTCAGGTAATTGTAAGTGAAAGGATCGAGAAGGAAGTCCTGGTCAAAGCATCAGTGGCCCCGCTCGACTCCGATGGGAAAGACACAGCACTCAAAAAGATATATCGTACCGAGTTGGTGAAGCCCGCGGGTTCTGGAGAGTCATAGTTGGTTACGGTGTGAACATTAAACAGTTTCCCGGTATAGTAAGTGTTATAACCCGCTTGCTGTAACCATACTGGTAGGTAGTTATCGTTGAAGCCTTCTTCCACGAACCTGGGATATCCTCCTGTGATGAAGACATTAATTTCGTGGCTCTCCGAAGAGACCTCATAACACGCAACATACCGTAAGGTGGATTGACATCTGTTATATTTGTATTATGAGCTGCTTTACCTGTCCACAGCGTGACTCGTGATGGACAGCATACAGCTGTCGTACAATAATGTTTCCGGAAATGAGTCCCTTGCTCTATGAGATGCCTCCTCACACGCGGCATATATTCAAGCGAGTTCAGATGTGTATCCTGATCGTCGGTCAAGATAAAAACCACATTGGGACGAGTACATTGACTGGCACCATTTAATAGTTTTTGACTCGTGTGTTCAAGGCCAATTATTCCCGGGGCAATAGAGGCCACTATGGCCCAGAAACAATACCCTTTCATTTCTGTGATTATGTTCTAAAGATAACCGGGATTCAAGCAATCATTCCACAGAATATTGAAAAAATCAAGTGATTTAAGCAAGCTATCTGGTGGCCGATAACTGAGCTAGCGAGGCGAGTCATGGTTCAAGCATGCTCGACAATCCTTATCGTCGAGCATGGTGAGCTTTCGAATGCGGAAAGAATATCTCTAGCTAAATCGCCATAGCTCTAGAATATGGCGAGATTCTTAGCGTGAATAGCTAATTGAATGCGACGGCCTAGAGGAGGAATTAGGAAATATCTGGTTGGTGATCAACGTTAGTATCGCGGGGCAGATGATCTTGTGGAAATATCACAGATTATGCCCGTGAATTATAGCTACGCACTATCTTGCCCTAATCTTGTAGCTAGCAAAGAGACATGCCCGTCCAATCAAGAAAGGTTTTTGGTGTGTTTTTAGCGGACCCGTACTGCGTACTCCCTCCAAAAAAAACATGCGTACCCCACCATAGAAGTAACCATACCAATTTCCATCTAGACATTGCTACTCGATCAGCTATTCGCTAGAAATTTCACCATAGTTTAAATATATGGCGATCTAGCTAGGAACAACTTCTCCGCATCCAAGAGAGCTTCTGATACAAACTTCACTCATGAAAATCTGCCGGATCATACCGAAATTTACTGCATGAGGCAAAAGCTAAAATCGTCACTCGTATAGATCTTAAAAAATGACTGACTCGTAGGGAAATGAGAAAGCGGTTTAGCCGGAGAGTGTTTACGACAAGATATATGTCGAATTTTCTCCCTACACTTCACTATCATCTTAGTAGGTATCTGAAGCGACATTCTATCTCACGGCTAATTAGAGAAAGCGAGGTCCTGTATCAACAATGGCAAACGACACTCTTGAGCATCATGGCGATCATATTGACCTTGATAATAGTGTTGTCAATAAGCTCGCTAGATCAAATCCAAAGGTAGCGATACTCAGCAGCGAAGCCAAGCTGGCCACCGAAGCCGAGCACAATATGTCTATACGAGACGCAATCAGCCGATACCCAAAAGCCGTTGCATGGTCGATACTCTTCTCAACCGCAATCATCATGGAAGGATACGACATTGTCCTAGTCACCGCGTTCTTCGCATATCCCTCTTTTCAGGAGAAGTTTGGTGAACCGGTCAAAAACGGAACAAGTTATCAGGTCAAAGCACCCTGGCAGTCTGGTCTTTCGAACGGTGCACGAGTTGGTGAAATTATTGGATTGTTCATTAATGGATTGCTTGCAGAGATGTTCGGCATGAAGCGAACTATGATTGGAACATTAGTCATACTCTGCGGTTTCATCTTTATCTCTTTCTTCGCTCAAAACATACAAACACTGCTTGTTGCCGAGATTCTCATGGGAATACCCTGGGGTGTCTTTCAAACTTTAACGACTTCGTACGCAGCTGAGGTCTGCCCGGTTGCTCTCCGAGGATACCTTACGACCTATGTCAATATGATGTGGGGTGTTGGTCAATTGCTCGCGACCGGAGTTCTACGTGCTCTGCTATCGCGCAAGGACGAATGGTCATATAGAATTCCTTTTGCTTTGCAATGGATATGGCCTGTCCCTTTGATTGTTGGCATTGCATTTGCGCCGGAGTCTCCCTGGTGGCTTGTCCGCAAGGAACGCTACGAGGAGGCAAGAAAATCGTTGAGAAGACTCACCTCTGCCCCGTCCGACTCCGAGCTTGACAATACCATCGCAATGTTAAGGCATAGCGACGAAATTGAAAAGGAGCTTGTCGCCGGTACGTCTTATCTGGATTGTTTTAGAGGTATCAATCTTCGAAGGACGGAGATTGCATGTATCGCATGGGTTATTCAGGCAGCATCCGGGGCTTCACTCATGGGCTACTCGGCCTACTTCTTTGAACAAGCAGGTCTTTCAACAACAATTTCTTTTGATTTTTCTATTGCGCTTTATTCTGTTGCTATTTTCGGTGTTTTTATTTCCTGGTGGGTAATGACTTATGTTGGTCGTCGTACTATCTACATTGGCGGCTTGAGTATGCTGTTCCTCGTGCTTATGGCAGTTGGCTTTTCGAGTTTAGCACACAGTACCGCTGCAAATTATGCTACAGGCAGTCTACTTCTGGTTTTCACACTCTTCTACGATATCACGATCGGCTCAGTATGCTATTCGATTGTGGCCGAGATTCCATCGAGCCGACTACGCACGAAGACAATTGTCCTTGCTCGAATCGCCTACAACATCCAAGGCACCATAAATAACGTTATTACCCCGGACATGATCAATCCTACATATTGGAACTGGAAGGGCAAGGCCGGCTTTTTCTGGGCTGGGCTATGTTTTATTTGCTTGGTTTGGAGTTATTTCCGGTTGCCTGAGCCCAAGGGACGAACATATGCCGAGTTGGATATTTTGTTTGAACAGAAAGTCTCCGCACGTAAATTCAGCTCTACGCGGTTGAATATATTTGAGGATGTCGCTGTTGTCTCATTAGAGGATCATACGCCAGTCAGCACCGAAAAAACAGAGTGATTGATCACTGAAGATGTTGACAGAGACGAAAGCTAGATCTTTGAAGCAGTTCTCTTTTTCTATTTTCTTTGAAATCCTTTTCTGAATTCTTATGTACAGATATAGGATGATAGAAAGTGGTAAATTGCCTCTTACTCATCGATTAGTGCAATCCTGGCACAGTTTCATATAGTATGCAGCATAGAAGCGTCTTTCAGCCCAATTAGATAATGTATTGCTCTGTGCAATACCGTTTGAAAAGAAATCCTCTTCTTCTTTTCGTGGAATATGTGGCGATAACCTCTCTGAACAAAGACGCACTAATCATGCTTTTTACGGGGGCAAAAAGGAGTCTTTCAATCTACCCTATCGAGAGAAAGGACGACAAGAATGTCATTGTTATGCGGTAAGATACATCAAAATGAAGGAAGAGAGCTATTCAAAATATGCTATATCAGCCAGTGGCTTTCTAGTGAAGGCAAAGATGCTGGCCTGCTTAGAAACCTCAACACAAACTAATCATTCAGGAAGCTTCCAGATATTTTGATTCATTTTTTCGGGGATGGCAGGATCCCAAACAAGACCCCAGCGTCTGCTACGTCCCCGAGGTCCTGGTAACTATTATGGCTTTGAAGATAGTCAATGGAACGATCCAGCGCAACCATGCTGCGCGATCTGTGGTCAATTGATTTTAGCGGACCCAAATGTCCGTAATTTCTTCAGTCAGATTGAGGAATTCGATGCAGCTTCTGGAAAAAGAAGCTATATCAAGTTGAGTGTTTCTCAAATGCATGAGTTTCTTGCCGAGCAAAAATGTGATTGGAGATCGACATATAGAGCCAGTAAGTACACTCTCCTCCAAAAGTTTCTAATTTGCTTCGTGACTATGATCACTACTATTCTTTCCTTCTGAATAGTCTTTCCCTTCTAATCAACAATATCCTTTTTAACCAGTCGTTAAAACACCTGACAGTCCGGAACCCTTCATTACAGGTGTGTCCTATCGCCATTCTGGATTCGGCAAGAAAGGGGGGTATCATATAGGCGCTCCAATTGGGGAGGATGATGCCTGGCTTATCAGGGGTGCCATCCATCCCCCAGCGAAAATTGTGTGGTTCGCAAGATGTGCTCTACGCCATGATGAACCAAGGCCCGCCAAAATCGGTTGGCCAATGCATGAGAGCTGCTATCACCTGTTGATGAAATGCTATGAAGACAGAGGAATAACAGAAAATCTGCATAATCTGTTGATTGCTCTCTTGCAAGAACATCATAACAAAAGGCAGGATTACCGCAATTATGGTGAGCCACCGGAAGACTCCGGCGCAAAGGAAATGATCCAACATGATCCTCTGTTTATTACGCAGTATTATGAAGCAATACAAACTGCAATCGAAAGGTGCCCTCAGGATGAACAGGAACAAACCTCCACATTTGACCCCAACTACGGATACAATGGTGTTAGGACCCAAGCGGGATTTCACATCTCACCTGGCGCTTTCTCTAAGCTACCGCTTGATTTGGGCATGATGATTCTCGACTACTGTGACGGAAGGGAATATCGCAATCTTATCTTGGCTGCTCGGTGGAAACTGCCAAGCAATTACTGGAAACGAGTGATCCCCAGGTGTGTATTTGAGCTTCACGACGATTTGGGGGAAACGAAGGTCGACTGGCAGTACCTGGGCTTAGAATTCCACAGATTAATGGAACGAAAGGATGGGCTGTGGCATAGGCTGTCTATCACGACTTACATGGCCCGTATATGGGCCTATTATAGTGGCCAGGAAGTCGATATTATCAAGGATAGGTTCTTAGGGATGGCATAAACTTTTGTTGAATTTTTTGTGTTAATTGCGATACGGTCATGGAAGCAGTCCAGCCTACTACCACAGAATTCATGAGAGTGTAAAACCAATATGATCATTTGACAGCAGCATCATTTGTATTTGAAAATCAAGACATATGTGTTTTTCGGATACAGAATCCACCTGTTATTGTTGCAGCCATTTCTTCGGTACTACCATTCAGCAATCAACCTAGCCTTCTTGCACCAAACGGTAGCTAAATTACCTTGAATTGATACCTAGGTAGGCTACCTACTTGCCCTCCACTTGAATCTATATGCGTACCATTGGTCACCGGACCGGATTTAGGCATGTCTCGGATGTCTTAAACATGCCAATAACTCACGCCACCTCAGCCATTCCCGTAGCTTAAGCAGTGTTTAAATGGACATCGTCGATTAATCAATAAACTAACGAGGTTATTGTGGTCAGTTGGCATTTTGCATAATCTGTACAGTATGATTTTYTTTTCCTTTTTTTTTTTTTTTTGAAAATCATAACTTATATAAAGAAAGTATGCTTAATTTGATCATTTATATTCCCAATTTCGTATACACATAAATCACCAGTCCGCAACCAAAGAGATTGTTCAAACGAGGCCGACGAGGTTCGATATGACAAAAATCTACTGCGAACTGATTTGTATAGAAAGCATTGCTTAGTGATTCATTTTGAACTAAAGACAATTGAGCTGAACCTCGTGTCATGACTAAGGCCAACTTTTGGACTGAATTGTCTCACTCCCTACCTCCCGATATAGAAAGATCTTCAATATCCGGACATCATCAGTCGACTTTTACCCCGCAATATCAAGATCAAAATGTTTGGGACATTTTGAATCGCAGATCCCTTTTAGCTCACCAAAATGTCTCTCGAGTTGTTAAAGTTCCTGATATTTCATTGGCCTGCCCAAAGAATTTAAGACTTCTATGTTATTGTCTCACTTTCTCTTGGCGGGATGACTGGTTATTTTTGAGGTGATTGGTTGACCAATATCCGGCACAAATACTTATTATCAATAGTAGACTGCACAAAAATAGCCTTGAAATGTGATTTGCTGCCTAAAACCCAGGCTTGATGCGGTCAACGTGTCGAAAAAAAGACAACGTATCGGTTCATTCAACATTGACTAAATAAGTGACTTTGATTCATGCCTATTGCTAGATATCCACTCACGACCTGGCTTTCTCCGACCGTATTAAACCGGATATCAATGATGGTGGTAACCTTTTTCTTGGGCATCTTGATTTAGGTCTTACCTGCCTAAGTAGGTACTGGCAATATTAGCTTAGATCTGACTCATTTACCCAGTTTGGGGTTAGTACCTCAACAGCAAAGGCCGGTGGACCATCAAATCTTGCTTTTACCACTTGATCTACGATCTGGTTTGCCATGTCTTGCACAAAAATAATCAGGCAAACCATCGGCATGTATTATTCGGATGAGTCGGTTCTACGCGTCCTTGTTCTCAGCTATTTGCGAGGCTCAGACGTTCAGCTATGCTAGGCATTGGGCCCTATGTCTCAAACCTCGTGTTATGGCAATTATCTGCTGGGTGCTCATATTTGTTAGCGCTCATGTATCTTCACTTATAAAAACCATTTTGGTAGCAAGATGGATATAAAAGAGGCCAATGTCCCTCCCAGCTCCCTGGTCTTCTGGACAGACAACAACAGCACAACGCTCCGAGTCATTTCAATTCAATCCGACCCATAAAATCTCCTCTCAAGAAGCCTTTCACCAAAGAAACTTATAATTCAAACAAAATGCGTACCTCGTTCACCATTTTCGCTGCCATTAGCGGCCTCTCTTCCCTGGCCTCCGCCGTCGGCAACGCTGTCGTCGTCAACACATGCTCATTCCCCGTCTACCTCTGGTCCGTAGACTCTGTCGTGAGCCAGCAATACACTCTTGAGCCAGGCGACAACTACTCCGAAACCCTGCACAGTGATCCCACAACGGGCGGTGTAGCCATCAAGATCACCACCGTTGAGAACGGCCTCTACAACGCCTCCCCTCAAACCGACTATGCCTACTCCTTGACCAACGGCGAGACCTGGTACGACCTTTCTGATGTCTTTGGAGATCCATTCTCTGGCAACTCACTCACGATCACTCCCTCGGATACTTCTTGCGGCTCTGTTGACTGGCCCAGTGGAACACCACCTGCTGGTAGCCAAGTCAATGTGTGCCAAGCAAACTCCGATATCACTTTGACCCTTTGCTAAATGATATTCATCGTCGATTCATTATCTTTGCATTCGGTTCCTGTGGTGGTGTTTGATTCGTCGATTCGTTGGGGGAGAAGTTCTCTTGTTACGTGCGATTAAACACACCATGCCGCATCCGATATATAAACCATCAAGTCATTCCTTAACGATATTTCGAGCGTCTCTTGAAATCATTGTGTGCGTTAATTTTTTCTGTATTAGAAGTCTTTGTTAGTTTAATACACGAATATCACGCTCAGGCGTTCAAACCGTTGATTCTCGAGTCCTCACTGTAGTGTACTTACTGATGACATGAGGTATAATCCATCCTTCCGATGGCTAACTTCCATGTCTGTACCTGGTCCAGACAAATTATGCACAACGACTAGAAATTGATTATCGAACGGTAAGATATTATGTGGGATGCAACAGGCATGACCTAAGTGCACAATGATTAACTTCATTTATTGATTTCAAAGCCGTAGTTCAAAGTGTGACAGGTCCGAAAGGGGACGGTACCTTTTCTTTTCACCGTCTCGATTTTGAGATGCCTTCGCGACTTAATTGTTATTCGGAAAAGGAATGAATCAAGGGTCAAGCAACGAAACGATTCACTAGTCCTTCCTCTCAGGGCTCAGACAGAGAATGAGTTAATTCCCACATAATTTACTACTTGCACTTTCGTACTCATTTCCGGATGCGTAGTCTAAGAGGAGTGGAAAAACTAGATGAAGAGTTGATCCGGCACAATCCGAAAGGATTTAACTTCCGAGACATCCAGCTTTGTTACGTTGTCGTATCCTAAAGTCCTAGCGCTGCATACCTTTTATGGAGTGTTTAGGTATGAGTAAAGGGCGAATATGGCTCSAAGTCTACACGTTCATTAGCTAGTCAGGGGKGGGTACAGGCCTTTCTGGTTACACCATAATCGCTCAGTTGCAAAAGCGACCGGTCCGATGTCAATCAATGGAACAGTGACTCGTGCTTGACTACAATTTCTCAGGTAAATATTTAGAATTTTCAAGCGAGTCAAGCAGTGTAGTGGGGCCTTGCATAGAAGCGGTGATCGAGTTGTTTGTAATTCGTGCTTGTGTTGAGTCTAGGTAGCATAGTTCATGCGGATTAAGCGAAAAAGTAAAATAACTAGAAAAGGTTGACGATGAAGGTGAAGAAGATCCACGCCCAAATGGGTGTGAACTAAGATAACAGAGAGATCAATCAAAGTATTCACTAATATCCCTATGTACTCCGTACTCCGTGTGCAACACTTTTAATCGGAGTGCAGCATATTCGTCAGCCTTCCGCTAAAACAGGCAGTGCTATTTCGGATGTTATCCGGATATTAGGAAGACTCCGCAAGAGCCCTGATCCTTGCCTTATTTTCTTGCGCTCCGTGAAGTGGCAGATTATGGGTAAGAAACACGACGAGAATAGATATTCAGTGTCCGGTCTATTATCCAGTCAGTGTTGCAATGTCAAAGCAACTTACCGATTCGTATTTCGCAGTGGCAAATAGTACTTCATACGGATCACTCGACATTTGTATCGCGGTTTGTCTCGGGACGCTGTGAAGGTTGCACGTATGTAGGTATCACCCTAAAATGCACAAAATTTTCGATTTATCGATGACAATGCGTAGGGACACGCGGTTTCTGCTTATCTATATATCCACAGCCCTGGAATACAGCTCCTACACTATCTGTGAACTTTCGCATTGTTGGTAAGTCCCAAGATTACGAATCTAGCTATCTTTTCATGATAAGAGCTGCGGTCTATCGTCATCTTAAAAAATTAACGAGCATTTCCAAATTCGGGAGACTTCTCATGTAGATCTCGACTCAATATTGGATAGTCTTTGTATAGTGCGGAGCTACTGAATGGCGTCTCTCCACATGGCCCGTGCATTGTTTCCCCCTTTCTTCATCGGTTCAAGCTCCAAGAAACCAGGAAACTACGAACCAACCAAAAGCATTAATGGTTAGACCTTTTAAGGCTCGCGTCGAAATCATTGAACCCACCGCCGCATTTTCAATCAAGCCGGGGTGCTTCCCAGTTTTGTTCTCATCCCATCGCCTTGCAAACTGTTGTTATTGACCCCGCCGATCATCTGCAATCAGTAGGAATAAGCGAGCATCGTTTGATTGTAAAAGCTAGAGCAATAACTGAAGATTCCGGCTTTAGGAAGTCCTGAGTCGTGGCTCCTGTAAACACGACTTGTTAGTTGTTCTCATTGTCGTGCAGAGTCAGCGATCCGGCAACACCCAATTAGGGGCTTTGCAACGCTCCGAGGTTCCGAGGTTCGTTCGACGCCTCCGCTTGAAAATGGACTGCTGAACTGGAAAAGGACATTGACTAGTCATTCAACTTTGTATTATTTTCCGTGGCTATTTGGGGACACTAATCCAGTCAAAAACCGACTGGCAACAATGCAAAAGAAAAAGAGCGGATCATGCAGGAGGATGAGCTGGCTCGTGTTTAGCTTTGTGCCAAATGTAGATCCCATTGACCAGGATACACGATAACCTGCCTGCCTCATGCAATCCCACAGCATTCTCGGAGTAACAAAATGCAAACTGACCTTTAATTTCGGCTGTTAATCCATCAAACCGGACCTCGGGTCGCACTTCCTTCAATAGTAGCCATCGGAGGCTTAATAGAAATTTGTGATCCGTCTCGTTTGCCCGCTATGTCCGGTCGTAACGGCGACTTGCACATTGTGCATATGCCATATAGATCGTCGGAGTCACACTTGGCGAGGGCGTGGCATGTCCACATCGACAAGCCTAGACTCTGTCTTGGGTGCATGACAATGCAGGTACACGCGTTTATCCTTTCTCTATTATATCGTCGATATCAAGCTACTCTTAACTTCTCAACTACTATTGGCCGGATGTTTGCACATTCTCCGTAATTGATCTGTACGACTTGGCTGAATGCATACTAGAAGTCGGTTTTATCCATAATCCAGTCCAGTTCAGTAAATAGACTAAGCTTTGGACTCTTTGAGCCCGACTCGGGCAAGCCCTAATCTTAACGCCCGAATGGACAATCTTTCTCCTTTCTCCTCCTAGGGGCCGAGGGCCAGGTCTAACTTTCTTGAATTGTCAGTAGGATCCAGTAACTACAAAATAGCATTCATTCCCACGCTGTCCGGACTACTTTCTCTCTTCTCAACCACTCAAGCTCATTCACTCCAGTCACTCTTTCGACCCCAAACTCATCTTTCGTTGGCGTTAAGCAACCACTCGTTTTTGCGATACCCAGCATCCGCTCTTTGCTTTGAAAATACGATCTAATTCGACTATCACTTCTTATTCTCGAAAGTTAATACTTTACTCAATAATCACAATGAAGAACTCCGTCATCCTTTCCGGCCTTGCCCTTGCCGCCTCTGTTGTTGCTCAAGAGAGCCTCATCAGCATTCCTATAGGCCTCTGTGCCGGTATCCTTGGCGATGCCACCTGCGACCAGTCTACATCTGCTGCTGGCGGATTGATCGATGTCCCTTTGAACGCCTGTATCGCAGCTCTCGGAGACGTCAAGTGCAATCAGGTTTCCAGCGCCTCAGGCGACCAAAGCTCTTTGATCAGCGTGCCCATCAACATCTGCATTGCAGTCCTCGGCGAAGTTACTTGCAACCAAAAAGCTTCCGCTGGCGATGGTCTCATTGATATTCCTATCAACCTCTGCCTTGCTGTCTTGGGAGACGCTGACTGCAAGCAAAACAACGGAGGCGCCGGTACTGGCAAAACGACCTCTGTCGTTGGTACTGCTACTGTTCCCACCACTGGCATCCCTACTATCACTGGCTCTGGGGTTGTCACTAGCATCCCCACTGTCCCGGCAGTTGTTTCAACCCGCGCCGCTTCTACTTTCACTTCTTACTCCACTATCAGCGGCCCTGCTCCATCTGGCGGCTCTGCCACTGGCCCTGCTATTGTTGTCCCTCATACCATTGCTAGCTCCGTCGTTCCAGGAGCTGCCACTACCTCCCCGGTCGCCGTTGCGCCTGTCGCTGGTGCTTCCAGCACCGTCTATGTCGTTGGAACCAGCACAACCACCTACTGCCCCGGAAACACTGCTCCTTCTACTCTCATCCCTGCTCCTAGCGCCCCTGCCGTCGCTCCTACAGGCATCGTTCCTCGCCCATCCAGTTCGACAACCGGTGTGACTCCTGCCTTCACCGGTGCCGCTGGCCGCTTGGAGATGTCCGGTATGGCCGTCGCCCTCGGTGCTATGGCCATCATTGGATTCCAGCTTTAAAATGCTACGAGTCAGTTGAGTTTCGGTCAACTCTTAACGTCATTGTATTAAAGGTTCTGGCATTCATGCCTGTTCATAATTTATTGCTTGAACCTCATAATTAAACAATGTCTTTTCCCTTGATCGCACTTTCCCTCTCTACCATGCTGGGCTAGCCAGAGTAACGTCTTCTTTATGGATATTGTTTAATACTTTATTTTGCCTTTCTTGATTCTATACCCTTTCGACCATGCTATGTCTAATACATGAATGAGCTACGCATGTGGGTTGTTTTTGTGAGCATAACTTTATACAAACGGATATAACGCCCGTCACATTGATGCATGTCAAGTCTTGTGATCTTCTGTATTTTATCAACATCAAGGTTTTCGGCGCGCTATTTTCCAATATTCAATTCTTCTTTCAACGACCAAAAGCCCCTCTCCTTTCGTGTCACTTTTTGATATATTACTGTATTCTAGTCTTACTATTAGCATGCTACTATTAATTTGTATTTATATTAGCGCATTGATGATAACACTTGTGAATGCTATTGAGATTTCAGACTTCTACGTTGAAATTTGTCGTTTCACATGGACATTCAGGGATGGGTTATGTGCGGTTTGGTGCAGTTCTAGGAGCTTATATATTTACTATATCTGAATGGTCTCTCGGTCGGTCCACCGGCATTCAATGTTCAATAGCCCAGACTATGTCAAGGGTAATTCGGTCGACTTCTTCATCATGTAGTCCGTACCACGACAAGTTCCTTTAAATACACTAGCCGTTGATGGCAGCAAGAATAGTCCAGAGGCTCAAAGGGTAGCTTCACAGCGCAGCCATCATAAAACCTTAATTATGTATGTTGCTCAAAACACTGAGAATCTGACCCTCGTTCCCAACGGAACTATGTTATGACCTTCGTTATATGCATGCTTCGAACTTCTAAAGACTCTGTCAAGTAAACTGATGGACCCGAACTACATGGCTACGGAGGTTGATAGCTACATCTTGAGGAAGGGTATGCGCAAACCATACCAAGTCTTCCGAGAGACCAAAGCCCGAAGGGAGATATTGACTGCGAGACTTTTGGCAGTGTTCTCAATGCAGTCACTACGGAGATCAGCGATGAAGCTCTTGACGAGCAAATTCGTAGTCATACTGGGTAAGCCGAGGAATACCCTTCTTCATTCCAGGACTTTATGCTAATTATTCATTTGTTAACACAATGTTTCATACCGCCTGCGATCTATCAGTGGTTAGACTAGTGTACACTTCAATGCGAGTAAAGAGTGTGGACTGCCTCTGGGTTGTAGATGCCACTGTTATTTCTCTATCCCTGGCTGGGCATCTTCAGAATTGTGTCTATGCCATGGCAGAGCAAGCTGTGGATATCTTCTTTATAATATTACTAAATCGGATCGCGTCCATATAGACGATGTTTGATACGTTCATGTCGTCTCAACGCAATTTAGGCTTCTGTAACGCACTTTGATGAGGTGTTATGATACGTACGCTCATGACTGGTTAAACCCCTCGAATAAAGGAAGCGAGGATGCAAGGCCGTGCTGTGCGCCTACACTTGCTATTGGTCTGACTGGAAGATTTTGGCATCAAATTTCTCATATGTGTGACAAAATCGACTCCTATGCTCAGTATACTCATATATTCGACTCTGGAGTAAGGGTTATTTTGCCTTTGAGTGGACAGTGTGGACACTGCCCATGTTTAATTGCTCACCCCAACACCTTCACCAAATTTACATATAGCTCTCTATGCTTTGGATATTCGAGCAAAAAAGCAGAGAATAATAGATCACAGTTGATATCAATTTTACTTTCATTTAAGCGCAAATACAAATCCACTGTCTTGCAAGACTAATAGCGGTGTATAAACAAATCGGCATACAAACATAAGAAAATTTCGGACAGTTTGAAACAATTTCAATATCAAGCTCATGCCATTGAAATTAATTTTCTCCGATTTGGTAAGGTTGGTAGTTGACCGAAGTAAACTTGACAGGTCTTATTGCCGAGGGAGACATGTAAGAGAGGGGAAAAGATAATTCGTTCTCCCTTGCAGCAATGTCTTAGGGCTAATTACCCGATCGGGACAATTTTGTCAGGTACCCATCTTAGCGCGCATGATGGGGCAGATGTGAGCCACAAGGTTATTAGATCTAGATCTGTCTTTACATAGTATGAAATAAAGCTTTGATTGGTCTACACTGAAGTGCCAATGAGAAGGAAGTGAGTGATTAGACCGGACGAGTGGCGACTCAATTATGTTCGCATCTCTTTAAGCGTAGTCCAGTGTACTCATATCGATGCCTGACACGTATATCTCAGTTGGACGTCGGGTATGGTGTACTCCGTAGGAGTCATTTCAACCTGATGGGGTGTCTTATTGCTTCCTCACAAACAGACTGGAGTGGTGGGACTTTTACAGGCTGCATACGGGGGAGAAGCATCTACATTGAACCCACTGGACCAATCTTACCAAGATCCACAATAGCTAAGGGTTCTATCCCAGTTTCTAGTTTGTTACATCCAGGAGTACCCTCCTTACTGCATAGTCCCTGAGCTCTAGATTTCAATCATACTACATGTGGCGTCTTTTATTGTTTTTGGCTAGGACAGACCCCTATCCCTGAGGCCTTTCTTGATGATTGGTGAATTACTGTCTTAAGTGCAGGTCTTGCTTGCCGAGAATGTGTATATAAAGACCATCAAGATCAACCTCATCTGATTATTTTTCATTATCACAAACAAACCAAGCAATTCACTTCGTTCTTCAGTACTATTCACTCGTTGACCAACTCGACACACTCGTTAATCAAACCCGTTAATTCATAACACAACATAACAATCAAAATGCATTTCAACTTTGCCTGTATCACCGCCTGCGTCTTCGCAGCTGCTGCTCTCGCAGTCCCCGTCGAAGTTGAGCGAAAGGTCGTTGTTGTCCGCGCTGATGTCTGCCCTGCTCCTGCACCTGCAACCACTGCTCCATCTCCGCCTGCTGAGCACTATTCTCCTCCTCCTGCTGCTCCTGCCCCTGCAACCACTGCTTCATCTCCGCCTGCTGAACACTACTCTCCTCATCCTACTGCTCCCGCTCCTGCACCCCCCGTTACCACAACAGTGTCTAACACTCCTCCGGCTCCGCAGAGTACTAGCGTCGACAACAAGCAATGCTCGTCTGGAACCTCGGTTCACTGCTGTGACACTGTTGACAGCACGGACAACTCGAATGTTTTGAATGCATTGGATTCTGCTGGTGTTGATCACTCGGATGCTACCCAGAAGGGCCAAGTTGGATTGACTTGTCAGTATCCTCATCAATGTGTGGTTTGGTCTATTAATTGATTTGTCAAAGGTACTCCCATTACCACCTCTCTCGTTGACGCTCTCAACGGCAACGTTTGCCAGGGTGCAGTCACTGCCTGCTGCGAGAAGACCAACCAGGTAAGCCGCTTCTTTTTACTGTTCCTTGCTCGTCCTGACACATTTTCAGGTCGGCCTCGTCAACCTCAACCTCGGTTGCACCATCATTCCCGTCAACCTTTAAATATGGGATTAGATGGAACCCACGTCGAGACCTCTCCGAAACACGAACCACGAAATCTCACGACGCACAAGAATTCAGTATAATCTAATACAACCGTGTTTTCCACATCGTCCTCGCAGCAACCCAAATGACAAAACCGAGACTTTCATTCAATTCATCACTGTGTACTAATTAACCTGTTACTCTCATTCAACAACGCCACAACTTCTTCGTCCATAATCCGGGGACTTGCATAGCCATATGTCGGGCCATTTTGTTTGTTATTTCATACTTTCGATTCTTCCTGCGGTTGTTCTTTTGACAACTATGCTGTTGTATTTTACATAGTGACTAGTCCTTGTCTACTTTTTTGTAACTAGTCAGACCGTTTCTCCAAACTATTTCGTTTGCCTCTGGTTACTTCTCTACATATTCCAAGTCCCTAATCTATATGTCATTCATCGAATAAACGATATGTTATGCACGTACCTTAAAATGAAGAAGAATAAAGCACAGAGCTCTGTTTCGACGCTCATCACATTTCAGTGCACGTCCCTCTAGTGACCTAAAGCCAGTAGTATGTGGAACATCGTGAAAACGGCAAATCGAATTTGATAAAGATACCGAAGTGTTTTATGCGAGTCTTATGTTTAGTTCTTGTAGTAAGTAGTAGCAACTCACAATAGACTCGGGGAAGTGGAATGATGATAAAAGTATTTTCTAATCTTTTGGTCCGGCTATACCAGACATCCTGGATAGTCTTGTTCTGACGGATTTTGAATTGTGTCATTGCCTTGATGTTGCTAAATTACACATATCATCAATCAAATTATGTACCAAGGTGTGCAAAAAATTCAAAAGAGTACGAGTCAAGATACTAAACAATTAACCCGGGAATCGATTCCTAAACGCGTACTATTATATGAAAGGTCCGCGCGAATGCGTCTATTCGACCACAGCTATATATTACATAAAACAACAAAAGAAATGTCAAGCCAACGTCTTCGGCGACACAGCTTGCTTCTCCTCCTCGCCAGAAATAGTATTTTTCTCACCTGAAGAGCCATTCGAATTACCCGAACGTTCAGAGCTATTACTTATCTCTGAATTCTTGTTGCGCAGCGACTGCTGACTGCTCTGACTCCCTCGACCTGTGAGCGTAGACGTTAATCCAACCCAGATCTTATCGTGAGTAACCTTGAACAACGGACGCATATTCGAAAGACAAGCGGCTGTGATACCAACTGCGGGCTCGATGCACGTCCACACCGAGCTCTGGACTTCGTTGTCTATGAATCAAATCAGCCATCGGCTTTTATGTATAAATCAAGTGAGAAGGGCAATGGAACGAACAGGTAGCATCAGTACCACTCTTCGACAAATCAATCAACGCCACAAGCCTTACAATATCGAACACAAAGGTCAATATACCCACCACGAAAATACCCGACAACAAACTCTTCTGCGTTTTCAAGATGGGCAATCCCCAGAGCACCTTCATCGGCATGACCAAGATAATCGCATCAGTCAGAATGTTAGGAATTTGCAGCCCGTAGTAGAATTTCGCCAAATCTAGACAGCCGCCGACAACGGTGGGATCCCAGAGTTTGCGGACGGGAATGCAGACCAGACCGCCAACGAGACACACCCCAAAGCCCCAGAGTATTACGAGAAGACCGACTGTGTAGACGAGGGCTAGCATGAGTTTTGTGGGGAAGAGGCGGCGGTAGAGGGCGAGGATGGAGAGTTTGATGCAGACGATGCAGCCGGTGTAGAGGAAGGAGCCGGTGAAGAGGGTCTATCATATCAGTACTTTGGAATCACATTACTGGTTTGGAGGGATGGCTTACTTTCTGGTATATGACCAGATCTTCGGCAGGGACGTAGATTATATGCTGTCCTAGTCCATGGTACAGAACTGTCGAGCCCATCAATCATCATCCACTCATATATTGATTAGATCAGTTGGAGGCACTCACGAACAACACCCGCAATTGAGATTCCATACTCAAACAACTAATTCAACTCAATAAGCCAAGCCACCCACCACATAAACACTTCTCTGCGTCCAGAACGGTACGGGTGTAACTTACCAACGCCCCTACGATGAAGAAATCGTCCAGATACAGTCCCTTTCCATTGATTTTCCTCGAAACCAATCGAAAGCCCACAGAGAATGTGGATAGTATGAACGCGAAGCAGGTAGCAGTGATAACGACATGTTTGAGGTTGTCGCGTGGATAACCTGCGAGAGGTGAGTTGGGGTCCATTAGTTGTGTTGCTGCTGTTGAGGAGGCAGATGGAGCTGTCATGGCTGTAGTTGCTGACATGGCTAATTATCTTTTGTGCTTATAATGCGTGATGTAACCCGAAGTATACTACCTATGGTACTTTCGACCGTGGTGCTAGGTTGTGGAAGGCTTCCACAGAGTCATTACCTTTGATGTACTGGATGATGTAGAGATCTATGTGTAGATCGTGTAGGGTTCTTTCAAGTATATATCTATTTTGATTTTCTTTCCTCGATTATCAGGCAACACAAGATCAGAGTCTAAGCTGATCACATCTGGCGGAGCTAAACTTTCTCTTCTGTGTTACGAGATGCCCTGAATGGCCAAAGAAATGACAGTCCAGATGGCGAAATCAATTATCGGAGCAACTATAGATTTGGTATGATATGCGTTTATAAGTCCTTAAGGTTTTGACATATGGGTTGTCAAACCCCGATTTAATGATCGATGTTCAATCATTGTTGCTCGAGGAGAAGAGTCTAGACTTTTGATCTGCGTTACGTACTTGCGCAGAAGAATTATCGATGCTACATCAGACCGAATACAAATTTTATCTTCTTTCATTTTTCGATCATGCCTTGGACATGACGCACTTAAAACGCCATGCTCATGATGTTGTACATGAACCCAAAGAAATGCAAACAAGTAAGCCGCGAACAAAGCAGTAAAGACAAACCGATTCCAAACGATCTGTATCAAAGTCCGAACTTGCAGCTACGCCTGCGGAAAGGAATCCTCGATCTATTCCCCATCGACGACAGGTCCCAGATCGATCCTCGATCAGCTAATTGTCAATCCACCCTTTCACGTTGCCTCACGATATACATTGACTTTTTATTGCCATAAGGTACGAGCAAGTCGACCAACTAACGTACGTATATGGAAGAACTTCGGCAAGGATGATCGCTCCCTTACATCCCACTATTTCCACATCAGGAAATAATGCGTTCGGCGTCCGCTGGATGCTGTACGACACATCCAAAGTATGCCAATCGGCATCGTCCGATAAAGATCTATTGACCAAGCGTTCAGTATTTTGTATCTATCGAAAATTTGCAATCTGATATATCGAGTTTTTAGTGCGGAGCATTTGGTTGCTCTGTCACTTTGGTGGGGTTGTGGTATGGAGGGTATGAGTCTGTGTGTTTCTGGGGATACATGTGTATTTTTACCTGATATATGGAGGTTTCTGTTTATTTGTGGCGACTTTATTGACATGACATTGATCTGTTCATCATTGATGGATTTGACTTGTCTCCATCGATTTACTGGTTGACGTCATCCTATCATGCCCGCAAATACCGATGAATCAGATATTACATCGTAGATTGAGCATTATACATCGAGATTATCAACTGTATATACATCGACCTTAATAAGAATACATCTCCGTCGGGAAGGTAATCTCAAATCTCAACGCTTCCACATCCATGCCCTCCAAAAGCATGGGATACCGATCAATAAATTCCGCCGTCAATCCCCATCCGTCCTCACTACTAAAAATCTGCCTGAAATCCTCTCGCAACTGCAGGTTGTCATCTGCATCGCGTTCCAGCATATCCTTGTTCCACGGCCAGCGAACCTTCATACAAGCCGCCAGAAAGTCGAATACTTCTAAGAAATCGATTTCGCCCCAGTGGCGAATCATGTTGACGCGCATCTGGGGCCATACTATCATGTCTATGCCGCCGAAGTGGTCTTGCTCAAGTTGGATAGGTAGGGGGTGCTGAAATGGCACGAGGCGGGCGAATGTTGCGGGTGTGGGTGACACGCGCCATTTACTGTAGGCGTAGAGCAAGTTGCCCAAGGCGAGGCATTCGGCGTCTCGTATGGCGCGAAGTCGGATTGAGTCGTGGATATAGTTTGCAAGGAAGTTGCGACGCGTGCCGTGCAGTAAGTCCAGAGGCGATGGTTGTAAGGGGCAGGGAGTGATTCGTTCTGGGTGGAAGAACCAGCGTGACGATATCAGAGGAAACACGCGTGTGTTGTTGGTTTCGTAGGTGTTGCGCGGGACTCGACACCAGGTGGGCACTGAGGATGATACAGCGGGTGGAGAGGGGAGATGGATTATTGGGTGTGGACTTGGGGGATGGTTTTGTGGTGAGCATATTGAGCCTGCGAACTGGTAGAGTGATGTCGGTACTGTCGGGGCTGGKGCGCCGAATAGAGGCGCSGAGCCTGCTCTACTAATTGACATTGCCGATGGGCTGGCGACAGTAGATGCAGTGAAATGAGTATTATCAACAGCGGGACTGGAAGAAGTCCGATAATCGATCTCGGACACTGCGCGGCCTCCATATAAGCCACATGAAGCCCTGATCCCACGTTTTTCGTCATGTCGTTTTTGCATCTCCTTAGGCTCAAGAACTTCCTGTTCATCGCCTGAATTCCACGACCCAACCATCCGGCGCAGACTCTCCTGCCGCTCGCGCAAGCGATTATTCTCCAGTCGCAATTTCTCCACCGTATCAAGCAGCTTCTTCACATCATGAACCTCATCCTCTTTAATCAGTGGTTCAATCTCGGGTTGCGCAGTTTCTGCCCCATGATTCTCTTCACAAAAAGCTACTCGCGCTTCCAGTTCCAGCATACGATTTTGACGTTTTTCGCGCAAAGTCTGCTGCGCTTTCCTGTCCCGCAGCCGCTTTTTCTCGGATGAAGAGAGCAAGCTGGTGTTACGAGAAGTGGACATTCTGACAGCTTGCCTATAGAGGTATACGCATACTCTGTGCGACTATTGCTAGTACACTGCCTGCTGTGATTGACGTTGGATACAGTCTGGTGATGTTCTTGGACATGATTATTCATTCAGGTTGCGGTCGGCACTAAGCCCAATACGATTAAGCTACTACAACCTAACGAACCAGGCATTCGGATCGTGCTGAGTCAGCAAGCATAATTCAGTGCTCAATTCGGCATCTTTTTGTTCCGATGCCGCAGCTTCCGGGTTATATTAGAAAAGGGGAATCTTTAATTAATGTCAATACTACATGATCTAATGCTTTGATATCTAAGTGCAACACATATGAAAGAAGAAAGAAAGAAGAAAAGAAAGGACTAGTATTTATCCAGATCAACCGGATACTTCTCCCGGATCATCTTCCCATACCGCGTAAATAGAATCGGGATCGGCACAAACGCCAATGCCAAAAACCCCAGTAACGAATTCCCCCATCCCAAGCCCAGCGCATTAAACATGCTAGGTCCAGCGAGTGGCAGGAGCGCCGCAAGCAGTGATCTCGTGGCTGTCAGACATGCTACTGCCGAGGCAGCATATACCTGATACGAATCAATCACGTATGTCTGAATAGGCAGAAACAACCCCATCATGGCCAGACCGAAAGGGAACATGCCGATAATAGGCACAATCCAGTGGACGTGCTTGTCGGCGGACCAGCCGTACCAGAAGAAGCTGATGGGCGCAATAGCGGCAAAGATGATCATTGTGGGCAGGCGCATCTCGGGCTCGTACTTGCCGTTGTTGCTGTTCATCATCCTGAGCACGATGCGGTCGTTGGTGATGCCGACAATCAGCAATCCAACCAAGAAACCAATTCCGATACCAAGGTAGGCAAGACCCGATAGACCAGCTGAAAAGTTGTATTGGGTCTCGAATACGGACGGAATCGTGGTGAAGAAGAGGTAGAGTAGCGCATAAATCAGACTCATGTATACACACATGAGACAGACGATAGGCGATTTGCAGAAGAGAATGACAGGTCTTTTGAGACCCTGCATCACAACCTGCCCTGGCGTCAGACGATTCCGACTCTGCTCTTCAGACTCATATCCACTACGCAGATCATCCCGACCAAGCTCCTTTCCCAGCTTCTCCAACTTCCACTTGATGAGAACACGCGCATAGGTCTCGCGATTGAGTATCTCAATTCCTACCGACAAAGAACCCGCCACAATCAACAACACCCAATAAACCCATCTCCAACCAATGGTCTCGCCTATGAACCCACCACAGATAGGTCCAGCAACCGGCCCCATCAACGGACCCATACTCCAAAGCGCGGTTGCTCTAGCCCGTTCTCTCAAGGGAAACAAATCTGCAATCACGCCTGCGCCTAGTGTGAGACAACCTGATCCACCGATACCAGCCAGCAGCCGAAAGACGACAAGAGCCGAAATGTTGGGAGCGAGAGCACAGCCAATCTGCCATACGACGAAGAACCAGTTTGCGCAGCTGAGAACGATTCTGCGGCCGTATATTTCGCTTAGCGGTGCTAGAAAGAGGGGCCCAAACTTGAATCAACAATTAGCACAGTATCTTCTGGGCGGCAGTTGAGAGACAAGACTAACCGTATAGCCGAGCAAATAGATTGTAACACTAAAAGAAAGCAGCGTCTCATTCGTGACCTTCAGATCTGCCGCCGCATCGCTCACTGCAGGCGCAAACATGCTTGACGCCAATGGCGACACAAGCGTCATGGAACTCATCAGAGCTAGGAGGCCCCATTTGCGTGACTGGGCAAAGTTTTGAGGATTGGCGGGATCTTCTTGGGAGTCCCAGCCGACGATGCCTTTGTCGAGGTCCGTCACGGGGTATAGGACGTCTGCAGATGGGACCTGTTCTTCTTCTTCTTGCTCTCCTTCTTTTTTGCCAACTTGGCCGTCTTTTGTGTCTGTTGTTGCGTCTGCTGGTGCGGCATTGTTTGATTCAGAGATCGATGGCTCGCCAGTCCCGGTCAGGGTCTTCTCATCGAGAGAAGTTCGTTGACTTTCGAGGTCCTGCATCTTGATGACTTCGTATCCTGTCTATCAGTTTCTTGCCTCCAGAGTAAAGAAATTTGAAAGAGTGAGCAGCAACCAACACTCTTATATACCATCCCCTGAACGGGTTCCAGCAAAGAACTACATTAGAAATCAGACTTCATCTCCTCTATTTAGGCTCAGTTACCGATGAATCAGTGCCGGCGTTCGGAATCCCCGACCTACATCATTTTAATCGTACTATGACCTATCAGGAAATACATAGAGCCAAGCTAGCCCATAATCAAATGCGATGAGTAAGAGCTGCATCTTGGTCGTCTGAGCCCTAGCATAAATGCGCCATCGGCTCAGAAACCCGATTCACTCAGTGTTCAGCGAGCACAAAGCCGGATTTCATCCTCCAACGCACGGAGTTGGATCATCGAATCAGAACGCGATAAGTGCCTGAAATTACGAATAAATCCCTACAGAAAGTGCGGAGAAACTAGTACACTACGCCGCGATTCAGCTCGGCAGGACGGATCCCCCGCGCACTGAATCAGTGGTCTCCGGGGATTTGATTGGTGGGATGGAATCAAGATTCGGAAATGCCATCTATTGGATTATGCGAGATTCAACCAGAACTGTTTTTCAAGGGGCATGGTTTGAATTTATTGATGCTATTATGTAACCTTGTTCTTGTGTTTTCAATTAGGCTGCATGGAGATTTGTTCGTTGTGAATCGAGACTCTAGATGGCTAATAATGGTACACCCGGACCGCTTGCTCATGCTTGCCATGACCGAAATCACGATCTGTGCAGTGCTCAATGTACGTATATACATAATGCCATCGCTAAAAATCACCTGCGGAGCACAAAAAGAATGCAGTTTCCAAGGTCGATTGGAAAGACTCAGCCTTGCCACTATTGACATGTTATATATCGTCCACATTATCAACAGCCAGCCTTATGAATGTATGTCGGCGCCTATCAAATGCAACATTCCAAGGTTGAAGACGCAAAGACAGACCAGGTCAAGGTTTAAAAAAGATAATTCTAATTGCCATCAGTTTATACCTGCTAGAAAGCTATCAGCGTTCACCAATCTTGATATCAGATTGTTCGGCACGAATCCCGAACTTACCGAAGCAGCTCTGATATGCAGCTTCGCCGAGATACGATCCGACTTCAGATGATACCGGCACGACTCAAGCAGGATACATGGAATCGCCTTCTAGTTGGTCAGTAAGCTAGTATATAGGATATATGCGTGCTATCAATCTAATTCGCCCAGTCATTCGATATCTGCGAAGTAGTAAGTACGTTAGTACGCGCTTTGACTCTATCGGCTTGGATCTGATCTTGCCGATCTGTATATATAAACCTACCAACCTTCACACTTTATCAAGAATCGATACCATAGATCATCAAAATACTCTTTCCAACTACTATTCGATATCATATCCAACTATCCTGTATATTAAGCAAAATGCCAACACGCGCCGAAATCGACTCCCTCCCCCTTTCCCCCGCCCACAAAGCGCGCCTGCTATGTCGCCACAACATCGTAGAAACCACATCCGGACTCGCAGGCGACTACGTGCAAGCAAACCTCATCGTCCTACAATCCGACTACGCCAATGACTTCCGCATGCTCTGCGCCCGCAACCCCGTACCTTGTCCGATTCTGGGCTGGACGCCTGTGGGCGATCCGCGACGGATAATACCTACTTCTCCAGGCATATCAGTTATCGATGAGAGCGCGGAGAGCGATTTTGATATTCGCACTGACGTGCCGTACTACAACATCTTCCGCACCATCAATGACACCAACCAACCAGGCAAAAAGAAGGTGGTGATAGAAACAAAATCAGACCTCCTCGCCGACTGGACACCTCACCACATTGCATTCTTAATCGGCTGCTCATTCTCCTTCGAGCAGGCCCTGACTCAATCAGGGTTGAGAATCTGTCATCAAGAAGACTCGCGCACAGTCGCGATGTATCAGACCAGTATCCCTTTACTACCAGCCGGAATCTTTCATGGGAGTACCTTTGTGGTGAGTATGCGGTTATACAAAGATGACGAAATCGAACAAGTCAGAAATGTGACCAGGCCGTATCTGGCTTCGCATGGAGAACCGGTTGCTTGGGGCTGGGAGGACGCAAAACGCATCGGCGTCAATGATTTGGGGAATGTGGATTATGGAGACAAACAAATTGTGAGGGAAGACGATGTTCCTGTCTTTTGGGTATGCCTCTTCTATCCTGTCTGATTCACACTACAAATGGATGTTTTCCAACGTTGGGTAGCTAACGAGGGATATAGGGCTGCGGCGTCACGCCTCAATTCGCAGTCGAAAAAGCGCTTGAACGAGACGCCATTGCAGGAACGGTCATGGCACACAAGCCGGGACACATGCTGGTGACGGACTGGAAGACGAGTGATTTTCTGGCGCATACGAGGATGCAATTAGGTTTGAGCATGGAACATTGAAGTTCTAGGCATTGAGTGTATTATGTGAGTGATGACGGTTCGGTTAAGTACTTCGTACGAACCTAGGTATCAGATGATTGATGCCTTCGGCTCGGCATGGCATGATCTATCACGATCAATACATGCACATACTACATAGATGATGTATAGATAATGCAATATACATACCGAGACAGACTTGGTAATATGTCAATACGTACTGAAAATGTCTGTTGGTATTACGGCTGAGCCGTGGACCGCCTCCCGTGGCCGCCCACTCTGTCGGGCGCTGTAGTTGGCTCGATTGGAAATCCGAAACATCGTTCCCCTGCAGTACCCATCGTTCCCGAGCGCTGAAACACGCTTGGTATATTTCGCGATACGTACGGTCACTACGGCGTGGTTCATTATGCCAATGTCGCCTTGGTCGAGTCATTAATCAAGCAAGATTCTATCTGTGAATTACAATTGTTGTGTTATGATTGGTTGTAGCGACTACATGTCAATTGTAGCCGAGAACTAGGCACTACAAGCGAGCATAAACAAAGAACACCCATTCTCAGTACAAACATACATAATTACGCACCTCCTTTAGTAAATATGACCAGACCCGCATGAAACTCATACACGGCACGTGGCTCGGATGTCTCCATCCTGGCATACCAATCACGGTGCTCATTGTTAGCTGTTGAAATGCCAAAGAGAAAAAGTGCGGGCTCGACTTGGACATGAAAATTTTGCATGTCAAAGAATACGTAAAATGAGAGAACACGCATCACCTTCCTAGTCAAGGAATCCATGCCCAGCTCACCGACTTCAACGCTGTCAACGGTCACAGCTCGGTCAATGAAGACTACAAATACACCAGCTAGAAGCTGACAACGGAAGTATTTAGCGGTTTTGACATGCATTCAGCCATATCTTGCTTCCTAGATATCTGCAATTTACATAGCCAACATGGCTGAACTTACCATGAGTGTGTAGCACTGATTATGTAGCCATGTAACTACACCCTACATACAAACTCGTATGCTGACTGCTGCAGGATTAAGAAGGTTCTTCTACTGTATGACGGTATGTACGCATGTAGTAGTACAGAGAAAAAGAAATCACGAGCATGCTGATCGCGGCGGTTAAACCTACAACGGTCAGGGCGATCTCCACCGTTCATATCCTGTACCATACCGTCGTACGACCGAGTATTAGATACACAGAGAGAAGATTTGATTCGTCTTGGGGCGCCGGTCTGTGTATGCAAACTGTATGGATTACTCAGAGCGGCTTAGCTGATACAGGCATACTGAAAAGGGTAAATAGAGTAATCCAATACGTATTTAGAGATGGTGACATATTCGTGTATTGAAACATACACTTTCCGCCCCCCCGTATTCCATACCCTGCTCTCTGCAGGGATTTGTCCAAGACTGATTTTTGAGCATTCGTCGACATGCCTATTTGAGAGTCTGGGGATATAAAGAATCAAATTCCATTGCAGATGATTTTCTGTTGATCATTTGCTCGTGCAGGTATGTATATGGCAGTCAATGCACCGTTTCATGCCTACCGATGCTCCGTACGCGCCTCGAACCGTTGAATGTATGATATTACCTGAGAAATATACACCGTTCAACGGTTCAAACTTCAGTCAGAGAATACCGGGATGAAGATCGGCAAGGTGAAACATCGTTATCGTCTTGCTCCCTGGCCAAATACCAAGAATTCAAGAATCCGTACGGCGAGCATGATAGATAATATGGAGTCAAATCTCCTGACTCGTGCTCAAACCTCTCTCTTGACCATGCTCCGTACCCATCGCATGTCATGTCGATTCTGGACAGTCGCTCCGGCCATCTCTGACGGCTGCCGATCTTCAGGGGGCGGCGTTCGGGTGGATCTCGTCAAGTTGGTTGGTGCCAACTTGGCACTCTCTACATAACTGCAGTTACTTCAAAAGTTTATTACTCTATACGTAGTGAAAGTACATAGTAAATAGCGGCTACTCCGTAAGCGACGGAGCGTAAGCCTAGCTAAGCCATGATTGTATCCATGTCCGAGACGATCAAGGCAAGCCACGAATTCCTGCCGAGGAACTGTTTTGCCTGGGCCTGACATTTCAGGGACAATCCTAGTATGCATACGGAGAAGATTGGTTTCGTGTCTGCCACAATCACGGGCGTCAAATAGTGTACATATAGCTCGAGTGAATGTGATGCAAAGTTCGATATGTTGATCGGATCGAGGATGTCGAAAAAGCAAAACGTGGCATGGGCGTATTATTACTGTATTGGTAATACCGTTATCTCCTAGGTACTACGTACGATACGATGTAGATTACGAACTGGAGAACCCTGTCAGTACGACCTTGCGCTGTTCTTGTTGTCTGTTTATTCAGCTTCCTTGTTGTACAAACATGCTGCGCAACATTCTCGTCTACTCGGCTCTTGATTAGAGTCATCATATACATATACAACCTGTACATGATGTAGGAAACTCCTCGTGGACGCTCGGCATGGACCTTTGCCGCGTGGAAACCAATGTCAAGTGTATAGTGTAAACTAGCACAAACGCTAGCCCGTCCGTGCAGCCAGGTACTTTCTCAAAACAGTCAAGCCAAATGTGCATGTCAGCAAGTCGGATTCATCCAACCCAGCGCTAGTCGACTCGTGCAGAGCTAGACAGCTTTATTCACCTTCTTAAGTTGTTAGTTGACTTAGCTAGGTTGGTAACCTAGAATTGACTCTAGCCGAGTCCATGTGGTGGTGACCTTCTCCACTCCGTACTGTACTTACAAACCTTTCCCTTCTTCGTTACCACTGTTTCTACTCAACACTGGACGTTGCACGGAATGTTCTCTTCCTTCAAACCACTTCATCGACTGTCGCTACTGTTCGTCTAATTCTTCGAGATCATCTACCTGCAGAGGGTACAACGCAGACAATCGCATTGTCTGACAGCAGCGTGGCGGAGGACGACTATCGATACCGAGGAAAGGGAACAAAGAGATCAACATCAACACGAACATCTGACAGGTAAGATCATACTATTCTACTATCGAATCGATCGTCAATCATCAATCGTCATTCATCCGACACTGGATACTGTTCGTCTGCTCTTTTCTACATTCATTCATTCTTCATTCCATCTCTGCAAGTCTCTTTTCCAGGAGGCTCTCGTCCAATCAATCACAATTACACCGAAAAAAGGAATTTTCTCGACTTTGCTTCGAAAGTCTTGGATGATACCCTGCCTGTTTCAGTCATCGGAATGCACTCAATCGTTGTACCTGCCGCATGGCATGGCATGGGCCAGTTGGCAAGCAGCGGAGTTGAAGAAGACGTCTTGAAGCATACTTACATAACGTGTACCACCCGTTGCATGAATTCTGACTTTTGCACATCCCTCCCTTCCCTAACTCGCCGCAATGCTTTGCATTGCCATGTGTCGAGTGCTATTCTAGCTGTTTATTTTTTCTTCTTCTTTTCTTGCAGAAAATTTGTTTTCCTTCAATTGTGTGGACGTCGGTCAGCGTCATCTCGGTCGCGACTAATGCGATTTCAATGAGTTACAGATTCGTCTACGGCTCCAGTCTCGTTATCCCTCACTCAAGGCCGCGCATTTGCGCCGCTTCCACGTCGGTTATCAAGCGCGGATCGATTGCCTGCAGTAGTGCATTGCATCGAACTATCTCCTAGACGATTGATTGCGAGGTGAAAGAGAGTCGCATGTGGTGGGAGTACGTATACCAAAAATCACTTGATCACAACTACCCGCGCCATGGGTTGCATGAATTCCAAGGTCGAGGCGGACGACAAGGAGGCCGCCAGAGTCAACGCCGGTATTGAAAAGCAGATTCGCAATGATAAAAAGACATATGACCGAACGGTCAAAATGCTCCTGTTGGGTATGTTTGTTACGTTTGCGATGCGATAAGTTGCTGACACGTCGTAGGAGCTGGAGAGTCGGGCAAATCCACCATCATCAAACAAATGCGCATCATCCACTCCGGCGGATTCCCAGATGACGAACGTCGGCAGAATCGTGCGGTGATATACTCGAATTTAGTGGTGGCATTCAAGGTGTTGATGGACATTATGCAGACGCAGAAGATTGAGTTTGAGAAGGAAAGCAACAAGGTGTGTTTTATACTACCTCGAATCGTTCACCCTACTCTCGAATGATCTTGCTAAGTCGAAACCAGCCTTTAGGAGACCTTCTCGCCAAAACCGAAGCGGATGTCGACACCGACGAGGCCTTTACCGATATTGAGATTAAAGAAGCGATGACAGAGTTATGGAGCGATGGTGGTGTTCAACAAGCCGTTGCGCGAGGGCATGAATTCGCGCTTCACGATAATTTGCATTAGTATGTCTACCGGGCTGAACGTTATGTCAAGTCATGTCAATGCTAACAGCTACAGTTTCTTTAACTCGCTCGACCGTCTGTTTACACCCGGCTGGTTACCTGATAACCAAGATATGCTCCACTCTCGACTTCGCACAACCGGTATCACAGAGACGTTATTCGAATTAGGACAGCTTAATTTCCGCATGATGGATGTCGGCGGACAACGGTCCGAGCGGAAGAAGTGGATTCACTGCTTCGAGGGAGTACAGTGTCTGTTATTCATGGTTGCGCTATCCGGATATGATCAAAGTCTGCTTGAAGACCAGAACGCGGTATGTTTATTTGCTCTCTTGATGAAGAATGCAGCTGACAAGCGTAGAATCAAATGCACGAAGCAATGATGCTCTTCGAATCGCTGGCAAACGGCGAATGGTTCAAACGCAAACCCATCATGCTTTTCCTGAACAAAATGGATCTTTTCAAAACCAAACTCCCCCTCTCGCCCATCAACAAACACTTTCCCGACTACAGCGGCTCTGCTACGGACTTTGACACCGCTGCCAAATACTTCGCGGACCGATTCCGCAGCATTAATCGAATGCCGGACCGAGAGATTTATATTCATTATACCAATGCGACAGACACCACACTGCTTAAAGCTACGATGGATTCGGTGCAGGACATGATCATTCAAAAGAATCTGCATACATTGATCTTATGACGGTCAACCTCAAGCCCATAGGAAGTTGCGCCTTGGGCTTGTTCAGTAATCACCTCTCCATTCTTGACGTTTGACGTCCCTCCCACCTCAGTCTCTACGCTCGTCCTTGGCTCCGCATCTTCTCGACATCGACGTCGACAACAATCACGCCTTCCTTTCTCTCCTCTCGTGTTGTGAGCTTTACAAGATACCTTGTCATGATTCCACGCCTCTCTTATGCTTCAAATAGCATGCGACTCTCATTGTCACGTTCTCCTATTTTGGCTTCTTTGCAGGACCAGGCGTAACTTTCTTTCCTTTTGCTACGTTTCTAGCATGTATATTTAATCATCAGCCCGCAGGCTTTGTTTTTTCTTTGGTTGCTTCATAACATGTACAATGGGTGGTTGCGGGTTGCTCTGAGGTTGATCCCGAAATCGTTCGAACCTGGTGTATGCCAGTTATAGATAAGTAAAACGATGATGATATACTGATGTCTCGAGAATCTACTCCTTCAAGTAAAAATAAAGCCATCTAAAAACTTCATACAAACTTGTCTTTGAGGTGATGACACAGTCTTGGCGCTTACATAACCGTACTGCACCATCTGACCGCCTCATCGCCGCAGCCAAATTCGGTCACACGCTTCCGACTCTTCGCCTCTCCAACCCGTCTTCAACGGTTCAACCTCACCGAATACTCAGTCTGGAGTATTCTTAGGGGCACCTACTTCTCAGTCATGCTATCCTCATCCCTCCGCCGTGCCGTGCGCACGACGACCTCGTCGCATTCCGCGACAGCGGCAATCGTCGCTTTTCCGAACTTGCTCGTTCCGTCCGCCAGCACCAGTACCACAACTTCTACATCACGACAACGGAGAGGAGTCACTCAACACCAGCGTCGCTATTCTTCGTCGTCGAAACCGCCCGTGCCTCCCAACGATGGTTCAAGGCCTATTGATGCGTCGTCATCCTCGCAACAAGCGCCTGCCAATCCATCCGCGGGAAGGAAAGTGAAGGAATCTCAGGGACGAAAGGCTGGCGCCGGTGCTGCTGGTGATACTACGAAATCAAGACAGAGCTCTGCTGCACTGTTGAATTTGCCCAGCGTCCCGTCAACGCAGGACACGCCGATTGAAGGTTTGTCCTAGCCTAAAGAAAAGTTTTTTTGACCAGTTACTAACAAAGGTTTATAAAGATATCAAAGTCGCCTCATTCTTCTCCGTCCACAGACCCATCTCCGTCAGCGCTCCTGTTCCCCCCACAAGCACCGAAAAGGCCTTCAACGCCATCTTCGAAGCCAACAAATCCAGACGCGGAACCCGTGCCGCAGATGTAATCAACACACTGACCTCGGCCGTCGCATCAATGGAGCACGCAATGCACGGCCAAAACCCACAGAACAGTCTGCGTCATGCCGTAACGCAAGCATCAGTCAGCAACGCCGAGCCAGCAGGCCGAGTCATTCATCTCGACGAGGTGTCAGAGGAAGAGTTGCATTCTTCCATAGCAGAATTTGCAAGCCGATTGACGCCCTTCCAACCTCCCCCAGCTCCGGAACCATTCAACCCGGACGAAATCACACTCATCGAGTCGTCCGCCGAGCTTGCAAACGCAGACGCAGACCCCGAAGCAGATATTCGAACCTACTCCACCGTGCTCACAATCCGCGAAACCGCATATGCAGACGGCCAACGCACAATTGAAACATCCCTGTCTCCTTTGGTCCCCAGCGAAGAAACTGCCGCCATCGACGAACCCGCCGTAGGTGGTGGTGTGGGTGGTAAATCATATATTGAGCGCACTGTCAATAGGAGAATGTACACCATCTCCGTGCGCCGACAGCGCAAACTCAAGATGAAGAAGCACAAGTTCAAGAAGTTGTTGCGCAAGACGAGGACGTTGAGGAGGAAGCTTGATAAAGCTTAATCTCCTCTTTCCTTCCTTCGCGGTCGTTCCCCTGCAAGGGTCGTGGTGTGTGGTTAGAGCATTACATCGATAATTAAGCTAAATCTCCGTATTTATTCCATTCCAATTCCTATTCCTATTCATATTCATATTCATATTCAGAGGCGTTTCTTTCTTTTCATGTCTTGAGTTCAGTTGATATAGATGTCCATTGAACGTTATGAAATGGCTCTTTCACATATATACATCTCTATCGTGCTTTCGTCGAGACTTAGATTTCGAATACATACACGTCAAACTGATCATTCCATTCCACCGATCCTTTTCATCTATGTTCAGGTATATACAAACTGAGAGTATACAACGTCACCACCCCTCCCCATTCTATACCAGACATGTGTAGCTCTAGATTTATAAGATTCGATTGATTTATACTCTACATAGTCCCCCTTCCTTTCACATCGATGATTTGATAAATGTAATTCGAATATATAGAACAATACCAGAACACACGGAAACAGACACAACGAAACAGCAAAAGAGAAAAGAGCAATGACAAGATATAAAAAAGATGAAAAAGTGGGTTTTCACTTGCTTTACATTCACAGGTAAACCGTACTACTTACTCACCCTAGAAGGTCAGGAGAGAGTAGAATGGGCTGACTGTATGGAGATGCACGATTTCCTCAGTCTTTAGACAAGAGTAGAGGAGGATCGTTCGTTATTAGAGGATTGAGAAGTGTCTACATATGCGCGGATTGGAAGCATATGCAGATTTCGGCGGTTGAATTGAGTTTGATAGCGATGAATGCGGCGAGGTTGGAGGTGCATATCCAATCAATTCATTCAAATCAACCGTGCATGCATGCGTCATTTAGCATTCGCCGCGGGAGCGCGAGTTCATGAGTAGAGCGACGATGAGACCGTACAGACCTACACCAGTTAGACAGAACCAAAATATAATAGACGTAAAGGGGGACGGACCCAAAACTTCAGCGAAAATAAGAATAAGAATCATTCCAACATAAAGACGAGGCTGTTGAGCGGATCCACGGACACCGGCGTCACCGACGATACCAATAGCAAAACTGCCACAAGCACACCACATCAGCACATGTTCCACATGTCATGTCAGTAGAGGGGAACAGAGGCCTACCCAGCAGCCAAACCAGCCAAACCAACCGCAAGACCAGCACCAAGCTGAATGAAACCCGTATACAGCGGCAGACGCTGGTTCAAATCATTCGCAATCAAGACGGAGACGACAAGACCGTAAATGGCAATAATACCAGCCATGACGATGGGGACGATGTCTGATCATTTGCTGTTAGTGGTGACCTATTGGGCTGCAAGGAAGGGACGCACTTCGAACGATCAAGTCAGGTCGCAAAACGGCCATACCGCACACACCGACACCGGCTTTGGCGGTTCCATAGGCGGCGCCGAAGCAGGTGAAGACGATGGCGGAGGTGCAGCCGAGGGCGCCGAAGAAGGGCTGTCAGGTTATGTTAGTTGTTATGAGGTTGATGTTGTCGACTGTGATTGAGCGATCGGATGATTGGGGTACTAACCGCGTAAACCGGGCTGTGTCGTCATATTGTTAGCATTATTTTCATAATGTAGACAGAGTAGACAGCTGAAAGAGCTGCAACACTCAACAAGCACAACAACCAAACAAGCAGACGTCAGCTCCCGAGGACAACTCACCAAAGATCAGTAGCCATCTTGACGGTCGTTATTCACAGCGACTAGCTGGTGTAGATATTCTTATTTTATCGGAGCTTGAGAATGTTGGCTCTCAAGGGAAGATGGCAGTCGTCGTGAGAGCGATGATGAGGTGCTAGGTAGATAGATAGATGAAGCCATGCCGGTGGTTGAAGGTTCTTGATTTGATCAAGCTCCCCTGTCACGTGGTCTGGCTTGGCGTGCATCACCCACCGCCGACTCACCTTTTATATCGGATGTTTTTCGAGATCATTATTAATTGAGTGCTTTCAAAATGCTGTTTTTCTTATTACTGTTGAGTATAATTCACTAAGAAGGGAAATTTTTGTGGAACAGATGTTTTCATGGACATATCCACTGGTATTCTCCCTGCCGACAGATAATATATATCCCGAGTCTCATAAAGCAGCTTTTTCTCACAATATTGGCAATGCAGAGCTTGAACTACCCTAGCGCAGCATCCTATATTCAGACAGTGACAGTGACGCCAAAGCAGTTCTGCTTCCAGCTTCAGAATGTAATATCCCTTTGATCACTAGTGCTACTACTCCCCTTCAAGCATCGACAGAACAGCAAGTCTTATTTCCAATGCTACCTTCCTTTGTCGACGCTCTTATCGACAGTCATGAGGATTACATGTTAACAATTCATCTAGTGCATATGCTATCTTTACGAATACGTGCAGCAGCTAAAAGGAGGTGTATTTCGCGGAGTAGTTGAGGTATGAGCATCGCCAGTTTCACTTTGATATACTCGCCGGAGTGGCAATTGGTACCCATTCATTTAGAAGGCACTAGCCAGTCATTCGAGATGTATTAATAAAAGGTCAATATGTATGCGAGTGCTCGGCGCCTCAGGATGATAAATGACTCCTGCGGAACTAAATGCGCTAGATGATAGGATTGTTTTGCAGGTTGAGATGGGTTATATCTTGTCAACATCCGACCTGTAAGTTTAAGTTATAGACAACTAATGAATGAGCGTCTGTATAGACACTCTCCAAGGTTAGCTAGGCATAAATCCGTCAATTGACTCAAAGCTCCCCGCATAATATGCTAATATACATCTATTATACAAGAGTCAAGTACATTATGTAACCGACAAATCGATCCTCGACCCGGGAACGGAAATTTTCGTCTCACACGTTGATACCTGCGATGGATCCTTCTGGGAGTAGCTTATCGCCGATTCCGAGACCGCGCCAAAATGGTTCTGGATCACAACCACCCCTTCTGAAGTCGTGGAAGATGTCTGCGATTCTTCAGGAGATTCTACGCCAAATGAGTATGTAAGGGCACTCGACACAGAACTATCCTTATGGATTAATTCGTCCTCGGAAGTCACGAAGAATTGAATATAATCACCAGGTGTCGCTACCTGCGACAATTGCGCAATGTTTTCTTCAAGCCCAAGTCCTTCAAGAAAGTCTGGAAGGTCGTTTGTAAATGCCAGCTCAGCTTCTGTAGTCGATGTGAATACCTCGTCAAGCGATGTTTCGCGGGAACGACTTGCAGCTCCGAAAGTGGCCTCCGGGTCTAATGAGAGTAGACCTTGCTTCTTACCCCAACCCCCACCGCCACTGACCACGCGGTGAATCTTGCTTCCATTTGATAGTGAGCCTTGGATGTTCTGCTGAGTGGTAATGGTGGACGAGGATGCTGGCTCGACAAGCGCCCATACAGCCACTCTCTGATGTGGAATCCCACGTTCACTGACGTATCTGGGAAGTTCTTTCTCCAACTCTGAAGATGCTGGAATACCCGCGTTCAGATCTCCGTCATCGTTTGTAGATTTGGAAACTTGTCGTAGGATGTTTCCCATGCTCGAGATGACTCGTCGACGTTGAGTCACGGGGTGGAACGGCACGTTGACGGCGCAGTGCGTCTCACGTACTGGAGCTGTTATAGAGCATGACGAAAGGTCGCGATAACTATCAAGAACATAGTTGTTCGAGGTCTCATCCCTAGTCCATCGCATTCCTAGTAGAGTCCGGTCTCGCCCATTTCGGAATACTGTCTGGGCGAGGCGTAGGCCGATTTCGTGAGATTGGGCGCTGTTCTGGTCAACGGGATTTCTCGTCGCAAGAAAGAAAGCTGGTTCGTCGGAGGTGTTGCTTTTTAATCTTGCAGGCGTCGCAATTGAAGCAGTTATGCAAGAACTGTCGGCAAGTAACAGGGATAACCCTTCCGTAGCTGTTGTGTTTCTTCCACCACCGTTGCTGGAAACTTTATCGACTACCGCAGCAATTGTATAGACAACATTCGGACCATCGTTGGTATGTAGGTGTTTCAATAATGGTGTCGCCCATTCCGAAAGCAGAGGGCTCGTTGGTTCCGTCCATGCCGTAAATTCCGGGGAGGCGAAGAGAATCGGGACAACGGGTGATTGTTTCGACGAGGGATGGAGGTGAGCATAGGAGGAGATTATTTCATCGGTCGTCTAACAAATTAGCGCAATCAATCAGTCAAGCCTAAATACGTACCACATGGCCGGGTTGCTGTGTAGTCCATGTCAACGCCTGCCATTGACTGTTCGCAGAGCCGGAGCTAAACTTCCGGACGGAACTGAACCTTGAGAGACGTCCAGCTCCCGCACAGCCAGCTCTCGCTATGGAGCTGGGGATATAGCCGGTTAAAGTGAGCATGACATGGATGCCAGTGAATGACCTGGCTATTTGTCAGGGTTGAGCTCAAGAAGTTGTTGAAATTGGTCATGTGAGACGACCAATCAATGGGGGAACAACGGAAGTGGGGCTTCCCCGACATTCCAGCTTCCAGCCTCAATTCATGTTATCCAGTGGCATGACCCTAAGTTGCTTTTTTTCGTAATCTTGTTTACTTTGCAAGTTAACTTATTGTTCTGGAGTCGAAGTGATGACGCATTAGTCAATAATGTGGCGTTGCAGTCTATAACAAGTGTGGTGATACAAATTGAGATTGCACCACGTCAGGGAGCCACATCTAGAAACTTGGCAGACAAAAATAGCTGCGCCGAGAGCCAATTGAGGCAACCACGATTTCCCAGGCATCGGCCGTCGCTGTGTATCACAATATTATTATTACTACGTAAAGTTAGTATATGGGAAAGAAGTCAAATGAAGATCCGATGCACGTGCCCACAGAAAAACGTCTTCTTTACGCAAAACATGCCCCGCCACCAATCAAACAGCGCAGTTGGAGCTAGCTCGCGCCACACATGAGGCGGTGCGGCATGAGGTCAAAACCGGCAAATGACGTATTCCGCGACTTCCGCAATTGACCCAGCTTGGCCCAGCAGAGGGAAGGAACTTCGGGCGAGGTGGTACTTCAGTACTTAAGCGGCTCTCGTCTCCGTCATCCTTCTTCTCTGACTTTTACTTCAACTCTATACCAACAACTCTTATTCGTATTCACGCCTCCCAACTCTCGTCACAGCCAAACATCCAGAATCTTACCTGATTCATTCATCAACCGCCAACATGCCTTTCACCGCTTCGTAAGTCTGCCTGTCTTCACCCGTCGGTCGCTGTCGAGTTGCGACCGTGCGATGAGTCAACCAATGCGACTGCACAATTCAATTTGATTCAATTCAGCTACTAACAAAATGCAGCGACATCTGCAAGATCATCTTCGCCATCATCCTCCCTCCAGTGGGTGTCTTCCTGGAGCGCGGATGTGGTGCCGACTTGCTCATCAACATCTGCTTGACCATTCTGGGTTACATTCCCGGTATCATCCACGCTTTGTACGTTTCCTCTTGACTACTATATCTGCTAGACACTGAATACTGATTGTATGCTACAGGTACATCATCCTCAAGTACTAATCGACATGCGTTGATTGTTGAGTCGCGCGCGATACGGAAACCCCGGCAACCCAGCCGAGCGAGCTGAGCTGTTGTGTTTTTTTCCGGCGGAGGGCCTGACTACTGACAAGACTTTGCTCCGTCCGCCGCGCTACTCGTTCAACCAATTCACCAACAACACTACTCCGCCTTGGGCTAGCTCGGCAGTCTTGGCGTTGTGGCTCAATTCAGTCGATTTGATTGCTCGTTGAATTGATTGAATTGATTGATTGATGAATCGAGTTTCCGGTCGATACGACTCTGCTTGTTTGATTACTGTTCGCTGCTTGCTTGCTTCTATCTCGATGATACCAGTTTTGTTTCACATGTTACTACCTCTTCTCGCGCTGCGATGCACACTTTTAATATGGGTGTCTAGCTGAGCGAAGTATGCATGGCGTTCACGCGCTTGTTTACTATTATTACGATTACTAGGACGATAATTGATTAATCCGTCGTATACCAAACTTCCCTACTCCGTACTATAAAATAAATGAGACTGGTGACGTCATACAAGACCTCTAAATCGATTGTGACCGTGAGTCACCAACACGAAGCGCTTCCTCGCGTTTCATGTTGGCGCCTCAATGTGCTTAAAATCATCGGAAGATTAAGCTTCGTCTGAACAAGAACAGAGAATTGTAGATTGATAATCTCTGGCTGCCATTGACTCGGATCAAAATATCTCATTGGGTGGAATCTCCAGATCACATGACTTTTTCAGCCTAATTTCGTTAGCGCCATAGTTCTAAATGGGCAAACTCGCAATTTGAGCCTCTGATTGGCCCTTCGCAAAGCGCCAGCTCCTCCCCTGGGCGCCTACTTCCTCTTCGTCTCTCTCTCCATTTTCTTCACAACCAACCATGCCTCTGCGCGCTGAACGAAGTGTCTGCTCTCGTTCCTACCAACGATGTCATCCAGTTTCAAGATGGCGCCTAGACTGAGAAAAAGGAGAAAATGAGGCAATGCTCGCTGCGATTTCCCCTGGCGCGTAAAGGAGTTTACCTATCTAGACTAGATAGGTACCAAAGTAACCAATCGCAACGACGTCGACATCGTCGACGATGTATTCGCTGATGGCTGAAGAATCGCAAAGAGAATTCGTTCTGTTTCATATTTCGTGTTTAGTATCCTCTTCTCTTCCTCTCTCTTTTGTCAGATTTCCTTTGTGATCTTTCTTTATTCTTTCCTTTTGTTTTGGTCATTTATAGAATTTTAATATCAGCAATCATTATCTTTGTCTACGATCATCTCTACGATTCAGATCATTGTACAGTACGACAAACAGTTGCTTTTTGATTGAGTTGTTTGACTATGTCTCATTATAGACCATCATATTCCTCTGGGTAGTAAGCTACCTCAAACTATAGATTGAGCAGGTGAGGCTTCTTCCCGAACAGACAGACTATATACTGACATTTGCAGTATGCTGGTATCATGTCTACCATGGAGAAGCAGTGCCTTCCTCTTGACAGTCTTCCTGGGATTAGGTCAAATAGTATCGTCAACGACGACAACAACAGCCGCAGATTGCGCATCTACCGGTAGCAGTAGCTACCTGAGCGATTCCGTCCCACCATGCGCCCTATCCTGCGTTCAGGACTTCATCAGCTCCCAATACGCCTCCGGTCTCTGCTGTTCTACCGATCTAAACTGCCTTTGTCGAACGAATACCACCAGTGGCCTGACCCTAGGCGAAGCGTCATTGGCATGCATAGTAGGCTCGTGTTCGTCGGATATCCTGTCGACTGAGGGGTCTGTTGGATATGCGATTTGCAGCGATGTTTCTGGCGCGTTACCAGAAACGCATGGAGCAATTACTGCGACAAGGGTGTCTGTTGTTACGGAAACGACACATTTAGCTTCTACGACGCCGACGTCTGTATCTGCTGGGAGTACTGGGTTATCAACTACGCCGACTACGGTGGCTATAAGCAGCACGTCCGACAGGAGTACTTTGATAACGACGGCAATGATCACGGCAACAGCGACGGCAGCCACCACCCTGCCAATAACGACATTGACGACAGATCCTGGTACTGTGACATTATCCGGGGTAACGGCAACGCCTAGGCCGACTGTAGGAACTACTAATTCATCATCATTGAGCTCGCCCGCTGTAATTGGCGTATCGATTGCATCCGGTATATCAGCTATATTCCTCGTGGCCGTCGCAATCCTCTTCTGTGGCAGACGACTACGACGTAAGAAACTGCAAAAAGAAGCTGCTCCACAAAGCTTTGAGATTGGAGGCGAAATGAGTGAACCACCGAATTTCGGTGCTGCTGCAACTGTTGGACCGCAGCCGTTGTCACCGACGCCGCTATCACAATACCCGCAAACAATGATGGAAAATGAATACAGTGGTGCTCATTTCCAGCAGTTTCCATCGCAGCCGTTGGCTCGACAGCAGCAGGGTCTTTTAGTTGTTACAAACTCAAACGCGCACGATCAAGCAGCCATGTCTCCCGAGACGGACTACGAGGGTTCTCCGCAAAGCCAAACGTCTCAACGCACGTTATCTCGTCTTTTGCCTGAACGTACGGCCGTACAAGGAATTGGAATAGTCCCTGAGCCGTTGAGAGTCATTCGCCAGGCCCCTACAGCTAATACCATCAGGGTCGTGGGCGGCCCTCCTCCCCGGCCAGCCAGTGAAGCAACTGTTTTTGATGAAGACGAACAACAATCGAACAGCATCAATCAATCCAACACTGTCAACGACATATTTGGACCGCCACTCAACAAAACACGACGTATATCGCAACGCAATATGGCAAGAAGTGGAAGCCCCATGCGGGTCATGGGACTTCCGGCCGGTCCTCGAGCGATGCTTTCTCCGTTACGGACAAAACAGGAACAGAATCCATATGATGGCAATAATTCGGGACACTATTCGTACAAATGGGATAAGGAGGCCGCGCCGATACCTGGTCAGTCTCGCCCAGGGACGCAGTACAACAACTGGAACAACACACCATTACAAAGGAACTTCTCTCGCTTAGGTAGCGCACCGCGATCTTTGACGACCCCTACAAAAACAAACACCCTCACACCCTGGTCTCAAAATACGAATGGCTTCGAAGTTGCACCCGTCGACTCAAGCTACGAAACCATCATGGCGGAAGACGACTGGACAATGACGGAACGCAGCAAACTTTCAGTTCCATCTCATGTACCACGACAATCACAGCAACCCCAGCAACGATTGTCACCGGTATCCGAACGAGTTCCCCTCCCCACAAAATCMCCTCTACGATACCCCGCCATTCCTCGCTCGGCAGCAGCAGCAATCGTCCCCGCCAATGCAGAAGATATGCGCAAATCGCATGTCGCGGAGGTATACTACGACGGGCCCCAAAGCTTCCCAAGCATGCCACCGCCTCCTAATAACAGCAACAATAACTACTCAAACCCGATGACTATGGTCCACGAACTAGGCCCCGGCCAACGCTCGCGCTCCGCCAGCCCAAGTCCCAGCGTGAATAGCAGCCTCCTCGCGAAGCGACGCGGCGAGAGCGTTGCGGATAAAATGGAGACTCAGTTCCGGAGCGGTGTCCAGCCAAAGCCGGGAGTCAGTAGCAGGAAAGTAGCCGTTGGCCGGAACGGGCAGTCTACAACAACGACGAGAGAAGAAGTCCAGTCTCCCCCGTCAGCGAAGAAACATAACATCACCCCTACGAGGCGAGGCGAGGATCTTTATTTGAGAGTTGATTGATCCATTCATCTGCACACCTGATATTTTTCCTTTTGACTTTTGTATAATTACCCCCCTTTTATTCTGATTTGCTTGCATGGTTCAGGTGTATACATATACGACTGATTATGATCCGAGACAAACTCTTTCCCTATGTTTAGATCGTCTACATTCTCCCTTCTTTTCTTCTTCTGAAAATTTTCGTCTGTGTGTTTGTATTAATATGATGTGCTTTTTGTGAATTAGCGTGTTGTGTTTACAGTTTGTCGATGTTCGGTGATGAGATATTTGTGCGGGGACGAGCGAGATGTTGTATTATATCACCAGTATATATTTGAATGTACATGAATGTGCTGATCACCTAGTATGGAAATAGAAATAAATGTGTATGGTTTGTATACGGACCTGTTGTCTGGTTGATACTCTTAATATGCTAGAAAACCTTCAGGGCTACCTGGCTAGTCACAGACCTAGCTACTGATATACGTAAATGCTCATCATCGTCACTTGCAGTGTTATGCGAGATCATATAGCATATACTCTTTCAATCACTTACCATGTCAAACACTCACTGACTAAAGCTGGGCAGCCACCAAGTTCCCAAGGTTCCGCCGGGCTTGTCACCGGACAGTCGTCCGGTAGCCACGTTTCCCGCCGTATGCGTTCTGCAATCTACCAGATATGATATATATGATTTCAGGATATCAAGGGGTAAATTCTTACCTACATGGATCTGAATATAGATCATGCCGCCCACAATTTTCATCGTCCCCGGTCTCTGGGAGGGGACCCAAGTCTTCAAGCCACTGCAGCAAACTCTCGAAGCAAGCGGTCTAACAGTCCACATCTGCGCCTTGCTCAGCACCGGAACCACTGCATCGCAAGGTTTAACTGTAGTAGACGACCGTGCGGGTATTGCACAAGACCTTGCTCGCGTAGTCGAGCGCGCTGGCCATGATGGAGTCATTGTGTTCCTCCACTCAGCGGGCGGATTCCTCTGCTGCGACGCTATGAAAGGTCTAACAGCAAACGCCTTCGATGCAGCAAATAAAAAGGGAGGGGTGAGACGAATTGTTTTCATGTCGTGCGCGTTGGGTGTAGAAGGGTTTGAGACGAAGCCGACTTCTACGATGGAATTCTCTGTCAGTTGTTCCTCAGGTTGCATGGGACTATGAAGTTGTGTATTAACTGTGTGCCCAGGACGGTTATTTCAGTCCCGTCGACCCGCGAAATTCTCTCTTCAACGACATGTCTGCATCAGTGGCGAGTAGATGGACTGCCGCACTGCAGATCCAACCAGCCGGATGGGATGGAGTTGTGAGGTATTGCGGATGGCGTGAGGTCCCGTCTGTATACATTGTGCTTGATAGCGATAGAGCTATAGTGCGTGAGGTACAGGAGGAAATGGCTGAATTGGCGGGTAGCAGAGTTGTGCATTTGGATGCAGGGCATATGGCTCAGTTGACTCGGACGAGTGAGGTTGCTCGGATTATTGGAGATGTTGCTGCGGAATTGGCTTAGTCGGTACGATCTCCGGGATGAGGACGTGTTTTGGCATTGCGAAATTACTCAACACTAGAATATTAAAATCATTGAAAGCCAAGGATAGTCAAGTAAAGGTATCCTGTCCGGGGCGTTCTCCGGACGATACCCCGTTCGCCGGTGAAACATACCATGCACAGACGATTAGACACATGATTAAGTTTTGAGAATTAAAGTAAACTTTTTGCCCTGGGTAATTAATTGAGATGTCTCATCGATCCATCATTGCCGAAGACGAGCCTTTCAGGGCTAAGACAGAACCTGGGGTCCGGGGATTTCTCCGCAGACCATTCGGGGTTTGTCTCAACCTGCAGCAAAAGTGTCTATCGTCTGGAACGTCGAATTTAGTGCAAACAAAGTTCCGGAATTCGACCAGCCTGCAGTGATCATTTTAGGTGTACAGACATTTTCGAAATCCGGGTGGACTTACGGAACAGATCCCAGCAGCGTTGGCTCGTTTGAATCAAGGTAGACTATCAGTCATTCTATTCGCCTGCGAGTCGCCAGTACAAGACTTGTTGAACACAAGTCAGAAAAATTTTGAATATCACTGTACCATTTAGATTCCGTATTAATATATGGTCTCGCTCGACCAAATATCCGGATATTCTCTCGCATACCGATTTGCCTTTTGACTATCGAGTTGGGAAATTCTCTCTCATCCCTGCTTGCCTGTCTCTCTACATAGGTACATTCTTTACGCTACTACTTACGTGCGTACTGCCAAAATGTCACCAGCAAGCCCAAAGTCAGATCCCATCGACCTGGAATTCGAAGGCTTAACTTTAGCCGACGTGACCCCCAAACTCGACAAATGGTGGTTCCAGTATCCATCACTACTAGAATTGAACATCCTCCTCCTTTGCGCGTTCCTGGCTCAATTCACTTGCGGATTCGATGGAAGTATGTTGAATGGCATGCAGTCCTTGCCTACATGGAAAGCGATGTTTGGCGACCCGGTAGGATAGTCTATCTGGTCCCTTGAGGTCGTCGCTAACACTGCTGTTTCAAGAGCGGCGCCAGGCTAGGCACCATGGTCAATGCAATCAACATCGGTGTCCTAATCTCTACGCTCTTCTCCTCTCAACTGTGTGAGATGCTCGGACGCAAGAAACCAATCACAATAGGCACCGCTCTGATCACTTTTGGCTCTGCTCTTCAGGCTGGTGCACAGAACCTGGGAATGTTCATTGCCGGACGCCTGATTATCGGATTGGGAACTGGGATTGTGGCAGTTGCCGCGCCGCAGCTGATGACCGAGGTTGCCTATCCTACTCATCGTGGGAAGATCGTGTCGCTGTACATGACGCAGTGGGTTGTGGTTAGTACATTCATGACACAGCCTATTGCTCCGATATCTGTATAGGTAAAAACAGTTTGGAACTAACTGCTTTCTACAGGGCTATTTAGTTGCTGCTTGGACCACCTATGGCACGCAAGTAATGAGTTCTTCATGGAGCTGGCGACTCCCCAGTCTCCTGCAGGGCGTTCCCTCTGTGCTGCAGCTCTTGCTCAGTCTCTTCGTCCCTGAATCCCCTCGCTGGCTCGTCTTCAAAGACCGGCACGAGGAGGCCCACAAAATCCTTGCCAAGTATCATGCCAGCGGCGATTCTTCGTCACGCTTAGTCCGCTTCGAAATGCTGGAAATCCAAGCCACACTTAGCGAAGAAAAGAAACAAAAGGCAATACAATGGGGAGAATTCATCCGAACGCCCGGAAACCGAAAACGACTCTGGATCCTATTGTTCATCGGCTATGCCGCGCAATTATCCGGTCTCGGTCTGACGGGTTACTACCTTTCCAAGATCTTGGATAGCATCGACATCACCAACCCCAAAACCCAACTACTGATCAACGCCATCGCCGCAATCTGGCAGCTCTGCTGCTCCGTGTTCTTCGCCATGCTGATCGACCGTCTCGGTAGACGTGGATCTATCACATTCGGCATCACTGTTATGCTCGTCGTCTTTGTCGTCTGGACTATCTGCTCCGCCCTCAACGAACAACGAAACTTCTCGGATCACTCCTTAGCCATAGCCGTGGTAGCCATGATATTCCTTTTCCAAGTCGGTTACCAGCCATTCGCGATTGCCACGGTGCCGTACGTCGTGGAATGTTCACTCTTCTCTCTGAGGTCCAAGACAGCTATGATCTTCCAGTTTTGCGGTTATACGGCTAGCTTTTTCACGGGGTATGTCAATCCAATTGCCATGGACAGTATTGGCTGGCGGTATTACATTGTTGCGTGCGTCGTTTTGGCCGTTGAGTGCGCCTTTGCGTGGTGGTACCTACCCGAGACGAAAGGGAAAGGTCTGGAAGAAATCGGTGAAATCTTTGATGGTGATGAGCTTTTGACGGGGACACGGGCTATAACAAAGCACATCAAGGAGCAATACGAGGCTGAGACTGAGGCCGAGGGCCTGAGGGAGAGGAAAGCAGCGATGTCTGCGCAGCATTGTGAGGTTGCGACACCTTGAAGTTGGTCTTGACCTATGATTTAGCGGTGTTGATCCAGCATTGTTAAAAAGACTCCAGAGGTAAAATAATTACCAATGCGAGTCGGAATCTACCTGCGAAGTATGTGTCGCATATTATGCAGATATCTATTCTATATCAATATGTAGGATGTTTTCAAGGTCCCTTGATCTTCTGAAAGTTGATATATCTGGTAAAAGTGTAGTAATAGAACAGAGTCTAGGTACATTTGTTCCTCTATACGTCTCGACAATTTATCATTCCCATGTAATAGCCTCAGCCTTTCCTGGCTCCATGAAAGTGCCGTTGATAAGGTCTGACTAGGCCCCATCTGTTGTGACATAGAGAATACTAGACTCGCTCTGTGTTTGACCCCATACACATGCTGTACTTCCGGTAAGAGTGGACGAGGTCAGACTTCCAGCAATTGTTGTCACGTTTCCTTGAGGTGACACGCGCACGACGCTGTTCTGGACTATTGCCACTAATCTAACACTCCCGACTGCTTTACTAGGGAATCCGAATGATCTTACAAAATATGTCAATCAAATGAAATCTATCTTTGTTGGATGTGGAACCTGTCAGGCTGCGTCTAAGTTCTAGGACCATTAACGCATCTAGCTATCTATCAGAGGGCCCAATTTGTAATCTAGGCTAGGTAAAAGAAAATTTAGAGTCAGTCAAAAGTGTCCATGTCAGATCATTGAAGTTCTGGCGGGAACTCGCAATATTGACTGCTGGGTCATACAAGCGACCAAATTTCCGTCTTCATCCCACAGCTTACTCTCGCTGTATGTGCGACCATTTCCAGCATGGTGATTAATTGCCTCCCTCAAATGCCACCGATCCATCTTAGGGCATGTAGAAAAGATACGCAGGGCGAAGTCTAAGCTTGAGCAAGCCCCAACATCCTCGAAGAACATGTGGTTGTGTGCCAAGGGCAAAAAAGACAAAACTCCATCCATGATGAACCCCAAACCTGCCATCTGTTCTCCTTCTGTTTGAAGAGGGTGCTTCACATGAATCCAGTCCGCAGAAGACTTTACCGTCGGAGATAGGTCATCCTGATTAGTCTTCACGTCCTTGGCTAATCCCATCAAGTTTTGCGAAGTAACTCCTTCCGGGCATGGACGAATTTCGTAAAGATTTGCGGAGAGTCCGAAGAGAGTCTTGAACTGCCTAGACTGTGTCTCTGAAATGCTGCCTTTAACCCGAGATTCCTCCAGTGTACGGTCCCAGGATGTACAGTCCCGCCAGTGACTATACGTGCGCGTGGGATGCGCCGAGTATTCAAGAACAGATTGCTCATCCTTGTGAAAATCGACGAGAACCTCCATACATCGCCGCAGGCGCCCAGTCGCCAAGTCATTCTGTTCCACCGCAACTCGATACGTCACAAAGTTTTTTGTGCGACGGAGTTCAACGGGCGTGCATTTCAACTTGGCTTCCGTGCTTACTGCTCGAAGATAGTGTCCAAATACCGAATATAGGTGGAATCCATGAGGGGCAGTCTTGCACGCGGCATGTATTGAAAGGGCGATAGCATAGCCTCCGTAAGCTATAGGTGCCGAGTTTCCCATTCTCTGGGGAATATACGTAGAGACGAAATGATCATCACACCTTTCCAGCGCTACGTGTTCGGCCAAAGTAGCCGCCATTGTTCGTGGTATATTCTGGGATTGCCTTCAACTCGCTGACCATACTCGGCTCTGAACGGGATGCGTTTAGGGGCATCGAACCGCGACCGAGAGAGTGCTGGAAATAATTTTAGGCTAGGAAGTACAGGTAACCTCTATTACCGCGCGAAACCACTCTGGTGAACCTCGGCTTATGAAGTGAGAAGATGATTACTGATCAGGAGCTGAAGGTCCATAGGGAGCATGCTAGGGCCAATGACTCTTGTACGGTACTAGTAGGTCGCCGACGGTGGGTCTGGTGTTCCAAGCCGTGGAACAGCCTACAAGAGCACATTTGCCCGAGACCCGAGAAACTTTGACAGTTGCAGGCAGGGCTTGACGCTGGATTGTTCATCAACACATGCTAAAGTCATCCACAAGCGAGTTGGTCATCCTAGCGAGTTGGCGACCTTTACCCGAATACGCGTTCTATACTAATCCTTCGCAACTCACCGCGTCAGTATGTCACCAATTCGCAATAAAAACCAAAAAAAAATCTTGCTGAGCAAGAAGTACGGATTCTTTTTGCCCTTTCAGATATAAAGAATGGCAGAATACACTCTATACAAAAAGCAGCAGAGATCTATAATGTCTCCCGGTCAACTCTAAAAAATAGAGTCAAAGGCATGCCATATCGAAAAACGTGCCAACCACCATAACTCAATCTGAGGAGAATCCGGTTATTTAAATTTTAAGTTCTCATTTAGGGATTTCCCTTTCGTTGGACATGAAATGATTCACTGGAAATCATGTCGCGCTCAGTAATAGGGTTGGCCGCACGCTATCAATCAAGATCCTATCCGCTATGATATCAAGAATGATGAGGGGTGACAGATATCCGATTTCCTTTAAGCATGATTGATAGATCTCTAAGTGTTCCTGATATTTTTATGCTTACCAAAGGAGATTTTCTCACGGATGAGGTCTACTGTCCCGCAGATATGCGTGAAGTGAATCGACACCGGGGCGCTGATATGGTGGAGGAAGCTATGAAGAAATGTTATCCGCAAGGGTGGAATAGGCACCATTTGGCGAGAAGCTATATGAGGTCTAAATCTATCTATTAGGACAAAAATCTCTGGTTTTTAGTCCCATAGATGGGCATGGGAATCTTCCCATAGACAAGGTTGAATGAGCATCGTCAAGGTCTATTCTAGAATAGTTGAAATTTTTTATAAATAGACCTATAGATTTAAAGATTAAATAAGGATTAATTAAGGATTGCTTAGACTACATTATTAGGCACTTGGTGAGTGCTGCAGGCTGCTCTAGGATTGATCTAAACGTGTAAAGCGGCGGCGCCAAGCACACGAATCTTTTCTCTGGCTTACCCATGACTTATGCTAGTGTCTAGTAGAGCTGAATTGTGGGATTGATATTCTGACACTTATCTAAAAAGTATTTGGGCAGTGAGGAGAATGACGGGACGAGCGCCATGTAAGTGATTAGCTCTGACGCTACACCTGCATGCGTTGGGCGATTATTGGAGGCTGAGCTTTGAAAAGTGACAGTCGATTGTGCGAAGCCGCCAATCAGACGTAGGTATATGGTATTGGCCCGACATCCGTGCGCGGTGATTTAGTATCAACAACAAAGGTGAGGTTTCATAATGCGAGCTCGCCAATTATTATATGATTTACTAGGAAAAAGAATGTGTTCATTCTCTCCTCGCGATGACTGTGCATAGACCAGATATGTAGTAGCCTTGAGGTGAGGTTCTATTGTGCGAGATATCCAGTCATGACGATGGTATCTTTAACTCAAACAGCCCATACGCGTCACTGGATGAATGTCCAGAATTTGTATAAATAGTTCGAACATATCCATCGATTGATGTGTCAATTTTCAGGAATCTAAGCAACATTATTCACATCTCATTACTACCATAATTATATTTATATCTATCACCGCAATGGCATCCCTCCGCATTGCCATTATCGGCGCCGGACCGGCTGGACTGACTCTTGCTCGCCTTCTGCAAGTGAAGAAAATCCCTTACACCATTTACGATCTTGACGCCAATGCACACAGCCGCGACCAAGGAGGAACCGTTGATTTGCATCGCCGGGGTGGACAAATGGTGTTGGAAGCGGCTGGACTACTGGAGGAATTTAAGAGACTGGCAAGACCAGAAGGAGAGGCGACCAAGCTGGTCAAGTACGATGGCACAGTGGTTATTGATGAGAATGTGCAGAAAGTGGAAAGGCCTGAAGAGTATAAGGATCGGCCGGAGATTGACCGGTTACGATTGAGGGAGTTGTTGCTGGGCTCATTGGGAGAAGGGAATATTGTGTGGGGGAAGAAACTTTTGGCCGTTGAAGATTCAAAGGCAGGAGATGGAAAGTTTGATCTCCATTTTGCTGATACTGTCGAAGAGGCATTTGACATTGTTGTTGGCGCCGACGGCGCATGGTCGAAAGTTCGCCCATTCCTAACCGACGAACAGCCCTTTTACTCTGGCATTACGGCAATCGAGCTTTGGGCCATGGATGTTGACGCTCAGCATCAGTGGTTGTCCGATTATGTTGGCCAAGGGTCTATGTACATGTTTGACGAAGGGCGAGCAATCATCTCTCAGAGAAACGGCAACAACAGCATACGCACATATGCTGCGGTACGACGGCCAGAAACATGGCTGAAAGATTGTGGCATCGACTGGTCCGAGCCGGATGCGAAGACGCGGCTCATCGAAGATTACTTCGCCAACTGCGGAGAAGATCTGAAGCGAGTCATCGTGGACAGCAAGGACAACCTCATCCCTCGCACAATGTACATGCTTCCCGTCGATATGACATGGGAACCAAAAGCTGGAGTTACCCTAATTGGCGACGCAGCACATTTGATGACTCCTTTTGCCGGTGTCGGAGTCAACATTGCTATGGTGGACGCTCTGGATTTATCTCGAGCAATTGAATTCTGTGTTGATGACAGAAAAGCTATTGGGGCGGCCATGTCTGCCTTCGAGAAGGACATGTTTCGGAGGAGCCAAATGTTTGCGAACAAGACGTGGAAGAACATGCAGTCGCATTTCAGCGCTACTGGCATCGATGAGCGTGCCGCACTTGCCCATCGATAGAATCTGTAGTAGTATCGCGACTTTGGACTGGTGGATAAGATTTTTCCAAATGGATGGATGGCTGGACTGTATAGCAGGATTTATCCGGGTGACAAAATTTGTTCTAGTCCAAATTTAAGTGGCTTTGCAGCCACTGGGAACCTTTTAACGAATTCGTATGCCTTGAGTGAAGTTGTATGCCTCTCAATAAAAACTTCATTAGAAAATGGAAGCCCACTTGCTGGTGCTGTGATGTCGAACAACGAGAAAAGCTCAAAGCCAAACCTCTGTAGTTGAACGAGAATGGATGTCGAGACGCAGTCGACAATAGCTGAAAGGACATCCGGATACTCTCTATAGCCTTCTGAATCGGCCAATGGAAGAGCCGGAGCGAGGTCTTTTTTATACCACTGCTCTAATGAATTGTAAGCCTCGACTAGCCGGTCGAAGAGATATTGATACTTAGGTTGGTCTCCAAAACTATGTATACTATCTGCTTGTCGGATACTGACAAGGCTTGCGCACTCGCACAAAAGCTCCGGTACATCAAGTACCTGATCGCAAAGCTCAGATCTCCACCGAAGACTTGCTGACTTATGATCCAGACGGCCTTTACCAGGTTGCTTGGGCAATTCTCGCCACTGTGGCTTGGATAGGAAACATTTCTGACGGCGGCTCATGTCCTGGACGAGGAAAAATGCTCGCTGCGACTCCAACATAGCTCGTTCAAAAGGCCGATCGAAGCTTTCAGGGCCGAGTTCCTGGATCAAGAGTTTTGAGCCGCTTGACAAGTTGTTCCATCGTCCGTTATCCGAGCTGATCATGAGCTCACAGAGCTGGAGCATTAGTGAAGAAGCGATCGTTTCAGGTTCCAAGCGTGTCGCTGCCACTTGCACGCATTGCCGCAGTGAGTTCAGACTTCTACTGTAGAGCTTGATCGTGCCAGGTGAACTCGCTAACAATTGCCGGCGCGTGTCTTCATAGATTGCACATAGACAGGAGACGGCGTCGTCAAGAGCAGTGTTTCTTCCCAGCCGGTTTGGGATGAACTGATAAAACTCGCCATGCGATCGAAGGGGAAACGCTTGTCGACCATTTGGATCCGTAAGGATGTGTAGTAGAATATTACACTGTTTCTCTGCCTGTGAAGCTGGCAGACGGGATATCGAGACTTGGAAGGACTGATCTCCTACCACATACTCCTCGTTTACTTCAGCATTGTAGGCCGAATCCGGCTTGCTTAGCTTGATCCTAGGGATCGCATCCCAAGTAGCCCCTTCCAAGAGATACCTTTTCTTCCCCCCATATTGCGCAGCCAAACGCGATTCTTCTTCAACAAACTTCCACCTCTTGACATATCCATCACATTCCCACCCGGCGGAGATACAGTTTCGACACGCTGGCCATTCTTTTCCGCATTTAACCTTGCGCTTGCGGCATGTTCCACAGCCCATACTCTTTGGGGTACCAACCATCTGGAGATGGGAGACTAATCAAGAATATTACTGACTAAACTGGGGTAGGAACGTGACTAAGGTCGTCAACGGAGTGCAGAATTCGAAGGGTGGGCTCAAAGGAAAGAATCAAGAATCTTTGGTCTACCGAACAACATGGACGGGAAGAAATTCGACCACCGAAGCCGACGTGTCAAGCTATTTTGTGGACCAACCAAGACTGGCTTAGAGATCGACACCCCAATACGAGATTTCAACTTTCGCTCCGGTACAGTACAGAACACAGCAACTGGTCAAGGAAAGGAACGGAGAAAGTCAGGATAGATAATCACAACTAGTTATATCAAGACATCATTCCACTCCATAAACACAGATGCGCTTTAAGAGGTCTTGCTATGAAAAAACTAAAAATTCTTTTGATGAGAACTATAGATAGCAGTATAAGAACATGGTGATCAAATCAGTGGCCCGGATTGACTAGCGCTAGTATTATATTAGCTGGTAATAGCGGCCCGTTAGGCGTTTCGGCGCTTTCCCAGCTGATTTGTCGAGTCTCGGTATGTTTTTGATGCATTAATTCGGCAAGTATGGCACGATTGTTGCCAGCCGCAATGTAATACAAACAGATTCATGAGTGAGGTATACTGGATCCACATTGCAAAACTGCAGGGGCTACGCTTTGCATCCGAATGGGTACAGACTTCGTCATCTGTGACAGCCGGTCTGTGGTGGTTGAGAGACCAGTTGAAGTGTTCAAGTCCAGCATGGTACGGCAAGGAGGCTTTCTTGCTCAAATGTAGTTTAACTCCCTAGTTAATAGTTGTCCATGCCCGTGTTCTATGTACAGCAGGTCAGTGTCTACGGCAGAAGCCTGATAGTCGCGAAGATGAATAGGTATATAGGGCAACTAGATGTAAAATACATACGCCTGCATCCATGAGTGTCTCACGAAACTGGTGGAAAATGATACACACTGACCACTAGCCCAAAAAAAGCTGCGCATACTCGACGGTCTAGTAAGAGTGTTACTAGCTAATAAAAGGTGATCATGTAATCCGAGATACAGATATTCCAAGAGAACACACCATCTATGTTAAGTAGCTTGCAAATCTACAGGCAGCTGTGAATCAGGTTCTTGCAAGCTTCGTATCCGCCATGCCTCTTGCAGCATCACTTGACGTGGTGCTCTACGGCCAGTCATAAGCTCAAACTGATGGATAGCCTGTAAGGGTAATATCTCCAATCCATCCACGGTTACCCAAGCTCGACCTGTTAGGTCTCTCAGATGTATGACTTGCTTCAAAAGTGGCGTAAGGGGTGGTAAGTAGCCCAGCTTCCAGTATGTTAGTAAGAACTTCTTTTGCTTTTCTTTTCTCTGCGCATGACCAACAACGGAAGAGAGAGAGAAGTAGAACAAGAAGGGACTGCTTCATACCTCAGCAACAACACCGCCAGTTTTACTCTGCAGCCATCCTTCTGGCAGGGTGAAATTTGGTGGACTACAATTGCCTCCTAAACTGTGTGCTGGGATTGATGACACGATAATTGTGGCAGGCTCTTCATTTTCAGGCCACGGAGTCGAGAGGGAAGGAAGTACCCGAATGATGGTGCCCTTTTCTGGATAGAGCGTGTTGAAATGACGTGCCACTTTTTCGGCTCTTTCTACTGTTCTATTATACACGTAGATCTTGCGGCATCCAAGTCCAATAAGCGCATATATCGCGGCGCGTGCAGCTCCACCTGCCCCAATGATGAGTGCCACAGATCGTATTGGGTCAATTGTATTGCGAGGGGAGAGGTTGCGCGCGATTACTGATTGGATTCCAAGCCAGTCCGTGTTATCCCCAAACAGCTTGACAACAGGACCGGCACGATTTCTGTTTTCGGTTTGCAAGGCAAAAGGAAGAGGAATAATGGCGCCAGAACTATCAGTCGTCGCTCGCCTTAATGGTAGGAGCGTATTGATAGCGCCAATAGCAGCTGCCTGAGGACTGATTTGGTCGAGTTGGTGGAGAATAAGTGTTTTGAAGGGAATCATGATACTTACTCCCCCAAATTTTGGGCTTTGCGCTATCTTGTTTATGTCTTCACAGGAAGACACCTCGGCAATTCTAAACGTGTGAGAAAAGCCGCAATGCACATAAGCAACCCGATGCATAGCTGGTGGCATTAAACTGACAGAAGGCTGACGGCCGACTAAATAAAATTCAAGAGGGTCAAATATAAAGTTCGCGAAAAGTCCCTGGATAGCATTGCTAAGGCTGATTTGGGGATCAAAAGGCTGATCGTTATCGAATGTGACCTCTGCATCGTTCAGTATTGACCCATGCTTAACCGGGGTCATTATCCTATTCGCGAGCTGAGATGTCCTTCCTCGAACACCGACATTATACGCAATGAGAAACGGGTTGTTAGCATCAGGCTGTTCGCGAATCAGTCTGCTAAAATATTGAACATCTTCATTATCAGCTTGTGTGGTGGCCGGCTGAGTTAGTTGCACGATATGACATCCCATCAACTTGCCCAGCTGGTACTTCTTTTTGCGATTCTCTTGCATCCAGCCCCTTTCACCGGGATGTGGATCGAAGTACGAGCCGATTACTTTTGTGACCGGAAGCTTTCTTTGAATCAATTTTTGAATTTTCTTGGTCTCGAAGCTGATGTCCACTATGGCGTACTCGACACAAAATCGCAAGCCGTGATGTAGGAGTGTAAAGTAAAAGTCAACAAATTTTCCGCCAGATATCTCGCTACTATCCCTCTCGACTGCATATACAATCGGTATTTTGACTGCTCGTCGAATAATGGAGATGTATTCCGACACCAGATTGAGGATATCTGGATTAACCATGTCCACGATGAGTAGAATTCCGTCTTCCCCAGACGCAAGGCTATCCACTTCTATTGTCTTGTTCACAAGGCCTGACAACCGAACACTTCGTAGATATGATCGATCGCGACATTCAAGAGGAAAGAGGTCTATGCTATACGGCTCTTTAAGCTCATCGTGCTGAGTCGCGTCGCTTTTAACATGACGCGAAGGGCGAGAAATCACAAGATCCAGAAAGGTCGAGAATTCTTGCTTTGCATTTTTGAGAAAGAAAGGTGCTTTCGATGGCGGCGGCTGCTCGCTGTTCCGATTATCATCTCGAGAAAAATGATTGAAAAGGTTGTAATATTCTAAGTTGGAGCATTCCCGATGGGCCACGTCGCAGTCCTTGAGGAATCCCATCCCGTCGTTGTCGCCGGAAAGCCCTAAATAGTTTTCAACGTAGCGCAAGCATCGGGTGATATGTATGATTGGATGGCTGTCTATGTATTTTTGAAGAAGCAATTGGCGAACGCCAGGTACGAGACTCCCCAGTCCGCATTCAATAATGCAGCCGGTGCTATGTTCCTCCAGCATTTTCCGCACGACCGTAACAGTGAATGCTTGAAGAACGGCATTGCCATGGATTTTCAGATATTCCGCTCTAGAGAGGCCTGTTTGAGTTTGGAAATATCTGTCAGCCAGGATCAGTCTCCGGCCCAGGTGTTTGGCGCCGATGAACCCTAACGATTTCTTTCCAGCACCAGGGCAGCCAATCAAAATGATTGAGGCGTTGTCAATCATATCGTATATTAGTTTGGATGTCAATAGCATCAAATGAATTACCACAGACGCTTTGGAATTCTCGAGTCGACAAGGAATGACTGAGTCAAGATTGATCTCTTTACCGATCACTCGGGTATATTCATTGCCGATACCGTAGTGGCGAAACGGCCTAGCAGGTAAATTTGAGTTACATGGTATCACCTACGGCGCCAAAACAACCTTGGAACTACCAACGATAGGCTGTCGTAGAGGCGGACTTCTCCGCATTTTCTTCTCCACTTCCTGGAGAACGAAAGGTGAGAGCAACTCATGTTCTTGGAAGTTCTCAACTCACCATTGGCGTTATGTGCTCTAACTTACTGAAAGATGGAAAAGGAGGTCTCGTCACGTAAAAGAGTGACAGTAGCGTGTACCAGGTGTCGCGCAGGCAAATATAAGTGCGATGGTGCTAAACCAATGTGCTCGACTTGCTCTGCGGCAAGACAGCCGGTAGCATGCACCTACGAGATCAGCAGCAAAAAGCGTGGCCTGCGGGAGGGCTACGTACGTGGTATGGAAATCTTATGGGGAATTGCATTGCGAAAGATGGACGGATTGGAGGAGCTTCTTCTGTCGGTACTCAACGATAACCAAAATACGCCACTGCAAGCAGACGACAATTCAAATTCAGGGCCCCTGAGAGTCTGGAGGAAGAGTTGTGTATCTCGGGCGTTGAACAACCAGTTGCATATACTAGAAGAAAGCCGTGACAGCTCTGCGAAGCGAAAAAGATACGTCGCATTTTTGGATACAGATGATAATGGAGATGAGGTACAAGAAGAACAAAATGAAAAAGGAGGAGGAGAAGTGTTCCCTGTTGAAGATATAATAATGGAGCCTTCAAGCGTGTTTCTGCTGGAACAAGATCACGATATCAATTCCCAACTCGGTTCGTCGCTGCAGCCCTCAGGGGAATCATCATCATTACAGATGGTTCCTATGTCATCAGGAGACGACTGTCATCTTCCTTCATACCTTGGCCGCCTAGTCGATGTTTACTTCTCGTATACCCATTGCTGGTTTCCAATTTTAGAAAAGTATCACATTCGAAGACTTGTGTACCAACATCTCAGAAATAATAGAGAAGATAATGGGGCAAATTCTGCCACTGGCAAAGATGATGATATTTCATCAGTTATTTTATGGGCGATCGCTGCTCTAAGTGCGCATCAAGTGTCCCAGTCGGAGCTCTGGTGTATCAGTTGCGGTCTCCCTAGCAGCGCGAGTGAACTTGTTTGGCTTTACTACAAGAAGACACGGAGCTTGATTCCAGCCGAGGAAGACGAGGGAAGTTTTGAAGTTGTTCATGTGCAAGCTTTGCTTATTATTGCTATTTTGAATATCGGCCATGGGAACTGGTCAACCTCGTGGCTTCTTGTCGGTAAAGCCATCCACATAGCGATAAATCTTGGCCTAGATAATCCTTGTCGTCCGGCTCCAATTATGGAGGGCCGCAGATCAGTCCACGTCTTCTGGGGTTGCTTTGTACTGGATACTCTTATCAGTGCCAAGATAGGCAGAATGCCCCGTCTTAGAAGGGAAGACATTGAGGAAATAGATTTACTATGCGAAGAAGGAGATGAGGAGTGGGATTCGTGGCCGGATAGCTTGCAGGTATACACAGCACAGAAGGTTGACCCTGGACTTCCATTATTTATCCTGAGCACCTTTAATCGACTAGTCGAGACATGCAGGATTCTGAACATATGCTGTGTTGCTCGACACCGGAAACCAATTCCATTTCACTATGGATTGCAGCTTATACAGCGTCTTACCAAGTGGAATGATGAGCAAAGACTCCCCTTCAAGTTCGATGCAAAGTCTATCGAATCAACTTCAACAATTTACTTGCATCATTATCACCTCCAGCTAGTATACCTACTATCCTTGGATATCATTAAAGACATTGTGCAACAGAACCATACTAGAGAGGACGGAAATACGAATACAAATGAAACGGTAGGGTTCCGTTCAGAAGACCTCGGCCTTCTTAGTTTCAATCTTTTGAAGCAGCAGTCCAAGCAACACAACATACTACTTGTACCAGCCACTTACGCATTAATTTTTCAGCACCCTGAAGTCGCAGTGACAAACTATATGACCAAGTGCTTCTCGGAAATAATCAAGGTATGGCCTGGGGTGGGTAAAGTTCCGGATTTTCGAGGTGCAAAAGTCAGTGGCACGCATTCAACGAACAACGATCCCCCTCCAAACAATTCAGATGTATACTCTTTGGATCCGCCGGATCTCTTTGGCGTAGGCCATTCAAATCTGGCATCTTACAGAACCATACAGCAGAGACCACAATGTGGTTCAAACGAAGATGTGATAGCTAGTGGCAAAGCCGTATCATTGTCAGAAATGGATCTGCATTCCACCTTTGATGGGCTTGTGTCGATGGACGAAAATCACTGGTTAGTATTTCGAGCAATCTAGACATACATATATGTATGCCTCGTATTCGAACCTGAGGATTGCTGACTAGTAGAATTACAGGACGAGAAATTGGCAGCAAGGATTAGTTAATCTCGGGTTTACAGAAGATGACCACACAAGCGACTTGTTTAATTTTCCCTAGACACGAACAAGGATTGTGACGCGGATTAAATCCATGAACGCGTAATAATATCATCTCACAAACATAGCTCGTCTTTGAGTTTTCGCCAAGCTGTCGCAGCTCTATTCGCATGTTCAGAAGGAACATTAGTGTCAGGAGATGCCATGGACCGTGAAAATAATTCCATAGATACCCATCCCTCGAATCCGAGATCATGAATAATCACTCTTGCTAGCTTCGTAACCGGCATATAAGCCCCCCTGTCGGTTTCGTACGCAAATAACCGACAGTTACGACTCCAGGTCATCCTTGGGGGCTGTGTTTCAACCCACAGAGGATGCTGGTCATTCATCGGCCGCTCTAAACGTTCTGCATCCACAACTTGCACGTAGAATACCTTGTTCAAATCAACATTTTGCCTTAATCGGTCTATAGATTCTTCAAGGGCACGGTCAGCATCTGGGAGTTTGCCAGTTGGTGATGCAGGATCTGCCCATATTCCGCCAAGGATGTTAAACGTATCTAGACAGAGACCTAGATTCGGCCTATCGACTCTCTTCACAACCTCCCACGCTCTCTCCCAGGTATGGATATAAGTACCCCATGCGATATTCTCGAATGCAAATCGCACGGGAGGCGATTGTTCCAGACCCATATCTGCGAGTTGTCTCATATCCTCGACAACTAGGTCGAGATCCGGTGTAAGCTCATGGGCGGGCAGAAAATTCGTTGGAACCTGAATCAAGTCTGTCCCAAGTATCTTCACTAGCTGGAACCACTCTTTGAGTGTATCAAGTCGTTTTTGGTGCTCAGTCCGATCCTTTAATCCGCCGTAAAACATAAATGGTTGTAGGCAAACCACCTGAAGGCTATGCTTATCACAAATTTCGCGGATCCTCTTTGCTGCTTCCAGTTGATATGGAAATGCTGAAGGGACGTTATCAGAGTGCGCTCCGGACAAATTTCGCGCAAGGTAGTCGATATCTTCGAAAAAGACTTCTAGTCCTTCGAAGCCGTGAGCTGCAGCTTGGGCGATTTTCTCGTCCATAGAGTGGTTAGCCCAGGCGCGGCCCAGAGACATGGAAGATATTGCGGGTCGGTTGGACATGGCTCGAGAATTTTTGGAACGGAATTAAATTACGGTGTATTCTTCATCCAATAGGTAATTGTTGCAATTAAATATCTAAGCTGAGGTTTTATCGTTCTAGGTTGGTGGTAGGGAAGAATCGGTCAGGATTACCAATCTAGGATAAGTCTATACCCGAATGCTGTATCAGATAGATACTACTTAGCAGACATAATTAGGAGCATTCTTTTCTACTATTAGCGCTGTTACTCACTGACAAAGACTGAAGATCCATCATATAATCAGTCATCAACCTAACCAACCAAAGCTATTCACATACCGGGTATGTGTTAGGGATGTCTCTCGCGCAAAAGTATTGCTTATGATACGAATATAACGAAAGAAAAGTAGGTTATATGTAACCTTGAGAGCAGATGATAAGTAAAAGCACTATCTATCTAGGTCAGTAAATATCAAAAAGATTCGTCTATGTCTACGATTACAGGTTCAGATATATTGATGACTGCCAGCTCCAAATCATCTTCTAGATGCCATGTCTTTAGTTAGTTGTTATATTCCACGTTCACAAAATATTTATATGTTCATGGATATTGACGGTATGTATGTATTACAACGTTCCGATATCCTGATGCAAATTGGCGCGGTATCTTTCATGTTTGAGAATCCTCAAGACCTGAGAGTATCAAGAAAGATTTCTATTGCTCATCTATTACCGTTTGCATGTCTTGGGAGAAAAGTCCCAAGCAAAAATAGCTAGAAATTCCTCCCAGATGTGCACACTATTCTAACAAACAAGCATTTCGAACCTTTTCACTTTTCTTCCTCCATATTTTTCGATATACCTATATATATGTCTTATCAACGAGTAGGTAATCCCTTCGGTAGTTTATGAACTGCGTGTAAACATGTCGGGAAAGCTACTGAAGTCCTTAGTCATTAGGCATAAAGTTAACAAGCAGTTTGAAAGCGATATCGTTATTTGACCGTGAAGCTATGTAGTTTGTGCGCTACATTATCTTGTCTCTTTTGTCCATCACAATCGAGCTTCGCATGGCCTTGCTGGCCTCTGCATATGGTAGATTGTCGATATTCCGGCCTGTCCAGATAACAGACTGCTCGACGGCCTGCAATTCCATCACATCAACGCCAGTGACGATTTTCCAGTCGGCATCTGCAGCTGTCTTTGCTAACTGCGTCCAGGGGCTTGGTGTATATGTCATTTCTAAGAATATGCCGGGTTTGACCTGGCTATTCCTAGAGTGCATCTCAATCAACCTCAAAGCTATAGCCCTTAATAACTTCTCCGACTCGCTCTGGGGAGGACTATCTGGAATAGTGGCAATGATAACAGCTGGTGTCATGCCGTGCAGCATCTCGTGCACATCCTCGACCGTCCGCAGGTGGATGAGCGACTCGCTCATGCCTCGTGCTTTTAGGTCTTTGATCGTCATTTCCACCTCCGTAGGATCACGATTCACTAAGAAAACTTCTGGAACATTGAAGCCCTTTACCAGCGCGTATATTGCCGCCCGCGACGTAGCTCCACCACCAATTACCACTGCAGGACGATCTTGTAGGGATTGAACTAAGGCCGCTTCATGGTTCCGCAGTGCGTTTTTGATCCCAATCCAATCGGTATTTGTCCCTACAAGGGACCCCCGTCCTTTACCATTTAGACTTTTCTTGACATATATCGTGTTGATACATCCCAATCGTCGTGCGTCGTCCGATAGCTCATCAAGATATGGTATTACTCGTATCTTGTTGGGCATCGTGACAGCGGCCCCAAGAAAATCGTCGCTCTTCATCAGCCATGCTAGGTCCTCGAGGTCTTGGGAATCTAGCCTGATGTACCTCCATGGCAGGCCTAAGTTGTTGAATATAGTATTGTGGAATGTGTGAGAAACTGAGTGCTTAATTGGTTGACCGAACAAGAAGAGATTCTGTCGGGGTTGTTCTCGACTAGCTCTGTTGCCCATGTTTAAATTCTTCAAGACAAGATTTTCCCCAAGGTTGTATAGAACAAGTAAAACAGAAGATAACTGCCAGTCTTGAAATATGATTATCTAGGTGTAGAAAAAGTTTCCTCAAATTGTAGGCAGACCTTCTCGGATGTGTATGGGTTAAAATTTACCCGGATCATATTTACCATACTAATTCCATTTGTCGTAGTTTAATCCTCTTTCTTAGAGAGGACAATTATTACTAGAATTTGAAGTTGATAAGTGCTGGTGGATCAGACCTCATGGATAAGGCTTTATGTACTTGCAACTGCACTGTCAGCACTGGAGCAATGAGGTATGGAGTTTATGGTGGTATATACATCATACATCTTTCCTCTGCACAATCAGCCGAAATTACTTTAGACACGCTTTTAAGGATTGTAATGCATAGGTTACAGGATGATGATCGGAGTATCTACATACGTACAATATATAAAGTATAACTTAGGAGTACGTTCCCTGAACATCTACAGGTTGATTCAACCGCATCGACTCCTTGATAGCTTCGCACACAGCCACTGCMCCCAATCCTGCCTCTCCACTACAAATTGGATCCTCATTCCCTCTTACAACTTCAATGAAGTTTCTTAACTGATCTTCGTAGACGTCGCGGACATCACAATCAAGTGCTCTATTCTCCATCTTACTGTTGCGACCCTTCTTCGGTTCAGTGTAGCTCCACAATTTATTGTCAGGGATGCTAAGTGTCCCTGAAGTCCCGAAAATTCTATAACAGTCCTGTCCGCTGAATGGGTATAATTCCTGGTTTTCCCCGGTACCCGCTTCAATATTGAAGGGACTGGCAACGTTGTCCAGGGCAAGGAATGTGCCAACTACCCCTGACTGAAAGCGAAGCGTAAGGGATAGCCCTTCTTCAGCTTCATGGCTGCGGATTGACAGGGCTTTCTCGGCATACACTCGTTGAATGGGTCCGATGAGATATTGCAGTAAATCGACTTCGTGGATGAGGTTGATGAGGATCACACCACCGTCTAAACCCCCACGCCATTTACCATTTCCTTGGAAGTATTCAGGTGGTTTGAGTGATGCCCATACACCAGAAACGCCAATGACAGTCCCAATGCTCCCTGAAATAAGAGATTGCCTTGCAGCCGAAATGATCCCATGGAAGCGACGATGATGACCTACGCACAACCGGATACTTTTCTTGCTCCAAGTTTGCAAAAAAGTAATCCCTTCTTGATACGTTGGACTTATCGGTTTTTCAATTAACAGATGTATTCCAGCTGCTACAAGGGATTCAGCGATCGGAATATGGGTCGTATTCGGCGTACAGACGATGGCTGCATCGATACTGAGTTGCGACCGCCACTTGAGCATGTCCTCGATACTCCCGAAGAACTTAGCATGATATTTATCTGCTAGATTTCTGCCCGCATCGTTGGTGTCCACTATTGCAGACAAAATTGCATCTGGAGATTTCGCAATGACTGCGGCATGTGTTTGCGCAATGGTGCCAGCGCCAATGATAGCGATTGCAACACGATCCTGCTGCATTATTGAGTGATTGGAAAAATAAGAAGGTTAAAACGTAGATTGGTGCCTTGTAGCAGGTATGTCGCTTTTGTCTCACCGTGATTTATTGAGAATCATAGACATATTGCAATATGCGAGCTCAACCGAATTGAAGCAGACCCACGTATGGGTGGGTATAGGGTATATCTACACCCGAGCAAGAAGTTATACCCCCAAATCTGGGGTAAACCCCGTGCTGTAGAGTCCAATACGTATGGCCGATTCCAACTTCATGCCACTATAAATTAAGGGATCATAACTTTCAGCGAAAATCATCAATACGTTCTTCTCGCTCTCTCTCTCTCTCTCTCTCAATTCTGTCTACACAAACTTTGCTCAATCCTCCCTTGTTACAGTATGGCGAGCTTACAGAAGCAGAAATTCTCTATGATTCTCTACTATGTGCTCCCGATTCTCATCACCGGCTTCGCCTATGGCTGGGAAGTGGGATCCATGGGAGGCATTCTAGCTATGCCTCAGTTTCTTTCCTACATGAATACTCCTAGCCCATTCAGACAAGGCCTGATGACCGTTTCGTTGATTGCCGGGGAATTCGTCGGATCGCTGTTGATAGGACAGTTCTTCTCTGACTACTTTGGCCGAAGGATGGCCATAATGATCACAGTGGTGCTCTATCTCACCGGACAAGCTGTCGTGGTTGCTGCACAGGGATCCGGTATGTTTATTGCTGGTAGGGTTCTGAACGGATTTGGTGCTGGTCCACTTTTCCAAACCATGTCATTGTAAGTAAAAGCCCAGGTGGATTTTCTATTCAACATATTTGATTGTCTAATTCGTTCTTGTGGACCCGAAGCTACACCGCCGAGATAACGCCCCCTCATATACGTGGCCGGGTAACGGCAACTCTCAACTTAGGCATCGCAGTTGGCGTCTTAGTGGCATATTGGGTTCAATATGGCGCTCTCAAAATTTCCGGTAACACTGCCTGGCGTCTCTGTTTTGCGCTCCAGCTAGTCCCTGGCGCCATAGTTGGCGTTGTAATGATATTTCGGCCAGAGTCCCCTCGTTGGCTGGTCCAACATGAACGCGACGATGAGGCTCTGCAGGTTTTGGCCAAACTTCACGGAAACGATGACTTGAATAATGCTCTGGTTCGAGCTGAGCTTGAAGAAATCCGTGCAGTGGTCAACCTTGAACTGTCTTCTTCTGCACCATCATACTCAACGCTTCTATTTGGAAAGGATTACCGTCGCCGAACGGCACTGGGTATGGGCCTGCAGTGTATGCAACAACTCTCTGGGGCCAATATCGTGCTCTATTATGCTGCGAAAGTCTTTTCGCAGACGGGGCGAACGGGTTCGACTGCGGCTTTGTTGGCTAATGGAATCAGCTCTGCTCTACTAGTCGTCGGTACCTTATCTCTTACGCTACTTTTGGACTTCTATGGGCGTCGAAAGCCTATTTTCCTTGGTCCAGCATTCATGGGTGGCTGCCTGCTAATTGTCGGATCCATGTTAATCGGCTTTGGATCGCCCCAGTTTAATACAATCACAAATGCAGTAGAATTCACGTTTGTGAATCAAAATGCCGGAAACACTGCCGTTGCGTTCATGTTCTTGTTTCAATTCTTCTTTGGCGCCCTCAACAGTTCCGTGCCCTGGACGTATATGAGTGAGGTCTTCCCCGTCGTTGCCCGAGCTCGTGGTACCTCTCTCGCAACGGCCAGTAATTATTTCACAAATTTCTGGTTGGGATTATACATCCCCCAAGCTCTGAATTCTGCATCCTGGAAACTTTACTATATTTTTGGGGGCATCAATTTTATGTGCGCCGTCATTGGATTCCTCTTCTTTCCTGAAACTGCAGGTCGCTCTCTTGAGGAGTTGGATCTATTGTTCGTGTCAGGTCGAAAAACATTCGTTTTCCTGGATCGCGATGCAACCACCAAACGTCCTATGTTAGAAGATAGGCTCGACGCCGAAGATCCAGAGGCCGTGGCGATGGAATTGCGTAAGCAGCTGGCTAAAGCGTCATCTGCTGAGAATTATCCAGGCGGAAATGATAAGGAAGGCATTATTACAGCCACGCATCAGGAAAAAGCTTAGGTATCTGTGAGTCTATAATGGGATGTTAGGGTTCTCGTATTCTCGCTCGTGTGAAGAAAGAATGCATGAGCATATAGTGCCCGGTTCCACGAACTAGTGACTGAGCTGAATTCCAAGGTTGGAAGGGTAATGAATACTTAGTTACCTTCACGTTTAAATCCCTTGGTAAACCCATACGTACTTACGATCTACACCACAGCCTTGTAGCTATCTGTCGGATTGAAGATGGCCGTGGGTGTTCAGATAGCTCTTACGCCCAGTACTATTAGAAACTGGATCAGGATCGTGCAAATTTCCGCGGGATATACTGGAAGCCTGATGCTAGAAAGAGAGAGAGAAAAGCATTGCTGCATTCAGAACAAGTACGCCGGTAGAACGAGTTTCTTTTCTGCTCCATTTAAAAAAGTGTAAAGCTCCAACCAGCATATCAGATACGGTATTGTCAACCCTAATTTTGGTTTAAATACGGCTTGATCACACTCAGCGCGCCGCAGTTTGACTTTTGTTATAGTACAGATCGGTGCTAATATCATATATACGTAGCAATTAAACAGGAATATAATTACTGCCCGCACATCAGATCAACGGCCGACTGCACCACTATCAAAGGAAGTAATTGCAGAAGTCTTCGACCTCTTGATTAAACTCCTCCGGCTTCTCAAGAAATAACCAATGGCTAACCTTAATCATCTTCTTGAGCTTTAACAGAGGTAGATGATGAAACCAATGTCTATCAACCGGTGTACAATTTGAGGACATGATGTTTACCGCAGGAACCTGTTCATAGACTTCGTTATATCCGAGGGCATGGGGTTGAGTCATGGACGTAACAGCAACTGCGCGCACATGTTTTGGCGTGGCGAGCATCGTCCGAAGCACAGTCTCGCGTATATTCTCACTCGTATCGTTGGTAAAAAGGGTATTGATATCCGCAATAAACTTCTCATCCTCCAACCGTGCCTGGCCAAGTCCTCTCCGTTCTTCAGCGTTCAGGTAGCTTTCTGGAAGATGTAGAAAAGAGTCTACATAGATGATTCCGGCAACCACCGTGTCTCCTGCTGCTACCGTGGAAGAAGAGGAACCAAAAAGACGCAAAAACATGGTGGCGATTGGACCACCCATACTGTGTGCTATAAGGATGACTTTCTTGATATTCTCTTGCTCGACGACTTTTCCCACGGCACGTGCAAATAATTCCACGTTATAGTCGATATGTGGTGAATCACTGTCACCGTGGCCCGGCAAATCAATAAGTATCGACCGATGTTTTTCATAGATGGGACTCTGCAATGTCCATAATTGACGATTACAGCTCCATCCATGGATGAATATGAGAGCTTCGTCAGCGACGCCATAGCTGTCATAGACGATATTCATGCCTTGAAACGTCGTTGACCTTGTTTGTCGTTGATTGCCAGCAGCCATTCTTGAAATTGATTCCTTGTTGCAAGCAAGCCTTTCTTGTACATGTGATTGATACTTATAGAAAGAATGCAAAAATTTGAAATCTTTTTGAGTTTCACAGAATGAACCATTGAAACATTCTACTTTCGGAGATTCGTACTTGCCGGAGCAGAATATACCCGAATAGTTCCAGCTCAGCAGGATTGCCAAAATATTAGGTCAGCTGAAAACTTACGAAACATAGCAGGTAGAGAATTAGAGGCTTAATAGAAGATCATGAAAATATAGTAGTAATTTTTTATCTTGAAGCGAAGTTAAAAAAACAAATACCAACGCCATATCCCGGAATGCATCATAAAGCCCTAAAGTCGTGATAAAGAAAGATCGTCTAGTCACTCTATTCTATTCTAGATAGTAGAGACAAAGAGAGGATCGGACAAAGTATCCATCAAGGACGGGGAATCTCAACACCTAACCTGAATAAAACCGATAAAAGAAAAGGTCGTAAATCGTGACAGAAAATAGTTAAAAAAAAGAGTTTACTCCAAGACGACAGCCTCATCCGAGTCATCATCCACAATCTGATCTTGGTCAGCTTCAGAAATGACATGCTCCTTGACCGCTTTTGCGAATTCGCGCTGCATGCCGAATTTGACAGCCTCGAGTACATTGGTTGCGATCTTGTTGGGTGGATAGCGCGGGATTGTGCCTTCTTGAAAAACGCCCGTTTTCACAAGAATCGAAAACCATTCTGCGTCTCCGGAGGCTGTGTGTGCGTTGTATTCATTTGTGCCACGGATGTCTGACTCTGGTGTATCGCCGACAAAGTATACAGTGTCGGGCGCTTTGTTGATCCCGTGAGTATCTTTGCGCCATTGTCTCAGCAGACGGGTTGCAAACTCGAATGTGCCGAGTTGAGGCTTGCCGAATGCGATGGTTGTGAGTTCTTTGCCTGTGACGGCTTTATAGAGCGCTTCTAGGGAAGCGCGGAGTGCACCCATGCCGATACGTGTGTAGTCGTGGGCGGTGGACCAGACGACGTCGTTGTGCGAAAAGTAGATTGGTGGACCTTCCTGGAAGGTTTCGGACCTCGTTCCAATACGTCCATTCTTGGACATCAACAAATCCAAAATGATCTGTTGATCACCCGCCCAATCGCGGCTATCAGCGAAAACAAAAATAGCCTCGATATTGATCTTGTTAAAGTCTCTGACGCGGGAATTGTTCCACTCTTCTTCGGTCAATTTGCGGAATGGCGTGGTTTCAGCATTAGTCTTGATGATGTCTCCTGGTGTGACGACATCCTTGAATCCGTAACCCTCGGCGACTTCACGGCACTTCTCGCCTACGCCGCCAACCACCAAGACGGTGTTGTATTTTTCGGCCATTTCACGCATGGGTGTGTGACCGCAGATGAATTGGCCAGGAGAGACTTCGAGCTCGAGTTGGCGGCTGAGGTCGAGACAGCGCTCTTCTTCTGTTTTGCCGCCGCCGTTGGTGACGAAGATGTATGGTCTATTCATCATCAACAAGGGTTCAAGTCTTTATGAGGAGGAAAGCTTACACTTTGACTCCAAATTCATTTTCGCCGTTGAGGACCTTCATAGCCTCAATGGCTTCCGGGATAACTCGTCCACCACGAATCAAAACACCATCAATATCGAACGCAAATGCATATTTATCTGTAATCGACGATGCGGAGTTTTGTGTCGGCACAGCTTTTAGGACTGGCGACCCGGAAGTCGGGGTAGCCTCTTCGGAAGACGAAGCGGATTCTTCAAGATGCCTTTTGGCGAGTTCAATGGATTGGGCGGTCTCGAATGCATCGCTTTTGGCCATAAGATGTTTAGGAGGGACTAGCACGGTAGGGCCCGAGAAGAGGTCGGCGCGGGTTGCCGACATGGAGCTGAGGCGGCGAGTCCGTTGGGACTCGGGTGCCAGGTAGTTCTCTGCTTCGGCCATTGTGAAGTGTGTGCTATGTGAGGATATTGAAGTTTGGGGATGTGAAGTTTGGGGATGTGATGTGTAGAGGCGATAGGTGGGGTGTATGTGTGGCGGGATATCAATATCAAAGGATGCAAAGATAAAAAAATTTAGGAACAAGGCAGAGAACCTTGGGAGGGAAGAGAGGCAATATACGATGTGAATTGAGTAGGTATTCTGGTATCTAACAGGTTATCAATACTTGGTGGAGCTGGGATGGAGAGCCCATGCTTATATACTCGTAGCAGGCTGTCGTCAGGGAGGCGGCGTCGACGTCTCAGGCACGTAGATAATTGCTCTGTCTCGTGGGAACCAATCATCTCCCCTGCTTTCAGCCAGTTATCATGTCCTCGAGAGTTATTAAGATCGGTATCGCATTCTCGGAAAGAGGCGGGGACAAGCGAAACCTCAGACCCCGTTGAATGTTGCATCTTCCAGTGGATGACTGGGTGTTCAATCGGTGGTGGAGACATCCATCATTTCGAAAGCCGATTCAGAATCTATTCAATGAAACCTAGGTAATGGGCATGGTGAGGTCCACTCTTCTCACTCGCCGGTGGATGATGCTCGAGGATTTGCGAAATGTGAAAGGTTGATGCGAAGATGGCGGTTGGCGAGTGGAGCCATTATGGAGCAGTACGGAGTGTGTATTGTAAGAATGCCTACCTACCTATCTGCAGTGCAGCTGAACGAGCGCTCCTTACTTGGACTGTTCGAGTCAAGTAAATCGACGGTGTGCTTTCTTGCATACGGCTGCATCTATCTAGTTAGTAGTTATGCTTCTGAATTGCAAGGGCAGACATATGTAGTGGGGGGGGCTTAGTCAGAGTAGAAGTGTAGATTTGAACAGTAAGATACAACTATCTCGGGGGGAAAAACGGAGTTGTTTATAAATGGAGTGAACTGCTTTTCGATCAAGGCAATCCATCTATTTCTTCCATCCATACAAGTTCTCGCACAGAATGAACATATTTCCTGGCCAAGTTGCGATGATGATTGATCTGATGGATCAAAAATACACGTAACACAAATACGCCTCGTGGTGGCTGAGCCGCTCGCACGTCACAGCCCTTGAATACGTACCATACAAGACGGACCGGTGCACCCATGCACAAAATAGTCCAACAACGTCACCAATCACTTCTTCTACCAAGCCGGAAGTACGTATTCAGAATAAATCTCTCATGAGCAATTTTGTCTCGTAGCTGAAACATAGCGTCTTCCAGTAAACCCATTAATTCACCGGCCAATTACTCGTAGTGTCAAGGTACAATGCAACACCATTGCTGCCATACAGGATGATTGGTTCAGATCTAACTCTGCGCAGACACCGAGTACTTTTCCTTACAAGCAACATACTAAGAATAGTATTCTCTTTTCTGCTTTTGATAGTGTACTTACCCCTTTCGAAGCATTGCATATAAGTTGCTTGCAATACGCGAAAAGTGTGAAAGTATGGCACAAAGGTCGAAAGAGTCGTCAAATCAGATGTCTCTGAGAGGATTGGAGGGGTAGATCATTGTTGAACTAATTAAGGACGATGTCATTCTATTTCCGCCACCCAATTAGAGGGTGTATTTACGGTGTATTTGCGTTGTTACGGTGGTATTTGGAGGGGCTCGGTATGGATTAGATAATCCGCTTTCCAGGCATGTGAATGTTGCACTAAGCCTTTTTCGGAATGATCCATCGGGCTGTTTCGGAATGCTTGACGTCACTGCTTAAGTTTGGTGCCTGAGGCATGTGCGCGCGGATGTCAGATTGGGGAAAGGTTTGACATTTACGACTATCACTATCAACATTTGGCATGGATGAGGAGTAATATCTCCAGACTCAGCTGCCACCGAACCAAGGGAATAGCGAGATGAATGTATCCACTTCCCCGTGTCGACGATGTCTATCATCGTAGAGAATCCCGAAACATGGGCGATATGGAGCATACCCCAGGTCTACGATGTCTATCACTCAGGCTAGGTACTTGTGGTGGACAAATTCTCCACGATGGAGTGCACCCCAGCCTGTTGATACCACACTAGGTATCGGAGCAATTTTTCTAGCCAGAGATCTGGGCGTTGTATCGGAAGACAACTCCGCATATCACGCTGGGACAGAACGATATGCCAATCAGGCTGACAGCGCTTCTGGGATTATAATTGAAGTGCTATTATACTGAAGCTATGACCTCAGGAAGCAGCTTGAGATAGCCTTAGCTCGGTTTATGCCGAGTATCATCATCATCAGACTTGGATGCCGAACATCTGATAATAGCAGGTTCACATGTTCAGATGTATCAGGGGGAACGTTCACGGGCCTGGAGTCTGGACTGGATCGAAATCGGCCTTAGCAAAGACGAGACTAGATGTTTGTTTACGTCATCGTAGATTGTATCTTATGGTACTTTGTACTTTCACTCATAATCAGCATCTCTGTATATGGCTATATGGTACCGTGTTATACGGCATCATCGCTCTCTAAATTTCTATCTTGTAGTAATATACGTACGGATTTGACATAATTACTACAGTGTAGATGGAAGAATACAAATGACTCGGTTCCTGGTACGTACTACGTACTAGCAGGTAAACACCCTCGGAGCACAGTACACCTAGACCGTCCTGCACAGTTACATACCACCCGCAAAGCTTCTCCCCTGAACGTAAACATCGGCCCCATGTCCCCCGAGCCGTCCACGCCCGCCAATGCCATCTGTATCGGCTGTGCACATCATCCTGCATTGCCGATCCAAGCCCTGACCTCTTTTCTGCGCTGCCGAGTCAAGTGCGTTGGTCGGAGCTACGTACACTCGTTCGAGGTTGACGTCCTACCGTTTGTTTAGACTTGGGCAAGGGGAAATCGAACAGGTGGCTTGCAGGTGGCTTGCAGATACTTTATACTTATACTCACCTTCGAATATAAGTCTTCATCATTTCATTTAGTGCAGGACGATCTGAAGTTTCTAAACTAGTCTGGTACGTTAGTAATAGTATGTATTCGGAGGAGCGTATTCCAGCACCCATTACATAGAAAAAGACGTAAGTTTTTCAAAATGTACGTATATGGAAAAAGTGATGCCATATTACCGAGAAGTATCTTATTGCTCTTGATTATAGAGGAAGATGACGATGGTTACATTTTCCTCTATCAGCCCTACGGGCCAGCCACTGACGTAGCCAACAACACCACGCACAACGGAGATAATCACGGACGAACTGCAATAGCTCTTACACCATTATTAACCATGTACGATACAGTTTATGGAAACAATTAATCTCGATATTATTCATTTCTGTGATTTGCAAGACGTCGATGCCTACCTTAGCAGGTAGAGTTAGGGCAAGGTTCGAGAAACCCTATATCATAGTACATCTTCCCGCTTCACCATCAATGCTAGGGGCCAATTAATTAAGCCATGTACCAAAAAAGTAAGATTTTCAACAATGAGAACTGATCAGTTACCCCGCTACCGCTCTGCAATCTAGATACATGATGGTCAATGTCGCTGTCCGAAGCTAATAGACGGACATGCCCGAAAACTTCTTGTAGTTTCTGAAATGCCAAGGATAATTTTCTGGTCAAATGCAAGGTGAGACCTTCGACGATTCTAACGTCCCCTTCCATACAGCAATGGACAAGCTGCGAGTCACTTTCTATCGGAATGGATAACCTTGATAGGATGGGAAAGTTAAGACAGGTCCTGTCCTACCGAGAAATAAAGTCTCGCAGGTTTAAACCATCTAGGCTGTCATCAGGGCGGCCAAGCAGGCTTTCAAAAGTAGAGGTATCGCAGACGTGGCGGCTACTATTCTGATGAAATCCCACGTTCGAAACGATCCACTGTGGTGACCTGAATGAACGTACATGCTTCACAAGCTGACTGTAGTTCAAACCCTGGAATGGACGGGAAGGTCGTGGAGAAAGCATTGCATGCGACTTCAATTCCTTTGTCAAAGCTCCGTACATGATTGAGCTGCATTCAAATCCACAGCCCAGCTTACCGTCCAGCAGAGCCTCGTGTTTCTCATGCAGTAGGTCGACAATTTCCTCGATACCTTCATGTCTGTGGCGGTTCATAGATTCTGGCAAATTTATTAGACATTTATCAGTCATGAACGATGAACGAGAGTCCAGCTTACCAATGACCCGATCAGGAATTGGGAGTCCGAAATTACTGATTACACCATTGCTATGCGACATGGCCGTCGCGGTGATCATATGAAATCGCTTCTCATACCGAAAAGCCCAAGAAATCCACAACCACAAGACCAAATCCCGACAATATATCCCAGGGAGTCTCTCATCCAAAGCCTCTACCCAAATATTCATGAAAAGCCCCATCACATCCTTGCACTCGAAGTAGTCCGCAATAAAAGCGACTTTCGCAAGCATTTCGACGGTAAGTTTTCGCGGCATCTGATTGAATTGGCAATGCATGATTCGCAGCAGAATTAGAAACGCTTCGATGTCCCAGTCCCCTGTTATGATTTCGACGGATCCCTTTTGTAGGAATGTGATACTCTCTTTCCATGAGCTTGTGAATGCCTTCTTGAAGAGGGGGGAGGCACTCGTCAGATGTTTCGCGGATACTTGGATGCAGAAACGAGGGAGATCCGACTTTTTGTCGTTGTTTTGCTCATTGTGACGAACGCCCGAAGCACTGGTGGCCATTTCGCTCATTCCAAACTCGGTAGACTTGTCATAATCCTCATCCTCATCCTCATCCTCATCCTTTTCGACTTTCTTCTCTGTGATATAAGCTTCAGACGCAAATGGGGCATTCGCATTGCTCAGGACGATCATCACTTCACCGTCTGGGTCGATAATGTGAGTTGGCTGTTCCATGATGGTTGACTTTTCAGCAATCGCTGACGGTGTATTGGTCGGTGAAGAGGGGCGGGGTGAGGTGAGAGGAGAAAGTAAGAGCAAGAGTGAGAAAGGTGAGAAGTTGCCCCGGTCATGTCAACTGAGAAAATCCTTTACAAACAAAATTCAAGCGTCTTTCCCCTCATTTGATACAAAATCATAAATGTCATACTTATAAGAGACATTCGTGTATACATAAATAGTTTTGGTATGCAATATATTGTCGCAACAGATCTATACGCTAAATAACAACAGCCGAGAAAAGAAAACGCTCAAAAACAAAAAGTCTATATATTCTTCGATTTATGAATCAATCTAGACTTCAAATCCATGATCCAACCAGTGCCGCACCACAATCTTGCCCTCAGAGAACCCAGGCTTGGGCATCCGCACTATAATCGCTGCATGACTGTGGCGAGCTTTATGAATGTACACCGGATACTTTTTGATCCCCACCGCATTCAAATTATCAATAATTTCGAACTGTGCTGGCGTCAGAGCCAAGAGCGGATATTCTGATTTGTCGCCTTCTTCGGTCGTGGTTTCGGATTGAAACTGTTTTTCGACAGATTGCTTTAAAGAATGTCGTCGGATTTTGGTGTTGTGTTCCTCATCGTTGCGTTCTTGTTCGGAAAGGTATTCGTTGCTCTGCGATGCGTTGAGATTTTCAAAAACGTCTTCCACTGCGCCGCGGACGTCTTGCATTATCAGCGGCACTCTGTATCGACTTGGTAAAAGGTCCGCCTTGCCCTGTTCGTATAGTTTGATGCGCTGCTGGCTGAGCATATTCTGAACTACAGAGTTGGCCAGAAACAACACTGTAAAGATTGGAAGGAATACTGTTAAAAACAGATAGGATAATGTTGTCGTGTAGAACTTTTTAAACGCCTTGTTCAGTCCTGCGAAATAGCTAGACGTCTCCTCCGTCGCTTCCTGCGTCGGAAGGACGTACTGGTCCGGGTTGATGATAACCTGTTCGTATCCATCCACATAATTTATATTCGCCCTCTCCGGGTCGGGGAACGGATCGGTCTTTGAAATTGCAGTCGTATAAAACACCGTCGAACGATCATTCACAATATTCGCATAGACACTCCGATTCTTGAACTTGGCCAATCCACGTATAAATATGCTGTTCGGGTCTGCTAACAGACTAAGCAACGGCTTCCCCGTCCCTCGAAAGTCATCAATCATGAACAATTGCCTCCCCGAAATCGAGACTGTGCGAGCCCCGAGGACATTCCACATATGACTCGGCCACCCTTTTATCGGCGACCGCACGCCAACATGCGGCGACACAAAGGTCGTGAAATTCATCGGCTCGAGTTTGTCCAACGTTCCATTTGCTTCTAACAACCCAATTGCGTAGCGGGCCACTAGCCCTCCGAGCGAGTATCCGACAACACTCAATTTTGTGATCGTATGGCCTTTGGCGGATAATTGCTCGAGCGTATCTTCGATTTCGTGCACGACTCGCTCCCCGCCGAGCTCGATGCCATCGTACGTATATGTCCCCGAATTGCGTTGCGCTGCAAGTATATAAACCCCCTCTTTTCCATATCGTTCGCGGATCGCAGAGGCGACGTAGTCTAAATGCGACGGATTTCCCCATAGCCTGCGCAGTCGCAGTCAGTTAATTGCACGCAATTAGAAATCGTCCAATGACGTCAGCGAAAGTAACGTACCCATGGACAAGAACACACAAATGATTGGGTCTACAGCCCGCATTGTCGTCTAGGAAGTCGCCCATTTCTTCGAGGAGTCGGTAGCAGTCGTGCGACAAAGGGCGATAGGAGAGGATGCTAGACCAGGCGAAGGGGAAAGCCATCTTTCTTTTCAATGCGGCAGCCTGGATCCGGATATAGGAGATAAGTGCTTAGCGGAGATGCGATCGGGCCAATCACGTGGGTTGCCGATGTTTGCCTTGTTTGTTTGGCTGAATCGTCTGTGCAATTGTTCACTTCTTTCGCTCTCTTGACGAGGTCGATGGTTGATGTTCACACAGCTATCGTATATAATGACTGCTCTGTCTGATGTCCGGAATATGTCCTCGAAATGAATCAGTTCCGGGATTGAGAAGACAGCCAGTTCGTTTGAGTGCTGATTTCAGATGACGATCCGACGACTGCCTGGAATGACGGGAACAAAATGACTGGCATGCAACACTATCAGTGACTCGTGAATTAGAAGTGAGCAAGAGATGAGACTACAAAAACCACCAAAAGACCAAGGCTAAGCGATTATATACCGATTGAACTGTGCGAGATACATCACATCTACGCGGACACCTCCCTTATCATTATATTCTTATCGGGTGCCCAATCGCCACCTAGACATTGTTCGTACAACCAAGGACTCTGAATTTGAGGCTTATCTCTGTGCACAAGATAAGCTCGTTTCACCGGTGGCGCCAACACTGCACCTATTGGACTATTGGCGGCTGTTGTACGGCGACCTTATCATATCATTCACACCGTCTATTCTACTCAGGTCTGCATGCCGATAACGTACGGCTCTACGCTAGTTGATCTTGGGCATCATGTTTGCTCCGCTAGGGCTGTTTAAGGGTGTTGTTTGTCCCGAGGGATCGCATTGTGGGCTGTTGAACTGCATATTTCTGCATCAAGAGCCAAAAATCTTGGAAGCCGAGCAAGGCCCGCGCTTGGACCAGACAGATGTTGTTCGTGAACCGGCGGAGAAGAAGCGGAAACTCGTCCACGACCACGATGAACAGCCCAGGAACCCTGGACCACAGCGCCAGACTGCGAAAACGACTGCGCCAAAAGAGATCAAAGATCTTGCATCTGCCCGGAGAAAGGTGTCCCCTCCACCCAAGACACAGGAGAAACCTACCAAGACAGCAACAGCAACAGGCCCAAGCGTGAAAAGAAAAGCGCCTAAAGAATCTTTGAACCCAAGACTGCTCAAAAAAGCGCCTGCGACGCATTCAGTCCGCTCTACAATTCTACTCAAACTCCATGGAGCCATGAAGGCGCTGAACGAGAAAATGACCAAACTCAAAGATCCCAGCAAGGCTTCTCTAATCTTGACGCCTGATGAGTTGATTGTCATGGCGCTGGATGAAGAGCAGAAAACGGCAAATGAGAATCCGTCTGTGTATGGGAACATCATCAAACTCCGAATCGTAAAGCTGTCGCGAATGAGTTTGGAGGATTGGGAGAAAGAGGTTGTTGCGCATCTCAATGCGCGATATTACAAACTACAGCCCGCCAAACCGAGTCATCCAGACCAGAAACGATACACAACAAATCTAACAGAAGATGAAGAAATTGCGGTCGCACGCACGCTGCACACTGAAATTAAAGGCAAAGAACAATTCGGCTACATCACCCACATTCCAACAGAAGCCGAAATCCTCGAAGCGCAAAAGGGTGTCGAAGCAGCAGATGGGTGGGAGAAGTGTGACCGCTGCGGAGGCAGATTCCAAGTCTTTCCCGGTCGTCGGGAGGATGGTGCTCTTGCTTCTGGAGGACAGTGTACGTACCATCCTGGAAAAGTGTTTCGGCCGCCTAGAAAGGCGACCGATCATATTACTGGTGGTCAAACAGAGGCGTATTTCCCGTGCTGCAACGAAACGGTTGGCACCTCAGCCGGATGTACAAAGGCGGACCATCACGTTTTTAAAGTGTCGGACCCGAAAAGACTTGCTGCTATATTGCAGTTTGAGGAAACTCCAGCGAATGCCGCGAAGGGGAAAAACCCGGTTACGTTTGATTGTGAAATGGGATATACAACCTTGGGCATGGAACTGATACGTCTGACGGCAGTGAGTTGGCCACAAGGCGATACCTTGCTCGACGTATTAGTAAAACCATTTGGAGAGATTCTCGACCTGAATTCTCGGTACTCCGGAGTCTTTCCTGAACACTTCGCATCTGCCATTCCATACACCAAAACTCCGCCTCCTGGGGAAGCCGGAGAAGGAAAAATGCGAGTCGTCGATTCTCCTGCCGCAGCACGAGCCTTACTCTTCGACCTTATCGATCCTTCTACACCCTTGATCGGGCACGCGATTGACAACGATCTAAACGTCGTACGCATCATTCATCCTACTATCATCGATACGGTGCTTCTCTACCCACACCCACGTGGGCTGCCGATACGATATAGTCTCAAGTATCTGACTAAACTCCATCTTGAGCGGGACATACAGATGGGTGGCGACAAGGGGCATGACTCGAAAGAAGATGCGTTGGCGACGGGAGATTTGGTTAGAGTCAAAGTTGTCGAGAAGGCGAAAGCGCTGAAGAGGGATGGAAAATGGCCATTGGCGAGTTGATTACGATGAATGTATATACACTACGAATTAGACTGCAGTTGCATAATGGAAGCATTCCATTTAAATGTATTTTTTACTACCCAGACATTGTGTCCAAAGTAGCTATGACACCCCAATACAACTAGTTACATCAGGGGTATCACTTTTTTTCTTCGTCCCAGCAGAATCCTCCCGTCGAACCGTGAATGGGCAACCGGCTCTCTAGTCCAACCCTACTGTCGCATGCAAATCATTTCATTGAAGAAATAATTTACTCCTCGTCTTCATCAGCCTCGTCGCTAACGACGTTGTAGAAGCGGAGCTCGTAGACACCCTTGGCGGTAGAAACGACGCGAAGCCAGTCACGGAGCTGCTGCTTCTTGAGGAACTTCTTCGTCCTGTACCCCGATCACAATTAGCACGATTGCCCCCCAAATATGAAATTTAATAGTGAGGGGTTCAAGACGTACAAGTACTTCAAATACCGACCGGAGAAAGGGATGTGAGTAACAACCTCAATCTTTCCATCACCAGACTGGGAGATCTGGACATCGTCGCCGAGGTTTCCGACGCGGCCCTCAACCTTGATGCGGTCGTGCAAGAACTTCTCGAAAGCGGAGACGTCGAAGATCTTGTCGCTGGCCGGTTGGGAAGCGTTGATGATGAACTATGCATTCATCAGCACACATGCTCATCAAAAACAGGATAAGATGAGGGAGGGAAATGGAACATACCTTCTTGGTGACCTTCTGAGGCTTCTTGGTGCGAGCCTAATATATCCGAAATGCCATGATTAGCCTACTGTTCCTTCTCTTCGGAAACAGCAAAGCAGTTTGGTTCAACGTACAGCGGTGGGAGCCATTTTGATTGATTGTTTTGTTTGTCTGTTCGACTGACTTGACGAGAGGTATAAGAACGCAAAGAGGTGAATATCCTGCGCCTGCTGAGAAAGTTGTGGTTGTCGAGCTGGTGGAGTATCACGAAAATTTCCCGACGGTTAAAGCTGGAAGCCGCAATGTGGATTTGGTGGTTTCCTGATTGGGCGGGAGATAGGGCTAGGGCTTCTGTGCTAGGAGCATTTGATTGGCGGGCTGTCCGCCTCGGTAAGTCCATTTGCATTGTTTACATGTTTGCACCCTTTGCTTTCTTCCTCACGCACAGACCACTTCCCTGACATATATAAACTGTCTCCCGCCCACCTCTCTTTCCATTCTCTTTCTTTCTTCTTTTCCTTAGCTCTCTTTGCCTTTTGGCTTAGATCAAGTGTAGTATCTGTTCTTTTCAGTTTAATCTCTGAAAGTGTTCTCCGGAACACCATTGATTATTCTCATTTTTGTACCGCGCACTTCAAAGTCTCTGTGCTTGCACATGCTTTGGTGCACAGTGTCCTCGGTCTAACACTACCACCGAGTGATGCGAATACTTTCGCTTTTTCATTGTTCAGTCGGCTTGTTCGGCGGGATGGAGAAGAAGTTTCTATTCTGAGAGTAGGCAATGGTCGTTGAGGTCTTGCGCTATCTGTTGTCGAGATTCTTGTACGTGATGTCTTGTTTATTTGACCGTTTGAGTAAATGATCTTAGATTTTGAGTGATTAGGTTGGAGTTCTCGTGTACGTCTTGAATAATGTAAACAGAAAATTCATAACGGTTGGTACGATTTTCGATAGGTAAGCGAAATATCCTTCGACTTCTGGCAGAACTGAGCACTGACATTCCAATCAGCTCATGAAGCCTCTTGTCTGAAAGCAATACAGCATGCCGATCCGTTCGCCCTATCGCTATGACTCTACTCGTCGCTCTCGACCATGAACCAGCTGCGAGGGACTCGTTCGAACGAGTCCGCACGACGCGCACAAATCGGCAACAATGCCACCAGATAGAATCGAAACAATGCGACGGATAGAGAGATCTAGGCAACACGCTGAAAGGTTCTGCCTATTCACGATTGCTGGAAAGTGGCGATTTCTGGGGAGATGACTGGGAGAATGCTGCCTAAAATGTGACTCGGTGTTGGCGTCACACAACGTCGATTGGGACTTCTAGCTGCCTACACAGTCAAGCAGCCTAGAATGTGAACAACCTGCAAAGCATAGCGGGGATTCAGTTCGACCGCTTGTTGCTCTTGCTGTATCATTTCCAGCCTGTCTTCTTTGATTTGGATGCGTCGATATAATTCTTAAAACCCCAAGTCACGAGACAGTCCCACCCCAGTTTCGCAAGGAATCGAGACTCGGAGACACATCTCCTCCCAAGAACTAGAATTGCAGTGCAGTAAGCCACCATCCCGGGGACATTAGAAAGACACAACGCCACCTTAGATCCAATTCGTTAGGCCTGTTATTTTATATGCTCTTCGAAGCTAGAATTGCAGTATACTTAGAAAGGCGCAGCGTTGGGACACAAATTTCACGTATTATGTCCCCGAGGTCGCTCTCAGTCCCTCTGAGGAGCTAAAATTGCAGTGCACACCCGGGCCATTTGAGTTGAGCCTCATCCCTCCAGACAGCAAATCCCGCAGTGCGAACTCTTATAACTTCATTTATCATACTGGTTATTCCATGACTCATCAGGCCGGTAATTGCACATTACCCAAGCTTGCTAGGTTGATGAGCCAGCACAAAAGTGACGAAGGCAAGCAAAGCTGTATAGTAGTTTGCACCTTCAGAGTAACAACTGACACACTCTTCTCTTTCATCTGCCCCTCATGTGCAGAGAATTTTAATCTCTATTTTAGAAGATGCCATGCGCAATAAAAAAGCTTTGTAGAGTAGACGTATCGAGCTAATTAATATTCAAATTTGGAGACCTATCTGATGAAGTAAAACACAATTCTTCTTTACAAAATGACTTTGAATTATGTATATTTGCGAGGTTCGCCGGCCTTGACAATAGTACAACGGAAACATAGCACATTCTTCAGAGCAGACCAGGATGAATTTTCTTCCACTCCACATAGCGTTCCTTCCCTGAAACACTTTTTCTCATGCAGCGGTCAAACTCATCTTGAGCTCCTGGCTGGCCAGGTCGTAGTTTTAGCCTGTAAGGCCATTTCTCGATGATAGTATGCTTTTCTTTGATCATTGCGCCGAATACATGACCAGCCTTGTGGACTTCAAAATCCTTTAGGAACCTATAATAACAGTAAGACAAAGCCTGGCTGCTTCGTCAGAATCAAACTTACCTGTCAAAAACGTGGTCGTAGGTTGTCACAAGATCCCGACCAATATTGAACTTGATAAGTGCAGGATCGTATTTGGAGTTTCTTGCTCCTTTTGGAGGGAGATATCTGAGTAGATCTCTCGTTGCTCGACTATGGGGAGTCAAGCCTAGCATTCTATCATCGTCGGTCAAGCTCTCCTCAACTGCATTCATGAAAAGCGTTATCAGGGTGGCATGTGGGTTCTGCACCGGACTTTGAAGTAAGGGAATCATCAAATGTAATGTACGGTGAATTCCTAGCCAGCCCATATCCGAGATGTTTGACACCTGCGTAGGGATATTAGTCTCGTGATATGTGCACGCATAGCATGTCAAAAAACTGTGGTTCCTATCTTCAAAAGATATCCAGTCGGGGGGAGTGGGGAGCGTATTTGACGGTGTTAAGAACTTACATCAATGCGGCAAAAAGAATCAGTATCAAGACTACCGGGAAGGAAAGAGGCATCAAGGTGAAGAAGTCGGAAGGAGATACTTGAGCTAGAAACTCGATTCAAAAAGGAGAAAAGTAGATCGCTAAGGTAAAAGAATAATTTGCCGTAGGTATCAGCAGTTGCAGCTCCGCTTGTTGTATTCAAAACCTCATTTAATGGCCACCCATCAAGGGGGTTTGCACTGTCTTTCATCGGCCAGGTATCAACCGTTTGGAAGAATGTCCTATTTCATGTCAACATCACTTTTGAAAATTAACTTGTTCCGCTGACGCACGGGTTTGGCGCCCTAAAATCCTGGCGCGGGAATCCGAACGGAAGCAAAAGGCCATCCTGGCGAAACTTGTGAAAAGAGATTCGCTCGGTAGGGGATAGGCAGGACATATATCGGTCGCGATAGTCTCTCCTTGAGAAGGCTAAGGTGTTAGCTGCACGAATTTTTAGTGCCTCCTCGGCTGTCAAGCCTGATGGTTTGTTGAAAATCTGTAAAAGGCGATCCCATGATGATTTCTCGAGGACAACTCTCAGCGAGCAATGATTAAATGTCCAGGTCTTCCCAAGAAGAGTTCCAGGTGACTTTTTCTTGGTCTTTTCACAGACATCTTCGATCAAAGGCCGTATACGATCATGAAGAATGCGAATATCTGATTCACGCACGAGAGTCGAGTACCACAAGTGAATGATGCAATCAACAGCCTCATGAGAATTTCCAATAACTAGTGCAACAAGAAGCAGAATCAGATTGCGGGCCACGATATCAAAATCTCTATCATTTAACGTGACTTCAAGAAGGTGATTGTAGCTGCTCGGAAGATTGGCAATCGTCTTGATAAGATTCCGAAGGTCTCCAGAAGCTATTGAAAAAGATATTTCGGTTTCAAATAAGTCTCCAGACTAGACAGGTAATAATACGTACCTGCAAATAAGATACGAAGATCTCCTTCATATTCTTCTCCTTCATTCGACCCCAGTTCAAGGACGTCAAAAGCAGGGACATTACCCCAAAGGTATTTCGTCGCTCCAAAAGTTTCTCCGATGCCCGTACCCATAAATGCGGGAGTTCTGTTTTCAAGGACCCAGGCGGGCTGCCATGTATCCTTACCCAGGGCCGACTTACATGCAATCTTGTGGTGAGGCCAGTGGGACTTTTGGCATATTGGACCGCAATACTGTAAGCACATATGTCAAGACCCACTCCTTTGCATAGGTCATCTGGCTATTTAGGTATGAGCTGACCAATATAAGACAACAATTTTTGCATGTGTATTTGCCCTCTTTTTGGCAAGTTGTCTGCTCCGTGCCCCAGTTGGCACAGATGAACCTTGGGCTATTCATTGTAAAATTTTGCTGTAGAACTTGAATACCTAGAGATAGAGACGCGAGAGAAGGAATATAAAATTTAGTCATGCACGAAACGCCTGACACAGGTACAGCGCCAAGAGTGCATGCATGTATGCCCAATATACCTCATTGGACGATGATGGAAATGCCACATGTCAGCCTCAAATCCGCGTATCCCTTACAGTCGTACTGTCATGTGATATTCAATAAGTTAGCTGTATAAATTTTCTAACAGTCCTCTAATGCATAGACTCCAAGCAGCTAGTAGGATTAAGACGAACGAGGAGTCAGTCTCATCCGCTACGATATTAAATTAGTACAGCACTGTAGCTACAAATAATCAAAGATTCGATGTAAAAGTGAGACAGTTTAGAAGCTCCGTTCACACGAACTGGACTGACGACCCATTGTCCAACCCAATCAAGCCACCCGCAGAATCGATCTTACAGGTTTTTTTCCTTCATCATGGCGAGAAACTGCTTCAAGACAGGCTTATTCACCCCGTTGGGTCCACCGAATATCTTCAACGCTTCATCATCTGTCATTGGGCGTGCACTTTGCGCTTGCGTAGCCCAGGCGTCCAACATTCGATCTAACTCTCTCCATGCATGGTCTTCTGAACGACATATCCCAGTCATAGTCAAGGGCGACCCAAATGAGGTCCCGTAGTCCTTTTGTACGATTGCATAGTACGATGTCCAGTCGTCAGTTTCAACACCGATATCATAATCACCAGGACCCCAGATGGTCTGGCAGTTGGTTTGGATGCGTTGCCCCCGAGTAGAAGACATGAGGTAAGATTCAAGCCTTTTGATTGTTCAACTTCTTGTGTCTTTCGGAGGGTAATAGGTAGATGTGAAACAAGATGTTGGAGTCTATGGACGACAACAGGTAGTTTTTAAGAGGAGACCGAGATCATGGTATTTATAAGGCAGCCCACCGGAAACCCCTAGCCCTAACTTTACATATTTTGTAAAAAAATATGTCCCCTTGCAGATGCAGACATCATTCATAGGTAAGTCGATACCTTCTGGCATTAGGTAGCATACTTGCTCCTCTTGCCAGATAAGTCTTCTCTGTATTGAGGCTCCTTGCTTAGTGTTACACAAGACGCAACAGAGCAGAGTGACACTCTTCCGCAGTAACTTTTATAGTACAGAAATTCTTTAAAATCGGGTTGACCAAGAAAGAAACTATTAATTATTGTCTTGCCCTACTAATTACAAATGGCTCTGATCAGAATTGAGGTCCTGATCTATTTTTAGTTATATTTCTTTCGATTGGCTAGGTATTCAGTGCGGAATTACGTTACGGCCCTGCACTAAAGATGCGATTAATCATAAATCTGATAGTGAGCCTGGAGCAATCCACATGTGTTTACTGGTCGAGCCCACATGGAGAATGATTGTGTTTGTTTTATTCATCTTTGAAATTCTTGAGCTGCAGCGAAGCTAGACGACCGAGCCTGTAGCATTCCTTCCACAGATTGCTTATAGCTTCCCTCGCACTGCTACTGCAACAAGCTCGTAAGGCCTATATGTGACATTGCGTAGTGCAGCGTGATGCCATTCTATAGTATAAACCTGTATATATCATGTTATAGTGACTGGTGTAGAAGAAAGCAATGGCAAGGTACCTAAGTCAAGGCAGTGATACATGTAACTTATGGGTGTATCGAATCTGCGAATGCGCAATACCTAGGGAGAAAATTACACGAGCTAGGGTTATTCCGGATCCAGCCATATATAGACTAGAAAATTATTAGTGCTGTTCTAGAGGAAAGAGAAGAGAGTGTTAGTTGTTACTCTGAAGGTGCAAACGACTGTGTCTCTATGAGATAGATGGGGAATACTACCTACTTGATTTTCGTGCCAGGGAAAGGTTTGCAAAACGGTATTAAATAAAGCTGTTGTCGTTTTATAATATGATTTTTACAAATCATACCCTGGTCATATCTACCATATCGGCTTCTCGTCTTCCAGGATTCCACTGGTTGGGCCCGTCCACTTCCTCTATGGAGCTAGGATTGCCGTGTATACGCATAGGAATCTGTCTAGAAATCTGCCTACAACCACAGCAAAATTTTAAAGTTCACTGCCTCCACAGAGCTAAGATTGCAGTGCACAACTATGACTAGTAGATCTCTTATACTTAGTCTATTAATACCTAAATAGCATACTAAAAAAATATAAACTACTAGAGATTACTATATAATTACTTAACTATAAAAGTAATAAAAATAAGACAAGCTGCTTAGCACTGTAAAAAATTATATTAGAATTAACTATCTGCTTAGAGACTAACAAAGAGAAGAATTAAATATAATTCTAATTATCCTACAGCAAGCTAGACTCGCAATCCTCCTAACGAGTTTGAACCGCAGTGCGCCGACGCAGGATTCGATGCATCCCAATTTCTACCCTTCTCATCCCTCCAGGGAGCTAAGATTGCAGTGCAGCGCGAACTATGGCTGTGTTTATCAATCCTGCAGTGCACAGCCCGCTGCAACGGTCCCAAGCCTTAGCCTAGTCAAGCTTACTGCCTAGATATTGTACGTGATGACTTGCCACAAGAGTGATGAGGACAAAGCTGATTCTTGTAGAGCTGCTTGAAACTACATCATAACAAACTTGAGGCTCCGAAGATCGTGAATTGCAACATAGCTATTCGTAGTCTTTGAACTGCGCAGTAAAAATTGTAGTGCATTAAAAGATTTACTCTTTACTAAGTTAGCGCGGCAGATGACAATCCCTCTATAGATCTAAAATTGCAGTGCAGTAAGGGTCGTGCATAAATCCCCTCACCTGCCCTCATTGGATGGTGAGCATGCCTCTCTACAAGATATTGTTAAGAAACCCCCTTACTAAATTAGCATATATATCTCTATATAATAACTCTACATAGCAGCCTATGCTAGTTAAATCTACTCTTTTAGTTAGACACAGTACAATACATTACGCGTTCCCACTCATTCTCTCAGGTCATCACCAATGATCTCAAGACTCAGCCTACTCCAACGTTTTACAGGATAAGTCTGCCTGAAAATTACTGTAGTGATACAAAGTAGACTGGGAAAATTGTCTGATTGGGGATTACTTCTTGCTGCACATTGGGAATACTTTGCGTATTCTTAAGTTATCTCGCGAATCGACTTGAGATTCTTGAAGTGGTGTCACTAGAGCCTTTGCATTCATTTGACCGATATTGGTACACGTGTACTGTGCTGTACTTAGCCGCAAATCGAGACACAGAGCAGTCCTCCGACGCTCACAACCCCTCCAGGAGACTAAAATTGCAGTGCAACCAATATTATATATAGCGATCTCCCCGACTACCTAGTAGGGAAAAAAATATATCAATGACGGCGGAAGGGAAGACTGAATAAACTGAAGGTCGTGTGTATAAGAAGTTCAGTGTTATTTAAAAATATCCATTACTCTACTTTACATCGTCTTCCCTGATTTAAATGTGTTGATATTTATCTCGTAGTCTGAATACAAATTCTACAGCAGTCTCATTCTGCTTGAGCTCGCAACCGTCTCCAGAAGCTAAAATGCAGTGATATTAGGTGCTAGCAATTTTTCTTTTACGTAGTATCTATTAGCTCCGCTTTTAGACCCCGTCTACAGGGGGCGTCTACAGCTCTCTGTGAGGCTAAGATTGCAGTGCAAATCGCCCAACCAGTTAGTGACTCATTCGAGGCTGTGCAGATTCCGTTAGAATTTAGATTTTTTTCCTTAGGAGAGAAAGCAATCATACAGATCGTTACTGGGGTTGGATTGTGTAGAATCACTGCAGTGAAGCTAATGATGATAATCATTTATCTGGTGGATATATCTCCTTCAAGTGCATGGGTACAAGTCTGCGTATTGCGCTCGCAACTTTTCAGAAACCTAAATTACGATCCGTATCTCAATACTCCAGTCAAGCTAAAACTGCAGTGCACGATCTGCAAAAAAACAGCTTGCCTATATTTGGAATAGTCTAACTTGCTTGCTGAATCAATATGAGTCTCTGGTGAAGATGTTTCTACTAAGGCTATTCTCTGATTTGTTCTCTGGAGACATCTATGGATACCTTTTCGATCCTAAAACCCAGATGAATGCTGCCGGCGCGTTGAGGAACAATGTAGTGCATTCATGACAGTGGTATCTTCATCTTCAAGCTCGTGCAAATTCTAGAATGGCCTTCTCCACCTGGGCCAAGTTGCCAAGCTCTTCATTCTCACGCTGAATCTGGACACACCGCGCTTTGTAGCTGCTGTTTCCGAGCACCTTATTTATACCATCTCGAAGGGCCACAACACTAGGTGTGTCTGTTTTAAGGTTCAGAGCAATTCCGGCCCATTCGCCTCGCATGGATACTTCGGCTTTGTCCTCTATTCCACGATTAGCAATGAAACCCAAATGTCGATATAATCAGAAAAACTTACGGCCACGACCAGCGAGGACCATTGGAACGCCATGCATCACACTATGCAGGAAACCACCATATCCAGCATTAGAGACAAAAACATCAGCGTACGGCAAAATCGCGTCGTATGGCAGATAGTCGGCAATTTTCGTATTTCTAGGTAGGTCAACCCTATCTAGCGTGGCGCCTTGTTGACCTAGTACTCCAACGACAAAGACATCCTCCCGATCAGCCAAGGCTTCAATGGTGGGCTTCAAGAGCATGTTGTAATCAAGTAAGAAAGTTCCCTGTGTGACGAAGACAACTTTCTTTCCCTCTTTCTTTGCCGCAATTAGTTCATCCCACCATTCAGGAAATTGCGTCGTCTCTGGATCAATCTCTTTCTTCGGAGGCGCCCCAATGAATCGAGTATTCTTCGGCAAATCACTTCGCGGGTAGTCTAGGCTCGGACTGCAGGGCTGCAAGACCGCGTTCTCGAGGGTGAAGAAGAAATCCAATATTGGGCCTTCGATTTTCGCAGTGGCGCCTAGTTCCTCACATATATTGTTCGCGTACTCAGCGACATCGGCCCATAGTAGCTTACCGGCCTCGTACATAGCCGCGTTCCGAGCACGGCCTTCTTCGCTGGAATCAGGGGGGAAACCTGGCCCGAACGGCGCTGTGTCGATACTGGAAACCGCCAAAGGTACTGTCCTCAAGCTAAGAACCTTGGGAAACTCTGTGTATCCTTTTGGTAGCGGGGCTCCCAAAGAGAAGGGCAATGTACCCATTCCAAAGGTCTCCTGAAGAATGACAATATCCCGCGTGGTGCCATATCTCTCTCGTAGATTCTCAAGAACGCCTTTTAACGCCTTCGACGCGTTTGGCGTTAGATCGATAAAGTTTTTCTTGAGACCAAACACGAATTGTTCTGGACCTTCAGGGATGGAGAGCATTTGTTTAAACTTTTCATCAGTCCATGCGGTTTGTACGGGATAGAATATTGCACCGGTCTTGCAGATACTATCTTCGGATTCGGGACCCGCGATGAAGTGAACCTCGTGTCCCTGTTTATTAAGGTGCGCGGCCTGTACAAGAAGGGGATTTACGTGTCCCGGAACTGGAGGGCAGGAGATTACCACGATGGGTTTTGACGTCACATCAGAAATCGCGACCATTATGAAGAATTGAGGAGGAAGACAGAAAATGCAGAAGATTATTGGCTTGGTCCTGCCTGTGATATGGAAGTTAAGGGAGTATAAACATTGTTGTCTTCGGGCTTGACTTTGTACTTATACGGAAATGGAGTCGATTGGTAGCCCGCTTCAGCTCGAGCTGAAAATGCGTCTAGAATGCTTTATGGACCCCACTAGAGATATTGGGCATTGATTGGACCTGACTAGCTTTTTCATGCCTTTTGCCGGTGTATATCTCTCAAGGTTCACTAAAAGCCCTAGTGGCCATAACTATTTGGAATTTGGATCTAAACGAGAGCTGAGCTACGCACTAAGCTGCAAGTACACTATTACATTTACAGGGTCATAGCAATCTGCAATGCTAAACTGCATTTTTTTCAGCTCGAAATTCTTCGTTTATGCTTTCGTGGCTACACCGTATGATTGGTAGGCGGGCCCAGCAGTCTGTAGTATTAATCAATTCGAACCCGAATTAAGGCGAATGATACAGTTAGSGAGCCATTTCATGCCCCAGCCCTCTGTACATAAGCCCTAAAGCTAGCTCTAGGAGCAATTAAGGAAGCGCTAGAGCCAGCACGCAAAGCCTTCTCCAGTCAATCTAAGCGAATCAGAAACTTGTAAGTAAGCACCTTACGACGCGAAACTTACTGGATATAGTTAGTAGATACCCTAGGGGTAAAACCGTGGACGAAGAGGGGCCTCCCAAATTGCTTATTTTTGATGATTGCGAAACACACTGATGACTCTGGTTGCCTGCTGCATTTGGGCGTTGTTATAACTTGACTGACTCATGGACAAGCAACCCTTTCCTGTACCAACAACTGCCAGCTGGATTAAATCTCTTTTTTCGCGTAATAGCTAATCAACTAGATGAAGTTGTTGATTGACACTAGTACTTCCACCGTGGGAAGATAATGATATTTATTGCCCTTACATTTGTTGATCACAGTCAGGAATCGAGGTGCCAGATGGATTACCAACTGCTTATGACCAGGCGAGATAATTCACAAGAAAAATGGTAAATATGGTGCTATTTCCCGAATTTCTAACGGTGAGGTTTCGCAACGTCACAGTGGTCCCTTAAAAATTCTGTTTGTTCAATTGGGTTTATTGATTGCAAATAATTCCATGTAGAGAATTTTATTAGAGGTTTAAAGAAGGACTTTGTAGGTATGCTCTAGAGAAGTATGCACTGCTGAAGCATACCTAGTTCTGACACCTACTCCTTGCATATAGTCGAGAACAAAAGACGGAGAAAATACAATTCCAAGTCTTTAAATGACATGTAGGCAGACATTCTATCTCGACGTGCATTTAAGCCCCATATTTAAAGGTATAGGACATCGGTATTTAAATAAGCCCAATGCATTAGTGATCATGCTTTCTCCAGAATTCATTCACAAAATCTTCAACGTCCTTCCAGAATACATCAGGAAGCTCTAGAGCAGCAAAATGGCCTCCCTATCGAGAACAAAATTGGTCATTAGCATCAACTCGTCCTCGAATAGTTAAGAATCGGGCAAGAACGTACCTTGTCATGTGTGCGATACCAGCTTACTTTACCCGCATGGTCAATCCACGCCTTTGGCGGATTTACCAGCTCCTTCTTGAACCAAGAATATCCCAGCGGCACATTGACTCCCTTCCAGCCCTGTGTGAGGGGTCCAGGGTCATCGACGACTAGCTGGTGATGAAATATAGTTGTCGGGTAACATTCTGAGAACCAGTACAGAGCCACGTTGGTTAGGATCAACTCTATATCAGGCGTCTCATCCGTCCAGGTAATCATCTTCTCGCCAATCCAGGCTAGTAATCCCACAGGGCTGCAAGCAACCAAGAAGCCCGCCAAGGCCGGCCGCGTGCCATCGAATTGAATAAAGGCAGCTTTCCTTTTGAGAAAATCCATCGTGTCAATGAGAGATTGTGTCTCATCAGGTGTATACCTGCCCGCTTTGATGTCCGCTTCAACATCCAGACCAGGTGGAGGTGGTATATTTAAAAGATTGACGTGGACCAACTTGCAGGCCGGATCATTACTTGCAACAACTAGTGCTGTTGCTGACCCTAGATCTCCGCCTTGGACAACATAGCCAGACTCAGCAAATCCCAGGGTGTGCATCATCTTTGACATCAGACGGGCATTGTCAACGTGCGTGAAGTCCTTATCAATAGGTGGCGGATCAGAGAAACCGTACCCAATATAATGTGGTATTATGAGATGATAAGGCAAGGATGCTGGTCCGGAATTAGCATATCGAGAACGTAAACTGAGGAGCAATGGCAAAAACTCGACGACGGAGCCAGGCCAGCCGTGGAGTAACAGTATAGGAACTGCTGCTGGATTCGAAGAGAACAGAGCGAAGAAGTGGATTTGGTAACGTCTCGAGTCATCATCAGCGATGGTGATCTTGTACTGTGGAAATGAGTTGAGTGTTGATTCCCACTTCCTCCTGTGCAAATATTAGCCTCTTGAAGCTAAAAAAGTAGAACCATAGATTTTTCTTACCAGTCATAACCCTTCCAAGACTCTATCAATGCTACAAGCGATTTCCTTGGAATGCCAAGGGATCCATCTTCGCGAGAGTTTGCTCGATTGGGAGGTGCGATTGGTGAGTTTTCCAGTAGTATCTGCAATCTGTTGATCTCGGCGTCTGGAACATCGATAATGAACGGTGTAAGCTCCGCGTTCGAGGCGACTTGGTGAGGAGGTGTACCAAATAAAATTGGAGCCATTTTTGCCAAATCTTTGGAATTTCTCTACTTCCTAGTTTGGCGAAAGACCCTCCTTAAGGATCCTGGATGCTGTTCTCGAAAATTGTCGAAGGTCGTCGAATGTCTTCGAATATTTTCCAGAATCTTCCAGATGTCCATCATGGTTTTAGTCACGGATAAATTCGTCCGTGATGTACCCCTGCTTGCTCAGACCAAATCATACCTTCGCGACAATGAAATCCGCGGTGTTTCTGGATTCTACCGGCATCGCTACGCTTCTAGGAGTCAGCAACTCACGATCGCGCGAACAGCTGGAATGTTTTGATTAGGGCTGAAAAGTTTATAAATCTAACAAGATATGAGAGGCAACCATCAACCATACTAAATCATAGCGCGGTGTGACACTTGTTGTTGCATAGTTAGTGCTAATAATCCTGAAGTAGAAAATACTTATAGTGAGTGAAGGGCAGCTGAAATATTATTATCTTAAGCATTAGTGTTGATATCTCACATACATATGATACATCTGATGACAGATTTTACTTAGATAAGAGAAAATTGAAAGACTCTAAGATATATTTTTTCAAGACAATATTTCTAGAAAGCTCACTTCATGTATAATTTATGGTCATATATAGGAATAATCTAATATCTTTCTAGATATTAATGACCGCATTGACTGTTCTACGAGCTACACTCTATCCTGAGACATATATCATCAACCAAGCCAATCGTAATAACTAGGCTTGGTTGTTGTCCAACAGTCAAACGGCTCAGTCCACCAGATGCCCGAATAGTACAGAAAGGTAAGGACATAACTACAGACCGCAATATGTCCCGGCCACAGAGGCTCAAGATCACCGACACTATCTTCAAACCATAGAGAACCGATATCAAACCACAAAACGGATCTCAAAATCTTCCAGGCAAGGTGCAACAGCTGCTGAAGAAGGAGTGGAAGCCCACAAGTCATTGTAGCAAGACACAGACCGAACATTTTTGCAGATCGCACTGTACATTCAAAAAGGCTGAGATATGTGCCCGGTTCATGGTTCTCGCCCTTACTACTGGCTGACGTGAAGGTCCATAACATGCCCCAATTCAACATTGCAACGGATAGAGCAGAATAACGAGTTATCCTGAACGTTGATGGCGGTAAAATTTCAGAATTCATCCATCTGCCAAAAAATCCTATCGAATGCMCCCTATSGAGCCAGTACGATAGAAGATCTGGGGTCTCGAAACTCTTTCTCCATCGCCTGCTCAGAGATGTCGCCTGGAGGCGTTCCCGTGCTGTAAGCGGTCGTTGCGAAATAGTGATCATGAGTATTTCTATACTGAGCCACGCGCCAAAGTAGATCCAGCCAATAATCTGAGTAAAGATTGCACCTGATCCGTCGACAATCGCGAGCTTCATTACCTGTAGGATCATCGGAAGCCATATGAAAACACGAAAAGAAGGACCTCTCTCAAAATCCCGCACGAGATTCAGATGTTCTTGGAATATCTTGTCGCATGTCCTGTGATACTCTCGCTCAATTTCTGGCGGAAGATGTCCGATATGTCGATAACCATTCAATATTGCCATCTCGTTCCCATCGCCATTGCTGCCGAATCCAGTCTCTTCATCAGTATGATCATCCATCTTTTTCAAAAACGCTTTGATGTCACTCGGTTGCCACGAATTACCAATTCGCACCGCCATCAGCGTATGACATACAACTGGAAAGGATACATTCGCCCATAATAATCCTTGTATAATCCTCTCGAAAACAAAGCAAGCCTCGATTAGCGCAAAGACCGGCGATAACCGCCACATGCGACCGGAACGATTCCAGACCAGACATCCACGTGGATGAGCGATGTATCCAATAGTCAAAGCTGTAAGAGTGAAAAAGGCACTTCCTGCAGACCAGTTGGCGTCTGTGCAGGGCGGGCTGGTCTGCACTGCGCTCGGAGGCGGAATTGGGGATTGTCTGTACCACATACCAATGGTGTACCAGATGAACCAGACTAGGTAGAGTGGTGTTATGACAAAAAGCCATATCTGCACCAAAGCGCGCTTTTCTGGATCTGAGATCATGGCGCGTGGATATGGCTAGGGTGGGATAGATGGCGTTCTCAGTTTGCTTCCAGCCAGACCTTCGTTTGTGTATACAGCCTGGTAACTTGTGCTGAAACTATAGAGTACTTATCAGTCCATTTTATTCATACATCGTGCAGTGCTGCAAGGCTGATCTAGAATGGAGTTCTGATTAGTAATGCCCAATCACATCGTGAGCCAAGCGAGACAGGCAGGCTGAAGCTTAGAGCTTGGTGTTTGACGATGTTGGCACAGACATTACGAGTCGTCCTTCTTTCTCTGTTGTCTATATATAAGTTGTTATCCGGCTCGATTCTGATTGCTTTCAAGCATGACAGTCTTGCCTAGTATAGCCGACATAGTCGTGTATTCCGATGCATGGATTATGATATTTTACTCGATCGCATGTTCCATGAGTTGAGAGTATTAGTAAAAGCCAATTGACGCCGTTCTATGCAATAGCATGCATAAAACATATATCTTTTACGTGATACCTCCCGGTAAAGTTAGGTCAATCTCGTACCATGATCGTAGCTTGTTATGAAATGTGTTAAATTCTACAGTCCCCGCCGCCATTTCCATCTTCGGCGCCGGAAAACTATTTTCCGTACCTTACTGCCTCACTACCTCAGGCAGCATTAAGGAAGACGCTGAGATTATATATATGCACTAATTACGATAATCGATTTTGTGAGCATTATGTAGATTGGCAATTCTGCGCTTTCAAAACATTCCACTAAAGTGGCTTCCGCACCACCAAGTAGAACCATGGCGTATCAATGCTAACCCCCTGTCGGAATTCCTTTGACAGATGGTCCAAAATGTCGCGCATCTCTTGTGCCCTGGCACTCTCAGCACCTGATTCTCTTTTTTCAAGGCCAGCGATCACTTCCTCTAGGCCCATCGTGACACACTGATTCCAAATGGGACGGTGTAAATCGTTGAGGCGAAGCTGGTCATAGGCGATGGCTTCAAATCTTGCCGAAGTGGCCATATCACAGTTCGGAGTAATCCACCTGCCCGGAAAATAAGTTTCAGTTAACAGATTAGATTGGAAAGAAAAATCCCACTTACAGAGCGGCATCTGGTGGTGTATTTTTCATCATCGTTGCAACAAGAGACGTTCGGGTCATACTTGCGGGCTCAAGGCCAATGGGTTTGACCGACGGAGCGTCAATGTCGAGCCATTGAAAAAGACCGCCTGGTTCTACGCAGTGTAAGTCGTAAGTGGTTGTAAATATCAAGACAGAGAAATCGCGATATACACATACTAAGTAGGGCCATAATATTCTGAAGCAGCTGATTCAAGATCTGTCCATTGAGCAGAGTTATGAAAAATCGCAGATTGACAATGTCATATTTCCCATGATATTCCGATAGCAAAGGCTGGAATGCATCATGCTCGTGGATAGTAATGTTGGGAGATACCCAAGTGGCAGAAGGATACTGATCACCGGATATATCGAAGCCATCTATCTGCCAATGGGGCAGTTTTTGAGCTAATTGCATAGGCCAGATCCTATTGATGAATAGGTCGGTATCCGTTCCATAAGTCGATCCAGACTGAACTTACGCTGTGCCAGTCCCAATGTCTGCGACTCGATGCGGGGTGGACAGATCGATACGGTCTTGCGTGGCTTGGTGCAGTAGTTGATTGTCCGTAAGTGTAGTGATTAGAAAATGCTGATAGTTGAGACTGTTATGAATATTATCAGTAATTGAAAATAGTAATAGGAAGAATGTCCTCTGTACCGAACACTGGCTCCCTGGTGATTCCTATCAAACACATATCGAGGCCGGTCGACAAGGTCTGAAGCCATGGTGTTGAAATGGATCTAGTGGTGGTCTCAGCCTTAGTGAGCGGATGGTGCTTTAGGCAACCACCTCAATATCTGGGAAGACTTAGCTAGTACTTATCAGTTCTCAGATACACGCTATGAACGAAAAGTCTAGGTAACTAGGTACAAGACTTCTCTACATGTAGGATGTGTACCTTCCGCAACCCATGTACCATACGTCCCGTCTTAAACAGCGGCATGCTGAGCGATTTTAATATGGTACAAGGAATACGTATGCGTTAGCATTATATTATGGCTATTCTGGACGCGGAATAGGCAGCATGAATACTGAATCAGAGTCATATTTCCGCCCTCATTAGTCGATTACATTTTCCGGCCACACCATGTCCAATTACAATAAAAAAGTAGAAGCGTGGTCGAACAATCTAAGTATAACACGAGTTTGCCTCCAGCGCAAGGAAGTTGCACTCGACTGACAGGGTCGGTGTCCAAGTCCACTACCAATGCACAGCCACCTAAGAATGAGCAGGGGTCGGCATTGATTGTCTTACAGGCAAACAAAGGAAAAGCAGGCAGAAACAAGAAAATGAACAAAGACTTGCTTCCGGTAAATCCTGAATATCTCTGGCTCTCAAGCTATATGTCGTTATTAGTAGAACCTCTCTGTCAGGTTACGACATCGATACGCTACTACAGAGTTGACAGACAAAGAAAATGTGATCAGCAATACTGAAGAGCTTCAAAAGGACAGTAGAAAGCTGTCATCAGATATTCAGCCTTCAGAGGACCATGAGATATCTCAGATGGTTGTAACCCAGATGAGGACTTCGGTGGACTTGAATCCGCTAGATCTTCTATACTGCATCTTCAAAATTCGCACTCCATCATTGATTGACCGCCCCAAGATGTCTTTGACTGAAGCTAAATCTTTGATCAAAACACACTCTCAGTTGCCATACGCCTGACCAGATGGTTCCCGGAGCCGCATACCATATATTAGTGCTTATGGCAGGKTGGCAATCAAGACAGCATCTCGAAAAAACGTCTTCGCGTAACAGGAAATCAAGATGAGATAAGACACAATCTGGAATTTGAACAAATTGCAAGAAATTCATTTATTGCTCCTCAATATCCCTTTGGGAGTCAATACCGTCAGACCAAAGGCGGGGAGACGGCGATATAGCAGTTGTTGCTGCGGGTGTAGGACCAATACGGCCAGGCGGAAGGGAGGCGATGACTACATTATGTTTCCCGCTTGAGCAATAGATAGACCCTAGGGTGTAAATATTTGCATCAATAGGGTGCTTGAGAGGTGGCGCATGTTTCTCATCGAGCATTGACTGTGCAGCCGACCTTTTATGAGGCAACGCAGCAATCTAGCCAACAGTATATTCCGAGATGTTCAGCTGTGCTAACGGCACTGGTTGAGCTATTTTATATACCTATTTACAGACAGACATTTGATAGAGGATGAACGAAGAAAGAGGCATAGACAGCCATGCGTATGAACCTGCCTACATGGTGGGGTAGAATTACAAGGGTGATGGTGGCTGTTCATGTAGCTCGCGTCAAGTGACGAGTAAAATGTCTCATTTTCAATTTACGGACCGGGGACTCCCATCAGTCATGACAGATCACAATGGCCAAGAAAATAGTGTGGCAGCCAGGTCATCAATTTGCGTCTCTTACAAATGACATCTCTCATGGAAGCCCGGGCTTTCTGCTTTGAGCGACATGTCCTTTTAAGCAGGAAAAATTGTGTGACAAGCAATTCAAAGCTCTTAGACACAGGAAATCCTGTAGTTATGAAGCTCAAGGTGATATCATCCAATGCGACGCAGTACAGGTAAAGTGACAAAGGCCATGCAGTATCTAGGTAGCACCTTGGTATGACATGCTTTTCCAGACGTCCCTGGAATGCCCAGGTATAATCAAACACCAGTCGACACAAAGTGGATTATACACGGGTATAACCACTTGAGCTCAGGACATCCTACAGCAGCATTACGCTTAACACTGATAGTTACCTAGGTAACGCGAGCGCGTTCTCATCAGATTCAGGTCATCATCATCTTGGGTAGAGCGCAGACCGCAAAAAGAAACCCCTGCTCTAGCCAGCCAATCCTGTGATCTCTCTAAGCGCCAACGTAAATGTCCGTACGGCCATTTGTGAGCTGAAATTAAGAGTCAGAATTCCACTGTTAAATGCAAGTCTTTCATCTAAATTTCGCTAGGCTCTTTTTACTTGAATAATCAACAGCACGCGGCGATGGATATCCACGAGGCAGCCAAGCAAAACAACATAGACGCTATCAAATCTGCAATCAGCAGGGGTAGCAATATTCACGCTCTCAATAGATATGGGTCAACACCTTTGTGTGTAGCGGCACAGCATGGGCAGACAGAGGCTTGCAAATACCTTATCGCTCAAGGAGCTGGCTCTGAGTTGCAACGTCCCAACATCCTCGAAGTCGCTGTAAAAGGCGGACATGCAGACGTTGTAGCCGTTCTGTGGCCGAACTGCAACGCAGCGAGAGAGTATCTGGCACTTGAAACTGCCATATCACTAGGCTTTCATGAAATCGCGGATTTCCTGCTAGAGAATGGCGGGKTTAGATATTGCGAAACTGACTGCGTTGAAAAAGGTGGGTTTCCCGGACGACCATCCTCTGCTTTTCAACAGTGGGAACGATTTTTCTTTGTTCGGCACAAACAAAAACTGCCTATGGATCGTGTATACTTAGATTATGCACTACTTCTGGCCGCAAAAGCAGAACGCAATACAGGACATCGATTGTCGGACTACTTGCTTCGAGAATACTTGGTCGATGCGAATTCTCAGATCAAGATTAACGATGGTCTTGAAACTCCATTGACAGCAGCTGCCGAATACGGCAATCTAGATATACTCGAGCTTCTGATCAGCCATCCAAACACAAATTTCACAATCTGTGGGAAATTCAAGTGGTCTGCTTTCCTTCACTTGCTTGCAAATTCTCATGCTATGTCCCTGCAAAGAGGTCATGATCTTGCACGACGATTATCTTTCGAAATCCCGTCCAATGAGTTCTTCACTGGTGTCGTAAATATGAGCATGGAGACTGCGTTTAGTAATCTGCTTCGGCTCAATGACAGCGATCTGGTGAAACGAGTGATCAGTCTTGTACGTGGCGCTGTCGGTCTCCTCATACTACCACTTTTGATCCGAGCCCACGAGGTGGATGGTATAAAGTGGATGTTGAATAGCCGTGCTATGGGGGCATCACAGCCACCGCCGTCTCTATGGGTCTTGCTCTGTCGCTACTTCGAAGATCATGAAGACCAAGATGCTCTGAATCTTTTCATCAGTGTTGCTAGTTTCTTGGTGGATCAGAATATCTGGAATCAGCTGATACTGAAATGTCTCCATTTACGCATCTTTTCTTTTGTCCAACAATTCTTCTATCAAAACGAGGTTCTGGGACTTCCAAGTCAAGTAACGGCAGCAACTCTGAATGAACTACCGGTTGCACTTGCAGATCACTCGCTGATGGAAGAATGGACAAGCCAAAACTTTGCCAACCGCGCTTTGTGGAACGCAGTGCACTCTGACCTGTGGACAAATCCAAATTTTCAGAAGCTTCTTGGATGTATCCCAAATCTGGATCGACCAGATCCACTTCCAATTCGGAGAAGGTTGCATTTCCCTACATATCGAAATATCTCCCATGCATTTCTCAGTGACATAGGGTCCGAAGAGGCTCTAATGAAAGATACTTCCACTGGGCCCGAAGATCAACCATATCCAATCCTAAAAGATTACCAAGGGCAAGTTGTTATGGCTGTGGAACAATCAAACAAGAGGCGCTTGATAATGGCACGACAGGAACAAGAAAGATTTCAAGAAAATCCTGTCAATGACGCTCCCAGTCTGCCAGCAAAACCTTATCAAGAGTTCAATGACCGTGCACTCCAAGATTATCAAATGCAATTAATGTTATTGGAAAACAGTAGGCGATTACTTATGGCGCGGCAGGAAGGAGGCTTTTGTACTCCGGAAAATCCCCTACAACCAAGAGGTGTTATTGCATGGGCCATTTTCAAAGGCAACTCTCCCCTTCTTGATACTCTCTTATTGAGTGGTAAAATCAACCTGAAAACCCAAGACTCAAAAGGCAGAAATCCTCTTATGTACGCGATTGGGGCGCGTCAAACATCGATCGTCAAAAGACTCTTAGAACATGGCGATATTGACCTGAATGTAAGGGACAATGAAGGTAACAGCGCTATTTTTTATGCTGTAGAAGGCGAACTTCTGGATATTGTACGATTGCTTATGGAAACTCAATTGGTGGACTTGTCTGTCCGAAACAACAAAGGTCAGACTGTACAGGATTTTGCCAAAAAGGGGAAGAAAGACAAGGAGATCATTGCAGCACTGACTAGCTGAGCGGAGCCTTTCTTATCTCTCTAAGGAGTATGTCTTCGGAGCTCGACGATTCTCTGCTTGCATGTTTCGTCATAACCTTGGAATCTCAGATTGATATTCTTAATGATAATTTTCTGTTGTTCATACACTGTTATGACTTCGCATACCCTCCTAAGCAATTGTCCTTCTTCGAAGTATCAACCACTATTCCTAACATGATGAAAATAGGTCAACACATAACTTCTGCCGTCCAACATGCACCATATTCATCAAATACAACTCCAGGCAACCTGGTCATCAATCATCCACAGTACAAACTAAGCAGATCTCCGTCGAATGCCCACATCCAAAAAACCCCTCGCTCATCTCCATCTTATGCTCCTGCTCCAACACAAACTCAAAATTCCTAAACATAGTGCCCATAATATGCATCAACTCTATCTCTGTTACATTCCTGTCTATATAAGCCCTGGGTCCTACTGAAAAGGGGATGAAAGCCGCCTTTTAGCGCGTAGTAAGACATTCGGGGGCCTAGTAATTAGGGTTAAAGGCTTTAATGTTTAGATCCCAGATTTTAGTAGAATAGTGGATTAAATATAAGAGGACTGAAACGACGTCTCCTATATGGAAAGTGCGGCTGTAGATGTTGATTGGTGCGCTGTTTTGGGGGATCTGGTGTGGGAGACTGAGGGAGGATGTGCTGTGAATATGCATTTAAAGACCGAAATTAGTTTCATTGTTACTCTCTCTGGATCAGTGGCAAATATTTAAAGGGCTATGAATCAGCCTGACAGGCTACGGGAGTGGCGCTGGGAAGGATTCGAAGAGTTGCCACTAATATACTATACAAGGCGCTATACTGGACTAGCTTTTGTATATTCGACAAGCAGAGTCTATGAAACCAATGATCCAGGCTTTACCTTCAAGTGTCCAACCTGCCGGACATCTTTTCATTTCATTAGTGATCTCTTACAGCATCCAGAAAGCGATCATTGCGATGACGGTTTGCTTGGAAAATGCCCATAAGAAATATTTCTGTCAGATCTCGTATGCATTGATTTTAAGCCACTGATCATAAAGTACTTTGCTACAAAAGCTGCATGTTACATGCCGCTAGATCTTTTCCTTCTGAAGTCAAGTCTAGTCTACTAGCCACATCTGCGGCATCATGTATAATGGGGTACGGGAAGGTACAAGACCTATATCCGAAACTGCAGCAAGGGGTCAACCTGCGGTGAAGCTTTCAATCGCTATATAATATCTCCCAAGACTACAATCTCAGAGTTAACAATCCATACTTTCGTGATACAGTGTTAGTTCCGTCATTTGAATCGCTAAGATGGCATGTGTGATTGGCCCAGAAATCGATCAGCTTACTGCTGATTTAATCGTTCAGCTACAACTTCAAGATGTCGGCCTCTATTCTGATACTTCTAAAGGAAAATCTCGCGAGCCCACGGACGAAGAGCTGGCGTTCCAGTTGCAGAATGAGGAATTGCAGAGCATCTCTCAATATTTTGAGGACCGACGAATGGCCATGAGTTTCGCGGCCGCGGTTGAAGCTGATGGGCGTATCCTGACTGAGAACAAGGAGGAGGAAGATAACGCGTCTAAAGATCGTTCCATTGCTTGCCAATTGGATATAGATGGATATGCCAAGTCTACCTACTCCATGGATTCAGAAACAGCGTGTTTAGATGATGAAACTCTGAAAAAACTCCAGATCTTATATGTATCCGGCTTGGAAGGTTATCATGACAGCGAAGCGACTATCGCCTCCTCTGAGCAGACTGAATCATCCACTTGGGCTGCTCAGCGACCTAACCAATTCCGATTTACACCCCATGAATGCGTTGCTTGTGTGGAAGAAAAGATGTTTGTCGATGTGGTCCGTGTCCCATGCCAGCACGAGTATTGCCGTTCCTGTCTTGAGGATCTCTTTAAAGCCTCAATGACAGACGAATCCTTGTTCCCTCCGCGATGCTGCCGGCAGCCCATAAATATAAATGTGGCTCSTATATTTCTCAAATCGGAGCTTGTCAAGCAGTTCGAGAAACAGAAGATTGAATTCGAAACTCCAAATAGGACGTACTGCTACTCTACTGAGTGTTCTGCGTTCATCAGTCCGACTCATATCAATGATGAGATAGCCACATGCCCGATTTGCGAGCATACGACTTGTACAAACTGCAAACAGCGAGCACACACGGGTGATTGTCCAAATGACAGTGCTATGCAACAGCTATTGGCGACCGCAGAAGAAAATGGATGGCAGCGCTGTTATTCATGTTGGCGAATGGTGGAATTGAATTATGGTTGCAATCATATGACGTCCGTGTTCCTATTCATTTCTTTCAATGTTTTAATATCTGACAAGCAATAACAATAGTTGTCTGTGTGGAGCTCAGTTTTGTTATAATTGCGGAGAGGTGTGGAAGAATTGTGCGTGTGAACAATGGAACGAGCATCGTCTGCTTGCGCGTGCGTATCAAATTATCGATCGAGACGCGGTTCCGCTCGCTGCAGCTCCCCCAGATTTCGAAGAACCTCGGTTGGAATATCAGTCTGCACCGGAAACTGGTGAGCAACAAATAGACACTCAGGAAGAGCAACTGGGGGAGGCAGATGAAGGGTCGCATATAGGCGCAGAAGCTCAATCAATAGCAAGTTCCTCCACCGCTCGAGATATCCTGGTGGCAAGAACAATTCAAGAACTCAGAGAGAATCACCAATGCGAGCACGATAAATGGAGGCACGTACATGGACGTCATAAGTGCGAGGAATGCTCCTATACTTTGCCAAAATACATATTCGAATGTCTTCAATGCAGGTTACAAGCCTGTAACCGGTGCAGAAGGAATAGGCTCTAGTTATGATGAACGCCCACAACTTGAGATGCCATCAAGGAAATCGTACTCAATCAGAAGAAGGAAATATTAACATTAATAGTGCTCTTACTAGTGTTCCAGATGTTGTTGAAAGTTTGCAAGCCCCGTCAGGTACACTTGCACCTACTCTGTAGTAAGATTTATTGGTTTGCGTGGAAGGTTCAGGAAACGAATCATGGACTTTGAATACTGTACTGATACTTTCAGTAAGATACGATACAGTGAAGTTTTTGGAATATCATTAATCTGGAGCTTTCCTGGATTTATGGTAGGGTGAAATAAGTGAAGACAATTGATGTGTGTAGAAGCGTGCTCTGGTTTTGCAATCAGCTGCATTAATTTCTTAGTCGTGGTGATGCACTTGGCCTTGCCCTGCCCTCCCCAATGCCCACTCCGAAACTTGCTCCTGTCATATTCGCCGCCAGCTTTTGAGACGTTCCAGCATGTCGGGAGTGGATAATTACACTTGACGCAAATTGATCAAACAATATACAGAGCGATAATCAATATGATTGAGAAATTGCGGGGAACTCGCACTGTTTTTCCTGGCTTTGAATCAAGTGCGTGTTGTCCTACCCCGTGTAGTGACTACCGTTGGATTGTGGATGTCCGGTATCTTCACGAAATCACTTCGATCTTGTAATAAAGCCAACACCGGTTCTTGTTTGAATCCTTGGGAGATCAAAGAGTGGTGACATCCACATCCGAAGATAGCCGATCATCCTTATCTGAGCCTAAGACAAAACGAGCAGGTCGATTTTCACAGGCTGCCCATAAATCCACATGGGTTGGTTCTATTTATTCAACCCGGTTTACCATACTGCAAAAAGTCCTTACACGGCAACTTATTATCGACCTCTGCGTACAAATGTATTCCCGAAGAATTTGAGCTAGAACCTCTCATGTTGTCAATTTCAACCGTTCTGGGACATTTATCTTGGGGTAACTGTATTAGAACAATCCGCTCCTCCCAATGAAGTTGTCATGTTTTGTTGTACGATTAACTGGGTTAATTAAATTTCAATTAAGAATACGAGGAAGCAGGAATGGACTTGACATGGCTTATGCTGGCGGATGGTAGCTAATGTAACCCGAAGTAGAAGCTGCTTTGGAGCGCAAGATAGCCAGCGGTGCAGATCATCATTCTAGGTTAAAGCCGCCATCCGGAAAGCCAAGTCTGGTTAAACAATTTAACTCTAGACTAGTACCAGGCCCGCTTCCAACTGCAACGTTAATAATTAATATCCAATGACCCTACAATCAGGGCCGAAGCTTATGAGACCTTTCCCCGCTCTACGCTCGCAATCTTTCCTGCTTATCACTAAATGGCTAAGCAATGGCTAGCGAGGTACAGCTAAGACACGTTCAGCGACCCAGTCACGCTGGTTTTATAAGTAGCTCGATGAGATGCCTGTACTTTTAGTTCCGTAATTACATCGATCATCATTTCTGCGATCAGGCTATCCGCAAGCTTGGGACAGTAGAAGACATGGCTCTTAGGGCGACTGTGTTGCTGCTCACTTTGGGCCTCGCTTGGACTGCTGATGCAGCTCCCTCTCGGGATGTGAAGCACGTTCTTCACGAGAAGCGAGATTCACTGCCTGAACGCTGGACCAAACGCGACCGCGTGCCCCGAGACAAATTGCTTCCAATGCGTATCGGTCTAGCGCAGTCAAACCTCGATAAGGCCTACGAACATTTGCTGGATGTGTAAGTATTTCCCGACAGTAGGACTCTTAAGCTACAATTGGTACGGGAGAGCTTTTAGGAAGCTTAAAGGCTAATACAAATCGCTTCAGCTCCCACCCAGATTCTGCTAATTATGGAAAACACTGGACTGCGGAGGAGGTCATCAAGGCGTTCCAGCCATCTGATGAGACTGTCGATTCAGTGAAGATCTGGCTTACGGACAACGGCATTTCGTCCGAGCGCATAACACACTCTGACAACCGTGGATGGCTAGCCTTTTTCGCAACCCCGGATGAAGCGGAACGTCTCTTGAATACCGAATTCCATGAATTTGAAGACTCCGTTACTGGTGGAATCATGCCGGCTTGCGATGAATACCACGTTCCGCACCATATCAAGGAACACGTCGATTACATCACTCCCGGTATCAAGCTTCTTGCCCCAGTCGATGGACACGAGCGGATTAAGCGAGAGCATGTCGTTCGCGTGGCGAGTGGAGACAAGCAAAAGAGAGAGAAGACATTCACTAAGCGCGTCAACCATGATCTACGGGATCCCCTTGAAGAGGGGTCCGAGAGAGCGGAAGCCGTCAAAGCAGCAGTGTCATCGAAGCCCAATGATCTCAGTACATGTGATGTAGCGATTTCCCCAGCATGTGTTGCCGCTCTCTACCAGATTCCTCCAGCAACCAGAGCACACCCGAACAACTCTCTGGGAATCTTTGAGTCCGAGCTACAATTCTATACGCAGCAGGATCTGGATCTTTTCTTTGCCAACTTTACTCCTCAGATCCCCAAGGGAACCCATCCCATCGCAGCAAATATCGACGGCGGTCAACAATCTACAACGGATCCTTACTATGCTGGTGGGGAAGTGAGTCTGGATCTCCAGCTCGCGTATCCGATCGTATATCCACAGACTATTACCGACTATGAAGTAGACGACTTTATTGTGCAGTCCAATCCCAACGATACGTACGTGGTATAAGCTCTGTTATTGGTTCTTCCAATTACTAATTCCATGGCAGCTATACGTTTGGATTTAATACCTTCTTGGATGCTCTCGATGGTGTAAGTGAATCATTGGCATTGCCTTTTCCCCCGCCAATATATGAGTTCTTCGCCCGACCTCCATTTATGGCCCACATCAATAAAGTGACTAACATCATTTAATCAGTCTTATTGCACGTTCTCGGCTTATGGTGAGACTGGAAATGACAAATACCTTGATCAAAGTTATCCGGATCCGGGTGGTTGGCAAGGTCAACTCATGTGTGGTGTCTACAAGCCAACCAATGTGATCTCCGTTTCGTACGGTGGGCAAGAAGTCGACCTCCCATTATCCTATCAACGCCGTCAGTGTCTCGAGTATGCCAAACTAGGACTTCAAGGAGTGTCTTTCTTGTTCGCTAGTGGAGACTCGGGTGTCAGCAATTACCCTAACTCCGGAGAGTAAGGATTGTCTTTTCTTTTTTTACACCAGTAAATGTATATTTGGATGTCATAACTGATTCAAATAGTGGTCCCACGGGCTGTATAGGTAGCAAACTCAACGTCTTCAACCCAACATGGCCAAACACATGTCCCTATGTCACCAACGTCGGAGCAACAAAAGTGTACCCTGGAAAGACGGTTTGGGATCCGGAAAGTGCTGTGTATGATCCGGCCGGTTATCCGTATAGCGTCAACTATTCATCCGGCGGTGGCTTCAGCAATGTGTTCCCAATTCCAGACTACCAACAGGACGCGGTAGCAACTTTCTTCAAGAAACACAATCCACCATACCCTTACTACAGTGCCCTAGCCCCCGAGACGAATGACATTCAGCAAATGATTGATATCGACTCTTTGGTCGGCAGTACCGGAGGAATCTACAATCGTATCGGCCGTGGTGTTCCCGATGTTGCGGCCAATGGTGATAACATTGTGGTATGTAGTTTCTCTGTGGTTTTTGTCCCATGCCGTTGGAAAATGTACCCACTGTATACTGACGCGACAATTGAAAGGTGTACAATGGCGGAAACTACACTTTGAGCGGGGGGACGTCTGCTAGCACGCCTATTTTTGCCTCTGTCATCAATCGTATCAACGACGAGCGTCTTTGGGCTGGTAAATCGCCTCTTGGATTCCTCAATCCGTCTCTTTACGCAAATCCATCGATGTTGAATGATATTACAAATGGTGAGTGAATTCTCCCCTTGCCGTCTCATTGACACTTTGAAATTTGGAAGGCTGACGTAACAATCCAATATAGGAACGAACCCTGGCTGCGACACTGTGGGATTCTCTGCCGTCCCCGGATGGGATCCCGTCACTGGCCTTGGAACGCCAAACTTTCCTAAAATGTTGAAATATTATTTGAGCTTGCCATAGTCTACAGCCAGGCCCTGACATTCCTTTTCTCGGCTCCACGGATCAACTCGAGAATGTAATGCTGGCTATAATAGACCTTCACTCTACAAATGTGGACATCAGTGTATATAAAGGATATACTTAGTGTTAAAAATGATGTGTCTACTATGAGATATTTTTGCATGGTGCTTTTAGGATTACATAGACGTCTCTGACTTACAGTATGAAGACTACGAGCTCGACTAAAATTCATTGCTTCGTCCTTTTCTAAACCACATTTTCAATTGGATAGCAACAACAGCGATGTCATACATGAAATGAACCAACCCCAATCCCMCCCCTTCCGATTCTGGGTGCATMCCAGCCATAACATTTCCTGTCTGCGCTCTGCTTACAAGGATCAAATGATAGTCCATGTCGAATAACAATAGCAGTGATATCAAAAGATTGATATGCGAGAGTATCAAAACTCAATCCGCTTGACGTGATCCTATGCAAAAGTATTGCATTAGAAAAGGAATCAGGAACAGTATATTGCATCCAGCAATATCATCAAGCCAATGACCTCTAATATTCCACTCCTAAACTCAAGGTAAAAGTAAAAAGGGTCCTGGGCATGGGGGCCCCCAAGGTTACCTGCATATTCCCGCGTAATGCCATCTAGCTTTTGGAGTACAAGGTCTTCTCTATTGTACGGACACAAAACAGAAATATTCACCCCCAGACAACGTTAGATCGAGATTCGCTCGAGAGACAAGATCTCATTGCGTGGGAATATGCAAGGTAACTTAGGGGCCACTATGTAGAGGAACCTATAAGAGATAGAAGTTGAGTTGTGGATGTGGAGATCATAGCTCATAAAGAAGAAGGGGGGATCGTGAACATTACCAAATGATCAGATATAAGACCGAGCTTGGTCATGACTGAGGCCAAGGCATGATCCCCGCCATCAAGGTGAACTGCCCCCAAAATAGCCTCGACAGCCGTTGCCATCATAGCTTGAGATACAACGGATGTACCAGGATTTAGATTCAGGCAACCATCCAATCCTGTTTGAAACCCAACGCGAGCTAGGTTATCATTTGACAGGATGCTATTGCGAATCTGTGTCCATTGACCTTTATTCCCAATTAGATCTTGTCACGAAAGGCAAGTAGCGGTCGAGAATGTTTACCTTTAGTCAAGGACGTCTGTACCCACAAACCACATAGGTAACGCGTAGCAGCTAATTCGCCATAGACAGCCATACGAGAGTTCGTGGGCAGGGACAATCGCCGGCCCCGATGCGTCACACCCTGACCAGACAGGTTGAGAGCTTCGAGGATCAATTCGTGCTCCGTAAAGGAATAGCTGGTAATCGTCCCGCAGCCTAGGATCTTGGGTTCCATTCTTGATGAAGTGAATCCTCGGAAGGAGTTTTGTGAGGTGCGAAAAAACAATTTGAGGAATGAGGAAAACCTGGGTTGCTGCAGGTTAAATACTAAATAGTGAGTCGAAGACGGCTGCATGTGGTCGGTTACCAGTTTCAGAATCTGGCTGGCATGGGTAATTTAGGCGTACCATTTACGTTTGGTAGATCATATGTAACTGCGTAACATGATATATCTGATTTAATTCATCATTCCGATAATCACGTTCTCTTTACTCAAAAGATTTCGGCCACAATTTCATGCGGCGAGTAACCGGTGAGTACAACCGAAGAGTCGAGACCAACATATATCAAGAGGCATGGTCGTCATCAACTGTGACACCTTGCGAATCAATTCCCTCCGGATCTTGTATCTTCTAGATGGGATTAGCCGTAAATAATCCTCAAACTACCATCATTCCCCTTAAAGAATGCTATATGATTACGTTATTCTATTGAAACGGATAACGCATCTTTTTAGTACCGTGATTGGAAGAGTTACTTGAAAGTTGATTCCCCGAGCCTTGTGACAACACCGTATGTGCAAAGATCAGAAATTCGCCCCTCTACCCCTGCTTTTACCAGTTAATTAGCTAGTCTCAAACCAGATTGAAGCCCAAACGTTACTGAAGACTCTTACATTGTCACCAACAACAATAGAGAGGAGTGGTGAGCCCTATCACCAGTTAAGGAAAACGGGCGCTAAACCTCACTCCATTTTCTGGGAGTAAAGATTGAAATATATGAGGATGCCAGTCTGTCTATCAGTCGAGAATAAACTCCTTTAATCCTTACCTGCTATCTAGCAGGCCACGGACAGGTGCAGAAGTAGCTTAAGCCCAAGGCTGAGTTCAGCCTTGGCATTTCAACACTGCCAAGATTTCCATGATGAGTTGATCAACCCATCTCTTCCCTCCACCCATATATCATTCTCAAATGTTGTTTTGCTGGTGATTTATAAAGAACTGATATTGGCAAAACTGGATTAATCGTCGCTTATTACAGCATTTACATTCAGAAATCCCATCAATCCCCTCGCTGCTGGACCGATTTACCGGGTGGGGCAAGGTCTTGTCTCGTTCCTTTTTCCAAAACTGTCATACTGGCCGAGGAGGCTCAAAAGAGAATCTGTGAAGAAAGGCAAGTTCGAAGGGTTAATATCGGTACAATAAATTATCCGCATTTGGTGTCGACCACGTGGATATGTGGAGAGGATTGCCGTTAGAGTTGCCCGCAGGAATTGACAACGTTAATTATGGAAGTGCAGGTAGTGCTGATGTCAGTGACAAAAGAGACTATATCACCTGTGCATACCCCGCGATAACAACCCCGTTCTACGGTGCCCAATTTAATATACCAGGAAAGCCTCTTGTCAGTGATCCGGTTAATACTCGGGCTCAAAATGAGTCGCAGGGGATGACCAAGGTGAACTTACGTGGTTCATTTGAAGTAAAATTACAAAATGCCGATGCGGAGTTGGAACGAGCACTGCTGGAAAGCCTGAATACCACGAACGCCCAGCCTCGTCTCAATTATGAAGAAAGGTGGGTCATTTATTCTATCACGTAGTCATTGTGAACAATTTGCTAAGACACTGAACGAATTTTAAGAAATAGGAACATACTACGACGGGAGATATTGCGATCCTCCGATAACCCTGCGCACTTGCAAACGAGTTGTACAATCTGTGTTGAAGATTTCTCCAACGCTGTCACAAGGCCTGCATGGATCTCGTTAGCCTGTACTCACCGGCCCACTGCATGCAACGTCTGTATATCGAAGAGCATAAAATCAGATCTTGAGATGAGAATATGGGATCAGATAAGATGCCCCGAATGTCAAATATTGCTTATATACGACGATATCAAGCGACTTGCAGATGCAGAAACGTTTGAGCGTTATGAGCGACTCTCATTCCGCAGCGCAGTAAGTTCGGATAAAAACTTCGTTTGGTGTCAGCAATGCGATTTTGGTCAATTGCATGAAAAGGGAGCTTCGGAACCTATTGTCCGCTGTCTGAATTGTGGTTTCCGATCCTGTTTCGTTCATTCCGGCCCCTGGCATTCCGGATTCACCTGTGATGAATACAACGATATGTTGAAAAACCCAGACCAATATCAGACAGCTAGGGATAGAGAGAACTTCGACTTAGAAATGACAAGGAGACTCCAAGAAGAACAGGATTCTGATGCAGCTCGAGAAATCAGCGGTCGAGACAAACGCAAGGAGGAAGAGCGGCAACGACGCCGTCATAACGAGGAAAAAGAAAAGGCAAGGGTAGCTCAGTTAATGGAAGCTAAGATAAAAAGAAAAGAACATCAGCAAGCGGAGAAAGAGGAACGTGAAAGAGTGGAAGAATTAAGACGGGTCGAGAAGGCAAAGAGAAAGCAAGAGAAGATGAGAAAAGAAACACAGGAGAGAGTACTCAAGGAGGCGAGGAGACAAATGGAGAATGAATTGTCAATACAGACAATGAAGCAGACGACAAAACAGTGTCCTGGATGCAAATGGCCGATTGAGAAGAACAAAGGCTGTGACCATATGACCTGTAAGCCCGGTATCCTATTTCCTTCAGATTCCACTTTTAAATTTTCTAAAACTCTAAATCATAATTCCGACACATACTGGCATCAAAAAATCATTCGTTTACAATCAATTATGCTAAAAGCTTTCTCTCCAGGCTTGAAATGTGGTGCTCAATTCTGCTGGCTATGCATGAGCGACTATGAGCAGATCCGGTTGTACGGAAATTCGAGACATCAACCGACCTGTCAATATCATACAAGAAATTTACGATGAATAGTTGAATGTCTTATACGAGAAGTCCAAATTATTATTTGACATTCATGATCTTGCCAAACCCGTCATATTACTTTCATTTATCTTCGAATTAATCGATCTAAACCGACTCTTTTTAATTTTCTAGGACGATTAGCTTTGTCGAGCATTTCAAGGACCGTTCGATACTGGCCACTATGAGAATCATCAATCTCGTTCTTCTCGCTCCCGGCATTTTCTTTAACAATAACCAGGATGCGGGGCTTAACTAAGAGTTTTGGTTTCGCATGAGAGTTTGGAAGGACTTTTCGGACTGATAACTTGGGTGTGACATCGAACAACCACTGGATACGGACCTGAGGTGGACGGGCACTGACCGTTCGCCCGCGCTGTAGATCAAGTAGCTCAAAGTCATCTATATTTTTGATCACAATATTGGCATTCGGCTGCGAGTGATAAAAGTCGGACCACTGGATATCATATTCATCAACAGAGAGATGCATCTTGAATGCAAGAGTGTATGCACGCTTGATGATATTTTCGTATAGGCCATCAATTATGTCCTGTGTATGGCTTGTCGAAGTAATGAAAACTTGTAGTATACTAAACAAGTCGTTTGCGAGTTTCCGATTCATCGTTTCGACTCTATCTCTGAATCCGGGACCCTTTGCAATTGCCGTGAAGGTCTCGCTATGCCACGTACGACGGGTCCTAAGGTCTAAATGTTTTATCGTACCGGATTAGTTGTAATATCTTCAACATCGTTGATAAGATTCCCATGGGTAACGGCCTCGTACTAACCTCGTGGGGGGTCTAATTGACTCATGTTATGTTCAATGCGTGATAAAAATGACTTGTACGCTCCAGAGAGAGGTCCGTAGAAATCCATCGAGAAAAATTGGTCATAGAGAAAACGCATAATCACGGCGACGATGTTGTACTCGTCTGTACCAGGGTAAATAAATGCGGATCTACCTTGCGCGGTGATAAGATCAAGCAGCATCGTTGCTCCCTTTTGCTCAACAACAGACCACGAACGGTTCGACGATAGGGATATTTTTGTGTCAACCCATTGTTCGACTGACGTTAAAAGCGTTTTAAATTCTCTTGCCGCTTCTGTATCAGTCATTGGTGGTTGAGACGGCTGAAGACTAAAAATGAGACTGTGTGCCTCCTCAAGATCTTCTTGAAGCTTTTGCGCAAGTCCATTTAGAGCTTCGCATTTGGATTTCCAGTTTTCCAATTCTAATCTCGGGACATATTCAAATTCTGGATCGTGCTGAGACTCAGGCTGTATTGTTCGTATATTGCTCGGGTCGTTGTTCTCAGTTGCTTGACAAGGAGATCCTCTAGACGGTCGAGTAATGTGTACTTCATCCGTGGTAAGCATTGAAGGGTTTGGTGTTTCCGAAACCATGTTGGCTGCCGCAAAAGTGATATGTTGAGAAAGTGTATGTAGCCTTGCACAATGTCTGAACAGATTATTCCTAAAAATTGGCCCACATGGAACATTGCATTGTTTGCATAGTCGTGACGACAGAACAGCAAGAACAAGGATTAGGTCACGGGTGTAAGGCTAATTTGGAACAATCTGAGAGGATCTTGTTCTAGCCTTGTGCTGCTGTCAGCCTTGCCTGTCGCCAGGCGATAGGTCAAAACTAAACGGTAAAAACGATAAGATGTCTTGCGTGCTTCAGATTTAATTGGCTGATCTACCATAACCAACGAACTTGATTTCTGTAAACCGCCAGTCATGTTCACAATCCCCAACTTTGCAACTTGGCAACCAGCCTTGGGGGGTGGACTCAGACTACACACGGTGCTCGAAATGCGCCTGGAGCACTCTATAATGGTAGACCCTGTATATCTATTATTTTGTACTAAGAAAAAATAAGGCCATAATTCAAGCCTTACTTCTCTTGATAATTTTGACTTGTGGTGTTTGATTTATCCTAATCCTTTCGTTCCAGACTTTATCTGTCATTTCTTTGTTGGTTTTATGAGTTTATACCAGTAATTCTACATAAAGAACCCAATTTTTTAACAAGATGACAAACTCCAATCAACGAAAATTGATAGTGGGTATCGACTTTGGCACTACGTACACAGGCGTTGCCTGGGCCGAAACGAGACGAGTATGTGGATATACTTCGATCATAACATGGGAACGTTATTTTTTCTAAGTTTTGGATTCTCTAGGCTGATGACATTCATGTAATCGATACATGGCCGTCAAGACTGGGATCGAACGAGGGTGAGAGTAGTGTCAAAGTTCCAACCCAGCTACGCTATACACCACAAGGAACAGAATGGGGGTTTCAGATTCCATCCACCGTTGAACGGAATCATTGGTTTAAATTGTGAGTAAAAGTCTATCATAATAACTTCCTGCAATGTTTGGTTGATTGTTGCAAGATACATAACTGATCTTTTCGTTTTAGAGGATTGCAAGAAAATAATGCTTCTGAAGGAGGGGAAAAAAGCGCAGAGGAACTAACAACAGACTACCTGGCTGAAGTATACAAACATGTACTCTACACTCTAGAGCAAAAGATTGGAGCTGTGATTCTTCGAACAATACCTATCGAGTTTTGTCTGACAGTGCCAGCTATCTGGTCTGAGGCAGCTAAAGAGAAAACACTCAAAGCCTGCCAGAAGGCTGGTCTGAATTCCGAATCCGAGATCATGTTAGCGTCAGAACCGGTGCGCATCCAGTCATTTTTCACAATTTACATTCATTGATTGATGGATCTCTGGGATAAATAGGAAGCCGCTGCTATCTCTGCTTTACATGGACTCGATCCCCATGGCCTTACGGTTGGAGACTGCTTTGTCGTTTGCGATGCAGGTGGTGGAACAGTAGACTTAATTTCATACAGAATTAAGTCACTGTATCCTAGACTACAAGTTGAAGAGATGACTGCTGGAACCGGAGGTCTCTGCGGCTCGGTTTTTCTCAACCGCCGATTTATCGACTTTATAACGCGAAAGTTGAACGGACAACAAGGTTGGGACGAAGAGGTACTTGCAGAGGCGTCAGAGCGATTTGATACAGTGGTAAGTGTCTATCAATCACTTGGAAAGAAAAATTATGAGTAATTAAAGGCATTGGTACTCATGCATAAAAGATCAAGCAACAGTACTTGCCTTCTCGAGATGGCGACGACGGATATCCAGTGCCTGTTCCCGCTTTGGCCAACAATGAGCGAGTAGGCATACGACGTGGCAAGTTCACGATCAACAAGAACGATATGCACGACATTTTTGAGCCTGTCATTCATAAGATTATATGGTTCGTGCAAGACCAGATTCGCCTGTCCGGGGGTAAAGCGAAGTCGGTCCTCCTTGTCGGCGGGTTTGGTCAGAACACCTACTTGAAAGAACGTCTGCGCGAATCACTCCCGGGTATTGAAGTGTTGCAACCACCGAATGCTTGGACCGCTATTGTTCGTGGAGCTGTCATGATGGGCTTAAGCAACGCGAATACCTCTTTAAGCACCGTACAGGTCGTATCACGCAGGGCGAGAAAGCATTATGGTATGAAGTTGAATGTCAATTATGAAAAACGAATACATGACAAGAATAAAAGGTAACACATACTTCCTCCGTGTGATGGTTGAACCTGCTAAATATAATCATTAGATACTTGTGTCCTTATCATGGGGGCCATCGGGTGGAGGCAATGGAATGGTTCATTCGCAAAGGCGACGTCGTTGAAGAAAAAAAGCCGAAGATTATCAAATTTCATAAAAGATTTCCGGTTTCTGAGGGCAGAAGGGACTCTTACAATATTACTGTCTATGCTGATTCAGAGAGTTCAGCTGCACCAGTCCATCCTTGCGAGAATGTCAAAACCCTCGTGTCTCTCAGAATCAACCTAAGTTCCATATCCAAATATCAGTGGAAGAAGATGATCAAGACTGGCGATGATGGAAAGAAGTACTATATCGTTGACGGGAATATTGAAGTAACATTTTGGTCTGCTTCGACAACGTACAAACTCTCTTGCGAATGGGGTTTGGATGCATCCGTGACTGCGGAATATGCATGATGCAATTTGAATTTACTTGCGCACAACATGGAATAAGCCGATCATTCTTTGGGCTTGAATACCTCTAAAACAGGGGAACTTCTTTTTCCTACCATATGTCCTATTTTTCCTTGCTTGAGGAGGGCTATCAAAATTGATACTTGCACAATTGGATTATTAGGATTAAATAAATTGACAGAAATTTATCTTGAAATAGAGTCTTGATAGTCTTGCCTATGGAGGGTAGCAGTCCTTTGATATTAAATTGTTATAAAGCAAGAACATACTGCTTATGGACTTGCCAGTCGGTGGCTTATCGTCTAGCCAGTTTATCTATGCATTTATAGTTCTTATAGTGAATAGCCGTAAGTGATTAACTTGGGATGCATCGCTATCAATATGAGTCAAGGCCGGCTATTTCTCTACCTCGCTTAGACAGCATCGGCTTTATGAATGACCTCTTGGTTGCAGCCTCGTACGAGGGATGCTCTGCTGGCGGAAGACGCTCCTTGACTAGGAAGCTGGCAGGATCGTGGGTAGTGTTTTGTCCATTTTTGAAGGCATCGAGGCGCTTCTTTTTGTCTTCCTCTATAACACTGGATGCGGGTTTGTAACAGACGTCTACGAAGTGGTCAGAAAGAAATGCAAAGCGACTGCTAGTAATAAAGGTTGTGTTGACTCACAAGCAGCAAAACGGTCGTTAGTAGACGACGGCACAGCACCATAATGAATACACCTCTATATACAGTCAGCTTTTTGCGCAGACTCAAAGTAGTGAAAAACTGACCGAATCCCATAACAACAAATCTCCAGGATCAGCGCACACTTTAATCCATTTGCAACCCTTAGATTCCAGCCACTGAGCCATTTCATCATCAATGAATTGGAATGCCTCAGGATTCCAGCCGTTCTCTGCTTTCTTGTGATCAAACTGCTTCCATAATTCAGTGTAAAGGGCGCTAGACCCCTCAAACACCGTAAGTCCTCCGTCCTGAGACCCATTCGGGAGGAGATTTAGTATGCCCTGGACACAGCTAAATTCACTGTTGAGGGGTGATTGGTCTACATGAGCCCACGGTGCAAAAATGGGATCTGTTTTTTCTCGCTCTTTTTCGGGGATAGATAGGTTCATGCCGTCTAGCAAAATGTGAGAATCGAGACTTTATGATTCATATACTGTACCGAAATTTTGTGACAGGCTCTGAGTCAATAGAAAAGTAACAGTTCAAAGCGCTGATACGTACCATAAGACACGAGCAGTTCTCTAGTTCCCCAGACCTTTTCAAATTTGTCTATGAGCCCAGGTTCCGATCTCAGGTCCCACATAAATTGCTCCTGGCCAATACCGTATCTGGAGATTGTATCTCAGCATTTTGTCCTTCAATATTTGATATTTGACCACATAAACGACTTTACCTATTGTACAGCCCTCCACGCGTGTGGAAAGGGACATGTGCTGCATTCCGAGTATTTGAATTATGCCTGTCGAATCCAAGGTTCCAACTTTCAAGCCATTGATATGCCTTCTCAGCATATGCTAGAGCTTTTTCTTCGGGTATTGTCTGAGGTACGACTGTCCATCCCTTTGTGTGAAGTTCTACGAGCCAGTTGGGTATCTTGCAAATCTGGTCAGTCTCTTTCCTAACCGAGTCGCGTGGATGGTTCTATATACCTCTTCCTCAGTATCACGTCCCCTCAGCTTCAGACTTGGGACTTCTCGTGTGTTTGTCTCGATCTTCGATTGAGAGGCCATCGCTTGTACGCCAGTCTCTTTGTTCTCGTCGTGCAATGCGTTCTGGGATGATTTGGATCAACAGTCAAAGTTTGGAAGTATTTAATGGACGGCTACAGCTTTTACCTCCGGACAGAGGGGTAGATCTACCTGTGACCCACTGTTATCTCCAAATCTGAAGTATTGTAAATGTCGACGATAGACACGGCCGATAATCCGCCAAAAGAAAAATTTGCCGGCGAGAAAGCATACGATGCATTTCCCGTGATTCGAATGAGGCTCTTACTCAGGATTGACTCTGTAGTAAAGTTCTACCTTTCCCATGACCTTCGTTAACCTACGATCATGCGATGTTCAGCAACTAGGTGCTAATTTAGGCCGTTCGTCACATCATTTGCCCAAGTGTTCCAGGTGGGGACGACATCTCACGAATCAGATAACATGCTGAATCTGACGCCCATATATCCATTACATTTCTAGCAAGTTATTGGTCCTCCAGTGCCTGTAAGTGGAGGATGCACTAGATTGCGAGTAGTAAGAGATTTATTGGTTCGCAACTAACGAATGAACAGAATCTGAATTTCGTTCAAGTCTACATTTTTTCCGTGATTTTTTGTAATCAGTCATCGAGAAACCCTTTGCTTCTTCGCTCAAAACGGTAATATATTAAGGCAAGGTTGTTCGATCCAGCTTAATCAGTGCTTTACAACACTGATAACACCATCAAGTGGACAGGAAATTTTTATGTACAAAATACAAAATACCAAACATTTTCTCAAATAGTAGATTGGTCAATGTGTCTCTTGAAATTTTGACACTGAAAAAAAAAAAAGTCTGTTTAGGCCTTTTTCTTCAGAGAAGCAGCGTGTTGATTCCGTATATCTAGGTAACGAACTATCAGCATGGGAGATGATCACAGTTATAATTTAATAATGTGCCTAGATTGTCATCCACCTAACACATTCCGAAAACTTTTCAACCCAATTATTGAATAGACGACAATTTTCAATGGATTTCCCGATAGTGCTGTTCGAAGGTCTTTGACTTGTAGTAAGTTTCCATTCTCCTTTTGAACGCCGTCCCGATTATCTCTTTAGTCTTCGCTAAAGACCGTGACTTATAGCGAGGTGACAGTGGACGAAGGATATGAAGAGTGTTGTATTCTTTGCTCTTGCTTCTCGCCTCTCTAGATGAAGTCTATCTTGAATCTTACTCAAAAGTTCTACAGGCACCTTTCAAGGCCTTTATGCTGAAAATCATTGCACAGTTAGCTGCTCATGTCATGGTTTATATAAAACAGATTTCTCACATAGTGATTCGGCGATTCCAGCGGACAGAAGGTGGCCGTAGGGAGGAGGGGATATTTCTTTCAAGGCTTTGTTGCTAAAAGTGGCATGATGTTCAAGCACTAAGATTGACGCTTAGTCGTAGAATCTGCGAGTCTCGAGCAACATCATAATCCTACCTTTAGTCTATCAACAAATGATAGTGGGAAACGTGATGTTTATCCTAATGTCTCATTACCTTGTTTTCATATCATTGAAGTGAACCCGGAAAGAATTATTTTTCTTTCCGTAGCTGAGCCTTCAAAATTGAGTTGTCGATCAAGAGCTGTGTTCTGCTAGCGGCGGTGTTCAATCATCCTATAAGTATGGATTGCATCGCTCGCACTTCTAAGAATAAAGGTAAGTTAAATAACTCGACCTATTAAGGGAATTTGAACTGGCACTCTATATAGCTCGAGGCAAGATGATTCCTGATCGAGATGAGCTCATATGCTATTTGAAGGGAGTCGAACCCATACGGTGAAATTCTTTGAAGATATTTAACACAATCATTAGGCTTGATTTTACGCCACTGAGAGCGTGTGTGTAATGTGTCCCGCTCGGTATATGCCACATGCCAAAGCGCGACATTTAACTATATCGAGACAAGGCATTGATACTACAGTATGATAAGACTCTCATCCCGTTTTAATGGAGCTGACTGAAGATGTCTATGTAGTCAGCAGCTAGGAGATATCTGATCGCTGAATTCCCGATCGGTTGATGCAATTTGACACTCCTTGATATATCACAAGTGAGTTTGCACGTTCTAACAAGCTATTCTGCTCCTAAATAAAGTGGAAGTCTTGGCGCCTCAAATACCTACTTTGATTTGGGCAGTCTCATGTAATCGATGAGTTCATACATGGACTTGTCTATAACAGTAGAGCCAGTTGATTGCATGTACATGTTAATGATTGCACAGGCGGTTCGTTGCCACAGTATCGAATACCTTTTACCGGCCATGAATTATTATGTTTATTTATCAGAAAATGTATACGATGTGCTTCACCATTCACACAGAGCCACATGCATGCAAGGGGCGGTAACAAGGCCCTCGAACGGCCCAATCCATCATCGGACCGGTTTTCCTTGTTCAGCTGAACATTGCCACCAATTCGTCATTGTCATTTGCCAAAGCTGACCTGACCTTATACGCCATCTGTATACTCTATTTACACATATTTCTTACCCCGCCCTCTCTTCGTCTCTACATACTATTCGTATTGGTTTTAAGTATATAACTAGGCGTCTTTTGGGGGTTTATGAATTTTCTAATCCAAGCCATGAATGTGAATGTCTTGGCTAATCTTTGTTTACAAGTTTCTTACTTTTTCCAATATTATTTAAATTAGTCGGGACTATTTGCCTTCCTGATATGGAAAGATATGCAGGCCTTCTAGGTGAAGCGTAGAGAGCACCTATAAGAGCTCGACGAAATAGCCCCCTCTTCTACACCCCGGTAGTCCTTGTAGACCTATAGGAGATGGGTGAAATAGTCCCCTCTCTTACACCCCTGCACCTCCTTGTAGATAAGCCAAAAAGAGATAAGCCACCAACAATTATATTTGCGCGAAGTCACCTCACTATTATCAGATACCTGCGAATAGAATAGATCACTAAAGCTGAAGATATCAAGTCAATTCATCATTCCGCAGTAGAGTACTCCATTTAACCAGTAGGAATGTTCTTAATGGTTACCCATTAGGTTTAGGTTGATAGACACAACTTCATGTGACTTGGCGCAATATCACAACAATACTCGTTATCCAAACGTTATTGGCGACTATTAGGTACGCTTAGGGAGACTGCTGTACAATCACTAAGCATGCATCGGGATCACCAACATCAAGTATCCATTTACTAGAACCGGAATGATAGAGACTAAGTCGACTATGATGCGTGCTAGAAATTACACCCCGAAGATGAAAAACAAAGAAAGTTGTCAAAACGTTGGACCAAGAAAATGAAAATGAAATTCACGATAAGTCATCATGAATGAACAAAAGACATCCATGACTTACGATAGTCTTGAAAATTACAAAATTGTGTGTCGTAGGAGAATCCAAAATCGAGTGGCTCAGCGCAGGTTCCGTGTGTGCATTCAACTGGTTTTTGTCATACAAGATTCATGCTTACCTATACGTAGGCGAGAGGAAAAAAGCTCAACAGCAAAGGTCTTCCAGCGCAAGATCTAGCGAGGTTGCCACTTTAGATGATAACAACAAAACGATCGATGAAAGGAGTTCTGGATTGCATGCTCTAAACGACATGATTCATTATCTCAACATACCAGGATCTACAAACAGAGATCAGCACCACCAAACCCTTCTCTCTCAGACGATCATCAACCCAGTGAATGCTCCAAGGCAGCAAGTTGAAGCTTTCGGTAAGTTCGCGTGCAAATTTTCTATGCTTTTTTACCTCATCATAGACGAAAGTATTCACCTGTTCGGATGCTCAAGAGAATCAAGAAGCAGAACTGTTCAACGATCAAGTAAGTTGGAGGATCATTTTGGCAATTTCACTGCATATTAGGGATATATAGCACGCTAATGAGACGTTCTGACTTCCAAGTCTCTTTTTGTCAACCGAATCGAAGGAGATGATAGCCTTGAAGTTGACAAATCTGGCAATCGTGAATTTGAGGAGAAAGAACGTCCAGAAACTACACTACGGAGTGGGACCCTTATGAATTACAATAGTCTTGTATGAGATCAATCTCCAACAAGTATCTGAATGGTATTTTGACTAATCATAGGATGATCTCTCTTCGAAGTCGAGTCTACAGGATGACGTGGACGTGGCAAAGCAAGCCACTGCTTTGAAACAAAGACAAAAAATACGGATATGTGATCGCGCCGTGGAGCACCTCGAGAATGCAATCTCATTATACGACTTTGGTGTGTTCTTGGATATCCTGGTAGCCGATTCACAATTAAGAAACCTCTTGATTAATTCTTGTGCGAGTCTTCGTACTCTAAGATTCGCTGATATCTCGGACACGACGCATCAAGCTGATTGAACCAATAGTAATAATTTGAGATACAAGAATATTGAACAGCGTCTGTTGAAAGGGATAATGTGACTTCGACTCTTAAATTGTTCGGACTTGTAAAATCGGAGGCTGGCTCCAGAATAAATCTTAACACATAGCGAAGCACACAAGGTACCGTTGAACTAACCCCTACATACAGTCTAATTTCGAGTTATTCCTAGGCGTGCCATTAGCAGCCATCTAACAGTTAGTGTTTTGATTCGCGGTTCTGGGCACGCCAGACATGTACGCCTTGTGCAATCGACAGGTAGGGCCAAGATAATGAGCCGTATAAAATTGTACGACTCAACGGACTTGTCATCAATAGAGCTAAGGGCGGGCGGGGTATTAAACTATAAGCTTATCCATAAGCTTATACATAAGATTATTCGTAAGCCTGCATATGTGGAGCGTTATCTCGTATTCTCCAAACTTTTGACAAAGCGGAGGTAGTGGTAAACATCCTATTGTAACTTAATCGTCCTTAGGCTATCTACCTGGCTAATCGTCCGTCTGTACTTTGGGAGGCATTTGTGTAGAGGAAGGAAGTGAGTCCTCAATGGAAAACATCACGGGCAATAAGATATTCAAACGCCGCCCAGGGGCTTGCGGATCGTGCCAAGCTCGCAAAAGCAAATGTACGCCTGTTATATAGTTGAGCCTTTCAAATACGTCGTGCTAAGTTGGAGAATAGGCGATGGTGGTAAGCCGACATGTCAGAGATGTCTTGTAAGGGCTTACCTATCGAGTGTTCAGTCTTCAGACTTCATTAACTATAATTCTAGGACTCCGGTGCCTTGTGTTTATATCCATCACGGCGAAAAAGAACGCAGCGCTGTACGAATACCCCAGTGACTCTGGCGACGCAAATTGGTTTTTTGACTGGTGGCCACAGGTTCGAGTGATTTTACGCACGACATGATGTCAGAAATCATCACAGTTACATCTACCGAACCTCCGCCTATCGACTGTCTACCATCTAGCCCTATGGCATTTCCTACCCTCTCACCAGTTTCTTCTCAGATGTCTACTTATGAAGATAACGATATTCTCAACCTTATTTTCAGCGAATCGCCTGTATTACCGCATATTCAAAGACCTAGTATGCTATCTGCGCAAGGAGTGGACGTGGCCTTGGACGATCTTGATCAAATTAGAGGCGAGACCTCACAACGAGTTGACGTCGAGAAGGCGAACTGGATTGCCATAGATGACATTTCAAAGATTCCACAGAAATCCAACCTTAACATTCAAGATCAAGCTTTAACGGATTTATATTACGGTTTGCTACATTTGACATATGATGCGTGAAATAACTAGCTGATGGATATATCTAGATGAAAACAACGGTCTCGATTTTGGTCTGATCAATGTAGCTCGAAACGTCATACAATACCATAAGGTACATCACAAAATCTCATCTGGACTAGAAGCTGCTCTTGAAGAATTACTTCTAGTAGGATCCGAAATAAGTTGCTCCAAAATAGTCGCACGTGATCAGCAGCAACTATGGGATCCTTTCCAAAACATCGATATGTTGAAGACATACCTCAGATGTAAGTCCTCGTCAATATTTCCCTCACATCGATGTCCTCTCATTGATACGACATTTCGCAGGTTATTTGAGTGAACCGTACATGTAAAGACGCCTCTGCATTCAAAGATTGGATATATTTGAGGAAATTATTGACTGACTGCATACTAGGGGGGTACATATACTCGAAGAAGGGTTTACTTGGTCTCTTTTCCACGAAGTCTTCATACAAAGAGCCAACGATCAAGTGAAAATTAGTCTCATATATGGAGTGCTTGCTGTGGGATGTTACACATACTGGCACAGCATCAACCAAGCAGCTTCGGATATAGCACAGGATGAATCAGAATATCTTTTTGAGGAAGCCTGGGCTAAGCTGAAGACAGCTGGAAAAAGTGAATCAATATTAAGCTTTCAGGTAAAGTATCCGTTACCATATTTACATCCGATTAGATCAGGTTACTTATACTTAGTTGTCCTTTTTAGGCTCTGCTTATCTTGGTAAGACTCCTTTGGACCGATTTCTATTACTCGAATTCACAGTGTCCAGTTGGCATTTTCTGCCCAGTATCGACCAACTTTGAATCCGTTGATTCTTACGTCATGCGTTGCAAGTGCACAATCTCTCAGGCTCAACAGCAGAAAGGCCATTGATATGTTATGTCGCAATCCGGATGAAGAAACCCGTCTAAAGGGGGCATTTTGGCTGCTTTACACAATTGAAAAACCATACTGCATGCGCCTAGGCCACTTCTCTGTGAGTTTGCAGTGATACCATCTGTGTAATGTTTATCATGCTCTAATGAATATGCTTCGCTGCTCAGATGATTGACGATACTATGATTGATCACGTACCGTTAAAGATGGAGGACTGTGGCCCCTTATCCGAACTGGTTCAGCACTGCCATTTTGCTAAGATATGCTCCTACTCTGTTCAGAAGATTTACAGTAATGCAGGAGCTAGGCTATCTCTCACACGACTTCAGGAAACAGTCAATCAGCTTAGTAGCTTAGCCTCAAGTTGGAAACAATCATCAATTACTGGAACCGAAGAGATAAATATTACTTTACCCAGTATTCCGTTTCAGACGAGAATACATGAGTCGACAGTCATGCTGCAGTATCATGAACTGGTGCTACATATCTGCTGCAGAGCTCTGATCGGTGCGTCAAAAGGTCATCTTAATTCTCAATTTGAGCGAAACTGCCATAAGTCCTTGGTTGAATCCGCGTGCTCCATTTTAGAGCTTGGAAATGCTCTCCAGCCTATATCAGGTTCACCCAGCCGGTAAGACTCATCATTATGACGTGTGCTCCTAACATGTTACGTATGACCAGCTAATCGAGAAGCAGTCACCTCATACAGATACAGTGTGTAGCGCTATGTATTGTTGCAACGTCTTTATCGATGTGGCCAGACAGGTTAGAGCTCCTTAAACATCTCGGATTCGCATACGGCTTCTTTGCGAAATGCTCGAATTCCTCGGGAATTTCTTATGACAAGGTGCATAAAGTTAGTATTGCTATTCAAGACTGTCTTAAGTCAATATAGCAGAAATAGATCGACGAGCAACTATTTGTACTGAGCTACGCATTTACCTAGGTAGACAACAAGGCCTCTTTCGTCACAAACGGACATGTAGATAGGAGGCTGAAACGAATTAATAACTTAAGAAACCCGGCTTTCCATGCCGTTCAAACTGTCTATCCTCGAAATTAAACATATAAAGCTGACATTAACTGAAAACAGCACCACGCTTTTCACTGGGTATCTTTGTTCTCGGCTGAGTCATGCCGAGGCTGTAACTAACCTCACCAACTAGTCCGTATCTATGAGAAGGCCAATGAAAGATGTTGATTTTAATTATCATGACCCAAAAATACAACGAAAAGTAGAAGCGACCAATAGAATGCGACAGTCAAATAACATATCACTTAAATGGAGTAAGATTTGTAAACATTGATACATGATCCAAATCCGGATTAGTCCGGTAGATAAGGAGCTTACTTTTAGGCTGTTGCATTAGGCTGTTGCAATAATTCTGAAGGATATCGGAATCCAGAAAAAGACATATCATCATGTCGGCGAGTATAGTCTGCACACTTGGTGCAGATAATCAATTTGGCCCACGCGTAGCCGTCAACTGTCGCGAATATGATTTCACCCTGCTCTTCGAGGATGCTTTCTTCAGTGCCCTCCCAGCCGCGCTCTTTCTAATTAGCATCGGACCGAGACTATTTTCCTTGCACAAATGCCCGGTTAAGGTGACTTCGCATAAGTTGGCGGTGCTCAAACTTGTAAGTTGCCAGCGAGAACGCTGAATTAGTGTAGAAATCTCTAACTTCAAGGTTTTGCAAGAGTTTTCTCGCAGTTCTTTTTGTCTTGTACATACTTTTCACCGCATTTCGGTCTCAGTCACCTTCTCTGCATACCACATTGTCGACGGCAGCGGGAGTCTTAAGCATCGTCGCGACTTTTGCTGCAACCGTTTTATCATTTTTGGAAGACCAGCGCTCTTTCAAACCATCCGACACTCTTGTTATATACTTTTCTTTCCTCACAGTACTGCAGATTCCCCGTTTACGCTCGCTATGGCTCATGCCATCGGTGGGTGTATGTCAGGGACTGTGGACAGCAATATTCTCTGTGACTTTTGGTCTGGTACTCGTTGAATCTGCCTCAAAAACTCGCACTCTGCGTCCAGTGTACCTGACGCTATCGTCTGAGGAAGTTTCCGGGTTCTGGCCTCGAAGCTTTTTTGCCTGGATCTTACCACTCTTCCGAACCGGATTTTCAACGGCGATTGGGATCAGCGATATACCAGAAGTAGATCACGACTTACGTGGACACGCTACAAATGCGAAGTTAAGTAGAGCTTGGATGGAGTCTAAAGGCTCATGGCGAATTCTCAAAGCACTGTTCCGTGCCTATCACTGGTCAATCCTCTCTGCAATTGTCCCACGCATCGCTCTTATAGCATTCACATTATGTCAGCCATTCTTGATCTCCACAACTGTAACTTGGATGGGGTCAGAGGTTACTACCGAAACGAAAGGTTATGGCCAGAGTCTCGTTGGAGCTTATGTCATTGTGTATTTTGGCATGGCGGTAAGTGTGATTCGACGCGCTAGATTTATTATAGCGCTTCCATGTGCTCATTTGGACAGATCTCGACGGCTGTATATTTTCAACAAGTCAATCGTTTCGCGACCATGACACGCGCCGGGCTTGTTTCCATGATTTATGACAAGACTATGATGCTAAAAGCTAAGGATCTCAAAGATGCAAAAGCTATTACGCTTATGGGTACTGATATGGAGAGAATCCTGAATGCCATTAAAAACATGCACGAAACTTGGGCATCTATTATTCAAGCTTGCATTGCTATTTGGCTTCTTGAGCGTCAAGTCTATGTGGCCTGTGTGGTACCTACACTAATCTCTCTATGTATGTAGGCTGATTGCTCAAGAAATGCGCTTCTAGCTTTCTTTGTTGCATTATTTCTTTCATCGTTCGCTACTTACCTTCTTATAGTCTGCGTTTATCTGACTGGCCCGGTCTCCAAACGAATGGCAGCTGCGCAGAAAGCTTGGATTGAACGGATCCAGAAAAGACTTGCTGTTACATCGGCTATGCTTGGTGATATGAAGGCAGTTCAGATGCTCGGGCTCAAGGAATTGTTATTCAATACTATCAACAATTTACGGGAACTTGAACTTAAAGACTCGGTGAGATACAGAAAAATTATGGTAGTAGTCGCTGTATTGTGTAAGTGCCCCAGAACACCATTCTTCGTCTGTTCCCCTGAAGTCATGCAAACTGATCACTTTAGCAAATGCTCCTCAATATCTCGCCCCGTATGCAATGTTCTTGACGTATGGAATTATTGCTGCGGTTGGGAAGAACCAAACATTGCTTGCAGCGCAAGCCTTCGCGTCCCTCTCTTTGGTGTCGCTAGTCACTGCTCCACTGATTAAACTCGTCTTTTCTATTCCAATGTTAAGACAAGCGATTGGCTGTCTTGAGCGTGTCGAGCAATTCTATCTGAAAGAAGAGCTTGTAACAGAGGACACTGATTCTGCTATCAGTATTGACAGTCATGGTGCCATATCTCACGAAGCGACTGAAATGTCTGCACTGAATATGGAAATCATAAATGGCCAATTACTTGAATTCAAAAACACAAGTATATCGTGGTCTAAGGATTCGGACATCGTTTTGGCAGGCTTGAATTTCAGTATCCCGGCAAAGAAAATTACAATGGTCGTGGGACCAGTTGGATCTGGAAAGTCTTTTCTTCTCGAGAGCATTATCGGCGAAACAACAGTCAGACAAGGTGATATTACTAATACGGTATCATACGCTGCATATTGTCCTCAAACCCCATGGCTGATGAATAGTACAATTCGCCACAATGTTACGGGAGGGTCTGATTTTGATTCTAAATGGTATGAATTCGTCATCTCCTCATGCGCACTACAAAGAGATATAGAAAATTTTGAATCTGGAGACCACTACAAAGCTGGAAGCAATGGCAGCTCCTTGAGCGGCGGTCAGAAACAACGAGTGGTGAGTTCGGTTAGAACTAGCAAAGGTTTCGAGTGTTAACAGTCATTTATATTGCAGTCTTTGGCTCGTGCAGTCTATTCGAGGCTACCAGTCGCGATTCTTGATGATGTGTTCAGCGGTCTGGATTCAAGGTCTACCAATTCCATAATGCAAAGTCTCTTTAGCCCAGATGGCTATTTTCGGACATCCAAAACATCCGTGATATTGGCTACGCATAATTGTAGGTTATACATCCGCTGACATTTTGTATACTGATATGTGATAGTGGATCTTCTTTCATACGCCGATCATATTATCGTTTTGGGTGATGGGAATGTAGCTGATAATGGATCATATTGTGATATTCTCACGCGTAACCCGGAGTTGTTTACAACTTCATATTCCACGGAAAAGGAGTCAGAGGACGAGCTCAAACTATCGACCAAACAGGATTTTACCTCTCAGAAATTCGAAAAACCAGGTGATAAAAATGCGAATAAAGGAAATGGTAAATCGAATAATGGTGTGGGTATCCTACAACGAAATGGAACCCGGGGTGTATATCAGTACTACATTCATCGAGCTGGGCCATACATCTGCTTAGCAGCCGTTGGAGTAATGATCATTCAGGCTTTTACAGCAGAATATGCTAGTGAGTTGTCAACTTGTTTTGGATCCAATTACAATTTCTGAACTGACGTCTTGTGAAGCGGTATGGCTTCAAAATTGGTCAAACGAAAATGAAAAGAATCCGAACGGTCATCTGGCGATGTATCTAGGCGTATATACACTACTCAACGCACTTACGCTTGCCGGTCTCATTGGATCCGCCTGGTGACTAGCCTTCTTTCCTTGAATTTTCTCAAAAGTTTGTTGGGACTGATTGAATGCTAGGCTTATTACAATTGTGATCATCACAAATACTGCACGTGGACTTCATACGGACCTTCTGAAAGCAACTCTTTGGTATGCAGTATTCCGTCTCATGTGACAGCCATTATGATTCTTGACGGCTGAATCCGATCTAATGTGTTTTAAATCTAGGGCCCCGATCAGCTTTTTACAGAAATCCGACAAAGGGTCTTTGATTAATAGGTAATTTTTTACCGTCCAGATATGGTTCCACCCAAGGTATTCCAGTGAGATCTGACAGCTATACGATAGATTCAGCCAGGACATCAACTTGATCGACATGCAACTGCCTATCTATATGTATAATTTTGCAGAAGGTAAGAAGCGATGCCCATTTTACATTGATTTAGTGATTAAATGACATACCTCGTAGGAGCCGCCATGTGTATTGTCATACTGGTCATTATCTGTGTTGTGGGGAAATATTTCGCCGTAGCCATTCCTGTGATTGCCATCATATTGTGGGGTGTCCAACTCTACTACCTGCGCACTTCACGGCAAGTCAGGCTTCTCGACATTGAAGCCAAGGCACCGCTCTATTCACAATTCATGGAAACCGAATCCGGTGTGTCCGTTATTAGGTTGATGAAATGGCAAGCCCGATTTCGAGGTCAATGCGAAGAAATTCTTGACTATTCCCAGAAACCACTCTACATGCTGTATTGTATTCAGCAGTGGTTGAAACTGGTTTTGGATTTGATTGTGATGGCAATGGCGGTGGTTATAGTGGCCACAGCGACCGGGTTGAAGAATCATATCAGTCCTGGTGCTGCTGGTGTTGCATTGACTCTTGTTCTTCTGTTCAATACTGATTTGACCAACACAATCCAGTTCTGGACACTCACAGAAATATCCATAGGGGCTGTTGCGCGTATCAAGCAGTTTGCAGAAGACACTCCGTCCGAAAGTCGCCTTGACTGTGATCCTGCTCCTCCTAGCCACGAATGGCCCTTGCAAGGTGCTATACGTTTCGAGGACGTCACAGCCTCCTATAGGTGAGTACTGCCACCTCAAAGAAGCATGGAATATAAAGGATAATTCTGCAATGCTAACATGCTTCCAAAACTCTAGCACAGATACAGCCCCGATCCTGAAACGGCTGTCTCTAGATATCAAACCCGGAGAGAAAATAGCCATTTGTGGCCAGTCCGGAAGTGGAAAGACATCCTTGATTTTATTACTTCTACAAATGATAGATGTGCAGAGTGGCAAGTGTATCGTCGACGAAATCAATTTGGCATCACTCGACCGAGGAGACATTCGCACCAGACTAAATGTTGTCACCCAAGAACCCTTCTTCATACCTGGCAGTATCAGATTGAACCTTGACCCACATAACCGAGCGTCAGATGAATGCATTGAATCCTCTATCAAGAAAATTGGCTTATGGGCCCGAGTTGAGGCCAACGGTGGACTTGATATGACTTTTGTTGCATCTGACTGGTCTATGGGTGAGAGACAATTATTCAGTCTAGCCAGAGCTTTGACCACACCGAGTCCTATTCTCGTTTTAGACGAAGCCACGAGCAGGTGAGAAATCCAATCCCATCATATTCTATCATCCTTCGAAGGCTAAAGAGCTATCACAGTGTGGATTGGGAGACAGAAACAACGATGCAGAAGATTATTGATGATGAGTTCTCAGCAAAGACCATTGTTTCCGTTGTTCACCGGCTGCGATTTATCAACCGGTACGATCGAGTTGCCGTCATGAAAAACGGAGAGCTAGTAGAATGCGATCGACCACAGTCCTTGCTCAATGGTAGCACCGAATTTAAAAAGCTGCACGATGCTATGGGGATCAACTCATAGTCCAAACGCTCGGTGAATGGCGATATTATCTGCTGTGGATTCGAGACACAACATACATAGAATTCCATATAACTTACATACCGTTGTATACGTAGTGCTGTATCTTCTATGATGATAAATTTGACTTCTCGGCCATTTTACCACGCAAGGACTTGGGCATTGTAATGAGATTCGCGAAGATGTACGTTGAGCGTGAGTTGCTGGGATGGCCCGGCCGGCCCGTCCCGTACCACTCCAAGTAGGTCAGGGCTGCGATCACGTAGCCCTAAGACAATAATAGAGGAGGACGAACGTTTGCCCCATTATATCGCCCAGTTACTGAATTTACTAACATCTTTTTCTGCAGAATTAGGGTTATTACGTTAACCTTTCAAAAGATAAGTCAGACCTGAAATGAATTTCTTGCATGTCAAGATAAATACTGACATACTCTCAAGGAGCCCGGCAGCTCAATTCAGATTTATTTATCTTATCATAGGCGATTTATGATAATCATCCAGTAGTCTGAGGTGCATAAGATGATGAAGAAACTCTGAAAACGGATTCGACAACGGTGACGCTCCCTTTAACTGGTCGGTCTTGAATTTAAAAATTCTACTTTATCATAGCGGTGGCCTTACGATAATGCAATCAACTCTAAATCTCAAGCTGAACACATCTACATAGATGAGTCTCTCAGTATCGGTGATAATATGGTAGCTTCCACTTTGAGTATAGAAGCCTCGCTATTGAAGCCTCGCTATTGAAGGACTAACAGACAACGTAAATAGTAAATTTCAATATCCAGCAGAACGTACGATTGTAACGAGCGTTGTTTACCCCCTGATCACCGTCCATTTTCCTTTCTTTCTTCATGCCATAACTGTCTCGCAAATTGTCAAGAGTAAACCATATAATAAACTACTTCGTAGCCGAGCTGTCGTATCAGGTGTCTCTAAGACCTTCAACGCCTTTATGCCATCCAAACATTTGCATAGTTATCGTATCGTCTAGTGCTTGTTGAGGAAATGTTTGGATCTTTTGATTGGCACTAGTCTTCATAGATGTACTCGGGGGACTCAACAGCGCGCTTGTCTTCGTAGATGTACTCCGGAGATTCGGTAGCACGCTTGTCTTCGTAGATGTACTCCGGAGATTCGGTAGCACGCTTGTCTTCGTAAATGTACTCGGGAGACTCAGTGGCACGCTTGTCCTCATAGATGTACTCAGGGGACTCGGTAGCGCGCTTGTCTTCATAGATGTACTCCGGAGATTCGGTAGCACGCTTGTCTTCGTAAATGTACTCGGGAGACTCGGTAGCACGCTTATCTTCGTAGATGTACTCGGGGGACTCAGTGGCGCGCTTGTCCTCATAGATGTACTCCGGAGATTCAGTAGCACGCTTGTCTTCATAGATGTACTCAGGGGACTCGGTAGCGCGCTTGTCTTCGTAGATGTATTCCGGGGACTCGGTAGCGCGCTTGTCTTCGTAGATGTACTCGGGAGACTCAACAGCGCGCTTGTCTTCATAAATGTATTCCGGGGACTCGACGCCATCCTTCCCAGGTGCTAAAAGAAATTTTCAGTACAGCTTTGGTTCCTCTGGAACCGAACAAACATACATGGAATAGGAGAAGCGAAGACTGCTAAGGTGTGCAAAAGCACAGCAGTGATGACTGGTACATGCATCTTGGTGTGATATACAGGGTCACTAATCCGGTATGGTGGATGAGATACAATGTGGACTTTAAGATTAATCCTGGCTGAAGATTGAGTGTCGAACGTATCTGGCTATTTTATTCTTGTATACAAATATATAACCAGTGACATGTATACCATTTTATAACCGTCAGCGCAGCTCAAATAGTTGCTATTTGCCTACTACAATTACCTATCGGTAGCTATCGGTAGAATTGTATAAGGGAAAATTGCGCTTTCACCTTGTTGCCGCAGCTCTATGAAGACATATTTCCAACGTTTTTACCGCACCTCGGTAGAAGTTAGTCGGAGGTTGTTTTAGATCACATCATTGGAAGAAAATTCGCAATTATCATGTATTTCTGAAAAGGATCTTGTTCGGTTATTCGGAAAATTAAATTTATCGTAGTTTGCATCGCGAGATTTACAGCGGTAGTATCGGTTACCGGTTAGTAATTGTGTACCTCGTTGTTAAACCGCTGCAGTTTTGCGCGCTCTGAAAAAGTCGTTCAGTGACTCACTCTAGTGCCTTATTTTATTGTTATCCACAACTCAAAACTCAATTATGGCTTCTGACGAACATGACTTGGAAGATACATCGAGTTACGATTCACTGCTACACGATGAAAAGGATCGAAGACACTTCGGAGGCGAAAAATTCTCACGAGACCATGGTCGCCAAAGGACTTCCATAGTCTGGCGTGGATTGAAAGGCTTCTGGTACTTGCATGTTATGTTAACGACAGGTCTCTCACTATACTTCATCTACTGTACATTCAGAAGCCACGAAAATGGAGCATTATGGTCACATCGCCACCAACTGGATATTGGAGAAGATATGATGGGTATAGTTCCTCAATGTATGTATTTTAGGACCATATGTATATTACGAAAATTTACTAAAGCTTAAAGTAGTCCCGACTATACCAATCAAATTTTGGAACTCGTCGGAGTTTTCATACGTACAGTCGACAAATCCAGTGGACGACCTCGCTGTTCAGCAGGCATGGCTGTCTTTACATCCAGGTATGTTGTAGATCTCTCTTGTGCTTTTCCAAAAACTATAAAGGATTATAATTTAATGCCTGGATGGAATCTAGAAAAATCATCGCACATAAAGATAGACCCGCAGAGTCGCAATATCCCGAATCCATTGCAAGATGAGACTTCTGGAGACTACTACCTTGGAATAGCAGTTTTTCATCAATTACACTGTCTAGTGAGTCCCCGGAGTGTATTTTACAGTCTATACCCTACTTTGCAAAGACTGATACAGTGACTGTAGCACGCAATTGCGAAGAGCCTACATCTTTTATCTCGTCAGGAGCCAATGGAAGAGACTACTAGCCACGTCCAGCACTGTATCGAGTACTTACGGGTAACGCTGATGTGCCATGCAGACACGACCTTAGAAGGCGGCGAGTATGTGGATGCATTTCATAGAGCAGAGGGAATGGGAACAGTGCATATGTGTAAGAATTGGGATGACCTTCTTGGTTGGGCGAATATCCACACTTTGTAAAGCTTAGACAGTCGGAAATATTGAATTCTCGTGACACAAAAAACATAAAACTCTTACAGGTATACATTGGTTCCATACAAGTCATTGGTAAACTAAATACAACGTTCAAAAATGATAAAAGTTACGATTGCACCCATCACTGATGAGGTACATAACATTCCACATCCTTTCCATAATGAACTTCATTCACGAGATTGGTCTCTGTTCCTTTCAACACCTTGACACAATGCTGGGTGTGTTTATGATTCAAGAATTTCTTGGGGAAACACCGAGTTGTATTCCCAAGAGACGCGGTCATGGCACGCATCGTATACGCACAATGATATACATGATACTCGGGATCACTATATACCATCGAGCCGAATTTCCAATATTCCTTCAAGGATGATTCAGGAATACTCTTAGTCCTCTCCTCATCTAGATACCACTCAAATTTGGGAAGCTTCGAGAACTCATCGCGCAGCTCGTCGTTGGAACAAACTCTAGGGACCCAACCTGGCAGATAGACATCAAATACGCAGTCGTGAGCAATCTTGGATTCAAGCGAGTTTATATTTCCGCAGTTTATATATTCATCTTGCTCCATTTCGTGGCCATGGTCATGACTTATTCCCTTGCTCATTCCAGATGGGTTGGCAACATTGCTCAATTGAGATGGCTCCAATCTAGAGCCAAGGAAAGGTGAAATTTGGAGTCCGAGAAGTACATTTAAACCGACAATCAAAACAGCGAGTATCGAATATAAAACGATTTTTTCTAGACAAGGCGGCTTTCGTTCTGGTGCTATGGTGTTTCCGTGCTCATCGATGCTCTTGTTATAGCGTGGCAAAAGGTTGACAGTTTCTTGTGACGAAGAAAAGTCTTCACTGGGTGATGAGGCATCCATGGCCGCTGACTAGCAGAGAAAAAATGCTTGGCCGGTTTCTGAGGAATGATTGGAACGCCTGTGAATGAAGTTCAAATATCCTTGGTTTAAGATGTCAGGTAGACTAAGCAGATTCCCTCTGAATTAGAGCTCGTCCGGCGCTTCGGCGCAGCTCAGTAATAGTACGAAAATTTACCGTGGGACCGGTAATCATGTTGATAACGATTATATTCTAGCTACTGGAAGGACAATACCCAGGTCCCACATGTGTTGTTCGTCGGATTACCCGATGTGCGAACATTGAATAGGCTATTTTTTGCAATAATTTCACCATCATAGAGCTAAGTGTGCTAATATCCTTGATATCATTGGAATGTAACATTTGGATTTTCCTTAACATCGCTTAAGGATTTGCATTTACATGCGATCCTGTTGAATGGTCTGCCCACAAAATTTATAGACCCGACCTTGTATAGTACCATTTTTATGGTGTGCGACATCATGCTGAACAGCTATCGATATCTAATGAAGGTATGAAAGCTAAGCAATTATCTTATTCTACTGTAACTAACATTACAATTAAGTGGCCAACGGTCCATAAATATCAAAATGTCGATAGTGGGAAGGTGTACCACCGTCAACACTCATCTAGGAAGATGATGACCGCGGTTCACCACTTCTTCTCGTTTGGGTTGGGAACAGCCCTTGCTCTAGCAATTATATATTTCAGCCTTCGACGACATCTCCCATCGTCTGGTTATGATACCCATCAGATTAACCGGCCGCTTCGTGGTTGTGGTACTACACCCGGGGAGGCGCGCGCGGCTGGGTGCATCTTTGACATGCTCACCGTTGCATGGACACCCTCTGAGTGCGTTGATCCAGATCTTACCAGGGAGTTTTTGGAACTGGAAGACTGGAAGTACTATAAAGATAAAGAAGGGACGGAACAGGTTGCTCTCGCAGAACTGACCGCGGGCGACTGGGATGGGTACGTTTGGACCACGACGCGTTATCACCAAATCCATTGTATGTTTGTCTGGACTAGAATTCACTACGCTACGATGGGTGGCCCGCCCGTCGATACGTTACTTGGAAGCAAAGTGCATACAACTCATTGTCAAGAAATGATCATGAAGAACGACAGTGATCGCATTACAGGACGTCAAGAGGTTTTCTATCGCGAGTGTTGAAGTGCATCAAAAATGAAGACAATGCAGATAATATTCATTTCGAACATACTCATGTAAAAAAAATTATAATCCATTTCCTTAACAGTATATATCACTTTCTCTTGCCGGTCTAAGTAAATCCGGTAAGAAATACAAAATTAGGCTAATCGCGGAGTGGGAGGATTTATCGGTATCAGCCACTGCAAAAAGACGCCAGTTCCAGGATAAGCCCTATAATCCATCCAACGGGTTGACCTAGTTCCCCGACTAGAGCCGAATTATCTTGAGATTGAAGTGGAATCTGTAATCAGATTTTTATCTGCCAACGGGCCTCCAACATTACCCCTCGGTTGAGACCACCAAGCTGATCAAGAACAGTCAACATGTCCCCGTGGGCTCTATTAAGGAGTATTTACCCAGAAATGGAGTATGATCCAGAGAAAAATCACTCCAGACTTGGTTATGAGGCGAAACAAGTGGTTCGAGGAAAGAGCACATTTTTATTTCTCGTAATAACTTCCGGTCTCGCTGGGTAAGTGTATCGTCAGGCTTTAGTTTATCTAACATTAGCTAAACTCTACGAAGTCTGCAAGTAGCATTTTCTGTCCAATTCGCGGAAGGCACAGTCTGTCCAACACCCAATACTCGCAAAACTTTCTCATACTGATATATAACACAGAACTTCCTCTTATCACTTGGGATTCATCCCAAGTTCATAAATCTGATCTGGCTCTCGCCTCCTTTATGCGGTGCCGTCTTGCAACCCTTATTCGGAGCTTGGAGTGACATTTGTCCTTCACGTTGGGGAAGGCGAAAACCATTCATTGCAATAGGTGGGATCGGACTCGTGATTTCATTACTTGGGATCTCATGGAGCCCGGCCTTAGGCCAAATTCTTGACAGCTCTTGCTCAGGCTCGCGGCCAACGTGTGCAACATCTCAAACATTCGGAATTCTATCCATTGTATCATTGAATGTATCCGCACAGGCTGTTCAGGTTGGGGTCCGTGCTATGATGGTGGATCAGTGTCATAGTCAACATCAGCCTATGATAAATGCATGGGCTACTCGACTGATAACTACTACCAACACTTGTTCATACTTACTATCTTATGTGGATTTGCCGAGGGCATTTCCAATCCTTGGTCGCTCCCAACTCAATGCCTTGATCCTACTCAACTCGTTCATCGTTATTCTTTTTTAAAGCATCACTTGTCTCTGCACAAATGATACTACTTGGACACGAGAAGAGATTGATACATGGGTCCTTACCCGGGTTATTCGCAAAATACGAGACCTTCCTCTTCTGGTATCTTCCGAAATGTTTAAAATTCAGGTTGTACAGTTCTTTTCGTGGCTCGCATGGKTTCCTTTTATGCTCTATATCAGCAGGTATGCTTTTCTTTCCTGCGTTTCTTAATTATCTGTTAATTATTCTGGCAGCTTCATAAGCACCACCGGTAAGTTAAAGTTTACATTTGATATTAGCACCACCTCTTTTAACATTCGTGAAAGATCTTTACGAATCCGGCCAGTCTGGCAACGAGATTGAATCACAATCCAGGGCAATGGGCCCTCTTGGACTTCTCTGCCAGTCCATCTTTTCCCTGATCACAGTTTGCGTCTTCCCTCAGATATCTGAAAGCATCCTGTCCCGTGCAGATAAATCCAGAAGATTTTTGAGCGAAGAAAAAGACTTCACTCAGAGGATAACACCATCCTGGCTATCATATCGAAACATCTGGATGGCCTCTCTTCTTCTTTCCGCGGGTGCTATATTTGGTATACTTAACACAAACTCTAGCAGATTGATGATTTACATAATGAGCATCAGTGGATTTTCCTGGGGGTTGATGATGTGGATTCCACCTGTTCTTGTCAACCGCGAGATTCTTCGACATCAAGAATCCGCTGAGGCAGACAAGGAAAGCGGAAACAGCGTTGCGACTGTGATAGGGATTAATAACGTGTCAATCTGCCTTCCGCAAATTTTGGCTATGCTTTGCGGTACCGTTATTTTTTCTTTGGTGGAGGAGATGGATAATGAAGTGCCAATGAGAGGGATGAGATCCATATTTGGTGGTAGCTGTGTAATGATGCTGATTGCGACAGTATCTGTTTCGCTACTGAATAAGTAGATTGAGCAACCATAAGGTTATGGATGTATCACCATTGCAGGAAATTTTTACTCTTTTTTGATACCTAGGTACTGTCGAACCCCAAGCAGAAGCTGCGCGTGTCTTATACATTCGGACTAAACAAACTAATCAATCACTTTCTGCTAATTGTAATTTCTCGACGTCGAGTGAGAAGATACTGTGTTTCCTCTTCTGTCACTGATTCTAGTCTACATATGTGTGCTTTCTATACGTACATACGTCTGGTATGCGAAAATTTCACCTAAAACTGATAGCACTAAGCTTCTCATATGCAGAATGTAATTCTTAGTCCCAGTATGATAGGTACCAGCATCAATACCGATAACACAGAGTAGCGGACTCAGTCTTCATAACATCAGCCACATGCTTGTTTTCTGTGAGTCCCATTAATTGTAATGGTTCTTGCAAAGATAATGGGGAATCATCTTGTAGTCCACGATATAGTGACAACCTTGATGAATCTGCTTGCTGCCATATCCACCATAATCTATCAAGCTGTACATGATGTAGATAGAATACGGGATCTACCAGAGGTAAGGTATTAGTATAGTTCCTTTCAAATCGTATAATGAAAGACACACCGTTTGGAGCTGTAAAGAAATGGAAATCGCCATTGACCCCATCAGGTATTCCATTATGTGACCCCGTCTCTAATTGTAGCAAAAAGTCACCGTAATGTTCATTCTGCAGGATTTTTGATACGGCATCTGGTCTGAGACGATATCCAGAAAATTTGCCAGTTCCATTGTCGTTGCTGAAGGATCGTGCAAGGCAATGTGGTATAAAATCTCCGGCTCTGTAGCTAACTTCAAAGCCGGCAAACGGGCCTTCTTCAACGCAGTCTTCATTGAGAGGGTTGCCGCTACCGCCAAAGCCCAAATTGCTATCCCAAATGACAGAACTCGCTGGGTCCTCCCAATCTTGCGTCCAGTCCCAGTATCTGATACTCAGGTTAATCAAAGTTTCCAGCTAGAGATTCGACGTAACTCACGGGAGATGTTCAGTGTATCCGCATGTATTTCTAATTGTGGTTTCGAATGCATGCAAAAAGTAGCGATGAAAAGGGAGAAACAATGAAGTTTTATGAACTTTGTGTCTATTGTCAGTATAAATTTACGGACTATTGGAAATCTGGGAAACATACTGTATCTGCCCTGTTCGCTATGTACCCAAGCAAAATCGTCATACATCGATGCAGCTTGATTGTCCTCAAGTACAGAAGGATGCGAGTGCAAGCATTTGATCGCATTAATGAATTTCACTTTGTCTTTTGAGCTAAGTTGTCTCCATTCTCGACGTACTGTAGGTCGACTACAGGTCCCAGAATTCTGGAATCGGAAATACCAAAGCAGGATCCCAATCAGGATGCTCAGAGTTACAGCACCCAAGACCGCAAGTAAAGTTTTCCCAGTCTGTTTCCGTGGCCTTGTAAATCAAAAATCAATATAATCTGATTACTATCAACATTCCGCATACAGTACATACCTCCTCTGTACAGCTTCATTATCACCGTCGTAATCACCCTGGGAAACCGGTAGATAAGCTTCAGGCTTTGAAAAGACGAACATTGTTCACGTTCGAATTGGACATGTCTCTCTAAGCAATGCGAATATTTTCACGTTACTCCCCTAGGTATGCCGTGCTAGTCATCGTGGCATAAAACAACGTATCTTCGGGCGGTAATTTCGTCGGCAGATTGTGCGCAACAAATAGGCTACCGGTAGGATAGTCCAATGACTATCGTAACAACCAACTTTAGTAGTACAGGAACAAAAAACAGTGCAAATTAGATCATCAACGTGAAATTGAATCATACATTTATTCCTAACCAAACATTCCTGGAGTTCCTTCCAGTACCCATTCCGTGTTGTTCGGTCATCAACAGCCCCGTTGCTTTTCTCGGTCTCATCAAATCTATTCACTTACATTGGCGAAGAGAATTCTTATCACTTCGAATCATATACCCCGACAATAAGAATGCTCATTCTAAGGATTCTTATATCCTGCACAATCATACTTGGCATATCAGTCTCAATGACTCTGCCTCTACACCCGAAAGCATTTTCTATGTGCTGGTCAGGTCTCCAGCCAGGAGACGGATACAAGATCAGTAAGTCATAAATGTTTTACATATCGTCCTCTCCCTTATTCCATTGAACCCAAGAAGAAAGAAGTCAAAGACACTAATTAGGCCCCGTGCAGTGTCTTTCGCCGCTACTACCAGAAACGAATCAATCCACACCGGCACTTTCGAAGCTACTCTGAGACATGAAGGATTCCCAATTGTTATGCAACGATTCTCTCTGAATGATACTGCAACTATGTCCGCCAAATTTGAGGCGTGGAAAAGGTACTCAGTATGCTTTACACAGGATATCGATTCTTGGAGCGATATTGAATTTACTATGACATGATTTCTTGAGAGTATCTCCTTGGGCTTAGATTAAGTTGATCCATCGAGAACAAACAAAAAATTCACTTGTACATAACATTAATGGTTTTCGTACTACTCTCTACTTGTGTCAGATGGCGTGAGCCCGGGTCAGTTCATGTAATTAAAAACCTCAACATCGGCATTAGCCTGCCTAGGCACCGGTATTTGTGCAAGCTCTTTGTAACTTCAAATCTATTATAGGCAGTGTATTTTGCTCGTTTTGAAGTAGTAGCATATTGATCTTGTTCCACAGTATGACCTTCATAAATCCGAAAATTCTGACATGGCGTCTACATCTGCACACTGCCAATACATTTTAGGAAGTAGTTGTGATTACTTGAACAGTTTTTTGGTTCATTGAAACCGAATTCATTTTTATTGCCAACACTACATAGGTATATATGCATCAAATCCTGCATCACGCGTATGATTTTTCGCGCTCTCGGAGATCTCTTCAAAATACACCTGCCTTTCTTTTGTCCACTCATATATTGAATTAAAATTCCGACAAGAATGCATAACAGTACCATTAGCAACTGGCTTTCCCATGAGCCCCGGCTCGAAATCCCATGTTAGGATATTCGTGTCCCCATGGCACATGATTGCCTGTCGGAGTACGTCGACGCAATGAACTAGATGAATTTGAATCACGTCAGCCATCCCATACAGGTCACAATTGGTGAAAGTGCTTTCATACGAATATGTAGAGAGCCGGAAGCGTCCGGACATGACGGATATGCTTCGCGATATGCGCATTTCCGAAGCATATTCTAAATACACCGATTGCACTCAGTATTCTGCCCTTGGTACAGCAATCAAAACGTTATGGTGGGATACGAACAAGACAGTGCAGCTGATGAAACATCGAAACAGATGCTAGATAGCCCGAACCATCGTACATTTGGTAGCTCGTCCGCCCAAGCATTTTTAAATCTTGGTCATTTATTTTCACAATTCCCACTGAGAGACCAGACAAATTGTTAGTATAGAGTAAAGTGTTATATGGCAGAAGAAGAGGGAACTTACCACTAGTAAGGTCGTTCCAGGCTTCTTCAGTAGCGGGATTCGGGGGATTTTTGTAAACATTGCCAACGTCCACGTCGGTCTGGAAGAGCCTGTCCTCATATTTGATTACTTTGTCTAAAGATTTTGGCCCTTCAATATAAATAAGCAATTAGTCGCATTTTTTTGTGAAACTCTATGCACTCACTATAAGTCTGATCTTCGTCGCATTGTAGTTTTGAGTTGAACACCGCCAAGATTGTAAACAGAAGAGTAGCGTGGATTATCCAAGAGACTAAATGAAGAATAGCTGTTTTAAGTGATCGTGAATGGGATGGTTTGGCGGGCAATTTTTCGCCATATTCTTCTTGCAGTAACCTGTCGGTGTCACTGCATGTAGTGGATGACCTTGAAGGGGAAGAAGAGTCGTCTTTCAAAAGTCCTGTTCGATCCATATTCACTCTCGACACATTGATGATGCCAATGTCTCGAAAATAGCAAAACAAGCGTCCACCTAAATTATCCAAATCAAATAAAAACAACTAAGTCGGCTTGGAGTCAATGGGGGTGAAATGGATCGTCTGATAGGTGGAGAGATATAGCCGGATGAGGCTGTCGGGCCAGGTTTACCGCGCCCAAGTATAGGCTCACTGGTAAGGAGAAATAGCCGATACTCCCTTTGTGCCTATGTAAGTCATCCAGTTTTTGCTTTTTTGACTAAGAAGATGTTACTTTAAAACATCCTTGAAATGAAAGTAGTTAGCTTCAGCAAAGTATCAAAAATGGGACACAACGCAACGACTACTCGCTCTGTATGCAAACATCTCCAGTCAATAGACGTCTGTTTTAAAGAATGATTCAAAGTCCAGAAAAAAGGGCTTCATCTTCTTGTTCTCAACTCCTGAAAAGATAATTCCGCAGATTTCTGCAGTCCCTCTACTCCACGCAATAGTCCTAAATCTGAATAATCCGGTCATCACGTCTTATATGTGATCGCTGGCCAGTACTACTCAACGAGCATGCTGCTCTAAGCTCGAGAAATGAGAACAAATCATCACAAGAATCAAGATTTTCTCTTTTGCAAGCCATGTTACATGAATTCAACTTCATTACCCATCCATAAATTCCTTCAGGGATGGATCATGATGCAAGATCTGCAATTCCGTAAAGACATAGCCTAGTACTGAAATATTATGCTGGACGGCAACTGTATATTCCTGTAGATATCTATAGATGAGAAGGCTTTAGGAGACGGAAAGAGATATCAGGAATGGATTTGATGTGTCGGTCAGGCTACCATCATTACAGCATTTATGTGCCAGTTGGCTGTTACCTGACGATTCATCGCTTTTCAGTAGACTAGCAATGAACGACTCTCTCAACGTAATTTTCAGGAACCCAGGAGCAGATTATGGGCCAGAGCCTTGCCGAATATCAATGCTCTCATGAACTTGACGTCCGGAACGATCTGGTGACCCAGACGTAAATGACCTTACGGTGACTGCTGCTGGCTGAGTATGAATTGAGACAGTACTTCACCAGTCAGTCAAAGAGAATGAGTCCCAGGAGGTCGCTGTAACTGCTATTTTTGTTCCAAATCTAACTCACTGAAACTATCCACCTACTTTGTATTGCTATGGACTTCTTTCATCCAAAGCTGTTCTCTGTATATAGTAGTTTAGCTCTTTGTCTTGGGATATATGCAAAGAATTGGTGTTACACCGAGGGCTTGAGCAATATAAAGACATCAAATCCGCCGAAACCCAGGAATAATCTGTGATCCCGAGTCAATCGGTATATTTACAGATATCTTCGAGTCAATGAGTCGCGAACAAGCGAAGGAAGCCTCGTCGTTGATATAAGCTAAAAAATGGTTCATGATTGATACCCCGAACAAACAATGCAAACGTAGCTCCGAACGTCAAGCTACCTACCTAAGCTCCCCGCAATCTCTTCAGAAAACACCCCCCCTCATCTACATCACTCATTCTTCACTTCAGCCTCAATTACAGCTCGCCCTCTTCAAAATGATCGATCCAGCAATTTTCGAGAACCTCCAAACAAAGATTGACGAAGAAACTGTTGTTCGAGATGTGAGCTTTGCACAAGGGGGACGAATAAAGCCCATGAGAGATATGACCTGAAGCTCATTTTGATACGAATAAAGGAACTACACGAGATCGTCCAGAGTCTAGCTCGAAAAGGTACTTCTATCCAACTATCGATCGATTGACGGAACAAATTTTGACACAAGTGATCGACAGGCCGAACAACGCAAGCGATCCTCTCTCGAGCTCATTCCACACCTTCGCAAGACAGTACGCCTCTCCTCCGCTCGTCACAGCTACACAGCACAAACCGAAGTACATGAAGCTAATACAATTGGTCTGCTCTAGTAAAATCCGTCCTTGATGACGCCGCGACCCAAATCCTCGCTCAGAAAGAAGACGTTTCTCGTCTTGCAGAAATCGCAAACAAGCATCCTTTCTACAAATACAATGGAGTCTGGTCTCGCGAGTTACAAAACTTGGTACATCTCCCCCTACCTTCGACCCATGTCCATATGGTGCTAAGAACTGGCTGGAAGGTATACTACATAGAACTCTGCGCGTGGCTCGGCGGGKTGACCGAATACAAAAACTCCTCCAAAACGTCATTCCTCACAATCGAAGAAGTTGGAAACTTCCTCGACAGTGCGTCTCTTTCCTCGACCCTTTGATATTGCCACACTGACTTACGAATCGAAACAGTACCCGTCAACCTCAAAGACGAAGACAAGTTCCACCTCACAATCGAAGAATACCTCCTCTCCCTGATCTCGATGGTCGAAGAATTGTCTCGTTTGGCTGTGAATTCTGTGACATTGGGCGACTACCACCGTCCGCTTGAAATCAATAATTTCATCAAAGATTTGTTTGCAGGGTTCCAATTGCTGAATTTGAAGAATGATATACTGAGGAAGAGGAGTGATGGCATCAAATACTCGGTAACTTCGCTCCCCTCCAAGCTCTGAATGTTGACTGACGAGGGTACAGGTCAAGAAGGTGGAGGATGTGGTTTACGATCTCTCCTTGAGAAACTTGATTCCCAAGGCATGAATACATGATTAATCAAAACGAAAAGAGTTTTACGTGGAACGGACGGATAGAAATGAACTAATATTAATGGCACGTCTTCAGACAAACGTACTGCAATCTGGTATCAAGCATCAAACCCACAAAATAACAATAGAGTAACATCAGCGCATCAATCAAGCCAACTTGGCCTCATCCGCAGGCGCAGCAGGAGCAGCGCTCTCCGTCGCAGTAGGTGCCGGCTTTGCCTCAGCAGCAGCCGTCTCCGTACCCGTAGCATTCTTACTCGCAATATCAATCTCCTTCAAAATCGTGCTCTCCAGGCTTTCAGGTTTGGTAATACTCCTCCATCTCCCCACTACTTCACCCTTTCCATTGATCAACGCCTTCTCGAAATTCCACAACACCCTCTTCACGCCCAACAGACCTGGCTTCTCGGCCTTGATCCACTCAAACAACGGCTCCGCCTTACTCCCATTCACATCAACTTTGCCCAACACGGGGAACGTCACGCCATAATTAACCTGGCAAAAGCTTTGGATTTCATCATTGCTTCCCGGATCCTGGTTTCCGAATTGATTGCACGGAAATCCCAGGATGGTGAATTTACCGGGATGTTTCTCCTCGATGGATTTGTACAGTTTTTCGAGTCCCGCAAATTGAGGCGTGAAGCCGCATTTGGAGGCTGTGTTGACGACGAGGACGACTTTGCCTTTGTATGAGGTCAAAGGGTAGGGGTTTCCTTTCTCTGTTTGTCTGTTAGTATCGTATTTTCCCTGTCGAGCGCATACTGGATTGGGAAGGGGACGAACTGTCGGGAGGCGAAAAGTCGTAGAAAGTAGTTGCAGAGGCCATTGTGCTGTGGTGAGCGTGTCTGATGAGTCGACTGTGTAGATGAGGGGTCGTCACTAGCTATGATCGCGCATGTCAGTAAGCTATCGGTATTCTAGCTTCAAATGAGCGAAGGGATAACGAACCGACAACCGTGAATGACACGAATAGCGTATGAACGAAATCTTGACGAATATCGACGCGATCTTAATACAAATAGAAATTACGATCTGACGAACGGGTGGGATGGCGTTATATAAGTAGGAGTGGCATGAGTGTTGCACGATGGAAACTGATAGCAAGCCGGAGCTACGACGAATACGTAATGGTCCAACGGTTAACAAGAGCCAATCAGCGGATTAGTAATGGCTGCGTTCTAGAAGCAGAGATTCACTAATGAACGTCATCGGAAAGGCGGACATCCGGTGCCGAGGAACTCTGAATTCGCAGGCTTAAAATATTTGTCACGATACGCACGTATAGAATGAAGCTATATTGCGCGTCTTAATCCAGCGATCCCGAGAACAGAACAGACCTCCCGATCGGGTAGTTCGTCTGCCCAATCAGAGTATCTGATCGGGGCTTGGCAACGGGCGGCTGTCTGATTGGATGCTGTTTGCCTCGCCTCGGCTGTTGAAGGAGCAACTGATGATACGCAGGAACACAAGATTTTGTGAAGAATTGAGATATCGCACGGTGCTATGCTTAGCAAACTATCAGTAATCTATCTGACGAACACCTGGACACGATCGCTGTATCAGATCTCACGCGATCCATTGCCGACAGTCATGTAGCCACTGGTATGGTCTAGAATGATGCGCAGATGTAAACTAATGTACAGCAATTGCGAATAGCTTTGCGGCAGCATCGGTCTGTTATGAGTGTAGCCTGGTAGGTCCCTGAGGTGACCATGGATACCATCTCATCCTGTCAGCTGAGCCGAAGTATTCTGAATGGATCGGTTTCTCCTCCTCTTCTACGCGGAGCGATTCATCGCAGGTATAGCCAGTCATTCCAAGTGCATTCTCACTGCAAATGCGCCATGTCGCGTGTTTCCCGTGTATGAGGCGAACAAAGTATCTGCTTCACGCCGGCAACCACCATCGTGTTGCAGTATATTTTCTCTCACTCCTCTAGGATCAATCACTTCAACTCCTCACTCAGCACATCAACATCCAACTCCTCAATCMCCCCCAACACTACCCCCAGCGTGTCCATAAACCCGTTTACAGAGACCCGCAGCATACGATTCGTCGTGGCGCGGTACGTCGTCTCGAGCACAGTCTTGCTTTCGTCGGCATCATCACCGTTGACATCAGGAGACTTGAGCGCAAAACTTCGGTGCACCAGTGGAGAGATCTCTTTGTCGACTTGGATGGCTTGCAGGGCTGCGGAGGCCAGGCGGTTGGTGGGGAGGGGGATGGAGATGACTCTGCGTGCGGTAGCGTTAGCCAAGACCTTTCGGCGTATGGGATAGGGTTGGCTACAAAGAGTAAGGAAAGTCGGTTTCTATCTTAGTAGTTGATGCCATTTTGAGTGCGCTGATCGAGGCGGGTCTCAGTTGAAGTTGGCGTGAAAGATTGACGATGAAGAAGTCCGCCAGTTCGGATTGGAATGTGCGGGGCAGCTGCCGCTGATTGTCGTCATGCCGACCCTTAACCCTAAGTCCAGATCGTTCAGGTCAAATCGTAATCAATAATAAATTTTCGTTGTATAGCTATTTTTTTCAGTATTTATTATCGAAATAATAAATGTTTGCAGCGATTAGGAGTAATTCTACAAGCAACTACGTACCTAGGTAGACAGGTCAAGAGTTCGATGTTATGCTACTTTGACAACAAAGATATATATTGCACTTGGCAGTGGAAACTACTGCATAAGAAGAGTAAATATTCAAATCTAATTACACGAATCCTACCTAGGCATATAAGCTACGAGACATATTTAGTAGATAATTACACGCATGATACCTAGGTACCCTCTCAGACACTGAAACTTTACAGATATCGGAGTGCAAGGTGTTCACTGTAAAAGCTGGAATAGTTGCGGCTTCGGAGTGCTGTCGCATTTTCAAGGCTACGGATGGCTTCCCTGGAAGACAGTCATGAATTCTAGAATTTCTAAACAGTAATGGGCCAGTAATCAAGTTTTAGGTGGCAGCTGATCACAAGATACTACACACCCAAGCGATACTACGTAGGAGGTCAGATGTTGACATGATGTCGGCGGGKGAAATCATCGAGAATGAAAACTCGAAACATATTGCCTCATCACCGCGACTATGTTCTCTTTGCCCGAGCCAATAGCCGTTCTCTTGTTTTGACATTCTGTAACGTGATGAATGGCCATGAATGCTTCGCAATGTTTCGCCCAGGCAGAGACAGAAAAGACCTGAAGTCTAAGGCATTTGGCGTTGCCTGGCCAACATAACCGCGCTAGTCCTCAACAGACCCATAATAACATGCTGGCCAATCACAGACCGCATACCCAGTGGGATCCATATTTGGCCGTTTATTATGATTCTTGCTATGGCCGACTTCATCTTCATGCTGCAACAAAATAACTACCTGTCCTGCTGCAACCTGCCCCAACTCTTATCTTCAACTTCTTCTGCCTCACTTTCTGCTTATTATACTGCCTACGAATTACTCCAGTATTCATCTGTTGTATCGCATATACCTCGAGTAGCATTCTTATTCTGCCGCCAAACGTCTATCAGCCAAATTATACCGTTGTTGGTCATGCGAGGTCAATAGCTACATCTCTTGCTTCAAATTACTTCCGACACTGATCTGGTGCACCGTGAAGTATCAACAGCAGAGAATCAACACTACCTCTAACCATTATATCTGCCAACTCACGATGCCGTCGCACGCCTCCCATGCTCACGGCCAGGTGATCGAGTACATCCAAGGTAAGCATGAGCGAAATTCCAATTGCTATCAACCACACGCTAATATATCGCAGATCGCCTGTATCTCGCCTCGTACTCGTCCGCACCTGATCCCTACACTGCCTTTCCATTCCCGACCCAGGCTTCTTCTCCCTCCAAGCGTTCAGCAAAAGCATCACAAAGCCCCGTACGAGTCGCAAAACACAAACTCCCCGTGTACTTTACCGTCGACGATACTCTCCTATACAATGCATTCCACGCCGATTTCGGCCCATTGCACATCGGCCACCTGTACCGCTTCGCTGTTCATTTCCACGAGATCCTTGGTGATCCAGCCAATGCCGAGAGACCAGTGGTTTTTTACAGCAAACCCGATCCTCGGAGCCGCGCGAATGCAGCCTGCTTGGTCGCGTGCTATATGGTGTTGATTCAGTCGTGGCCTCCTCATTTGGCTCTTGCGCCTATTGCTCAGGCTGATCCTCCATACATGCCTTTCCGCGACGCAGGATACAGCCAGGCAGACTTTATTCTCAACATCCAGGATGTCGTGTATGGTGTGTGGAAGGCCAAGGAGGAGTCTCTGTGTGGATTGAAGGATTTCAGCCTGGAAGAGTGAGTTGCTTCTCTGAATTGCCTTCTGAAGGAAGCTTGATCTGACGATATAGGTATGAACGTTATGAACGAGTCGATATGGGTGATTTCAATTGGGTCACTCCAAACTTCATCGCATTCGCATCGCCTCAGCAACAACCGGTCGCCCCAGTCCCAGCCAACACTGCCGAATACGCAGCTCTGCCGTCGACCGTACCTGAAGTCCTTTCTTCCAAACTTCCCGTGCCATTCAAGAATGTTTTGACACATTTCTCGTCGAGAGACGTCGGTCTGGTAGTCCGCCTCAACTCTGAGCTTTACTGTCCATCATATTTCACTGCGCTCGGCATCAACCACATTGATATGATTTTCGAAGATGGAACTTGCCCACCATTACCGTTGGTGCGACGATTCATCAAGATGGCACACGAGATGATCACCGTGCAGAATAAGAACATCGCCGTTCACTGCAAAGCCGGATTGGGCCGGACTGGCTGCTTGATTGGTGCATACTTGATCTACCGACATGGATTTACTGCAAATGAGATCATCGCTTTTATGCGGTTCATGCGTCCTGGTATGGTGGTTGGGCCACAACAACACTGGCTGCACCTTAACCAGGGTGCTTTCCGGGAGTGGTGGTTTGAAGATACCATGCGCGAGAAGCTGGCCTTGACTGCGCCTGTTACACCTGGCCGACAAGTCAACAAGCAGCGTTCCAGCAATGGACAGACTATTACACCTCCTCAGCACAACGGTCATTCCAAGAGGTCAGCATTGGGGGAGATTGACAACAACGAAGCTTCCAATTATAACACGGATGAAAATTTACCAGCGCCGACTCCCGGACAACCTCGCAAGTCTCACCGCAAAGACTCTCGTCATCATCCATACGCCCGAAATGTATCGGGCGCACTAGCTGTCAATGGCGAGACTGAAAAAGAACGCGCCTCTGGGAAACGAATCCAGCGCGCGGGAACTGAACAGAGCGAAAGCGAAGAAGAAATCCAAATGCGACTACTTGCCAAACGCGCATCCCGATCACCCAGCGCTTCTCCCAAAACACGATCCATCAGCTACTCCACCACAGTAACCACCAGCTACGAAGTTCACGAAGACCGCGAGAACTGGGTTGAAGCTGCTGTCGTCACACAGAAAACCCCCACAAGCAAGGGCGCTATCGCCATGAGTAAAGTCCGCTCCAGCCCCCGACGAGTCACTGACAGCAAGAGCGAGACCAAAGGTATCCGCAAGATTAGCGGCCGAGTGGGCAGCGTTGGCACTGCTTCCCCGACACGGGTGAAGTAGTCTGCTTTGTTTGACGTCTCACGAGTTATGAATATGAGTTTATATACACATTCTACTCTGCGTTCTGCGTTATAGGCTGTTGAAGTTATTCTTCTATAGATACCGGTCTGTCGAACTCCGCTGCTTTGATAGGGCTATGTTTTCTTCTTGATCTACTTTTGGATGGTTTACTTGGTCATGGGACGGTGGGGAGTCGGCGTTGTCGGATTTTGGTTTTCTTTCTTGCTCAGCCTGCTAGTCAGTCAGCCGAGCTTAATTTCTTGTACCCTTTTTCTGCTGCAAATTGTTATGAAAATTGCATGGAGTGTGTTCTTGATTGATTGGTTGGTATTGTACTTGTACAGCTCGTGTCTGCTTAGCTATGACTGAGAATGTTTGTACTGAATACGATGAAATTTTTACATATTCTTAATTGTCCCTCTATGACATTTTAAAGCATAAAACATCCCCGTCAGATTCTTGCTACCAACCTGCAACATTTTCCTTCCTCCTGACCAGCTTACAGCTCATCAGCCGGCGACATACAAGTTCCCTGTCCAAAGGTCAGTCAAGTTAATTATACGACTCGAATGGAAAATGAAAACTCACCATCAACCTACAATCCCTCATCTCCCCTCCTCCCTTTTTCATCAACTCTCTCGGCGCACAAACCTCTCTCCTAAACCACCTCATCCCCTCCAAAACACTCCCATAAAACTCCCCCTGCCAATCCTCCTCCCTCTCACAATCCATGCCCCCCTCCCCCAAATGTTTGAGGTCTGTCGTAACCTTCCTCAGCGCTTTGTCACGACACTTCATCGTGCCTTTATCTAGTTTCTCAGCACATAAATCGTGCCGTCCTGAACACTCAGCGATCTCCTTGAAGTATTTGAGATGGGCAGATTTGGCGTTGCAGCTGGGTTTGTATTGGATATTGATTAGGTGCGGCAGCAGATAGTGTGTGAGATGGTACGTGTCGCTGGGGAATGTGCCCGGTTGGCACCCCAAGGAACAGATTTGGGTCCATTCGTGCGATATGGCGTCGAGGGAGAGTTGGTGGGGGTTTGGTTCTTCCTCTTCTTCTGTTCCATTATGGTTGGGGATGGATGAGGTGTCGTTTGATGAGTCGGTGGGGTGGGAGAGAGTTGTTGTTGTTGAGGAGGGCGAGGAGGACGCTTTCTCGGCGAAAGATGTGGTTGTGTACAGGAGGAGTGTTGAGAGGAGGAGTTTGGACAGCTGCATTTTGTCGTCGTGTGCTCAAGAGCGCGTAGCGAGACTGAAAAAGTGTTCAGATCAACAGAGATTTGTATAAGTTGACCACATCGAAGACATCTCAGGATGAAGGCGAGGAAATTTCAAGTCGACGAAAAGGTGGAATGGAATATCTGTCTTTATTTGGTGCATTCCCACCCTTGATCAACAATTTTTTTATTTCTCCAAGGGTTCCAGAGCCTCCTTTCTCTTGAGTTCTGGCTTTCCATGCCTTGTTTATCTAGGAATGCAGACACACTCCTTCGGGACAACACTAGCCCTAAGACAAATAGCCGTAGCGAAGTGCCTCACACTATAGACATATTTGACAACCATTTTTGCCTAAGCGGATACTCAATACCTTTAATGAATCGACTTACAGTTTACAGTATATAGAAAAAGAAAATCGCATATGTCTCTTGTGTAGGGACTTTTATTGAAGCAGTGCAAAAACTCTGGTCCTTGCGTGCTCATCATCTATCAAGGGATGAGGATACCATTTTGCAAGGGCGTGACGAACGATTGAATAATCATTTATGATCAATTCTAGCCTTGAGCCTTGACTTGACGAGATCATACAGTTATTCAATAAATCCGATTCAAAACAAACCTGGCTCTTGTGGCAACCATGGCGATTCTTACCGCAGGGTTTTCTTTAGGTAGGGCTCCCAAGGTCAACGAGTGACTACCATACACAATTAACCCCCGAGCTACCTGCCTCTTTTTAAACAAAGAGGCATATTCTGAATGTTCGGTTGTTAGCTACTAAGGCGCACACCTGATTCAGAAACTATTTCAGAACCCTAACCCTTACACTAGGGTACCGCAATATGTCTGGATATGCCACCACCACATGATATCATTCTTTAATCATATGAAATGAGGCTATTTTATTGACAGTAACTGTTTTTTTAAAGTTCTTTTTTGCATCTTTAAGTTGAAAAATAGGATCAATTTTAAGATATTTGTGCTGGCTGATATTGTGTTTTGTGCTTCATTTTCCTCAACGGACAACATGCCGAGATTCAAACCTGGACAGTGGATTGAGTACAGTCCCATCGACAGTATGTCTTGATTCATTCGCGGGCTATATGACTGATATTGATGGCTATCGACAGACCCATACCGACACAGAGGCGTGATAGACTCGCTCGTAAAAGATGACCAAGACAAGCCTACGGGTCGATATATGGTGATTCTCCCTCTCGCTCGGACAGTGATACGAATATGCGAAATGGACTGACTAGCTGACTGGTCTTTGGGCAGGTAAGAGAAAATGACATGCGAGACCGGATGCAGACTGTGAATGAGCGGTTTATTTATAGCGTTGTGGAAAAGGAAAAGGAGAAGCCGCCTGGAAAAGTTCGGTATCAGTATAAGGCGAGATCGAAGTCGAGGGAGATGGAATAGGAATTGGGATGTATGGATACAGATGTTGGCTTGGATATTTTAGATTGGATAGAATCGTGCCGGAGGGAAAGCACATGAGATAGACATATTAAAAAAGTCACCTGTTAGGGCTTTGCTGCTAAAATCCTTAATCGCACCTCGACATGTAGATTTTGCGGGCACTAAATAGACATTAGCGTTTGATCTTATAACCAAGTCACGCTGATGATGAATGGTAGTACCATTTCCGTTCAAAGAATGCAACCTCACCCACCGACATCCCCCTTTTGTGCCATCATAAATCATGATTCAGGCCATGTGCTCCTGTCCTCATACTAAGCATCAAATCAAAAGTCATCCCCTCATTTCCCCAATTTTAAATCCTGGAACTATACCAGACTAAGTACAGGGATCGACAGCGGGGGACCCTTACCGACCAGTGCCAAAGACAGCTCAAGTCAACCGTTAGAGCCTATCAGATGCCTCAAGTCGCACGAAACGACATGATCGACAGCCGTCTACCCCTCGGTCTATATCCTGGCCGATACTGGTCAGTGGTCAACAGACCACGGAGATAGGAACAAAGCAGGGAAATTTTTTTTTTGGTTTGTTTCGTCATTAAATTAGAGGATCAGCGTCGGTGAAACACCCCGTAGCGTAGACATGTGGTTGAGATGTGACCTTTTTCCGACTACTAGGCAGAGAAAGGAGGTTTACCACAAAAAGAAGGTTTCCCTCATGCGAGATACGTCTATGGAATAATTACTGAAGAAGGTACATGTAATAGTAAACTCTGAAACCCCAGACCGAAATGAGAAATTTTCATCTGGACCGAATGTCATGATCGAGTCGTGTATACTCACCCAAAAAGGTAAGCTAGCAACAAACATTAGGGCTAATGAGCTCCCTTTACCCACCCTGCTTTCGTCTCAACCTACTACAATGCAACGTCATTAAATGAATTTATAGTCACAGACTGATTTCTCACAGTCATGAGGCTACTCCGCGACTAGGGAAAAATTACCATCGCATTATGGCGTCAATCATGCGATCTCCAGCACTCCCACGTAGCTTGTAACGTTCAGTCATGAGACCATCTCGGAGCAAAATTTGATTCCTTTATGATGGATTTTGAATGAATCCATTCAACGACTCGGCTAGATCTTGATATTTTACCTGTGTACTAAGGAGTTAGTCTTGACCTAGGACAATTTCCTCCCCTCATCCCTTGTTTGATTTGCTGTGGGATGCTGGTCGATCGGAAAGCCCGCATGGCAAGCAGCCGGAATGCATACCCCTATTAAACATCGTAATTGCACACTAGAAAAAAAGTGTGGAGAAGAAATGGAATGTTGATAAATATACCTGTACATAATCCTGCTGCTCCCCGCTTGGAATTCTCGACTCTAGTAATTTTATTCTGCATAGCTTCTTAGGTGTCGCGATGCTGTGGAGGTCAATTCTTTTATTTCCCCTACTGGGGATTGCGGCTACAGCTGCTTCTATCGACAACTGCCCGGGTTACACATTGAGAAATGTGGCCGAGTCAGATAGCCAAATAACGGGAGATTTAATACTTGCCGGTAGTGCCTGTAATACCTACGGCGAGGATTTGACTCATCTCAAATTATTGGTAGAATACCAAACAAGTATGTTCTTCTATAATACATAAAGAATATAGCAGATGCTGACAAGATAGACTCACGACTCCACGTCAAAATCTACGACGAAAATGAACAAGTTTACCAAATCCCCAAATCAATCCTGGACCCTCCATCAGGTCAACAGGATTCATCCTCTCAGCAATCAGACTTGGTATTCGAGTACACTAAAAATCCGTTTTCGTTTGCTATCCAGCGCAGCTCTAGCGGAGAGACTATTTTCAACACATCCGGCACAAATCTGATCTTTGAGAGTCAATATGTGCGCTTGCGAACCTCGCTGCCATCAAACCCCAACATTTACGGTTTGGGCGAGGATTCGGACTCATTTAAACGAGAAACTACTGATTATACGCGCACATTGTGGAATACCGGTCAGGCGTTTTTGCCGACGCATTCGAATCTTTATGGTAGTCATCCGATTTACATCGAGATGAGAGACAGCCAGGCCCATGGCGTATTTTTGTCGAACAGTAATGGTATGGATATCAAAATCAACCAGACTGCTGAAGATGGGCAGTACTTGGAGTATAATACACTCGGCGGTGTGCTAGATTTTTACTTCCTGTCTGGTCCGGCGCCGGCTGATGTTGCTCGTCAGTATGCTGGTGTTGTCGGTTTAGTATGTTTTCCTAATAATCACTGCTAGAATATGGCTAATATATGGAACAGCCGGCGCAACAATCATACTGGACCTACGGCTTCCATCAGTGCAAGTACGGCTACCAAGACGTCATGTGGGTTGCCGAAGTAGTCTACAACTATTCGCAGGCCAATATCCCACTCGAAACCATGTGGACAGACATCGACTATATGGATCTTCGACGAACTTGGACACTCGACCCAGAGCGTTTCCCGCTGCATAAGATGCAAGAATTAGTGGCTTACCTGCACAACCATGAACAACATTACATCATGATGGTTGATCCGCCGGTCTCGTTAAATGATAGCGCGTCATACGACGCTGCGGTGTCTTCAGATGTACTAATCCAAAATGACAACGGTACCACATTCGTGGCGACCATGTGGCCTGGAGCGGTGTCTTATGTTGATTGGTTCCATCCGAATGCACAGTCTTTCTGGACAGGACAGATTGGTTCGTTTTTTGATGATCAGTCTGGCGTGGGAGTTGATGGCATGTGGATTGATATGAACGAGGTACGTCTCTCTCCTCTGACATGTAGGACATGACTGACTCAATGTAGCCGGCAAACTTCTGTGGTTATCCCTGCTCAAACCCAGTGCAAGCAGCAATAGATGGCAATGACCCTCCAGCTCCGCCAGCACTCCGCACAACATGGGACCCTCTCCCTGGATTTCCATCTGACTTCCAGCCTCCCGGTACAAGCTCGCGAAGAATCAAACGGGACACCTCGTCAGCTAATATGACAGGGCTTTCCGGTCGTAATCTTGACAACCCAGGCTATACTATCGCCAACGGTGTTGGCGCTCTAACCGTTGGCACTATCTGGCCCGACCTCCCCGAGTATGGTGGTTATGTCCAATACGATACTCACAACTTGTATGCATCATATATGATTGATGCTTCTCGACAGGGCCTTTTAGCCCGTCGTCCAGCCGAACGACCATTCATCATTTCACGTAGCACATTCGCCGGAGACGGAACCAGGGGCGGCCACTGGACTGGCGACAACGCCTCTATATGGGCTCACTATTTACTGTCTATTATCCAAAACATGGAATTCGCATCCATTTTCCAGATCCCCATGGTTGGCGCTGATGTATGCGGCTTCAACGACAACACCACCGAAACTCTATGTGCACGCTGGGCGATGCTAGGCGCCTGGTATCCCTTCTACCGTAACCATGCAGACATTTCAGCAAACTATCAAGAATTCTACCGCTGGCCGTTGGTTACTGCAGCAGCACAAAAAGCCATAACTGCTCGCTTCCAATTACTAGACTACTTCTACACAGCATTCTATCAGCAAACAGTCGACGGGTCACCGACAACCATCATCCCGCTGTTTTTCCAGTACCCTAACGACCCAACCACACTTGACATCAGCTACCAATTCTTCTACGGCCCGTCAATCTTGGTCTCCCCCGTCACCGTGGAAGGGTCGGAAAGCGTTTCTCTCTACCTTCCGCCTCAGGACATTTTCTACGATTTCTGGACTGGTGAACGAGTCACGCCCGACGGCACAAACACTCTGAATCTCGACAACGTCACCTACACGGACATCCCCGTCCACATCCGCGGCGGCTCAATTCTGCCTTTGCGCGCAAATGCCGGGGCCGCAAACACGACGACGCAGCTTCGTACGCACGACTTCGAGATATTGGTTGCCCCGGACGTGGACGGTAAAGCGAGTGGAAGTTTGTACCTTGATGACGGCAAGTCAGTCAAGCCGGCGCAGACGACGTACCTGCAGTTCACGTATGATAATGGGCATTTGTCGGTTAGTGGATCGTTTGATTATGATCCGGGCGTGGGGTTCAAGGGTGTTACGGTACTGAGTAGTAGTACCTTGAGTAGTGCTGGGGGTAGTAACAGTACTAACACGGATAGCTATGGGCGAGTTGGGACTGTTCGTCAGATTGATGAGGGATTCAGTGGGAGTTGGACGGTGGATGTTTGAAGACTCGATGATTCAATAGGATTAAATATGATGATGCATAATGAACAAGTTTCTTGTATGTTGTGGCTTTTATGACTCGTGTAATCAATGTAGACTGCGAGAGGTCAAAGGTTGCCTTGGTGACTAGACGCGATAAAGACAATGATCAAAGAGCGGGTGCATAATATTCTCACCTCAAGATGTATACTTAATTAATTATCCATTCACATGCAATACACCTCTTTTGTTAGCATTCAAACATCATTTTCATACAATCTGCCATTTCTACGGTGCGCGAATATCCTTCAATGATGACGTACCGACAGAATTAGAGTCAAAACTCTAAAGACGCGGCTGAAGATCGCCAGATCGAGGCTATGTAGTACGGAGTATAATGATTCAACCCGGGGCTCAGCTTGGGGCTGTGAGCTAGCCTAGCACATTTATTTATACCGCTGCAGCAATTACAGCTATTGCACTGAATCTTTATCGATTTTCTCAATCGGTGTCACTTCTCGGATGAAATTATTCTCGAGTATCGGTCTATTCCGAGTCACGCTTCAGTTCCGATGGACCTGTACTCAATTTTCAATCAAACGGTGTGTGATAGCACCAAATGACAAGGCCTTGCTGCATACTACATTAATTCCGTAGGGAAAACTAGATTGGCAGAATCATAACCTTGCATGTGCCTCAAGCTCCACAGCCCCGCAAGCCCTAATTCCAGACTGTCGCATGCGCCCGCGAGAATGTTACTCTACGAGACCAGGACTCGAAGATCGCCAGCCTGCAGGAAGATGGCAAATCCAAATCAAATCCCGGGAGCCGCTACAGCCGTTGCTTGTATATTGTTTCGTTTGTCCGTTATTAGACGGACTAGGTCTAGCTATTCCGTAGTATGATACTTTCTGAAAAAGACGTTATTGTTCTGCTCGTATTTACCCACTATTCTTGTTTGTGATGGGTACTCGAATACGAGCATGACCCAATGAGTGATCGACGACGCACCAGGTTACCAAATAAAGTACCATGCACCGCACCTGCTGGATCAGGTTACTTCGGATCTTAAGCTGAAGTAATGATCGCCGTGTCTCTTATCTACATTGTAGATAAATAGGCGAAGAGTTCTTGGTCTTGAAGTTCAGTTTGCAGTTTTTCAAGCATTAGCCCTTACACCTGACGTAAAATGCATACTTGGGCAGTTTTCGCGACACTCGCGGCAGCAGCAGCTGCCGTGCAGAGTAACCCTCATATCAAAGCCAAACAATCCAAGCCTCTCATCCCGGCGCTGAATAAACGCTCAGTTGAGGTCGAGAAAAGCATCAGCCATCAATATCTTACCAACAAAACAGAGAGTATGTTCTCAATCTCAAATTTTTGATCAAGCTAATTTCAATAGAATTTGCCGTCAACGGCACCAATTTCCCCCAAGTACCCTTCGACATCGGCGAGTCATACGCCGGTCTCCTCGACAACACCCCTTCCGGCAACTCAAGTCTATTCTTCTGGTTCTTTCCCACGGTAAATCCAAACTGCGACAACGAGAAAGAAATCACCATCTGGCTCAACGGCGGACCCGGTTGCAGCTCTCTCGACGGCCTGCTTCAAGAGAATGGCCCCTTTTCGTGGCAATCGGGTGTCTATCAGCCCGTGCGAAACCCATATTCGTTCAACAACTTGACGAATGTGGTTTACGTTGATCAGCCAGCCGGTACGGGCTTTTCGCCTGGTCCGGCGACCGTTCAGAATGAGGTTGATGTTTCAAATCAATTCAATGATTTCTGGAAGCGGTTCATTGATACTTTCGACATGCAAGGATACAAGGTGTACATCACCGGTGAGAGTTACGCGGGACAGTATATTCCTTATCTTGCGGAGGGATTTATCAACCAGAATGATACGGAGTATTTTAACCTGAAGGGCATTCAGATCAATGATCCTAGTATCAATGACGATTCGGTGATGATATACGGTAAGTCTTTTCTCCATCGTCTTATGCCGAATAGGAACTAACGATGACAGCCCCTGCCGTGGCCGCGCTGAATTACTTCTCTAACGTTTTTGGGCTGAACGATACGTTCATGGAACAAATCAACGCCGCCGATGCCCAATGCGGCTACACGGATTTCCTCAACAAGGCACTCACCTACCCACCGCCCAGCGACTTTCCATCCCTGGACAGCGCAAACGGCGCTGGATGCGATACATGGGACCAAATCATCGCTGCAGTCACCTTGATAAACCCATGTTTCAACATCTATCATCTCACCGATTTCTGCCCTTTTCTCTGGGACGAAATGGGATTTCCTTCCGTAGCCCAAGGACCGAACGATTACTTCAACCAGAGCGATGTGCAGGCTGCACTGCATGCTCCTCCGACGGATTACTCCGTCTGCGGTGAAGCGAATATCTTCCCCAATGGCGACGGCTCCGTCCCGAGCGCTTTGGGCCCCTTGCCCGGTGTCATTGAAGCCACCAACAACGTCCTAATTGGCCATGGATGGTACGATTATTTGCTGTTCTTGAATGGTTCCCTCGCAACGATTCAGAACATGACCTGGAACGGCGCTCAGGGTTTCCAGTCTCCGCCTACGGAGGAGTTGTTTGTACCGTATACGGCCGGTAGTCAGGTTGATCCTGTGACTTGGAGTGGTGGTGGTGGAATTCTGGGAACTGCGCATACGGAGCGTGGGTTAACTTTTTCGAGTGTTTATGGATCTGGACATGGTAAGTCCTTTTTCTGCCGATGTGGTTGTAACGTTTACTAATAAGCGTTTTTGTAGAAATCCCGCAATATGTTCCTGGGGCTGCTTATCGTCAGCTCGAGTTCCTGCTAGGCAGGATTGACAATTTGACGGTGGTGGGACCTTTTACGACCCAGCAGTAATGTACATTTACTTATGTATAGAGGTTTGTGAATGTGTTCATATGAACGGACAGAAATGTATATAATTACTATTCCGATATCTACTTGTCAATTTTCAAAGGTTATATAGGTTATATAGCTTACATCAACCCTAGGTAGCTGTAGATTGACGAAATGGCCATTGATTTATATAATTCAATCGCTATGCCGCTACACTCATAAAAACATTCAACAGTCGTGGAGGCCACAGTCTTCCGAGAGCCAGAAGAGTACAGCATACCTAACCTATTTACCTATCTTCTTCCCAAGACTTCACGTCTTCACCGACTCCTCAAGCAACGCCCTATTCCTCTCCCGCAACACCTCATCCTCACTCCCCTCCGGCGGATCAATCCCATTAATTCTCCACAACTGCGGCGGGCCCTGCATCACACAATACTCCACCTGCACGCCCTTGTCGATTGTATACGGCCTCAAAATCTCATCCACCTTGTTTTTAAAATACGTCGCCCTCTCAGTCCGTGCGGAATCCCACTGTCGCGCAATATGCACAATCTCAATTGACAGTTTTTGGGACTGGGGAGTTCCGCCGACGAAGAAATTATCAGAGGTCAAAGGGAGGAAGAAGATATTGACGTAGAAGGCGGGGAGGCCGACAGAGATGTAGTATTGTGTGATGGAGGCGGAGAGGGTGGATTTTTCCTCTTGGGTTAGGGTGTTGGTGCTGTGGTAGATTTTCCAGAAGGGCATTTTGATATTGTTTGTTTTGGGTAGAACTCGGATTTGTGACGTCAATTGACCACTTAAAGGGCTTTTTTGGTTTGTTGGAAACGGATATTGGCCTGGAGGTAAAAGATAGATCAATCATTTATATCACAAGACATCATCAAGCACCATATAAAGACAAACATACGAATACGTATATCATCCCGATCCCTAGAATAGGTATAGAGTCCAAAGTATAAATCCATGCGATGTGATTACTCAACCACCGACATCTTCAAAATACCACAGAGAGCCTACGCACTGTGCGTTTTTTCTCCACAAAGTCCACGTCAATGCTAAATTTCAACTCGATTCTTCAGTTGATCAAAGGTGAAACTTTAATTTTCCGAAGCATTCTTGTTGTCGGACCTCACCTCCGATTGGCGCAAAGCGAAACTTTGTTCAGTAATCGACTTTTAGTCGCTTTCCGGGGATGCAAGGTGATGAGTATATCAGTTGACATGGATGAGTAATCGAATTTCTCGCGTAAATGATGGAATGTTCTCCAAAGAGATGTCAATGTATTGGTGTTGTTATTCTGTTATACTGCTGTGTAAACTTGCCAAAGTTGGTGGGCATATTCGACAGGGTGCTTTGGTTGACTGACTCCTCGAAGTGTGTGATTCAATGTGTCATATCTATTTTCTGCTCCGATGGGGATTAGTTATAGCAGCTACCGGTCTGTCTGAGAGTATTTTGTCAAGTAATGTCCATTCTATCATTAGTAACTGCATAAGCATCATTGAAACATGAAGAAGGGGGTATAGAGTGAAGAAGTTTGATTAATTCGTTGTAATATGTTCCACAAAATAAGTCTAGGCCACGCTCCCAATGCAAAGTCAACGCTCATACAGCCACACCATTTTAATCAATCAACAAAGGAACAATTAAACACTTTGAATCGTTTCTTCAGACTTTTCTTCCACAGCAGACTCCTTGGGAAGTCCATTCACCAGATAAGTGCCTCGACTTCCATTAGGAATCCAGAATCGCTTATCAATTCTCGCAAAGAGAAAAGTGTAGAGCACCAAGACCTCAAGCGTGAAATAAAACACGTAAAAGCATGCTCGTCCCTGAAAGGAGTAAGGATCTGTCGCAGGTCGTGTCGGCATGAAATTGCATGCAACCCTAAACGTGGCTCCCAAACACAGCAGAAACGACGTAACGCCCACAATCCAGAGCTTGGCCGCAAACGAGCCCGCTCCAAAGTTTTCGCTGTCTGCACCTTTCGGCACAATGGCGATGATGATGGTCAATGCGAGCGGCAGAAATGAGAAGAAAGCCATATACGTCGTTGCTACGAGGAGAGTATCGCGGCACGACTTGAGCGAGCTCTGGTCAAGGGTATAGTGCGTGTAAACCGACGTGACGATAAGCATAACCAGCACACACGGAATGAGCAAGTAATTCACTAAGAATGCGTTACGTGCCATCTTCGTCCATCCGAATTTGGGAAATGCGGCTCGAAGACATCGTTGCGCAAAGATTAGGTCCAACACAAAAAGCGCCAAAACCCCCGCATTCGAAAAGATCGCTGACGCAATCCCCAGCGACACATTTGTAGGTTTGTATGCCCAGCCGATCCGTAGCGAGCAAGTCAGCGTGCGCATCATACAGAAACCGAATGTGACGGCACTGGGGATGAATTTGTGGCCTTTGCGACGGTTGAGCTGGAAGATGGTCATGTGGCTGGCGGCGCCGAGGATATAGAGGACCAGAAAGACGCAGCAGACGGGGACGTCGACGCTGGTGATGGGCGTAAGGCCGAGTTGGGCTGTGAGACTGGGGTAGGGAGCCCCGTTCTGAATGTGTTAGATTCGTATGTACATTCTGGTGGAGCTGAGTTAGGGCTGTCATACCTTGGCTATGGCTGCAGTGTCCATGTTGTATGTTGTATGTGAGATGCCTGTCGACTTTGTTGTCTCACACTCAGGGACCCTTATGTGTATGTATGTCGAGTTGACTCTTGGAGTATGATGGTGTTTTGTTTATTGGTGTAGGTCTTTGACATCCCCTGCATACTTATAACTTATAACCATGCTCGTCACCTCGCGCTTATCAATCGACCTCCTCAATATCTGCCTCATCGGTACGGAGTACACATAGTATGAACCACCGTGCCTCGCACCGGCCTCGCATTATAGCACCCTCCGTGGGCGCCTGCCACCCTCCGTGACGCATTTCCCGTTGATTTATCAAAGAACGACTCGCGCATCGGCGACAAAGAAGGCTTACCGTCAACTAAGATTCACTTTGCGGCATCTGATTGGTCTTCGGATGTATTGGTAAGTCCGCTTTTCGTCTTGGCGAGCATCGGTGGTATCGGCCGTCCGACCTACCGACCAGCCGACGCCGACTCTTGCTTAGTCATTATTTTGTCGTCGACGAAGCGGATTTGGATGCAAAAATATAATATATAACGGTTGCAGAGCTGCCGTGATGTGACTTATGATGGAGATGCTGTAGACTTTATGAGGCAAGCCTTCTCGTGAGAGTGATTTTGGTCACGAGACCTCCATCGCTTCCAATAAAGAAGCGGCCCTTGCATGAATACAGTCTTGGAGGTGCTCAGGTGACTCGCATCGAGGGATAATAGATTAATTATAAGAATATGCCCTGTCTTTTAGGCTTCGATGGAAAGCCAACGAGTCTGCCCTAACCTAATATGGAAGGTCTCCGGAAAATACCCAAGCAAACAGTGCAAAAAAGCACTCGGCTAGCCGATTGCCGAGTACGTCTTCCGAGGATGAATTCTTAGCCCTGTGCTCCATTCTCCCTCACTTCTGCCCAGATAGGATGTCTCAATGTACGCAACCCCGCGGGGAATCCCTCCACAATTGACGAAGTGATTATCAAACGACGTTATTGTGTGGGTTTGTGCACAAATTGATCGGCTTCAATTGAATCATTCCAATGAATAGAGTTAGTTAACTAGCGACTGATCAGCAAAGTCTCTTGAAGTAAGCCTTAGCCATCATCCGTACTGGGTCTAGCGTCCGTCGCCAAGAGAGCGTGGCTGCCTGCATGCCTGACGGGCGGCACGTGGAGATGTAAAAAATATCGCCCGGTGAACTCGAGGAGCTTCACATCTGCCGTTTTTCTCGCCTTCACTTACCGGCTACCCACCCTCGCCCTCTCCGCACTGCTCCGTATGGAGTATTCCTCCACACTGTGTGCTAGAAAACACCATCAATTCTCCATCTTTTCGTGCGCTCGGTCGCTCGGGGTATTTCCGTCGACGGGTGTACCACAGAATTGCTGATTGCAAATTAAGATCAAACGTCGTCGGAATAGCCGAGTACGTGTATCTGGGCTGGGCACTAGTACATGAAGGCGCGCCTTCCACGTTGTTTCTTTCACTTCTTATTCGAGTTCCATCAACCCCCCCCTGCTACCAGCCTGCCAGACTAGCATTACTTGCATACACTACGGCTCGGGTTGGTTACATTGTTTCTTCTTCGGCCCGTTCGAAGGAAGCTGTTCAGTCTCCCCGTATTCGGCTTGTATAAAGTATTCCTTTCAATAAAACATATCGATAATGGACTCGAAAGTCGACGATACAGTGACTCAAGGCATCATGGACGAGAAACAGTCTTCGCCCGTGCCGGAAAACATGACTGAATTGGCTCCTCGTCACAGAGAATATCTTTTGGAACGACATGGTACCCTAGAACTTGACCCCGTACCTGCAATGGACGATGCCGACCCATACAACTGGCCCTCGTGGAAGGTACGTCGACTCTCCTGGCTCGATAAGTCGCCGCTAACAATGATTGTAGAAAGTCGTCAATCTCACATTAGTCGCATTCCACGCCATGTTCGGCACATTCACCGCCGCTGCTATTATCCCCGCATACTTGGACATTTCCCTCGACTTGGGAATCAGCATCACCACGACCTCGTATTTGACCTCATTACAAATTGCCATCCTTGGAGGAGCTCCTCTCTTTTGGAAGCCATTGTCGAACCGATACGGTCGTCGTCCGATCTTCCTCATCTCGTTGATCGGAAGCTTAGTCTGCAATATTGGATGCGCCAAGAGCCCGGATTATGCCTCAATGGCCGCTTGTCGTGCATTGGTGGCCTTTTTCATTAGCCCAGCTGGTGCTTTGGGCAGTGCTGTAGTCATGGAATGTTTCTTCAAGCGTGATCGCGCCAAGTACATGGGTGTCTGGACACTGCTTGTTACTTTGGGAGTCCCGCTATCTCCTTTTATTTTCGGCTTCGTTGCTGAGCGCGTGAGCTACCGATGGATCTACTGGGTTCTTGCTATTGTAAGTTTTATCCCCCAATGTTGAATCCTTTACTTATTGGTTTCAGGTCAACGGAGTCCAATTCTTCTTGTGCATTTTCTTGCAACCGGAAACTCGCTATATTGGCGGCTGGGATGGCCCAGTTCCCTCTGGATTCCGACAGGAATATTTGAGTTTCCGCCGCATTGACCCTGCTCCTTTCACCCTGTACGAGTTCGTCAAACCATTGACATTGGCCACTCGACCTACTGTGATGATTCCTGCCGCTGCATATGCCATGGTGTTTTTGTTTGCAAGTGTCATGTGTACCGTCGAAATCCCTCAATTATTGCAGCTCAAGTTTGACCTCGACGCACAGTCCTTGGGTCTGCAATTTTTAAGTTTGGTCATCGGTTCAGTTCTCGGCGAACAGTTAGGTGGACCACTGTCTGATTCATGGATGAGATGGAAAGCCCGCCGTCAGGGTGGACAGCATGCCGCAGCTGAGCACCGTCTCTGGCTGAGTTATATCGGTTTCCTGCTCGCCATTGCCGGTGTCGTGGTGTTCCTCGTTCAGACTCAAAACTCGCCTGCTGGTTCGTGGAACGTGACTCCCGTAGTGGGTGTCGCTATCGCTGCCTTTGGTAACCAGGTTGTCACGACCGTGCTAATTACCTACGCCGTTGACACGAACCATACCGAGGCTGCGTCGGTTGGTGTGTTCATTACCTTTGTCCGTCAAATATGGGGATTTATTGGACCATTCTGGTACGTATCATTTCTGCGCACGACGTATTTGGAGAAAATTGCTAACCATTACTTGTAGGTTCCCTGATATGTTCAACAATGTCGGCGTAGCCAAGAGTGCCGGTGTGGCCGCTGCGCTCTTGGTTGGAGTCAGTCTGCTCCCAACCATGCTGCTTCAGTGGCGCGGTCAAGCCTGGCGACGAACCGAGAAGGTTGTTGTTGGTGCTGTCTAATCTCGTTTTCTTATCATGTCGCATATACTCCGTGGGATTTTTATAGATATGGTCATATAGATGGTATAGGCATTAGAGGGTGTATAGACTTCATTAGAKGGCCCGCCACTAAGCGGTGCCGGTGAGGTGATACGATAGATAGACATTATGAAATACTGTATGATATCCCTTCCTGATCAAGACTCAACAATATTTTTGCATCAAACAATATTTAATTTGGCATATCCCATTCCCTAGACAGTTCCCTTGCCTGAGCGAGCTCTTCCTCGGTCGGCATGTTGACCACCATTAGATAGAGGACTTTCTGAACTTGGATTAGCACGTAATTGACGAGAAAAAGAGAGGAAATGAGGGAAATACCTGCTGAAGTAATCTGCCAATCCCAAGCGGCCCGTTGTCCGACCTTGCCCGGGGAATAGGCCTTTCGCGTCCTCCGATATTCTGATTCTCCGAAACATAAGAATCTTGTTGTAGTTGCTGCTGCTGATAGCCATTTTGCTGACTCGCTAATCGCGACGAGTCCTGGCCTCGCTCACTAACAGCCTGCGCCGCCATACTTACCAACCCAAACAATCCCCCAATAGGCCCGCCACCACCTCTCGAATACGGGTCTCGTCTACCCAGAAGGTCTGTCCTAGCTCCTCGGCCACCAAAAGCATCCTGTCTGCCACCGAGCCTGGCATCTATCACGCTCGTGATCAGACTTCCTCCAGTCCTTCGACCGAACGCTCCTTGTGGACGTGTCTGCAGATTTCTGAAATTAGGAGGATTGAATCGCCCCAGACTGACGAGCGAGTATATCGAGCCGCTGTGGATAGGGTGATTTGGGTCGGAGTATTTGGACGCAAATGTTGGATTTACCCCTTTGGTGAGGAGGTTATCCGGATTCTCGCCGGCCTATCGATCATGTTAGTCCAATCTCCCCCATACTGATGTAATGGGGGTGAAAGATGAGACCTACAAATTTCGCCTGCGCCTTCCGATCCATATAATCATCCACAAACCTCTTCCCCCTCTTCATCTTATTCTTGAGCCCCTGCGATTCCTCCTTCGGCACAGATGCAACATAATCTAATCCAGGAAACACGAGTTCGGCAGTCTGCATGAACTCAAACTCACTCGTTGTGCCGCTCGAATATTTGAATTTGTGTGACATTTTTCCTAGGGTGTTTTCTGTCTTTTGAATAACGGTGTTTAAGTCGACATTCGTGGTGCGGCTGTTTGTTGCGCTGGAGTCCCATGTCATCACGAGACAGTATAGCCCTCGCGGACGGAAGAACTCGGTGTTGAGTTTGTCGAGGGCCTTGTTTTGTCTATGTATTATCAGCTTCGCATGATCGACAGAAAGACGCGAAAGGGAGAGGCAAGGTACCGATATCTAGACTGCGTCTCCATCGCGATATTAGTCGCAACCATAATAGCCAACGAAACCGCGAATCCGATCGCGCTCGGCAACGCATTTGTCGCAATAGACGCAAGATTGAGCGCGTTGATCCATGGGTTCGCGAGACTAGCTTCGTTAAACGTCTCGATAAAATCCAGCCAGGTAGCCTGATCAATGCCCATGTTCGCGAGATCAGGCGCATAAGCGCGAATGAAGCCACGCTTCTTGCTTTGCGGCCTACGCTGCGGGATTACGACTGGGAACTCGAGTTTGTATCCCGCCGCTGCCTGAGGTGTTGTGGTAGCAGCCTCATATGATGGCGGCGGCGCAGAAGGATTGATGGTGATACTCAACGGATGCCGAGAGAGAAAAGCAGCAATGACTTTGTCCGGGTTGGCTGCGCCGTTTTTGGATTTGTGTTGTTGCGGTTCGGAGCCCTCGACGAGTTCGTCCTGAGCTTCGTCGAGTTCCCATTCGCGTTCGTCGTCGTCGCCTTGGATTGGTGTTTCTGATACTTCTCTTTCTTTTTCTTCATGGGGAGATGTTGGGGTGTGGATGGATCTGGTTTCATCTTCTGGTGGAATCTGTTGTGCCGCATTTCCCTCTAGTTCCTGCTGTTTCCGAGCAGCCTTTTTGGCTTTGTTGTGTTGGTGTACTTCGGTCGCAAATGCGATGCCCGAAGCCACCTTTTGGGAGATTTTGCCAATGGGGCCGTTGCTAGACATTCTGTCTTGGCCTATTTGAGATGTCTTCGAATTTTGAGATACGAGGAGTCAGAAGCGACTTAATTGTAATTAATTGATGCCTAAAGAGAATCAAACCCTTGCGGTCGATCCTCCCCTTTTATATCCATCAACACCATCCATGCTATCTAGAAACTCGCGATGTCGTCCCAATTCAGACTTTCTGAATTAGGCTAGTATTGCGAAGTGGGTTTATGTTCAGCACATATGATTGGCTACGGACACATTGAAGCTCCCAATTTGCTGAGCTAGCCCCCATGTTAGTCGCTCCACCGTGGCTAAGCTTTATTTTTTCGGCGCAGATCGATCCAGCCCCCCTAAGGCTAAAATTCATGTCAACTCGCTACGTTAAGTGCTATGATATTACATTGGTCATTTTGATGAAGAACTGTGTTGCCTGGAATGTTGCCATTGACTTTCTAGAAAAAGGTTGCATTGCGGGTGAAACGTGGATGTCTGAACATCTACTCCCCACGGACTCTGCTGACACGGTGCTGTGTTGAATCAAGAAATCGTGGCATGAGCTTATAATCATATGATAATGAATCAAAAATTGACGGGGACAACAATCAAATAAAGCTGAGCGTGCGTACGCACAAAGATCGGTTTTATGCTGAGATTTAGGGTTCAGGAATCGTAAAAGACTGACAAAGGTGAACATATCCGGCAAAGATTTGATGCTATTCTCAGCATTTGACAAAGCGTTTCGTTTCGGAGAGTTGTAAAGTATATGCGGCATAGGTACGTTAATATACTTTGCTGCGTACCAGCAGGCTTTGTGGGAACCAACACAATATTGTGATGCTTGTGTATGTTAAAACAGCGTATACGCACTTCTGTTAATATAGGGCTTTGAACGGTTGCGAACCATTCATAGAATGTTCTCGCATTTCACGCTCGAATCTGAAATGATATCTGTCGGCTTCTTTTACCTGGTAGAGTCCGTACATCTGAAACAATGATTTGAACAAGCGGCAACATGATCTTTTTTGATTTAAAGATCTTCGGAGAAGTGTATAGAAATAAATACAAACATGAAACAAAAGTTGATCTTGTATAACAACCATCTACATTCTTATAATGCTGCAGCAATAGCCTGCTGATAATTATCATTGTTCACAGCCAGCTGTGCCTCCCACAACATAGCACCACCAAAGTTCGACAAGCCCAATCTCTCGACTTGCTGCAAGGACGAAACCAAAGTTCCCGAGTCGACATACCCTTCGTCCCCGTCGGCATCACTAGCCACAGCTCCAATGAATAGTTTGGCATCACCAATTCCATCACTCCAGTTTTGGACAGCATCGATGAACCCAGATTGAGCAATATCGCAATCACCGTTGTTGTAGAACTGAACCCAGACATAGTCGAGTTGTTGGCAGACATCTAGAGGGACTGATTGATCTGGATAAGGGCATTGGGGAGCTGCTGTGAGGTAATATGTTTTGCTCGAGTCTTGAGCAAAGTTGGATCGAAGTCGGGAGACGAAGGTACTGTATCCAGTTGGATCTCCGGACTCATTGTCTATTAGAACTGTCAGCAAGGGCCTCTCTCATTCAACTTTTCTGAAACACACCTATATCGAATCCATCAAGTTTGACATCCCCAAATGGGCGTAGCGGAGTGAGACTCTCATCGGTACCACCGCCAAACAAACTCCACAGCATATCAGCAACATTATTCGCCTGATCATCACCGGACAAAGTGACATCGGCATCCCCAACAGCTCCACCAAGACTCATTATAACCAGTTTTCCAGAAGACTGGCATGCCTGAATACTATCAACTAGAGATGAACCATCTTGCAAGGAGGTTGCGCCGGCATCTTGTTGTGCTTGAGAGGGCCCATCTAGAGTACTTAAACTCAAGGTGGGATATCCTCCATCGCCATTGAAGTAACTAACAAAGGCAAGATTGACGATTTGATAGGAATCGTCGGAGCAGACGTCAGATAAAGTGGTGGTGTCGTCTTCCGCGCCCCAGTATACGCTGAGTTTGTTTGTTGAATCTCGTTGGTGAATGGTAGGGTATGCCAAAGCCGTGGAGGCAAGAGCCCCGGCGTATAAAAGTGTTTGAAGAGAGTGCATATTATTAACCCAAAAGCGAGTTTATTTAATGGAAATGAAATATAATTTTAGTCAACCTGCGAGATACTGAAATGAATGATAGTATTCTCTAAGGAAGTATGGATTGAAGTCCTCAGCCTGAATAGTTGAGATATGATACAGTTGTCACTGGGATATGTATACATATGACATTCCCTTAATGAAATTAAAACATCAACTTCCTGAAGTGGAAAATCGTCCAGTGAAAGTCCTGTATACGTATTTTGTAAATCGATTTCTCGTATGTTGCATTGGGCATGTCATCCAGGCTTGGACTCGTGAAAAGTCCTCAAATTTTGAAAAGAATATCGGGTAAAGAGTAACGTGATATAGTTCGATGAAATCTGTACCGTAAATCCAATAATTCAAATTGTTACCCTGATTAAGGGACCCCTTACGAGCGGGCGAAGTTATAGCCAGTTTCCGCTTCGGGTAAGTGGGCTAGGTACAATTTTCGTGGACGTTACATCGAGTAATATAAAATCTAGGGGCCGTTCTGAGATCTAAAATTCAAGGTAATCATAATCCCTGTCCTAGGCTAAGAAACTATCTTCTAGCGACTTAGTTTGTGCATTATCGAAATTGTACAATGCCTAGGTCATGCATTTTCGCGATGAGCATGCATTCACTTGACATCAACTCAATAGCACTTTTTTTAAAAACACCTACGACATATTTACCTCAGGAAAGGTATTTCAAATCACTGGGAGATGAGAATCGTCGCAATTGATGAAAGACTTTATTAACAATGGGGTTGAATTGTCAACCATTCCAATAGCTCTAAGTATCTTGAAACCAAAGATAGGCGCATCTGTGCTGAAGTACCGACGGCCCCCAATAATAAGATACTGATCAATAATTTGAGCTGAGAATGGAGTGACTGCATATGCAGGAACAAGATACCAGTCATAAAATTATTTGCCCTACATTCGATACTGCTATGATTCGAATTTCATGAAATTGTTCGTTTCGAGTTGTTTACACCCCGGAACTGAGTACAAATGATATTCAAGTCTTCTTCGCCTCTTGAAACGATTCCTCATGGTTGATCACAGTGTGCTTGAATTTCTGAGCACTAACTTTCTTCTCAAACAACAAGTCCAGTTCCTCAAAAGTCCTCCCCTTTGGCTCCGGCAGACGAAAATACGTCCACACCAAACACAAGAAGCATGAACCAGCCCAGAAAAATCCTGCTTTTCCTTTCCAGTTCCATGCTGACGGATTGAGCATGTAGGAAGTTATTACTCCATTGATGATTCCGATCACGTTATACAGATTCCGTCCAAGGACGATGGTCTTGGTTCGGAGACGACTGGAAGGAATCTCCGCTACGATGGAGAATGCTACGGTGCCCACGGTAATATCGTAAAACAGCGTGTAGGCCAGCAGTAAAGATCCAATGACCCATCCGCTGTTGGTTGACTTGTCACCCACAGCGACGAGGCCGATAATGAGGAGTATGGTGAACATGGATATCAGTCCGCCGAGGTATAGCGCTCGCCGCCCAAAATGAGTCATGAAAAACCATGATGCAAAGACACCGACAATTGCTACAGCATATAGCGCCATCGACATGTCGAATGAATACGAAACAGATAGCCCGGCCTGCTGAAAGAAGTATGAAGAATACCCCATGAATGCCGCACCACATAGATTCTGTATTGCCCACGTTACGCAGACAATCTCCGTGCGCCGAAGATCGATGCCCCTGAAGCAGTCCAAATATGAAGTGCCGCTTGTGAGTCTTCGATCAAGTGCATCAGTGTGCACCATCATGGCAATTGTCTGGTCAACATCAAAAGTCGAATCCGAGATCTCGGGCCGTTGACTTGTTAGTCGAAGCAACGCTTTCCGCGCATCATCAACTCTATCTTTTCTGACCAACCACCATGGCGACTCTGGTGCGAAACAGATACCAACTATCAGCGGAACTGGCCACAACCACTGAAGCGCAAATGGTATTCGATAAGCCCACTGATCAGTGCGGTTAAGCAATCCTCTCAACACCCCAGCGGCAATTAATTGGCCAATCCCCCAGCAGACATTCACATAGGTGGTTAAATAACCTCTAAGCACCACCGGACAAACTTCCGATGCGTATGCCGTGGTCAATGTTTGAAAAACTCCCCACGGAATCCCCATCAATATTTCCCCAACTTCTAACGTCTCGATGTTGGAGGCAAAAAAAGGGATAAAAATAAAACAAGTCAACGCGCTCAGAGATGCGATCATGGTAAAGCGGTACCCATAGCGTTCTGACACGATTCCATTAATCAACAAACCGAGAATTTCTCCAACATTTGCACCGTTCGACAGGCCTGATTGCCAAGGCGCTGTAACTTGGTAATCGCCGCTTGAAGTCTTTTGTCCGTATCGGTTTGCGAATGCTGGAAATGCGTAGAAGCTTTGCATGAGAACAACGTCGTAGCCTTCCATGATAATTGCTGTTGAGAGAAAGATGGACCATCCGATTGCTTTCGGGTATAGCCGTATTGCTTGCCACAATGTCATGTCATGTTCGTTGGCAGTCGCCCGTAAGGCGTCTATGGCAAGTTGATCGTCATGGAGTCCATCAGAGGCCTTCTCCAGCTTTTGACTGGTGCGATTGTCTTTTGACATCATGGTAAATTCGTCGATATCCTTTTGTGTTGAGGGTATTCCCACAGAACTCTTCAATGAAAAGGTAGTCAGGACTTGAAATCTGCCCCATTTGAGTTTTGGCTTTTCTTTTTCCATAAGACACAATTCATTGATATGTCACATGGACGGCGATAGCATCCCTGTCATCGATCGACAAAATAATGCGGGGTAGCGATATAGGTTACTCATTGAGGTGAGGTTACATTTACCCTTGATCTTATTTATTCAACATGGTATTGATTTAGTTAGAGTACCCTAATCGCCTCGGTCAGAACTACCATGTGTTAATTAACAGTGCCAATCGGTAGGACTATTGTTTTGTGAAGCTTGATACTATTAAGCAGTGTAAAGTAGCTAATGATTTATTTGTATACAACCTCGATAATGCTTCGGAGAGATTGTGGAGACGATGAGACCACTCGAACATCGAACCGCTCGTCAGCCTTCTTAACAACCGTGTGCCATTCCTCCAAGGTCCGCTCTACAGCATTTAAGAGAGTGAGCATTTGAAGATCCGTAGCGGCAAGCATGCGCATAGCTGCTCGAGGCAAGGGGTATTTGCCCTCAGCGTCCAGGCTGGGAAAGACGGACTCAAACATCACAAGACGACTGCCAGATTTGAGGTGGGTTGCAAGGTTCTCCAAAATCTTAACAACATATTTGTCAGGCCAGTCGTGGAAAATCTGCTTGACAATGTAGACATCGGCCTTGACTGGCTGAGGAGTAAAAAAGTCGTGAGCTTGGAAAATGACTCGTTCTGATAATTCCTTGGGAACCAAGGAGCGGAAAGCAGGCTCAAGCTCGGGTCGATCTTGAACAACAAGTGATAGCTTGGGATATGCTGCAGCGAGAACGAAGGCATCGTGACCACTAGATCCTCCAATCTAATAAATCAAAAGGTGTCAGTACAAGGACGCATCATTTATCTGATCTGAACATTGAAGACTTACATCGATGACCTTTGCTTCACCGAGACTAGCCCAGTCATAGTTATCCCTCATATATTCATTGATGCCGAATCCTGCAACCGCAGCAGCGGCTTGCATAGCTTCCGCGAAGCGTTTTTCTCTGAACCCTTCAGGTTTCCCTTGTGGTTGACCCTTAAGATAGTCCCAGTACGATACAAGTTTGCCGGTCTTGTCGACATCGGCGACACCCCAACCGGACTCGTAAACCTCCTGGCTCAAAGTGGGTTTTCCAAGACTGAATCTCCTTAGCGATTCCGGGAAATAGTAATCTGAGATACGGGTTTCCTCGGCGTTGTGAGCAATCATGCTGCGCATAGGGGGAAATTTAAATAGAAACGCCGATGTAGCAGTATGCTTGACTGAATCACGGCCAACGGGGGCAAATAGTCGCATGGTGAATGCGTATCTCAATATGCGACGTACTACTTCCTCGGGCAACTTAGTCGCTTCGACAATTTCGCTGTAAGTGGCAGAACCACCAGCAGGGACGGCGGACCAGAAGTCAAATTGGTTTAGAACGTCCATCACCATAGTGTCATGATTATTCTACATCAATTAGCAAGATGTTCCTGAAACGCTCTTACATTGTACAGGTTGACTGACGAACACAGGGTGCATCAAACTGTAACTTTCTGGGCCCATAGCTAGATGCAGCAAATCTGTCGCCGACTCCATGAGCTGAAGGCGGGCTATTTGAACTTCCGGAGCCATCGGGTATCTCTCGGGGCCACCTTCTGCAAACGATGGCGCAGGAAGCTTATGTTCATCGATATAAGAGGAGATGGTGCTTGCTGCTTGCGTGATGGCAGCAGCTAGACCGTTGAGGGTTGGATCTGACTCGGGCATTTTGACGGATTGGAAGGTCTAAGTAAATCTCAAAATTTTCATGAGTTTAATCGGGAATTCAAGATTTGTTCAGTATAGTCTAAATTGACCAGCTTGTAACGGCGGCCTATGGGGGGTTTATATACCCTACAAGATTCTACTACTTCTGCCAACACAACACCAATGAACTTTTTGTTCACATCAGCCGCACCCTGAGATTTTTGAATGCTTACCCCGATTTGTCAACCTAGTTGATCCATCCGGGCTTAACAAGTGCGTGGGATACGGCAGGAGCACTGACATTGTTTCCGTCCAAGGATGAAGGCCAAGGCCAAATAAGATTTAAGCGAGTCAGGATCTAAATGACCTCATTTGTCAAACTAGCTAGAATTCCTGTCAACATTACCACTATCGCTAGTTGTAATCCATACCTTCAAGGACATTCTAGCCCTAGATGTTCTCTTGGCTGCCATGACCAGGTCTTGCAAAAAAGAAAATAGGTGAAAAATCGAGTTGGATCGTGTATTGAATTGTACTGTGTCTCCAACTAAAAGAGAGCAAATTATCTCCATCACGTTACATACAGAAAATAAATAGCAGGCTGTGTATGCTAATTTAGTAACGGGATTTTCTGGCAATACTTCCAACGAGGTCAAGCTGATATCCAGTGGGAGCTCACAGTGAATATATGCGCTGCGCTCACTATATTCGGGATAGCGGTAAAGTCAACTTGTCAAGAGCTGATATCTAAAATCTCACCAACTTGCTTCACGGGCTGAGTATCTTTTACGGAGTAAATTACCATATGCAACCCAAACTCCCCTTCATGATTCTATGCAGTCTATCAGCACGGCCGCTTTACTTTATCTAGCGCAGCGTTACGGCCGAGTAATCAACGAAATCAGCGCCAGCTTTTCAGCTCCGGACCCACTTGATGATCTAAATCGAGGGGTAGCAAATTAATTGGTTGTGGAATTGCCAAATTCCAGCTACAGACTACCCTTTCGAACCATCATTGATCACGGACAACAGCGTCTGCCATTTTACGCACCATTATGTCCATCAACGAACCCTATCCTTCTGAACCCCATGTTCATGCGACACGTGGTCTTCATACCAACACAGCCATCCTTTTACATGGTCGAGGGAGCAATGGACGTGAATTTGCGGAAGACTTTCTGTCTTCGCAGACAGTTGATGGCAAAAGTCTAGCGTCCCACCTTCCCGGTTGGCGCTGGGTGTTCCCTACTTCACGCAGCAGATGGAGCACTCGTTTTGAAGAGGAAATATGTTCATGGTTTGATGCCTATTCTCTGACCGATATCAACGAGAGGTCTGATTTACAGATACCCGGGTTGAGAGAGTCGATGGTAGATATTCTAGAGGTTATTGAGAAGGAGATTGAGCTGCTCGATGGAAAAGCTGGTCGCCTTTATATAGGTGGAATCAGCCAAGGAATGGCTACCGCCTTGTGGATATTGTTATGCTGCACAGCACTGAACCGACATCAAGAATCAATAGGCGGATTTCTGGGTTTCTGTGGCTGGTTACCATTTGCGAATCGATTGGAATCTCTTGACAAGCAATTACATGGCCACCACTCGTTGGCGCGCGGGCTTACTTCAGGAGAAATTCAGAAACTGCTTGTTGAAATGTTTCCCAACATAAAGGATTTACAAAGCACGCCACCAGCCACACGCGAAAATCAATTTCGCATATCTACACCAATATTCCTGAGCCATGGCACGGATGATATTTGGGTACCAGTCGAACTTGGGCGACAAGCAGCAGGGATTTTCAAAAACCTTGCCAACCATGTTGAATGGAGCGAGTTTACAGGCGCCGAGGAAGACGGTCACTGGATAAAGGAGCCCGAGGGATTTGATCAGATTATAAAATTTATTCAGAAGCAATCAGAGCACAAGTGATAATTGATATGACCATCGGCAGCAAGATAAAAATTGTGTTTCGTACCGAGGTCGTATACCCTTCAAATCATGATCAAGAGTCATTGGTCTTTCCAATAGTGGGCTTTCCAACACTCGATCTCGACTATAACAACTTTGATTAGACAATACCCCAGTTCGGGATTCCATCACTTAAGGGTTAGACTTTTCAGTCTTCCGCGGTCGCCTCTCCCAAAGCCCGAAGCATGAAAACAAAGCCGCTGCAGAAAATGCCGTCAAAACAATATTCTGCCTATTGAACCCTTCAGCAAAGGCAACGCGTACGGCGTGTTGCTGATTTGGTGGCAGATGTTTGATTGCATCAAGTGAGTTTGATATTGCCTGAAGCTCCTGTGGACCAAGCAATAGTGACAATTTGCGCGTCACATGGTCGTTGAGAATCGTGGCACTAATATTAACATTAGCCAATAAACCATACTCACAGATTAGTCTTGAAGGAAAAATTATTTTACCTAATTGCAAGCCCAAAAGTTCCTCCGAGAACACGAACTTGTGTCAATGCGCCCATAGTAACAGCTATTTTTGTGATATCAGCAGGAATCATTAATAAACTTGACATTCAACTATCGGGATGACCACTGACGCAAATCATTTTCGTCCGCAACAAGCGGCGCAAGGTTGAGAATTGTACTCAGAGTCAGTCCAAACCCAATGCCCATCACTACTTCGAAGCCATACTGTTGAGGTGGATAATTCAAAGTATCTGTCGGCAGTGAACAAGTCAAACCCATGCCGATGATTTGAATGACTGCTCCGGCAATAACGAGATAGACTGGCGGTACTTTTCCGTTTGATGTCAGAAGCCCAGAAGTTGCTGTCGCTAATGGAGAACTAAGTAAAAGAGGCAAAAGTGTGACACCGGCGTGTTGGGAGCTGAATGCATATACTGCTTGAGCTCTCTGTGGTATGTTGACTACGACCGAGGTGAATGGGAATCCTAAAAAGAATGATGCCCTTGAAAAAGTTATTAGGCGGTCATATTCACTTCATTGGGCGCAAGGGGTCAGTCTCAGGAACGTACGCAAACATAGACACCATCAGTCGACTTTTGAGAATTCGCGGTGGAAAGACCGGTTCTGGGATCTGAACTGGTCTCTGCTGTAACCATATTTCCCACATAATGAATCCAATGAATAGTACACATCCAAGCACCAATGTAGCTATGATCGTGACACTATTCCATCCGTAGTTGATTCCAGCACTTTCAAAAGCAAAGACAAGCAAAGCGGATGCAGCAAGCAGGAATCCTACACCGATAAAGTCGATCCGTCGCAAATTCTTTAAAGACAGCTTTCTTCGGCCAACTGCCTTGTTGGATGATTTTGAATTGGGGTTTGAAGCGGAAGGCAGAGTGATGATAATAACTGCACTGGCAAGAAATCCCGCTGGCGCACTTTTTGTCCACGTTGTGATCAGCATTACTTCAATAATTCGATGGTCGAATCGGGGACAGACTTGAATAAAAACACCCATTTCCATTGCCCGCTCTCTGATATTGCTCCTCCCATCAAAGGTCCCACCACACTTGCCAAGGCGAAAACTGTAGACATGAGAGCAATATATTTAGGCATCTGTCCCGACGGGATAATTGTCGGTGCTATCACAAGCGTTAACGAATAGATTCCAGAGGCCCCGAAGCCCTGGAAAGCGCGAAATATTATGCTTGAGGATCTTTAGCTATTACCATAAAGGGTTGATAATGGCATTTCCCAACACTTACAGCTCAACAATGTTGGTGGATATTCCACACAAAATCGAGAATAAAATGAAGCTCGTTAATCCGATTATGAACAATGTCTTCCGGCCCAAAATATCCCCGAGTTTTGCGTATATTGTGAGAAACCCTTTTTATCGTCAGCTTTGTTTCAATTCATCCGTTTCAGGCCAATTAGGGCTATCGCACCAGTGTATGTCAACAAATATGCAGTCACTATCCAGTCGCGTTCGTCGAAGCCGCTCAATGCGTTGGTAATCGAGACCAACGAGGTGCTGACAATTGTTGTTTCTACTGTCGACAGGAAAAGTGCTATCCACATTCTATTTCACCAACGGGTTAGCATGTTCTTCGACTATATTTCGGGTCGGGGTCCGCTTCATMCCCGCCAGTCAAAACATGAAGCCTCCATCCCGAGAGATACGTCCTCATCTGCTGTTGCTCTTCGATAACTTCTGATCGGACATCTTGAGCTCTGCTTAATGTATTCTCGGTTGAAGGTCTTCGCTCCTCTAATTCCATTTTTCGGGTTCGGCTATATTGGTCTAGGAAGTGAGCGACGGTCAACGAGATGCGAGGAAGAGGTAACGCATACTTAGTCGAAAAAGGTGTGTATTACAAAATAAATAAAGAAGAAAGTGAAATTCTACTCATCTTACTTAAATCTCGCAAAGCACTTGACCCTTTTCCCTGACCAAACCAATAAGGGGCATCTCGTTAACAGTTCCAAATTAGGCAATCGATGCGGTCATGTGATTTACGCGTGATATAATCGTCGATGACTCTTGGCCACAATGACCAAGAAAGCCCTCCAAAGATGAAATCAAATTGACTCATTTCTAGAAAGAGCTAGAAAAGAGGGTGCTATTTAGTTACAGAATGAATATTGTTCGTACAAAAGTGTCGCGGACACCATTCTCACCTGTTACGAAGGATGCAATGCCCACTTTTCGCTCTATCTCCGACAATCTATCGGCATTCAAATGACTATGATCTGGGGAACACTTCTGAAGTAGTGGAATATATATGTACGCCGGTATCAAAAATAATAAGACTAGGATTGTCAGATCGGATGTAGATATACATGTTGTTAAGTAACACTGAAGTTCGTAATGAAGAACCGATATCACACTGAAGGCTGACAGTGGTTGGTATCCTGATCAACTCAGTAATGTTGTTTAATGTATGTTCTTAATTTGATGAGGTATCTCGTCGTCTCGTGTACATGGTAGATGCGGAGAAGTACGTGAAATTGGTAGGGAAGCATTTCCATGAATAAGGTATTTCCTTGCACCACCCTCCGATTATTCAGGGTAGTGCGAGAAACAGCGTTGAATCAACACTTGATAGATCCGGCATATGACTATTATTGATTCTAATTACACGAACATTGTATGTTTCAATACTTTCCATTCTTCACATGTTCACAGACCGGCGAATTAGCGGAGCAAACTTCCAACTAGCTCTATATAATTTGATATTAATACGACGTCGTGTTTGTGTTTGCGATTACTTTTGATCGGAAAGATCAAAAGAACTGCCTAATTGGATTTTTAGTAGAGCCGGTTGGAAAATTCGATGTCTTCGTGCCATGGGATGGTGGTACTACATATGCAACTACCAAATGCTTGAATAAGTGGGATGCGGAGTTCTTCCTAGCATGCATAGCACTTCAAATGTTCTAGCCTGTGTTAAATCTCCGCATTTCGACCCCCATGACCTTTACTTAGGTTGAGGAACAACCGTCCCACTGTAGGCTAAATCTGCACTAGAGCAATTCTGTTACAACCGACCACTGAGTATCATCAGCGCTAAGAGCCTCCGTCAGCCTCAGAGTCAATTGGGGTAGCATCGCCTAACCCTTCTAGAGTAAGAGCTCGGTGCTTGAAACACAGATGAAGTGGTGTTTCCGAGAATTCTTGTTTCAATTTTACGGGTCTTTTGGAGAAGTAGCGATGGATACGCACATCTAAGATTCTAAGTTGCATTACTACGAGAGGACTATTATTAGGGGACGATATTGTGGATAGTCATCAATGTCGATCCTAACAAGTAAAGAAATATAAAAGAGTCTTTTTTCACCTACTTTGTCGAATATTTTAGATCATTGCCTGTCTACGTAAATCCAAAATGGCATTCATCCGATCAACTGTGGTCGCAGTTCTTGCGACAGCGACCATAGCAACAGCAGCAACAAGTGGAACAGGCAAAAGAGGTCTTGCATATAACAATAATAACGTTTATGGCAACGCATCCTATGCGAATGAATTCTTTGCCAACTCGTCTCAAGTGACTTGGGGCTATGATTGGGGTTATCCCTCATGGAACCTATCGTCTGTTTTCGAGTTGTAAGTACCGATTCCTGACTCGACGAGTCAACTTCAATAAATATCTTAACACATTGTATAGCGTCCCTATGCTTTGGGGATTACCCTCCGGCAATGATCCAGATTGGACGGCCGCAGTTAAGACGGCCGGCACAGTTAATATCCTCGGATTCAATGAGCCAGATCTCACATACTCCGGCTCCTCCAATATCCTCCCTGCCAACGCCGCTCAAGGCTATTTGACCTACATGCAGCCCTACGCCGACATCGTTCGAATTGGTGCCCCCAATGTCCTCTGGAACAACTACGACAGCACTTCGTCTGGCGGTGATTACAGCTCCCGAGTATGGACAAGCTATTTCATGGGCAACTGCACTGGCTGCCATTTCGACTTTGCTTGCATTCACTGGTACCAGGACTGTGAACCTGGAAATGGCGAGTCGGGCGCAGATTGGTTCACAAGTAACGTCACCGATGCTTATAATACGTTGCAATTGCCCATTTGGATCACGGAATTTCAATGCTACGGAAGTGACGATCAGCAGGCAACTTTCCTGGAAAGTGTTATTCCTTGGTTGGACAGCCAGGACTACGTTGAGAGATATGCTTACTTTGGGGTCTTCCCTGACTATTTGCTCGATGATGCTGGCGATGCTCTGAGCGCCTCTGGACAAGCTTACGTCTCATCATAATCCTGCGTACTCAATTAGCAGAGCATGTTCGATAGAGCATGTTCGATAGGAAGGATGCAATCATTATGAATATCAATCAATAATTTCTGCTTTCTGTAATAGACCTACTACTGCGTACCGTTATTGTCACGGCCTTACATTAAGGATAGAATATCATAGCGGATGAGTGAGGGGGGTATGTAACTTCATCTCATAGAGGGTCAACACAGACTTACGTGAGAATTAAAAAATTTGACCAGTTATGGGACGTTGACATATCGAGTACCGTCTCCAACAACCTTCCCGGTCCACAATCCGGGACGATCCGCAGCACTGCCACCAAACAACAAATGAAATTGCCAGTAGCAGTGGCCGTGAACTTGCAACGCCAGCAACTCTGAGCACTAGCTAAGTTTTAGGGACCATTTATCGGCTTTTAGTGCCTGGATAACACCCAATAAGGGCACGAGCGGAACTTGATTCAGTGGCAACAAATGCATAATTCGATCATGCTATTGTTAGACTTGGCTGAAAAATTACTATTTATAAAAAAAGATTGCATGTATATTCCAACATCTATTCAATCGATGAGGCTTTATTTGAATTTGCTTAATACAAATCCACAAAAGCATTTATATGCGACAATCTTTCACTGCCTGGACTGGACATCTCATGTCGCAAGAGATCGTTCCCAAGAAAACATACCCTGGTACGCCGATTATAGGCAGGAAAAGACAAGACCACAACAAAAAGGAAAAGAGCTGGACCCGGAGATAACCTGGATAAAAACAAACCAAAAGTTAGAACTTTGCTCAAATTACACGAAAATCAAAATGGCAGAATTCGTCGGAGCCATAGGCACCGTCGCCGCTGTTGCGCAGATGGCCGAATACGCAGCAAAGGCTTCCTTGGAATTCTATGATTTCTTAAAAACGATTAAGAACGCTCCTCGTGAGATTGTTGACATAACTCGCGACATCAATACCTTCCACAAACTTGTCTGCAACCTTCAAGGCTCACTAAGCTCTCCCACCGTGCAGGATATTGTTGGCCGGGACGCCGACATCAGCCACGCACTGAAAGCGCTGGAGGAGCCCATGGCGAATTGTTGCGATGTTTTTAAAAGCTTAACAGAAAAATTGCAACCACATTTAAAAGAGGATGATTCCCCCGGGACACCTGGAACAGAGAAAAATGTGATAGATAGCGATTCGTCAAGCAAAACAAATCGGAAAATTAGTSGAGCCGATATGAAGTGGTATTTTAAAAGGAGAGAGGTGTATGGTTTGGTGTCACAGTTGGAGCGAACCAAGGTCACTTTTGCAGATGCCATGGGCAGCACCACCCTGTACAGTCCCGCCCTATTCCCATTTTGCACGAGCATGGTCGAGACGAACACATAGGTGAATGATATGTGCTAATGGAAAAATTACCAGACTTCTTACTTTGAAATCGGCAGCCATCAAAACAGAACTGCCGGAGTATACGAGCACACAAAGTACAATTCCATGTGAATTGGAGAACGCATTCAACCAAGACGCCGGTGCAGCCCTTCGCAAATTTGCAGATACAGCTTCTACCATGAACTATCCGATCACCTCAAAAGATAATACGGAGGAGAAGGACGAACGAAAACCGGAACTGCCTCGAAATAACAGTACTTTGACCAAGATGCTAATTCAAACGGTCAAAGATGGATCCATTACGGATACAATCGAAGCCCTAAAGGTCGTTGATGTGGATAGTCAAGATCAAGACGGACGAACTGCACTTTCATGGGCTGCCGAGCTGGGTAGACCTAACATTGCCGAATTACTCATCCGCAGAGGGTCTGCTGTTTCACTCCGTCAATACACCACTAACCGCCATGCTCCAAATAGGCCTGATCCAAAACAATCGAGTGGTCGAGTTCCATTACATTGGGCAGCGGCTTGCGACAGACCAGTTATTGTCAGCCTACTGCTGCGCAATGGTGCTAATCCTAATGCAAGGTCGACTGTTGGTCGATCTTCGTTGCAGGAGGCTTCTATGAATAATAACATCAACATTGTGAAGACATTGTTGGAAAACGGCGCGGATGTAAACGCGCGAAGTTATAACCATGTATGAAAGCCCTTCTGATGCGATGCTACTCTCCCTTCCATATTTATTCTATCTGTCTGAGCTTCACTGATTGGTCAATCCAGGGTTGGACGGCGATGCATGAAGCAGCATTCTACGGTCACCAAGAGATGACTCAATATCTCTCCGAGCGTGGTGCCTGGCTCGACCCTCTGACCTCGCCAAACCTGAAAACACCATTACAAATGGCCATGACAACCAAGCAACTAGTAGTGTCACGAATGCTCTTAGATTTTGGAGCAGACCCTAACGCGCAGATGTTACATGACACGACGGCTCTACATATAGCGGCTGCCGGGGGATGGGTTGTAGGGATTGATTTACTTTTGAAAGCGGGCGCATTGATCAACGCGAGAGATGCGATGTTACACGAGACGCCGCTGCATAAAGCGGCGCGGAATTTGCAATTGAACGCTATCGAAGCATTGCGCAGAAATGGTGCTAATGAGGAGGCAAGGAACATAGATGGTCACACTTATCGCGATATTGTGGATTTCGCGCGTCTCGATCCCGACAGTTGGTTTATTCCGGTGGATGATCCTTCCATTTATCGATGAACGACTATATTGATTTGATCACCATGGATCCCGATCTAAGAATTGCCGCAATATACATACGAATATAAATCATAAGTGGCAATAATGCATATAACAGCGAATGATTTTGTCTCCGAAAACGCACCGGGTTGCCCATTCTCTAGTCATATCGCCAGACCTGGCAGGTAAAAGTAGCTTCATATCACAGGTCGCATGGGTTCGTGTTTTTATTGTACTGCAGAGACAGCAATCCAAATTCTGATTGGAAATGCCTATGCCCTTATCAGTCGCAAGCACGATAAATTGATGTCACGCGGTTTTAAAAGTTTTTGGACCCTGCCTGATGCAGCACAGAGAGCGAGCCGTACATCCGAAAACAGGACTAGGCATGCAGCTGAAATGCAGGTTTCATTTAATTTTCGATCCGTCGTGTTCCGAAGTTCAGTCACGCATAATGTTTTGATCCATAAATACTGTCTCTATAGTATTGAGATCATTTGGGAAGAAATTTATCACCAAGCTGATTGAAACTGCTTCATACGCATTTAAGCGTAGAAACTCTGCAACTTGACCTTACCATATACATCGATATACTACAATGGCTAGCTTGTTTTCGGTCCTTCAGCGTCATCAACTTTTGACTACCACAACAATTATAATTATAGCATTATCCATACCTGCTTATCGAGACTATAAACTTTTTATTTCCTATGGCCCCGGCGGCCCTCCTCACAATTCCCTTGGGTGGTTCTTCTCCAGGTTCCTCGCTACGCCGTTTGGACAAGAGATGTTCAGTACTGCGATCTATGAGCAAAGGATCCTAGCAGGCGAGGATATATCTTATCTAACCTTTGTTGGCGGTCAAATACCTCATCGTGATGGGGTGACGCCAGCTGTTAGTCCACATGTTGTACCACAAAGACAAATCGATCAGCTTTCCAGTCGAAATATTCAAAAGGTCTGTTTTCAATCAGTTCCCGCATTCTTAAAGTTTTAACTAAATGAATATATCGAACAGGAACTCGTAAAGGCATTCTACGCCTTGGCCAGCAAAAACTCTCACATAATTAAAGTGGCACCTTCAAACGCGGAAAAACATAGCGACGCAATGTGGCTCCTGGAAAACATTACTCGCGCACGCGAAGCATACCAAACAGGTGGGGAATTAGCACATATCCACGAAACGGGTGATCATTCCCTTCATGTGGTGCTTTCTCCGGCGGATGCTAAGAAGGTCATCGAGGCTGGTTGGGGCCAGCGCCACGCTTTGGCTGGATGGAGGCCGTTGGGAGGCAGGCTTGAGAAAATTGTAAATATTCCGGCAACGTATCTGCTTATTTATACACCAAGAACGGCGGATGAGATTGAGGTAGTCCTTGAGATCGTTCAGGCTGCGATGCGTCATATGAGTATGGGTGCGGATGTGTTTTCCTAGACGTTCTGGTGCCTTAGCTGACATATATTTCTACCACCTATGTATACTAAAATGCTTTCAGGTCACCAGCAGATAATGAGCAATCTTCTCTCTCAATATTGAAATTATGTATTCCCTACCTCAAGCAAGAAGAGTGGACATTAGCGAGATGACCGAGCTAGTGGGGAAATGACAACAAGCTGCAGATCACGGTGAAGCCAAGGAGTGTGTTGTATCAAGTTCGTTGGTGATTGTGCGTAAATTGATCAACAAAGTCCGAAACAATTCACGTACTTGGAAAGTCTGAAGAAGGACGAAGTCGAACCGAATTGGATCGAATCCCGTCAACGGGTGCCATATCCAACATTGAACTTCAACCCCGGTGTATATATAGACAATCAGATACAATGTCATTTGCCACGAGATTGGCTACTTTGTCGGGTGGCCTAGGTATGGAGAACTGCCACCACTCTACGTACCAAACCAGTGCTATCATCTACGGCGCCGATATTATTTCCCAAAGAGTAGGATCAAATAAGATGAGGTAGGTAGTCTTCACCCAAATTCGACTATTACTCGAATCTCTTTCAATTCAGATTGAATAACCGGAGCGCTTTGATTTCCTTTTGCATGAATCCTAGCTAGAACAGCCAATGCTTCTTTGATACAATTATTTTGAAACAAGCTACGCAGAGGCTCAGGCCAGAAGATATCAAGGCGCCGACGACGGTGCCTGGGATGAGTTGGAGGGAGAAACACAGCCTCCAGGCTGCGTTGCCAGAGATATTCAACGCCCTATATTGGACCCAATAAGCGACCAACAAGCTCACAGCGATACCAGTGTGATGGTTTGAAATGATCCTCCGGCGCCCAACCAGTTTACTGCCCGCTCAGTGATACACAAACCTTGATTCTGCGAGGCAGTGATAACAGCTTGGCTGATAAGATATACCAGAACACGTAGCAGAATTGCCACTCGCCGACCCAAGCGGCCAGAGAACAGAAATCTAATCTGTAGTGACCCTCCAAACTCTACGGCTATCTGAGATGCAGTCATAGTTCCCTGTCTGTATGCAGTGGGTATGTGGAAGTAGGAGAGGAACCAAGGCATCGTGAGAATTCTGCTCGTTGAGGCATTTACCCAACCATAGGCGAAGCCTGCAATTGCTGGTAGAAAGGCATAGTAAGTTTTACACCATAGCGACAAGTCTATTGTTGTTGTCATGTTGAGGGGCTGCTTATGCTAGAGACCTGGGTGCCTAGATCAAAGAAGAGTCAAAGGACAGATACTGCCCTCTTCATGAACAATGTAGGCAACGTAGGACCATTTGTTATTTTCACTGAATCATGGAATTACAAAAATACTAGGCTCATGCAAGAGATTAGCGAATACAGCAGCTTCGCACTTGGGTAACACACATCACCAGGACCGAGAAGTCCAGGCTGGTGTTGAAGTTCAAGGAAATCTGGGCCATGTATAAAATAACGAGTCTGTCAAATAAAGTTTGAAGAGCCATGCCCTAGCTAGGCATATTCATCCTTTTCTTTGACTAAATTGTAAGATTAATCTGCATTAAATGTCCACAGTCAGCTCTTAACAGCCACATTAAGTCGAAAGTAGAAGACTTGAGTAATTGGTGTCCCTTTTCTTTTTTTTTTTAGGTGTTTTCTTGTAGTGTAGTAGGAGGGGAGTCGGTAGTAAGACAGGAAAGAAGTTTGAGGATGAGAAGGGAAGACAAGATAGGATTAGGTGGGAGAGGCTGCTGCTTAGCGAGGAAATGAGTAGCTCATTAGTTAATTAAGAAGAGAAACAAAAGCTGCAAGGCCTAATGGAACAAAAAAACACAAACGGGCCGGAGAAGAAATTGTGGTGGCAGTGCCTKGGTCAAAAACTGCTTGCAAACGGCCATTGGTGAAACTTTAATACCAGAATCGTAAACCAAATCGTTGCACCTATTATGAGTAGAGCTACAACAGCGTTGTCTTTTGGAAACCCATATTTTATATCAATGGATCATGCAGCCCATCAGTATTTGCCTACGCAGATGAAGCTAGCAACAAATTATATGTATGTTTGTGATTAGCCATGTTTTTGTAGGGTCAAATAGTCCGAATGTTCAACATTTGGATAAGAAAATAGCAAAATTTCACCTTGAAAGTCAAGACAATGTGGTGATGCATCTCAGGCGTGACTGATCTATAGACATCAGAGCGTACATAACAGCCGCGCTAGCTTCTGCTAAAATCCAATACTGGCAATACACCATTGATCAGCACGTGCGACTTTTGTAGTAGGCTGTTTAGATGCCGTCTCATGGAAGCAGACCATATATATATATGATTCGGAAAGTTATGCTCAATGTAGCCTGTGACTAGAGGATAAACCCATCGACTTCATATATATATCTCGCTGTACTGATTACGTTTGCCAGAGTTCGCTAATGTTAACTGTTACCAAACGGCCATCGATCCCACGAGACTTCAGCTTTTTTGCAGGATTAGTTGAGCCTCGACAAGTGTATGCGTGGTAAAGAAAAGTTTCACATTATTCATTTGTTCCCAATCGGCGCAAATGACAAGAAGCCTTAGCCCTTGTCGTCGGCCTTATCGCTCTGTTTGAGTCTGCTTTGTTTGCATCCTAGTACCCCGCCCTATTGATTTTGTTACAAATACAAATAATTACACGTACGTACATGTTATACCATTGCGTGCAGTTAACGCCATGTCGCAAAATTTTCGTGCATCATCTAGATTCAGCTATTCATCTAAATTCGAGGTACTCAGCCGATCCGTGCAGAAGAAGCTACTCCAGTTCCACATTGATTCGTCCCCGCTGATCTAATTTTGTCTCTTATCAACCCGACCCCAATTTCCCTTTAAGGACATTGAAATCCGTAAGACGTGTAAGTTACAGCCTCAGTGGGTCATGTTATTACCATTATTACTGTAACGGTCGCCGATTGGCCGTTCTGTCATTTTCGTGGGATTGTATTTTATTATATTCGAATGCTGTTATCGGAAGCTGGGGTGTCCTGGAACTAAGACTATATTGTTTCATAGCTCTTGGTTAGCTGTGTAGTACAAGAGAAATTTATGCAAGTGCAATTGAGTCACCTTCAGCAACTTTAAGTGAGCTTCATCTGTATCAATACAATTGCTTTTAAAAATGCAAAACATACAAACTATTGCATCTGAACTGCCCGCTCTCTTCGAGCAGTATGCAAGGCAACTGCCTGTACCACCCTGGAAGCTTACCTATTGGCTGGGTCTTCCGTATATCGCATACAGATTAAATCGCTACTTGAGTCGTCGAGCATTGAATAACGGCGTTACCGATTCTTTCGACTGGCACAAGGAGATCATCCTAATTACAGGAGGTTCTAATGGCATCGGTGCTGCTGCGGCGCAGAAATTGGCTACAAAGGGAACTAAAGTGGTTGTCCTAGACATTTTACCACTGACTTATGACGCTCGTGAGATACCCATCTGCTAGCAAGCTTTTGCTCCTCAACTGAGAGAGCTAATTGATTTCACAAGCCGAAAATCTGCACTACTATCGATGCGATTTGACAAACTTTGACGAAGTTCAGGCAGTTGCAGCCACCGTAACTCGGTATGTCAAGCTATTTTTTTTTCGCATGTAAGATGCATCTAATATGCATGAATTTATTATTGACCAACTTTGGATTCAGCGAGGTCGGCGCACCTACATGTGTCGTAGCAAACGCSGGAATCTGTCGCGGCAAGCCATTGCTGSGAGCCACTAAACGTGATATCGAATTGTAAGTACATTCAGCTTCTAACAACTACTATTCGCATTAACTGATGTTTACAAACTTTAGAACATTCGGTGTCAATAGTCTCGGCCTTTTGTGGACCATCAAAACATTCCTACCCTCGATCGCCGAGAAGAACCACGGCCACTTCGTGATGCTTGCCTCGCAGACGGGACATCTAGCAACAGCGGGGGTAGTAGACTACGCAGCCACCAAAGCCGCTACTTTAGCCATCTACGAAGGTCTTCAGACCGAATTACGCCATGTCTACAAGGCCCCCGCAGTGCGCGTATCATGCGTATCACCGTCTGCGGTGAGCACCAAAATGTTTACAGGCATTAAGTTGCCTCCTTCAGTGCAACCCTTACAACCTTCAGACGTTGGTTCTGCAATTGCTGAGATATTGTGGAGTGGCCGAGCGCAGAATATCATGTTGCCATCTTCGGCTTATATATCGCCCATTACGCGTGCACTCCCAGATTGGCTTCGAATCGGATTGCAGGAGTTTGGCAAGGACATCATGACGGATTTGAATCCTCATAAACCGTTGGATTGATTTTCACTGTGTGCCCGACCACCGAGGTCAATTAGTTCTAGGCCTGAACAATTACCTATTTTTCTAGTATTTGTTGCACCCATGAGTAATCCGTTCGCGAATAGCTACTTGAGTATCTTCAAAGTATATCGGCACTTGAAGAAGTCGCATTAAAAATGATATCTCTAAATTTAAGTTTCAAATAACTTTTCAAGAACACATTTCTTGTATATCTATGGACGCATATGAAAGCCATTACACAAGTATCGGACGTAGTCGTACTCTCAACCCGTCTTTGGGTCGGGAAGTGAGCCCTGTCTCAATCACCAACTCAGATGTTTTATCCTCCAACTCTAATTCAAATGTTCCAACGATTGCAGCAAGGAGACATGCGAACTCTCCACGAGCAAAACCTTGTCCGATACATGAACGTGGTCCTAGAATGTAGGTCAGTTTTATCCAGACCAAACATGAATTATTTGTGCAAGCTCTTACCATGTAAAAATGTCATGAACGAAAAGTTGGTCACCCCGCCACCACTATTTGCCTGACTTGGTTTCATCCATCGTTCAGGATCAAACACAAAAGCATCGTCGCCCCAAAGCTCCTTCGAAATGTTGACCGCACGCATTGAAATCGCGATCGCCGTTCCTTTTGGAATGTGTTGGCCGAGGATTGACGTATCCTTCGCAGCTACCCTTCTGGTTAGACCAGCCGGTGGATAGACACGGAAGACTTCATTGCAAACGGCGTGAAGGTATGGTAAACTGTCCACCAACTCAGCGGTGACGGAGATCCCGTTTGTGCCAATAGTTGCTCCAATTGGAAGGTTTGCGCGCACTTCTTCACGGAGTCTCTGTTGCACTTGTGGGTACAAACATAAAGCATATATTGCCCATGTCATTGATGTAGCGGTTGTTTCATGTCCGGCAGCGAGAAATGTCAAAAGATGATTTTCCAACATGTTGTCTGTAAAGTTACCAGAATCGAGAGCAACAGAAAGAATATCTCTCCGAGCAGATCTATCGATGCTTTCTTTGGCGTCTCTTGCCTTCTCTTCCCTTTTATCCTTGATCAAACGGCGAGAGACGTCCGTGAGGACTTCAGTGGCAGCGGCAATACTATCATTTTGTTTGATTTTCAAGAGGTTTATGATCTGTTGCTTGGCAAGGAACAAGAGGATACCCAAAACACCCCTTGGCGGTTTTTGCTCGAAAACTCCTCGATATGCCCTAACAATTTCATTGTCTGGGTTGTGCAGTGTGTCAAACTCTCTCCCAAGACCTGCAGCTCCCAATATGTCCAGCGTCGTGCGAGCAAGCCAGTCTGCGACATCAAAGACTTGGCTGTATTGTCCGGTGCGCTTAATGTTCTGCTCGAGCTCGACCGCTAATAATGCAGATTTCTCCCAGAAAATCGGATAAAGATCCTTGACGTGTCTGTGTAGGAATGCAGGCATCAAATTCTTCCGTTGTTTCTTCAATATCTTTTAGCTTCTTTACGGTTGTTAAATTCTCAGATTGTGAATGTGATACATACTTTATGTTCTTCGCCTTCCGCAATAATTAGACCAATTCCGAGTATTCTCCCCAATCCCTGTCGCAATTTGTATGGTTTGGAAAAGTCGTAATTTTTCTGTACAAGCACTTCTGACAATGCCTTCGGACTCGTTATAAACACAACCTCTTTGTTGAACATCATTCGATATCGGATAAGGCCGTCATTGGGCACCTCGTTGATCCATTCCTGGAGAGGCATGCCCGATCGTTCATTGGGAACCAATTTTGCATGGCCATTGAGAAGCGTGCCTCCCTAAATTACAATAATATGTTAGCCAACAATTTATGCTTCCAAGAGGGGATTATTCATTACAGGACCACACACACCTTGGGCTCAGGTAAATGTCGCAGTGGACTGAAATAAAAAGGCCGCAGATAAATTTTATAAACACCGAGAACAATAATTGATGAAAAAATAGTGACCCCAGTGATCTTCAATGCGACTTGCATTGGGAATATCCAAATGAGCACGATGCTCAGCAAAACCCAGCTGACCACCGCATGTTTTGCGGTGGACATGATGTGTGAGTTGATGACCGCAACGTTTTGAAAATCTTGACACTCTCCCAACGGGATGCTTCAAACTTTCAATTTTGCTTCAGATCATACCGTTGTAAAATCATTCTCTGGTCGCGCACAATCTTCACGTGCCCGGAATGTCTTGCTAAGAATAGTTCTCCCCTCATCCCACTTCTTGTAATTTGAGACCGTATTGTAAGCTTGTAACAATACATGGATACGATTTCAATACGCCGTCCGCATTACAAGACCAAATTACCGTAATACAATACACAGCCAACAAACAGATCTCGAATCGTAAAACCTAAATTTAACGCCCATCCTCAATCGAGACGCTTAAGCCGTTCCTTGTTATTATTCCCCCTTGTGGAGTGTTACATCGCGTCAAAAACGGATTTCGCCTTTCTGCAGTGACGTGGCAAACCTGCAGAAGATGAAGAAAACCCTTGTAAAACCTTATCGTACATACAAGACAGGGTTTCTATGATACGTGCTGGAAAGTGTCCTGACTCGATAAAAGTGGCTGAATGCCAAGCTTAGGGAGTGATTCGAGGTCGGCGAATTATTGCGAAGATATTGGAGTAATGAGGTTCGATGACGTGCCAAGCTGAGCGGCTATCTTCGTACAAACTCGAAATCTCCTTCCTAATTAGAGCTTGCGGATCTACTTCAACTCTAATTGATTACTGAGTTTTGGTGCCTAGAATCAATTATATACATAGTCAAAACATATTATGTTTGTGACTTAGATAGTTTCAGTCATAGTGGAGTGAAAATAACCTCATGTTTGCAGATATTAGAGTGCTTACGAAGTAGCTGGCGTGATTGGGCCAAGGAATAAGTTGAAATTCTTATCTACGTGTAAAAGCTAGTACTGAACTATCAAATAGAAATAACTACATATTTCCACCTTGTCATAGAAGTAGGTCAAAGTATGTAAAAATGCGTAGAGGTGAGGTATGGCTGATACATTTACCAGGCGCACAGAAAGGGACGACGGAAAAGACAAATTCGAATCCTGAATGCGCCGACGTAACGACGAATGGGTACTAATACCGTATAATCATTCACCAAATTTGTTCGCGACCATGTTCAGCATGTCACTTAAATTTTCAGGCCTTTGAAGCTCTGGTGGTGATGTGAACCTTGAGTGGAATCTTCTCCCACGATGTGTAAATATATTGATCCTTGGGCCAATTCGCGCACTCGGGAGTTAATGTGAAGTCAAAATGCCACAGCATCTTAGCAAGAATGAGTCTCATTTCGATGTTGGCCAAGCTGTAGAAACAGAAAGCGTCAGCATGCTGTTACCAGTGGCTTGAGAAGTAGAAGACATAGGAAATGTATACGCACTTTCGACCAATGCAGTTTCGTGGACCGAAAGAAAATGGCTGCAAAGCCTCACGGCGATCGTTTTTGTATGGTCCTTCATCATCCAACCACCGCTCAGGTAGGTAGATTTCTGGATCCTTGAAGTTATATGGAGAGCGGAAGACAGCATACTGTGCCATGCCCATGGATGTCTACACATAAGTGTCAGTAAATGTACTTTTTTTCAATCAAATTTACTGTTGTTGAGAAATGCAAGTACAGGTTACTTACGTTACCAGGAAGCCACTCGCCGAGAATGTTAGCACCCTCTGGTGGGGTGATACGAGGATGACTGCCTGCAGCGGGAGGATACAAGCGGAACGACTCGTCAATGACAGCATTGATATATTTGAGTTGGCTGATACGAGCAATGTTGATCTCATCGCTTGAGTCGAACGATGTACGAACCTCATCGATAAGTTTTTGCATCACACGTGGGTGGGTGCATAAGTAGTAGATTGTACCCGACAAAATCGTGGCAGTGGTTTCGCTACCAGCGATAACCATAAGGTTGGCGTTTGCGACCAAATCCGGCATTGTGAGGTCACCCTTTTCCTCAGCTTGAAGCAAGTGGCTCATGAAGTCGATGTAGTCTGGGTGACTAGTCTTGCGTCGCTTGACCTTCTCTTCGACGAGACCAATGTGCCATTTACGACGTTCGACGATCCTCTTAGGCATGATAGCTAAGATGATCGATCGAACGTCAATGAAACGTTGCAATGTGCGAATGTAATGAACATAAACGATCGCATTGAAGATCATGGACATCCAAGGGTGGTAGTCATCGTTCTTGAGACAGTCAAAAGGTTCGTAAAACGCGAGATGGCCGATAATATCGAAAGTCACATACTAGAAATCCATGATCAGTGTTGATATCTAAGAAGAATCGGAGAACCTCTGCTAAGATAAGGATGCTTACATTGAACCATCGAACAATATCCACGGGCTCATCCTTGTCTGCTACCTCATGCAAGCGACTGACTAGAAGATCAATGTAGTGCAACAACACTGGCTCCTGTCCCTTAAGAACCTTATCGGAGAATGCATTGGACAGCAACTTTCTCAAACTCCCATGCGTCCTACGATCCGCATTGATGATTGTGGGATGCGTTTTATCCGCGTCCGTATTTTCACCAGGGTCTTTGCGGTTCTCAGGCAAACCGTTGCGGAATCCATAAATCTCTTTCCAGGCGTCAGCGCCGGTGAAAGAGAGCTCAGTGGGAGCTATCCGTACGATCTCGCCATATTTAAGATGCAGCTCGTGAACAATAAATGGGAAACGTCCGCTCAGCTGCTGTTTCATCCACCATAAACGAGTGGCGGCTGCGAGTTTGGGACCGGGGTACTTTGATAATGGGTGGAAGTAGACTCTGTATATCACAACACCAACCACGTACGCGAGGAGCTGTACTCACATTAATGACGAACAATAACCCAGTCGAGCGTGGCATTGAGATTTCACTTACACCTCCAGACAGTAAGGCTGCTGCCTGCCCTATAGACAGAGTAGATAGACTTATTCTCGGAGCCATGTTCATATGACAACAAAATGATGATAAAGGATAGGATGGCGAGTTAACGACGAAGAGTTGGACTTTGCCAAAAGACTCAATCTTTGTATACTCTAGGCCGATACAACCTTTATTGAAAGTTACTCCTGGGATATCCTAGTTTGACCATTCCTCTAGAATTTCCGATAGCGGGTCAAGTTCGAGGTAAAGAGGGGTCTTTTTGGTCTCAAACAACAAATACGGTATTCAACTAATCCATCTGTATGTATCTAAGACATGGAATAATTACAAATCTGAGACGAAAATATGATACTGAAGAATTCACATGTGACCAAGTTTTGAAGCTTCTTGAGCGGGGTAATTGAAGCTCATGGTTGCGAAACTGTTATGATAAACATGTTCCAGCTGAAACAACTACTCTGATAAGACAACCTAACAGCTCGCAGATATATCTCATCGATTTCCAGATTTGCTATGAGACGCATGAGTGGATATTACATACATGTAATAATTGACTAGTGTAATATATGGCGTATATACCAATATGGCCCCCATGTATCTCCGGTTTACGTATTTGTGGATAAGAAAGACGGCGGGGGATTGGCCTTGGGGCCATGTGGATTGACCTCCCCTCTCGCTCTCGCTGCAACATGATGATGACTTCAGGTGGCAGACTCATTTCACTCGGTGTGTATATATAATAATAGCAAGTAAATAATAGTTTGGTGGGAATCCACGCCGGATATACTATGCTTTAGTGTGCGGGTTTCGAGTCATGGGCTAATACAACTAGTGTAATTGATCTCTTTTGTATTTCGATAACAGATATGGCGACTATCGGAGTGGATTACTCCAGGGCCTGTATGGAAGATGTAGGAGACTTACGTAGGGAGAGACAAAAATGGATCAGGTAGGATTCTCTGGGGCGTCTTTGATTAATTGTAACTATTTTCTCTGACGAAAGCTATGTAACTCGGGTTTGGACGACGGTGATTCCGACCCAACATAGACATTCGTTTGTCAAAGAGAAATATCGTGACATTTCTTTTTATTTTCGGCTACCAATTATAAGCCCAATGGATTTACAAGAATCAGCAGTGTCTTTGGTGCGGCATTTGGGGGAGAAAGTTGAAGATCCCCGTGGTTTTGGGTTCATGAGCCCTGCCATCTATGATACCGCATGGGTTTCTATGATTAGCAAGACGATCGATGATCAAAAACTATGGCTCTTTCCGGAATGTTTCGAGTACATTCTTTCTCACCAGCTCGAAGACGGTGGTTGGGCGATGTATGCGTCTGAAATTGACGCCATCCTAAACACCTCAGCCTCATTATTATCATTGAAGAGACATCTCTCAAATCCCTATCAAATTACATCTTTGACCGAAGAGGACCTATCAACTCGCATTGGCAAAGCCCAAGATGCCTTACAAAGACTTTTAAATGAGTGGAATGTTGACACTACACTTCACGTGGGGTTCGAGATCCTGGTTCCGGCATTAATCAGGTACCTAGAAGAAGAAGGCATCGCTTTTGAATTTCCCGGAAGACAGCGTCTGCTTGATATCGAGAAACAAAAGTTATCAAAGTTCAAAGCGCAATATCTCTACCTTCCAATCAAAGTGACAGCTTTGCACTCTCTCGAAGCGTTCGTAGGAGCTATTGAGTTTGATAAAGTTGGTCACCACAAAGTCAACGGTTCTTTCATGGCATCTCCGTCATCCACAGCCGCATACATGATGCATGCAACGCAATGGGATATCGAGTGTGAGGATTACCTCCGCCACGTTATTTATCATGCATCTGGAAAAGGATCCGGAGGCGTCCCTAGCGCCTTTCCTTCCACGATCTTCGAAAGTGTTTGGCCTCTATCAACTCTGCTCAAGGTGGGATATGATCTTAGTTCTGCACCTTTTATCGAAAAGATTAGATCATACCTACATGATGCATATGTTGCCGAAAAAGGAATTCTCGGCTTTACTCCTTTTGTCGGCGCCGATGCAGATGATACCGCTACCACAATCTTGGTGCTAAATCTTTTGAATCAACCAGTCACGGTCGACGGGATGTTGAAGGAATTTGAAGAAGAACACCACTTCAAGACCTACTCTCAGGAGCGCAACCCCAGTTTCTCGGCTAATTGCAATGTCCTTCTTGCCTTGCTATATAGTCAAGAGCCATCGCTTTATAACGCCCAAATCGAAAAGGCTGTAAGATTTCTATACAAGCAATTCACAGATTCGGAATTGGATGTTCAAGATAAATGGGTATGTTCAATAATGGAGTACTGTGTTTCGATACTTGTTGCTCTATATAGCTAACTCTTGGATACAGAATCTATCACCATACTATTCTTGGATGTTGATGACACAAGCTGTCACGCGTTTGGCCACACTTCAAAAGACATTCAAAATATCAACATTGAGTGATGGTTCCATGAGCAGAGACTTAATTAGTCTACTACTCAGAATAGCTTCCACTGTTGTTAAAGACCAAAAACCAGGAGGCTCTTGGGGAACACGGGCTTCGAAAGAAGAGACTGCCTACGCAGTGTTGATTCTCACTTATGCCTTCTACCTGGATGAAGTGACAGAGTCATTGCGAAATGATATCAAGACCGCCATTGAGAAGGGCTGCTCATTCCTCGCGGAACAAAGTACGCGGTCTGATTCAGAATGGCTTTGGGTCGAGAAAGTCACATACAAATCAGAAGTTCTTTCACAGGCATACATTTTGGCTGCTCTGAAACGGGCAGCTGACCTTCTGGCGGAGAAAGCAGAAGCCCTCCGGGCCACCAATGATATTTCCACAAATCCAATCGAGCAAGCTAATGGAATAACTGGCAAGGCGGAAGTCAACAATACCAATGGTACCAATGGTACCAATGGTAACCACGAGACAAATGGTATCAATGGCACGCATGTAAATGAACAAAAGAATGGTGTGAACGGCACAAACGGTCATTCATACTCACCTCAAGATACAAATGACAAGGTAAAAGAACCAACTGCAGTTACTGCAACAAATGTCCACCAGGCCAATGGTACAAATCACGAAGGTTCCCTATCGAATGGGATTTCTAAGGGGGATTCTATGTCCATTCACAGAGATCACTCAGACAGTTACTATCAGCGCAGTGATTGGACAGCGGATGAAGAACAAATTCTTCTCGGTCCATTTGACTACCTGGAAAGCCTGCCAGGCAAGAACATGCGTTCACGACTCATTCAATCATTCAACACTTGGCTCAAAGTTCCAACAGAGAGCTTGAATGTTATAATCAAGGTGATTTCGATGTTGCACACAGCCTCGCTCTTGATCGATGATATACAGGATCAATCCATACTCCGCCGCGGGCAGCCTGTAGCACACAGCATCTTTGGCACAGCGCAAGCAATGAACTCGGGAAACTATGTATATTTCCTAGCTCTTAGGGAGGTTCAGAAGTTACAAAACCCGAAAGCTATTAGCATCTATGTTGATTCTTTGATTGATCTTCACCGTGGTCAAGGCATGGAGCTTTTCTGGCGTGATTCGCTCATGTGCCCCACCGAAGAGCAGTATCTGGACATGGTCGCAAACAAAACCGGAGGTCTATTTTGCCTTGCTATCCAATTGATGCAAGCCGAGGCCACTGTGCAAGTCGACTTTATACCACTTGTCCGATTGCTTGGGATTATCTTTCAGATTTGTGACGATTACTTAAATCTGAAGTCTACAGCCTATACCGACAACAAAGGGCTGTGTGAGGATTTGACAGAGGGCAAATTTTCGTTTCCTATTATCCACAGCATCCGAGCCAACCCAGGCAACCGACAGCTGATTAACATATTGAAGCAAAAGCCACGTGAAGATGACATTAAACGATATGCTCTTTCATATTTGGAAAGCACAAACTCATTTGACTATACTCGTGGCGTTGTCAAGAAGTTGAAGACGGAGGCAATCGAAACTATTCAGGGCTTGGAGAAGCAAGGATTAGAAGAGAACATTGGCATTCGAAAGATACTCGCTCGAATGTCCCTTGAGCTTTGATGAAACTACGCTATAGAGTCAATCGCGATCATTTACCTAAGGCTAGATTTGTTTTTATGGACACCGGACGTACTTTTATTGGGGTTTAGGTTTATATATACCACATATACGTATATAAAATGCAACTTTCTATTGAAAACTGTCTATCAACTTGATCCAGATGTACCCGTTCATTGCTCCTTGGTCAATTCGTAAAGACCAATGTATGAATTAATTTATCAACGTCTGCTTGCGTTAATCCACATTGCTGGACAAAATAATTTCGAGCACTCCCAAACTTCGCCGCTACCACATCTTCAAGAAAAGCCTTCATAGTCTCCGGGTGGCTGGCAATAATGGATTCTGCCTCTTCACGTGTAGCTGCATCCTTTCTTTGCAACAAGCGTTGGACTAGGTGTTCTCGCCAGGCCCCGAAGCCCTCAGTAGTCATAGCATAGTCTTCAACTATAGTCTCGTTTGGTACCCCGCAAAGACTCAATAGCAATGCTGCAAATACACCGGTTCGGTCTTTTCCCAGTGTGCAGTGAAATAGGATTGGCCGGTCCGGATGTTGTATTATGTGGTCCGTTATCTTACGAAAACTACCGTTTCCTGCAGCACTGCGTGCGATGGCCTCATACGCGTGGACGAATCCTGTAGGCTTGGCGTTTGTGGAGGAAATGGAATCCACGGCAGTATCGGAGGACACTCCGTACTTCTTGACTAATGACGCCGGGGAATAATCACCCTCCGAGAAGACCGGCACGGAATAGCGAGTCGTACCAGGTATCTCGAGTAGCGAATCAGGATAGCGAGTGGTGACAAGCTGAATTTCGGTCTGTGAGCGAAAGTCAAAAATCGCCCGGATGCGAAGTTCGTGTACTAGTGTCTCGATACCGGCTGGGGTAACCTGGGACGGCTGAGCCGATCGAAAGAGAAATCCAGGCCGGATGCACGAGTGGCTACCCCGAGGTGTCGAATCCGACGCGTTGTCCGGTGAGCCGTTTGAGGCAGGAGGGAGAGCACTGCAAGGGTAACCGCCCAGTTCACGGAAATTGACTACTCCGCCCACGGAAAGAAACCGCGAAGAAGGTACTGTCCCGGGAGCAGCCGTGGGAAAGGTGTCATCAGACATGCTGTTCACTTTGACTGGAGCTGGTTTTGGAATGTAATAACGTAGACTCTAACCTATCGTACGCGGGGAACCCAAACTACTATATTCTTACCCTCGGGAACCAAAAACTGAACTAAGAAGTGGGATGAATGCTGGGAACTAAGCGTCGACAAACACAAAGTTACATTCAAGGGTTACATGAGAAAAAGCCATGATGGGCGTAATCCAGCTACTCAACGTTCGGTAGCAAGAATTAATGCCGCAAATTTGGACGACGGAAGACTCCACGGCGGCGCTGTCTCATCTGGTCTCGATGTGAACTTGACGTTCTTCACTTATACGAATGAATGATTATACGAGCTAGCTACGTAATTTAGACTTTGGGAGGATATAATACACGTTGTGAGGGGTTGACTAGTGAGGGGTACGATGCATATAGCCTTATTTGTTGCAGATTCTGCAGAAAGCTTGACTAAACGAGCAGTGAGCTGAAAAAGCAATCAAGGAACATCAGTGCATGTCATCCAATGGGAAGATCGGGATATAAAATTAGACCACAACGGAAAGTTTCCTGGTGGATTAAGGTTGAAGTTACAGACATTGAAACTTTACAATAAATATAGATTATGTTTCCCCCACATCTGGGGAATACTGAACGGATAAATATGCTTATTCATGCCGTGCATTAGCGGTAATTCAGTATTGTATTTTGAGTTTACGCAATTGATTACACTATGGGTCTGTATTGTAAATCTCCACATTGTATTCCAGCGTTAATTTAGCGATACAGTACTGAAACGTAGCGTGGACGGTTCCCATCCGTTACCGGAAAGAACAACATGAATGCATGGTAGGTTCGAAGCATGCTTCAGCCAAAATTGAAATCTCGAGCTGATTCCCATGATTGAACCGTGAGAAGAGAGCGTCTCAATCAACATGTTCATTGCTAAAGTCCAGTATGACACTGCTGAGGAGATTCAGGACCTTCACAGCAGCCTTGTCACGACATTTCAGTCTGGAAAGACAAAGGATCTAGCTTGGCGAAAATGGCAGCTCAAACAACTATGGTGGATGCTCGAAGACAACGAGCAAGAATTTATGGCTGCCATGAAAGAAGATCTAAACCGGTCAAATATTGAGTCAATGATCACCGACTTTGCTGGAGCCCGAAAGGACATTTTGTACCACCTTGAGCATGTCGATAAGTGGGCAGCGGACGAGCGCTTGGGAGACACTTTTTTAGCAAAACAGCTACGTTTAGCACGAATACGGAAAGAGCCCCTGGGTGTTGTCCTTATCATCGGTGCTTGGAATTTCCCGTTATTACTCGTTCTTCAGCCGCTCATCGCAGCAATAACGGCTGGKTGCTGCGCAATTATCAAGCCTTCGGAGCTTATTCCAAGCAGCCAAGCTCTACTCAAGCGACTTATTCCAAAATATCTCGATCAAAGCGCCATTGGTGTTGTCTGTGGTGGTGTAGCGGAAACAACTTCGTTGCTCGAGCTCCAGTTCAATCATATCTTCTTCACAGGATCCGCAACTGTTGGTCGCATTGTGAGTGCTGCGGCTGCGAAGCATCTGACTCCAGTGACATTAGAGCTGGGTGGACAATGCCCGGCTATCATTTGCAAATCAGCAGACATTGATCGGGCTGCAAAGTGTGTAGCATTTTCCAAATTTCTCAATGCTGGTCAAATATGTCTATCAGTTAATCATGTGTTTGTTGATCCGTCCGTGTATGACAAGTTCACAGAGCGTCTCCAATATTGGATTCAAACTTTCTTGAACGGCCAATCGACTATTGACACTGCAATCGTGAACCAGAGTCATTTTCACCGTTTGTCATCTCTCATTCGCAATACTGGAGGCAGCATTTTGTGTGGTGGTAGCGGAGACCTTGAAACACGCAGAATGGAGCCAACTGTGGTATTTGGTCTCGATATGAATGGTAATAGCTCCTACTCATTATTACAATGGCTATTTCATGAATTAAATCCAATTCTTCTCGTACATATTGTTGAACTAACGATCTAATAGATGTCCTGCTGAAAGATGAGATCTTTGGACCAATCTGCCCAGTCATAAAAGCCGATTTCCGTAGTGCCTATACCGCAACTAAACAGTAAGTCCCCCGAATATGTTTGAACATAATCACCAATAACGACATAATAGAAAGGGCCACCCCTTGGCTATGTATATTTTCAGCAAAGATAGACGAGAAATCCACGAGAGTAAGTTGCTTTATCGGACCAAACGGATCAATCCATATTTGACTACTAACTCGGGGAAAATAGTTCTCGATAACACGAACAGTGGCGGTGTTACTGTCAATGACGTGATTCTACACGCTGGGTTCTCTGGTGCACCTTTCGGGGGTGTTGGATCCAGTGGCTTTGGATACTATCACGGTCGCTACGGATTTAACAGTTTCACCCATTTACGGACGGTTATGAACTCTCCAAGTTGGCTGGAACGGGCTTTGACATTCCGCTATCCTCCATTCACTGCAACGAAAACTCCAAAGAGCCTAAAGCTCAAAGCAAACTTTAAACGTGGAGAGAGTATTCAAGACCAACGGCGGACATTATCAAGTATCACAAGAAAAGGTCTCCACGTTGCAATAGCTGTTGCTGTTTCTGGCACGCTATACTATTACCTCTACAATTAGATAGTGACATGTGAAATATTCGATAATCAATGAATGTAATCTATTTCTCGGTTTGCAAATATACAGTTGAATTAGCACTTTGCAAAGAACGAGGCTGAATTGATCAAAGGGGGGTCGAAACATATGAACAATTGAAGCTCTCGGGATACATTCACAGCAGATAGTATAAATCCGGGATGACTACGTAGCTCAATATTCAGATGCTAGTAGGGTGGTTGTGTTGACTTATGGGAAAAAAAGGTCATCAGATCGACGAGCAGTGAAAGGTACTAGAAATTCATCTGCCAATCCGACTTTAATAATACAGCCACTATTACCAGGTACGACACAGCGTACTAAGTAAAGCATTACACAGTGAGTACAGGTATATTCATGCCATGTAATAAACGTATTCTGGAAAGATACAGCCCGCTATCTCTACCGACTATATTTTGGCTGATATACGATTATCCGATGCCTGTCAGCCTCCGCAAAAATAGCGAATGAGGGGTAAATAAGAGCTTATCGTCGTGTTGCCTCCGCTGTCGGACATGATATTGCGATACCGACCTGAATGACAAGAGGACTAATGCAGTAACGTACGATGATTGTAAGATTAACAAGTAATGTACGGCCTGTAAGAACTTGAGTAACGCGATCAAGTAGCTTAGACTGTTTTTATTCAAATAGTTTTTTCACTTAGTCATCAAAGCACTAACAAGAGCTTTCATTTAGGTGTAACTCTCTATATCATCTCCAACTGAGATGAATTTTGTAGCTAAGTAAGACTGCAAATTATGTCTCTGACCCCCACAACACCACGAACAAGATGATCGCAGATTACATTCCCCAGCCTTCCTTACTTCAAGGCACCCTGTTGGCTCTTGTTTTCACCATTATCGCTCGAATCGCATATCTCGAGATCAAGCACCGCGCGCTAAGTGATATCCCAGGTCCATGGATAGCTAGATACACCAATGCATGGCGGTGTTATTTGGCTTGGGTATACAGTGAGCGTCCAGGAGGTATTACATACCACGAGGTCATTCACAAAAAGTATGGAGATGTGGTTCGCGTGGGACCGCAAACCGTCTTTATCAATGATCCCGCGGGTATTCCAGTTGTTCTAGGATTCAAAGATAGACTCGAAAAGACCGACTCAGTCAATGCCTTTATGCAACCCGGAAAGCCTACATCCATTGTGGGCATTCGGAATGAGCAAAAACATGCCTCGTACCGTCGCCCGATTCAGGGCGCATATTCGCTGTCTAGTCTGAAGCTTTACGAGCCTGCAATTGATGACATGATCAACAAGTTGACCAGCATATTCGATGAAAAGGTTCAAAGCAAAACCGTCATTAATGTTACTGAATGGTGCCACTTTTGTGAGTTTTTGTGCTGATAGGAAAATAGCGACAACATTCAATTTCCACTAACAACATGAGTTTTGAAATAGTTGCATACGATACAATCATGAACATTACTTTCGGTGCTCCATTAGGCTTTCTCGATAATGCTAGAGATATGTATGATCTGATTGCGAATCAAGTGAAACACGTCGCCTATGTGCGAGTGGTATGATCTCCAAATCAAGCCAAGCACAACCATAACATGAGCTTACAGTTGATAGCTTACCCAATGGCCGGCCCTAGATTACGTTATACGCACAAACCCTATCGTCGTGGCATTCAAGAAGCACAAAGAATCCCCATTCTTTCGTTTCGCAGTTCAGCGTATTCGACAAGAGGTCGAAAAGCCCACACCTGATGAGGTCCCCAAACGAACGCTCTTGCAGCATTTTGTAGATGCAAAATCTAGGTACCCGGAGGTAGTTGACGATACTCAAATTCGTCTGTATTGTGCCACCAACTCCTTGGCTGGATCTCTTAGCCCATCACGCGTGCTTGACTGCGTTTTGTCTTGGCTAGCACAACATCCACGAGAGCAAGATCGTCTTTACGAGGAGGTCATGAGTAATACCAAGGAGTTTCCAGTTTCTCTGGAAGATACTGTCAACATGCCATACCTCGAAGGAGTCATCCGTGAAGGATACCGACTACATCATGGAGGAGACATTGCCATTGAACGCAAAGTAGGACCCAATGGTACCACTCTCCATGATGGACGCTTTATTCCAGGAGGCTACGATCTCGCCATGAGCAGTCCGTCTATTCGTGTTTGTTCAGCCTTTGGTGAAGAGCCTCACGTCTTCAGGCCCGAACGTTGGATGAGAGCAGAAGGGGAGAGTGAAGATGATTTCAAGGCTCGCCGAACCTATATGGACAAGGCAGATTTGACATTTAGCCAAGGATCAAGAGCTTGCATTGGAAAGAGTTTCACGCACTTAGAGCTTTTTAAGGTCGTTGCATCAGTCATGGGTCAATTTAAGGTATGTAAATCCACACCCATACGTTTGATATGACGAGCTAAGAAATTATATGTTTAAAGCTCGAACTTGCCGGCACACCGAAGCGATTCGTAGTTCCTGTTCAACTTTCTCGACGCTCTGATTCAAGCGATTTAGCTGTTTCTAATGATATTTATCCTGGTGATCGAACTGTAGCTGCCGCATCCCGTCTCCGTGCACAGCATAATGTATCAAAATCAGCGCTCGGCGGACTTGTATTCGCCCCGATCGACTTTAAACAACCGATGCTTCGAGTACTTGATTGTGGAACCGCTGACGGCTATTGGCTATATGACTTGTCAAAAGAACTCGATCCTTCATCTACACTCATTGGCACAGACATCGGCTCATTTCCATCGGACTCTTTCGCAAAGCCCAAAAACATGACACTCTCTATCCACTCGTATAAAGACTCATGGCCAGCCTCCTGGCAGAACTCGTTTGATCTAGTGCATATGCGATTCTGTGTTGCTGGACTAAAAGATCCCGAAGAGGCACGTATCGCTATTGACAGGCTGATCGGCCTCTTGAAGCCCGGTGGATGGATTCAACTAGTGGATAGTACATTGTCATCGGGTAAGATTCTTGCCAACGACAAACCCAGTACGATTCTTTTCAAATCTATGGCCCATATGCTCGAAAGCAAAGGTCAGGATACAAGTGCCGGATTGAGAATCAAACCACTACTCGAGAACTCCGGTAGGTTGTCGCACATTGACAGTAAAGAAGTTGTTGCAAAATTAGGCAAGGGCGCCGAGACCGAAGAGCTTAGCAAAGATGGCGTCTACAATTTGATGAAGATGGTCGACACATTGAAACCTAAACTAGAAGGTTCGTCGTGTAATTCCTGTCCCTTACTATCTACATCCACCGGACAGTTTCTAATAAAATTTACAGGTCTAAAAGACTGGCCAGTGACTCCGACAAAACTTGAGGAGCTAAGACCCCTAATCGTAGAGGAGGCAAACAGCACCGGCGCAAACAAGGCATATTACGCGGCTTGGGGGAAAAGAATGTCATAGAATTGTGTTCTTGTTGACTATTGAACATTAATTTCTGTCACTGATTGACCCAAATTAATACTGGAAATTTCATATTTAATTTTGGAATCTTCAGTATGTTTTTAGCAGATTATATACACATCATACATACCAAGCAATTGCCTCATATGGGAGATATACTCTTTAGAAAAGGCGCAATTGGAAAGTTTCAAGCAGTTCCCCGCTTTGAATTTCAATAAGTACTATTATTTAATGCGTTCTTCATCATCTAGTAAAGGCGCAATGCAGGGTCAGATACTTGAACGGACACAATGGAGCAAGGCTGACATAAGAAGCTCAGTAGTCATAGGGCGTTCATAATTGGCGGCGTCCCATTTTTTTAGAAGAAATTTTGGGGCGTATCTACACTACATCGTCTCTGTTGTACATACTTGATTGACCGTGCGTATCTACATCCAGTTGTTGGTAGAATGAAACAACCTCACTGGCTATGCATAGCCGCCGGAAGTGCACCACGTTGGTGAGGATATTGATCGACCGGTTAAGCAACGATAAGCAATCACCCATACAGCCACAAAACAGAAATTTATTATTTATTTTGAATGATACTTACGAGTAATCCCAGGTCAATAAGGCTTCTCTGGTGGTCAGGATCGATAGCTCTGCCTAAGAACAACCTCGTACACTGTGCCACATAAGAAAGCCATTATTCAAACTGCCGTGAAAGCAGAAGCAACATCGCGATAGGTAATCTCGTTCATTCCCTCATACGCCCTAGAGGTTTTGATACCTTCAAATAATGCATCCATCTTCGTACCAAAATCCCCGAACATTATCGAATCGACTACTTGATTGTCTTCTCAATGGATTTTTCAAGCTTCCCGATTCCAAGCGTCGATCTGGCGGGGCGGGGAGTGTCTACCAAAAATCGTGGAAATCATATCTAGCTCGGGAGATACCTGGTTGAATTTTTGCAGTGGCTCTCACGGCTAGGTTTCATACTTATCGCTAAATCTCATTGAGTTTTACTGACTAAATTAGATATTCTTGCCATTATCACTGCTTGGTGGATCACCTTCACCGTCGTCATGGCAATTGTCATGAGTCTTGGATTCAGACCGGCTGGAATCATAACCGATACATTCCTTCTTTGTTCATCGAATAAATCTGCTGATACTAATTTTCTACAGGTTCGCTCGTAGCTGCATTCCAATCTTTCATGTACGGCGGCTTTCCACCGGCTGGTGGAATTTTTGCTACATTAACAAGCATGGCAATGCTGGGTACTGTCATGATGTCACTTGTTTTATTTGCTTCATTAATTGCGACCAGGGTATTGATACTTGTATGAAAACTTAGGATTGGCAAATGAGGAATTGGATGTGAGGGTATCGTGGCAACTTTTGCGAGATGGAAGCTGTATTGTTTCTTTCAATGCCTATGTTGGATCTGCGTAGTAGATGTTAACTATTATATTTGTCGCCTTTCCAGGTCAAAGTCATCTTATATTGGTGGCAATCTCATTTCTAGCTATTCAACGCTAAGTAAATCCCTTCCCAATACGGCTCACATCTCTTCTTAGGAACACAAAGCTGTTTGGAGGCACAAATGGACATCTTACTCCATAGTATAGTATTAGAGTTCAAGCCGATCCAGGGATTTAATGCGGTAAGATCCGTAATGCTGATACTGAGCAAGTCGAGAAATCGGCAGCATTGGAAAACTTCTAGTTATCAGAAGTTAATGGAAGATATCTTCAAATCCTGGTAATAAGGGACCGGACTTACTTCAGCCAGCTGCTCGCGGCTGGATATAGAAGTCACAACCCGACGATTGAACAGAGGTAGACAGTATCATGATAGTGTTTAGTTGACTGCACTGGTTACATAGTACAGGTACCTATAATACGTTACAAATTTGACTGTTTCATCTAACACAGTTGACCAAATTTGAATACTTTCACAGAAGAAATGATGGAAGTCAAAAATGTATCCTATTTGTAGACAAAAAGTTGCATAGAAAGGCAAGGGTTCCAGTTTATCAAGCTGGGAACTTGGATGCTGTAGTCAGATGCTCACATCTTTCATGAATAAAGAAACGTGCCAACACTGTTAATGTGTTCTCATACAAACTACAATTAGTGAGATTTCCAGGAGCATGTGGATTCAAAGCAGGCGGGATGATGGGAACCCGTGTAATGTTGGGATTAGGTAGCTTGGTAGAAGTATAAGAGGTAGTTGATTTTAGATGGTCAGAATAGGTTTAAATATCCATCGCCTACCACTCTTATGCATTATGAAGTCCTGATCCACAAATTGGTGCTATTTGTGTCCACCTGTGGGTAAAGTAGAAGTCGTCGAGGGGTATCTTGAACTAAGGTGAAATGGCCGCACTTCGACATTGATTCGTCAGGGTGATGATTAATTTTTGTAAAAAATTAAAGAATATCATAGGTATATGTACCTCATACCATTGACTGCAATGTTTGTTGGATTGGGCTTGGGTGTCTTAACGTACTGGTTCTAGTGTTGTAGTACTGCTCCCTATCTTCACGGGAGCTGTGTCATCGAGCTATGACGAACAAATAATTAGTCTTTTCTTTCCACTATAGACTCATTTAGCGTTACCTCTATAGCAGAAGGATACTATCCTTTGCATGAGGCGAGCTTCCATCAACCAGCCTAAAGCATCTGATTCCAAGCTGGCAGCTGGGCTTTTGTCATGTGTGACAGCCCTAGTATGTCAACCCCGTGACCAGATACCATGGAGGCCTTGCGGCATATCTACTCAACTATTCCTGAAACCACTCATTGGCATATCCTCAAATTATGATGGCTAGTTTAAACAATAACTTTCCCGATTTCAACGAGAAATCTATGACGTACCTTACCCTAGGCTTTGATACTACCGAATAGGGCCTGATGGCGAGGAAGTATTGCTGGCGACTGGTCGGACGATCGAAGAATTTCGCAATCACCCCTCATCAACCCTTCGAAATTCCGCCAGGAAAGTACTTTCTGACATTAAGACTGGCCCACGAAGAGCCAGCTGAAGTGACAAATTCGGAGGGTGAAATGGAAGATCACTTCGACAAGACAATGTGGCACATTGAAACTTGCAGCATCATCAAGACACCTGAGGATTCCACGATTAGAATCTCGGTTATGTGCAATCCTCGCGACTCGATTGGGGCTCAGCTAACTTGCGATGTTACAACAACAAAGTTCGACCGCATGCAATTGGGAGAGATACTCTTCAAGAAAGGGAGAACTATGAGTTGATATTGGTGGGAAACGCTCATCTCTGCTTCTTGGATGAATAAAGGTCCTATGTTTGAACAGCTCACTGGAAACCTCAAGTACTATATTCGTGTGATATAGCGCTAAAACTGTGCATATTCACAAGGGGGATTTGGCGTTATACAATCTCTATGGTCAGCATAGGAACAATTGAGTCACTTACCGAGAACTCGAGCGCTTACATTGATCGAATTTCGGCGGCTCAATCTGGAAGTATGGTTTTATACAAATTGAATTATGCTCGCCGCTAAAACTCGGTTCTGTCGGCTACTTTTCTCTCGATGAAATGAGTCACTATGATTATCTGCGTCTCTACCATCTGATGTTGAAAGCTTAGCTTGAACACCTGGCCTGAACTCGTGTTACTATGCAAAGAATGTCAGGCCCACATGACAGGGACTTCCCTATTCGTTATAACGAAGCTGAATCAAGAATTAGTCACTGATTGGGGACTGATAACGGCTTCCTCATTGGTTATATCTCAGACTTGCATCATACACAATGTGATATTGCTATTGAAATTTGTGTAACAAGGCAAAGAAGCTACCATCTAATATCTTTCCGTCAGGCGAGGTTCCATTATTGATTTATCCTTGTCAGAAAGGCCCGGAGTTCACAATAGCTCCGCCCTCCCTGGGCCGTCCCATTAGAGGTTTAACTACCGCTTCACATCTCAATCTCCTTTTCCTAGCAAAAAGGTGTCTTCCCCTATCCTCATATTGGATTCTCGTTGATAGAGAACATAAATACTTTGAAATGAACTTGTAGTTGCTAGTTTTTGCATGCGTAATGCCAATCATGCCCTCAGATCAATTGGCAACTAGCGAAGCTCAGGTCGCCATTTTCGAGCGATGGGTAGCAAGATATTTTTATCAATACCTATCTCTAGTAATTCACGTGCGACCATGCGCTATAAACCCAGAGCAGATGTCAAAATTGCGCGTCGTACATGGACCCCAGTACCCATTTCCATAGTCGCTGATCTGGACGCTATGCCCAGGTGTTTTCGAGATAATGAAATCGTCCTATATAAGAGTGAAAAGTCGTATGCAAGCTTTGAGTCCTATATCTATTGAGATATTGTGACTTATGAGGTGCCGTCGTTAGTTTGTAGACTGGGATATGGTTGACATCGTCTGCTGCCGTTTCTTCTTGCCTATAGCAATATATCGAGAAGCATCAGATGATATGACTCAATGAAATACAATAATCTGTTCCATTCTTGTAAAGAGGTAAAAATATTGAGTTGTGGTCATTGATGATGACTGTGACTGTGATCGAAGACACTTCTTTTAAACTATAATAGAGCCTATCTTCTCACTTCATGTCCTTCCTGTCCAAACTTGAACATAAACTTTTCTGGCAGATTCCCCTTGCTCATTCTTGCTAATCAATATCTAATCATATTTTAAACAACCTCGCAACAAGATGTCCGATTCCGAAGCTATGAGCGTGGACTCCGGTGTTGCCAACTTTCGGTCATTCGTTGCCTTAGGCTTTCACAGCGCCGTTATTTACTCAGCTACCGGTGGAATTGAGAAAGAAATAGATTTGATCACTCATCACAAGGGAATAGAGCCCGAGAACCCTCTGAAGCTGCCACCAGGGTGTTACATAATAGCACTGCACATATTAGGAGAGAGACCAACATCCAAGACCAAGCCCGACGGTACAACAGTGGAAAGTTATGAACACGTGAAATGGCACTTCGATATAGAAAGCGAGTCCAAAAAAGCTATCACCGACTCAGTGAAAATTACAGCTGTTTTGAATTCTACCGACATGGATCCGTTAGATTCCGCGCCATCTTTCGCCGTTAAGCCATCAAATGATACTGTTATTGAGTTGGGAACGATCGATCTTTGGCGTGAGGAGAATTTGACCGTGATGCTTGTGGGTCAAATCCATCAAATATTTCTTTTTGGAGATGATCTCATGTTCAAGCCATTTAAAGGAAATCCCAAGTACTACATCCAGGTCACTTGCGATGACGAGTGAGGCCATTGGCGTCGCGTCTCGTATGACTAGCTGGTTTGATACCAGTTCAGTATACAACGACACCTCTGTGTTCGAAATATTGGACCTTGGGACCCTTCGATAGTATTAAATATCTAATAATATCCTAGACAATCAACTACATGATCCAAATATCTCAATTCAAAGCTAAATTCGATTTAAATTGCATATTATATCCAGAGTATCAAGGTATGGACCAAGCGTATATTTCTGTAAGTGAGTGTTCTATACGATCAGACACGAATACGACCACAAGTACGTGCTCAATGATTGTAGTCAGAGCTAAAGGAAACAAACCCCTGTTCTTAAGTTTTCTATTCCCTTCGATAGCGGTGAGTAAGAGCCCTTGTATAATATCCCCACTAGGAATGCGTAACTCTTGATCCCATCAATGAGTCTTCATGATTTGCTCGTTGCTCGGACGAGTCGGTAGTTTCTCAAGGTCATACGGTGACTGATTGATTGAAGTTAAGATAAATTTCTATATAAGTATCAATCGTAGTTGAGTCATTCGAAAATTGACAGTATTTGCAGGGTCTTTTCTATTTATAAAATGAAGCTTCCTCACGCTGTGTCGGTGATTCTATTTTCATCCACAAGTCCTCTGATAGTACGAACTATCTACCATAACATCTTCACATTTGTTAGAACACAACATGACTGACCAAAGCACCACAGACCAAAGCACCACAGCGGCTAGGAAGCCATACCTAGCATTGAGCTTTGCGCCTATCATATTCAGTGCTAGGGGTCGTACACGGTCGGTTTTCGGTTCTCCCATAGTGACCACAAAGAAAGCAGAAGAGGACCCCGACGAGCCTTTCAAAATCCCGCCAGGGAACTACTTTCTGACTCTGGAAGTTCTCAACGATGTTCCTGTACTGGACAATTCGCATAATTGTTGCTACCTTAATGCAAAGTGGCACATGGAACCTGGCAGCCCACCCTTCATAGTGGCACAAAAGAAACCCGTCGAAATCCATGTTGTTCAAAAACTTGAAGAGAATGGTATTGGCGACACCAAAATTTTCAAACCCCATCCGCTAGGATTATTTTCACTCGCCCTTGGTGAAATAGAGGTAAAGCGTGGGAGTTGGTCGTACATGTTGGTGGGTGATGTTCATCGCTGCTTCTGGCGTAAAGCTTCCGAACCTGATTGGCAATCTGATGTTCTGACTTACAAAAAACCTTCTCCAAATCCCGAGTATAAGATACTTGTGGAGTAAGTCACGGAAATTGTTTTCCCACAAACGAGAATTCGTGTCCTCTTCTCTCTGTTTTCTCTTCCTCTCAATTTGGTGTTTCACTATACGGCGTTAGGAGTTTGTCATTTGGTTCAAAAGTATAATCAAGCACCAACTCCCTGATAAATAAATTCAACATTTATATACCCCATCAGAAATAAGAATACTTACTCTCCTATAAGCACGCATGTAAGCGCGACCGTATCTCCATCTAGGAGCTCACCTATAGACTCGATCCTTGGAGACCGGGGATAGTCGATATGAATCTAGGTAGGCGAGCCACGGGGCGGATGTTGGTCTGGACGGACAGCTTTATAAGATTCACTCCGGGGTTGAAAGTGAACTGGAGAATGCTGAGAACCGGAGCTGTGGGGAGTTAATTCATATGCTTAGATGAGTGATATGGAAGGCCTTGCAGACAGGGCTTGATTTTCACTTGTACATAGATAGTTGCGAGACATTCGTAGTGACCTATGACTAATTGATCAAAAGAAAAAAGCTGATTATTCGTTTTAGGGTTTCACGTAAAGTAGTGTAACAGTATTGTGTGGCTGATTTTCACGTGTTGTATCATGGGTAGGTTATGATTCGATCGGTGGTGCGAAATGGAGAGGTAGTGCAGTTGAAAACTTGAGTGGGACGTTGTAATCCATGTCCATTAAGAGTAAGTGAGTGGATTTATCTGCTATGCCTGCCGCCATACCTCGGATAGCTGTACCTAAAGTAACGTTGTCACTGCTTAGCACTAGTTCGCTGCAGCCCTGTTTAAACTGCCGGTGCTATTTAACCCCTATTTTGTTGCTCTTTGCCAGAAGGTCATTACAGCAACTATCTAGTTTACTCTATACTATATATAGTACGACTTTCATATCGTGTTGGAAGTCTGGTAAATCTGTTAGGAGTGTAGAGAAGCCGGAAACCTCAATCTTCTATACAGGTAGGTAGGGATCTTGTCAGCAATCAGAGTATATATATCCATGGAAAAGTATATCTAACCGTGCAAGATTATCGTAAGGATAAATTTCCTTAACACAAGGAACTTTCTAATAGTGTCAAGATGTAAGCACTGCTCTAGGGTGCATGACTTGGGATTGTTCAAGAAGCGTGATAAGGTAGATATACAAAAATTTAAGTATGCAAGTCAAAGTCTTTAACATAATCAATAACAAATTCAAATGTTCGTAAACAAATTTACAAATTTACATTATGAACTTTGGATATACCCAGGTTAGTGGCTGAGAACCTGAGACGAGGCTTTCTATGCAAGATTGAGATTTGTCAGCAGCGCGAGACCCGCCTGCGATTTACCACACTGTCAGCTGAAATTCAACCTTCTTGATCATATAGCCAACTAACCTTACCTAATTATTCTTGTGATTGAACACAATATATTAACACTAAAATATTGGGCTAGTGGCGCTCAGAAAGTGGAAGTGAACGATGCTAGCTCTAGAATTCGTGAATATCAGCAATCCCAATGAGATCCGCAATCCACAAAACCAGATCGTGATCCGTCGAAGAGCAAGAAAGAGGGACATTACAAACAATCTACATGTTCGGAAATTATCACAGATTATTAGGGAATTGCCCGATTCAGGGACTAGACATGAGGATCTTGCAGAACAGACGGTATATTCGGGAGCACATAGCCCTCTACGATTCAACATAACGACATCTTATCCGGCAGGGCCATTCCCCGTGAAACTAAATTCTCGGGCTATACAAATAGTGACTTTTGGTAAGTAATTCTTCTCGTCCGAAAATACAATTCAACTACTGAACGTGGTTCAATTGTCAGTGATGCAAGGAGATGGAAGCTACTGCCCGCTAAAAGAGCTCTGGTGGAACATGGGCCTATTCGACTCCACGGCTTTCCTCATCACCCTAGCTAATGCATCTAGGATGATCGACCGATACACTCCTTGTGGAATCAATGAAACTCCTGAAGCGATCACTTATTACACGAAATCAGTACGATCCCTTCAGAGAAGAATAGACAGCCTCGAGGAACAGTTGAGCGAGGGTGTTATGATTGCGGTTCTTGAATTCGCGTACTATGATGTAAGTAAATGTCTCTGGCTAATTTTGGAACTTATGATCCTTCTGACTGTGACATGAAAGTTTGTCTCGCAAAATTTCGCACGATGGCTCATTCATATGAACGGTTTTCAGGCTATAATCGCTCGTCGAGGAGGTATTCAAACTCTGAGGTCATCTTATATGATTCGACTCCTCTGCTTTTGGTGAGTTACTATTTTTTGTTATTTTGCTGATTCCTAATTGTGTTACGCAGGATCGATGTTTCGGGCTCTTTCATATTCGATAGAAGACCATACTTTTCTCCGCCTCACCATCTTCTACACAACATAGAGCATACGTTACTGCCAAGTCCACTGCTTTCTAGGTATATCGATCACTTCTTGGGCCTCGCGGAAGTAATGATTTTCTTATCTGAAACAACGAACCTAACAACATTTATCGATACACATTTCAACAAGTCTCGAGTCATGGAAGATGACAGATTTTTGGGTAGGACCTTCAACATCTATGTTCACAAACTTCTGTCATTGCCGCGACTTGATGACCCCCAACAAGACGGGCTTTTTCCTCCACTTCTAATAGTTCAAGAAGCTGTACGTCGGGCAAGTATGATCTTGTTTGCCCTTCTAAGAGAGAGGTTTTCAATCATACCAAGCGGCATAAGTGAACACAAGAGCTTGCTAAAAGAACTTATTTTGCAACATGAAATCGACTGGGCTCCTTACTTGGAGTTACGCTTGTGGGCTTTAGCAATAGCAGCACTTGCCGCCGACGGCAGTGACTTTCAATGGTACATTGACGAAATATGCGGGACTGCAACTCAAATGGGACTTCTGGAGTGGGACGAAGTACAGGATATTCTGCGGCAAGTTCTCTGGATGGGGGAAACATTCAAGACTGAAGAGCACATAATTGGAGAGAGATTTTGCTTGGAAAATACCTTTTGACAAGCACGTATCTAAAATGAGCGCACGCTACCAGACAAACGGTTCCAGACCAAATGTGGCTCCTAGGTTACTGACAAAACATGTACAGTCCGTCCTTAAAGAGCTGTAAGACCACCACTAGCTGAGATATGCTGTGCTGTGATCCATCGCGCTTTCTCCGATACAATCAAGAGCACGCTGTCCCCAATATCTTCAATTGTACCAGCTCTATGAGCAGCCCTGGTCAGATCCAGCATTGAGTCTACTGCTATTTTTCGGAACTCTGGATCATCAGGGATGATATCCGTTTCGACGAAACCTGGGCCGATGGAGTTGACAGTGATGCCACGGCTTATGCCAAACTGTATGATAAATTAGCTTTCTCGCTCTCTAGAAAATCTAGCAGGGAGAGAACTGATATTACCTCCCCAGCCCATATAGCTGTCAAATAATCAAGAGCAGCCTTAGAAGTACCATATACATTATATGCCGCCAAAGGCATTTTAGCTGAGGTAGATGAAATGTTGATAATGCGACCACCGGCAGGCATATGCGGAACAACGGCTCGGACCATGAACATCGGACCGTAGAGGTTGACCTCAAATGTCTGTCTAATTTGTTCCGTCGTCAGGTCCGTGGTTGAGCCCACATGTGCGATTCCGGCGTTGTTAACTACATTAACTCGTCGATAAGTACCAAAAAACTTTGTTGATTATTCCAACGAGGTATATTACTTACCCAGAATATCGATGTGGTCCGTCGCGAAGGCTTTAAGAGTACCCTCGACAAGCGCCTTGGCTCCTTCTTCGTCAACCGAGGCTCTAATAACTGTAGCCTTGCCACCTGCATCTCGAATCTTCTGTGCAACTTTTTCAGCACGTGCTGTCGAAGACTCCGAGACGTAGTTAATTGTCACAGCGGCACCATTACGAGCCAAGGCAACAGCGATTCCAGCGCCGATGCCATTCTCGCGACCGGAGCCGGTAACAATAGCGACTTTCCCGGCGAGAGAGAGAGTATCAGCAGGCATGTCGATTGTATTTTTGATTCTCTCGGAAAGGCAAAATCGGAGGATTTGTTTGTAAAAGTGAGACTTTTGATAATATTCAAGTCCTTGATTTGAAACTTGCCTGTACAAGAGGTGATTGCTCGATATTTATATCCATTATTCTGCTTCTACGGCTATCCTGTTCACAGGGATAATCCTCCAATTTCTTCGCCCACGAATCCTCTTCGTCAGATTCTAAATCGAGATTTTCCTAAATCGGAAAGTCTAAGAAGCTTTTCAATCGAGGTGGGGCTATTCCACCAATCATCGCCTTCGGCTTTACCGGATCTCTCTACGCTAACCAAAAGTGGAATATCACAATCGACGTCGGAGGAAGTATGCAGGATTACTCGAAAAAGGGTCCGTCTGCTCGTATATACTGGCGAGGGATGCAGTGAAGAATTTTGATCCCTGGAATTGCGTTCCTCTGCTGAAAAAAGCATAGAAAGATAGTATAGGGGCCGTGTATATCACGAGTGATTCGTATTCAAATCAACATTCCGGTTCACTCTCCGGCCCCACGGAGATGACCGTCGCTATGTATGCCTCAATACGGGAGGTTGATTAGTAACTGCGTCTTAATAGCCCAAGGTATTGAATGTTTGGTGGCTGTAGTCAATTAATTTCTAGGTATCAATTTCATAATCGCGAGTTCTTTCTTAGGTCCAAATGAACCTTTTCTTTCCTCTGTCGTGTGGGGGATCTTCGGTTTCAGGAAAATATTAAGACATCATAATGTAACCAATATTCCCGCGTACCCAACAGCTCTATTTCACGTGGAAGTATTAATACTTAATCTAGAATTTTCTCGATCAAAATGACTGCCATTGATGCTCTTTACATGTTATCTATCTACTACTTCAGTGAGGCGATATAGCCCGGGCCGGATCATCACGATTCACCACCAATCTCTTTGCACGATGTCTTTAAGAGCTGCAATGTTTATTTATCAGGGTGTCTAGCCCGAAAAACAAAACAACAGGATACAAGTCTAGGGCTATAACCTAGTAAGTTAAGTAGATTCCGTGAAAACCACCCTCACTTACTTGTACGTATTGGACTATCATCATCCTACCCATCGGGTCGCTCATGAAGACTCGACCGAAAAGAGAAGTACTTTCAAGTCGTGAAATGCGTTCAATTTGAAAATAGACTCTCATTTTCCGGTCTATTTTATGTGGTGTTATCTATCTCACGATTCATACTCGACAAATCGGACTCTTCCGGACGAAATCTAACGGGGCCAGGGTTTTGTGACCAATGATCCGGGTTTTGTCTAGCAGCACTTTGTATACAATGTATATTACGATTCTGGATTGCTTCAAGTATGTTATTTACTATCGGGTTTTTCGCTTCATATATTTTGTATTGTTGGCATCGTGCGCGAGCTTTAACGTACATAAATACGAACGACGTAATGGATACCATCAGGCTTGCTTAGACTTTTCAAAACCATCCATGGATGCCTAGGTATATAATTACTCGCATCTTCTCCCGAAATTTTAATTCGTTATCGTCTATAAGCCCTCTTTATTATCGTGGTGTTATATCAGATTACTAACACTTTAGATTATCTTCAAACCGTCAAGCCAACACCATCGCGGGGGACAATGACGTGATGATTTAGGGCTACTGTTTATGCCGCAGATAAAACGTCCATTTCTTATCTTCGAATGCATTCTTACCAGCCCCAAATAAATACTCAAAATTCAAACCCGCAGGAAATAAGATCATAAATATGGTTCAACTACAAGACGATAATACCTTACACGTCGCCATCATCGGCGGAGGACCGGGTGGTCTTGCAACTGCTATTGCCTTGTCGGCTTTGTCAAACGTGCAAGTACACGTAACACTGTACGAAAAGGCACGTGAGTTGAGAGAGATTGGCGCCGGTCTGAATATTGGATATAATTCCTGGCGTTGTTTGGAACTCCTCGGTGCTCGTCATGAGGTCAATGGTCATTTGGTCGATGAAGTTCAGCAGCGGTATGAATACCACAATATACCCGATATATCGATCAAAGACCCGTGACTAATAAGAAGCATTTTTTTGGAATAGCAATGGTTTGGATGGAAATCTTCTTGCTAAGCGCGGTCCATCAAATTTACCGCTCAAGTACCAGTCACGACGAGTCAGGAGAACACGATTACAGAAAGCTCTGATCAATCAGGTCCCGGCTGGAATAATTCAGCTACGCAAGGAGTTACTTTCTATAGAGAACATACCTGAAGGCGGGGCAAATTTGTACTTCTCCGACGGAACGCAGGTAGTCGCTGACTTGGTAGTCGGAGGTGATGGGATTCGATCAGTAAGCACCAGCTTTGACGTTTAAGATGATCCCATCAACGCTGATGAAGAATAGGTCGTAAGGCAAACCGCCTTCCCTGAGCACACCATCAAATTCACCGGCACAACGATATGGCGCACTTTAGTACCTCTCTCATCTATCTCCCACATCCCCGACGTTCCGACTTGCACATCCTGGTGGCACGGTACAGCGGGCCATGTGTATTTTTCTCCGGTAGATGATCCATCGGAGATAGACCCAGAAAAACAAGATATCGAGATATCTTCACGGTTCCTCGTTGACCCCGAGACCGATAAGGTCAGGAGATGGAGCTGGGGTATCGACACGACGAATGAGCATGTTGAAGCGCATTTTACGGTATTCAATGCAACACATCCCATCAAAAAAAGAATTTGAAAGTTGATAAAATGGCATGTAGAATTACGATACCAGGGTGAAAGAAGCTCTCGCCAAAGTCCCAAAAGACTCGTGGAAGGAGTTTTCTGCCTTTGCAGGGCCACGTTTGAACGAACTACATGCATGGAACAAACTCGTCTTGATCGGTGATGCAAGTCATCCTTTGACTGGTATGTCTCTGAGACAATCTCTGAAATACGTACAAAGAAACTGATCCAAATGATAGGCGCGTTTGGCTCCGGCGCCGCATTTGCAATGGAGGATGGCTGGATTCTTGCGCAAAGTATTGAATATGTGTTCTCTGCTCTTGCGTCAAAGCAGTCATCATTCTCAAAGCAAGACGGCCTTCAGAAGGTGTTGAATATTTTTGACACGATTCGATCCCCTTACTATGCGCGCATGTAGGTTGAGTTCTGTACAGACTTTACTATAGGAAAATCATTAATAATTTGTTTCATCGCAGGTATCAACATCTGGATAACATGAAATCCAAATTCGCTAGCGTTGCAAATACTTTTGAAGGCAGGCTCCAAGCAAGAATTGCAGCGTTTAGCGAAGGAGGGCTTGATTGGATTTATCAGAATGATATTGAGCAGGTGTGGAAGGATTGGCTCCAGCAGAATGATAATTCCATTGCAGGTCAAGGAGACGCCTCATTCGTGAGTCCAAGCCTTTGAGAAGGTAGATATAGTTTGTATATAGCCTATAGAAGGTAGTGAATTCTAGATTACGCGAGTCATATTATCTCAGGTTATGCGTCCAGTTAGGTAAGTGAGTTTGGTACAAGGCCTAGTTAGTCCATCAACTACTTCATCATTACAGCGACAAAGCACTATCTTCACCTTTATGTTTCTGCTCCAATTTCTGTCCGGCAAGAAGGACAAGAGAAATAATCCATTCATTCATACGTACTAATTCCGACTCACTTGAATCCTACCTACAATACCAATCCTCCAAAATGTCATCTTTTTCCAGCTCGTCTAATGGATGCTACACATCAGGATATAGCAGCAGTTCCTCAAACACATCATTCAACTATCCTCAACCGAGATGCATTTCTCCTGACAACGTCGTGAAGGCCCCAACGGTATCCGCAAGACAGGGAATTCATTATAAGAGCTACGCTTACAGATCAACTTTGATAAACTCCCACGCCGTCCCAGCATCTACATCTCTCTCCACCACCAATTCACCATTATCAGCCGCCCTCATCGGTAGGAACGAGTCCCAATCCTTCACTAAAAGCAAATGTCCACCATTTGGATGTTGTCTCGTCACAAAATACTCCCACGATTTATGCCGTTCCGCTTGACAACGAAATCTCCAATGTTTTCCATTATCATTATGTCCAATCCATCGTCCAGACACTGCGTTCTTGAAACCGAGCCACATCTGTCCATTCTCGTGGCACTGCCAATGGGTATCTCGCTGACCAAAGTCGAAACCGCCAGAACTTTTCTCCTGTGAAAACATTCTTAGGTTCCCATCTCTGAGGCCGATGACGAGTTCCGTCTCGGGATCACGGATGATGTATGTTGATCCTTTCCAGGGGCCTATTTTCGCTGAAGTGCGCTGTGATGTAGAGTTCGCGTAGCTGGGTGGTGGAATATCACGGATTTCTGGTATACTGACAGTAGTATGTGTCGGTGTGTTGCACGGCTCGCCGTCTGAGGAGTAGGAGGACATTGTGAACCCTGAAAAACGATATCTAGGAGGACAGCAGAAATAATTGCTGTATTACTTGTTTAATTAGACATGCGTGAGAGAATACTGATAGAGAAAGAACATTTATCTTGGCTGGAAGCAACATTTGTAGGACATGTCCTGCTTCCCCACCCGCGCTAGTCACATGTGGAAGGCAGTGCTCGAGAGACAAAGACAGGGATCTTCTGTTGACAATGTTCACTGGTATATTTCTAAATCTTTTCCTGCAGCTGGGATCATGTACCGAACGTGACATATGCCAGATTCCGCATAATAAGATCCGAAAGGATTAGGGCCTGTCTCTACGAATTGAGACTCATTTATCACCCTACTCACCCATTTCCTTGGATATTTGTCTATTTTGTCGTACTCACCACCAGATTTTGAAAATCTGTTCCCCAAATGTTAAGTAATAAGAGTTGCCCGAATCATTGACGTACATGTATTCGCACTTCAATGTCAGAACATTTCATGGAGTGATCAAACACCATACTTGCATTTGACCGATGCCCTGAACACTAGTCCAAATGAAAGATATGTGCTTTCGAGCTACATGTAAAGGGTATGCGTCCCCAGTGAAGTACAAATAATTGAATGTAATAGTCGATCCTGAACTTGCTGGATCTAATCAACATAGCAAAATGAAAATCGGTATGCATGGTAAGACTATTTAGAATAGACTGAAGCATGGAAAATAGATGTTCTTTGTGAAATTCTAGTCTTTAGATGGTTAACAAGTTAGGGTTACCTATACATCTATATTTCCATGGATGCGTCAACATTAAGCTTCGTATCTGACAACAACTTCACCATTACAGCGACATCAGACTTTTAGCTGTTCCCAAATACAGAGTCAAAAGGACGAGGATACCTAAAAGATACATTCATCTAAATTGACCAAATCAAGTAATCCAATATGTTAATGCCCGAATCAATCCGAGTTACGATCTCTTCACTCCAACAATGAACACACAACACTCGCAATCTTCAAACTAACAACACTCCCTTCTGAAGACAGCAAAAGGTTCAAATTACCATACAATACAAATGATGACCAAGGGGACAATCTCTCCCTAAACTATTCTCTACCAAAATAGACTTCACCGACAAACTACTTACCAAACCCACAACACCAGCACCGCAGTATATAAGCTGTCGGTAAATGATCATTGTGGTTACTTGGCTAGGAGGGCTGATGGTCAGGCTTTGGTCGCTGAAAGGGATATAACCGCTGGGACAACGTCAGGGTATATTAGAATCAATTGAGCATTATGGACTGTGCTTTATTCGTTACTTTTGAGTGGAATGTGAATATAGCTTTTGAGATTACTGTAACAAACGGATATTCCTTTATCGCTTAACGTTATATCGGGCTATCTGTTGCTTATATAAATACGCAGAGTGATCCAGATTATTACTGGTAAGGCGGGTTATAATGTCGGAGTGCTCCACACCCATAGATCAATCCGAACCTCAAGATATCAGACTTAGACGTTGGAAGGACTTCAATTCAGTATAGTTAGCTTCAACTGCTACATAAATTCCGTGAATCTTTCTAATTCTTCAACACGTCCCGTCCCATCGACCTCAACCTATAGCGACAAATTTGCACAAGCAAAAGCCGGCGTTGTCGAACCCGAGTAATCAGCAATAATAGCCTCAACCGCCGCATAAAGACCCGGTCCCAACAGGAACAGACCCACAATCATGACAAACACATGAATCAGCGTCATCACCGTTCTACCAGCACCAGCAAACAGCTTGTTGCGGTACAACTGCCAGTACGCGACGGCAAAAAAGATGAATCCAAAGAACGAGTCAAACGCGGCACCGAGTAGGGACAGGAAATCACCCATACTGGGGACAACCTCGGAGAAGATGAAGGCCAGGATCCAGATAAAGGCCATAACCAAGACCCATGCACCCCAGCCGATAACGGTGTTGCTGTGGGCGTGATGAGAGGAGCCCATCACCTTGTAGTAGATGAATTTCGCAGAGACGTTGGCATAGATGGCTCCGATGATGAGAGTCGGGACAATGACGAATGCGAAAGAGGCCTTTTTGTATGCAACGACACCCAGACTTCCGAATGCAGGTGCCGTGGCGTATTGACCCAGGTATCTAAATCCGATAGAAGGCGGAATAATGAATAGTATGACCGAAATACCGGCTAAAACGGCGAGGGACTTGGGGAAGTCCTGGGGCTTTTCCATCTCAGTAAATCAAAATGTTAGCATTAGAATCCCAAAACTATTGTAGAAAGGGACCACGGATCTTATGAATGTTGGGAAAAGTATTTGAGGCACCCATAAAAAGGTAATATTCAATACAGCATTCATGCAGGCAACCCAGGTTGTGCCCTCGAGAGGAAATGCGTATGTGTGGACAGGTCCGTCGGTGGGATAGTTTCCGTTGTAGCCGTAGAGGGGGGCATCTTCGATACCCGCGAAAATGAGGAAGAGGAGAATGGCCAATCCCATGCAGGCAGCTAAAAATTTAATTAATATTGAATTGGAAGCAATAAGGGATGGCTTACAAGAAAACATGGACATGAACGAGACGTGGCGCAAAGTTCGCGGCAACGATAGCACAATACCCATCAACATTGCGATAACGGAGAAAACGACCGTGCACTGCGAATGATCCGAGAGCGTGTTGAGAATCTTAGCGCCAGTTAAGACGTGGAAACCGATGAGCAAAATGTTATTCGCTAGCAACATGAACGCAGTGAATGCGTAGGCTATCTTGCTCTGTCCAAAGGCGTAGTATCCGAAGTCACCTGGATTCGTCAGTTGTGCACACCTCGAATGTGGAAGTTTACATACAGATATCACGGATCTGAGGGTGTTTCATAATGAATTTGTGCATGGTAATCGAGGTGATCCAAAATAGCGCTCCGGAGAGCAACATGGTTATGATTCCGGGAACCCATCCCAAGACCCTGAACGAATTCTTATCAGCACTAGAATCTGCAATTGATGGGGCTCATACTTACGACAAAGACCACGATTGCGACATGATCGCCAAACACACCTGGTCGCCTGCCAGCAACCAAGCGGCCTTTTGCCACGACATAGTCCTCAGCTTGATTTCATGCTTGTGGTCTTCGACCACCAGGGCCGTGATGGCTTCGATGGTGCTGGTTCCATCGGAATCCTGCGTCTCATCGAACCTGGGCTTCTTGTCCTCGGACTCTGGTATTTGCGACATGGCTGCAACAACAACGACAACAACTGTTTTCGTGTATAACGTCGATCGCTACCTAAATTAATTGCAGGATGTAAGATGCAAGATCATTCAGGGAAAAAAAGCAGAGAAAAAAATAGAAAAAAGGAAGAAATCTAGACCCTGTCAGCGATTCATGGAATATGTCGACTAACTAGCCAATTTTCTTTATCGCCAACCTCGCTGATAGGCATGTTTATGGCGTGATTAGCTGGATTATGATGCTATTTCCAAATACATCCTAGCGTGTGGATATACAGTCTATTATTGGCGGGCTGGAAGCGTGGCAGATAAGGTTATTGCAACCCGGACGGGCTGCCTGCGTATTCAGGCAGGAATAGGCGAGTGGAGCCATTTCTCACCAATCACATCGACATAGCACACTTCCAGATGCGCAGGGATCGCGGCGCGAAGGAACAAGTCAGCGTGACTAGACCATCGTAGTTCTAGACGACGGCGACTCCGATCCGTCGTCGTCCTCTGGATTGCTAAGTCAAATGTACGAATCATGAACACCCCGATTATACATGTGTCGATTACTCTGTGAAATCCTCAACATGTTGACATTTTCTAAGGCGTGATCGTTCCTCGGAGTCTCCTGGCTGTGTAACCAATCATCGCGCCGTTGACGGGCCCGTTCCATGGCTGAATCCTTCGCTAACCTGATATGGTAAGGCCGACAGCCAGGAACCCCCGCAAGGCTCCACGCCTTGACGCCTGAGGCTTCAAGGCACCAACTCAATCGCATTTCTTTTCCGTGGTTCACTCTGTCCATACCAGACTGCCATCATTCAGCCCTAAAGTCACCACCGTCGCACTGTGTTCCATGACACCACGCATGCCTCGTGTAACTATCTGATCATGTCACATATTCGATGACAAACATTCGTGAAGGAGGTATCCAAGAATAATCCAGAGCTGACCAGTCTTAGGACTCTCGCCATCTTGTACTGATCACATACCAGCATTGCACAGTCGTACCTACCTATGTAGGTATCTAGATAGTTTCAAGAACTGAGTCATAGTCATATCCGAAACATTTTTATAGCTAGGTGACTATTGAACCAAGGTTGAGCAATGATTAAATATGAATATATGCCTGTAAATGCGGGAAGGGAAAACAATCGGAAATGGCAAACGGGTAACCTCCAATCGGTACATGTAAGTATGGAGCAGAACTCCCATATGAAACATTGTCTTTGTAAGGGTAGTCCCATCCCAGGTATGAAGTAGAAAATTAATATTAATAAATCGCTATCGCCTATTGAAGTATCGTGATTAAGGATGATAGAGGCTTGGACATAAGGTTAGATAGCCTACCAATCTGGGAAATCCTACGCGTATTATCCTCAATTATTCTCAATTCGGTAATTAGCTCTACGATATTCGCAATCCTTTAAACGTTGAATTCTAACATATCTTCCCAGTCTGTAAGCAAATACTCCACTATGCGTCTTATCAGCCGCCAATCTCGCCATCCAAGAAGCCTCTTCCGCCATTGATCTACCCCACCACCATCAAATAGCTCCATCAACACAAGCAATCACCTGTCGATAATAAAAAATTTTCTTCTGAAAACTCCTCAACTGCCGGTAGTTTAAAGCCTAATAAAGACTTTCACGGCTGAACGGCATAGCGTATACCAGCCACGAGCTTGCATCATCTGCGCTTTGAGGAGAGTATTTGATAGATGTCTCTCGCCAACTGCGGCAACTTTAAAAAACATTTAACTCGACAACCACAAAAAGCAATTGTGCTGGACAACGTCTGAAGGAGAATGGCATTCGCCGACAGCAAAACAGCCCGCTGGCTCTGGGGCAACAACGCCAACGACCGCCAGCTCCTCGCAAGACTCGACATCACTCTCTTGCCATATTTCTCGCTAATATGGTTCCTGTTTGGCGTGACTCGCGCCAGTTATTCGTCGGCCTACGTTAGTGGCATGCAAGAAGCCTTGAACTTTCAGGGTAAAGATTACAATTACATGAACACGGCGTATCTTGTGGTCTATGCCGTGTGCCAGATGCCAGGGACGAGTCTGTTGACGGTTGCGAGACCGAAATATGTCTTTGTGGCGGCCAATGTGGTCTGGAGTGTGTTGACGTTGATCACCTACAAGACGACGGCAGCATGGCAGGTTATTCTTTTGAACGCGATTGAGGGTGGATTTTCGGCTATTGCTTAGTATGTCGACTCCGTACTCTCTAGTATACGAGAGCAAAAGACTAATGGGTGTAGTGTCGGCGCGCAATTCGTTCTTGGATCATGGTACAAGAAAAATGAACTGGGAACGCGAGCTGCGGTGTTCTGTGTCTTTGGTCAGCTAGGTTCTATGGCCGGCGGCTGGATCCAAGCTGGACTGTTGCAGACATTGTCAGGAAAGAGTGGCCTTCCAGCGTGGAAGTGGATTTTCATCATTGTTTCGGTCATGACTATCCCGGTTGCTTTGTTTGGTAAGACTTCCACTCATGATGTAGAATTTTAGTTGCTGATTGTGACAGGATGGGTGTTTATTCCCGACCTTCCCATTCACAAAGCTGCGTGGTACCTGACCGCCGAGCAGAAGGAATATGCAGTTTCAAGACTCGGTGCTAGTCGCAAGGAGACTTGGGATTTGACCGTGTTCAAGCGCATCTTTCTGAGCTGGCAATTTTACCTGCTCCCGTTCCTCTTCATGCGTAAGTTGATCTCCTGATGAACCGAATGTCAACTCTAACAGCTATTAGTATACTCACTATGCGTGCAAATGCTCCAAAACAACGTCATGCCCTTATGGATGGAGGCGCGCGGCTACACCGTCATCCAGTACAACAACTACCCCACAGGAATATATGCTACCGCCATCCTCGGAACAGTCGTCTATGCCGTCATATCCGACAGAATCAAATCCCGCTGGGAAGTCTCCGTCGCAATCGGCCTCACCTTCATCATCGGTTCGGCCATTCTCGTCGGCACTGATGTCGACAACGATGTTGCTCATTTCGTCTCGTTTTATCTACTGGGTACAACATTTGCGCCTCAGGCAGTTTGGTATTCGTGGATGGCCGATTTGACGAGTCACGATGTCCAGCTGCGAGCGATCACGACGGGATTTATGAATTCGTTCGATTTCGCATTCGTCACGTGGTGGCCGTTGATCTTTTATCCTGTGACAGATGCGCCGGATTATCACAAGGGTTATATTGCCAGTCTCGTAACGGGTGCGTTGACGTTGCCGTTTATTGCTATCGTCACGTATCTGGAGAAGCGCGACACAGCAAGAGGGTTGATCGGTAGGGTTCAGGAGGATACCAGCAGCGGTAGTAGTCAGGATGAAGAGCAGAATGCTGGAGGACCCAAGGATATTGATAGTAGGGTCAATGTTCGATCGGCGGAAGTTGGAGTCTGAGGAGGAGTATGTAGAATTTCATCAGTAGATTTACGATGAAATACAGATGAATGAAATGAAGCTGCAACGAAGAGAGTGGGGGTAAATATAGAAAGTGGTCAATCATATTACCTTCAGGTCAACAACCATTCCATAGTAGGCCTAGCGCTAGTGATAACAATAGTGATAATTACTTGTGAGAGAAAGGACCAAAAGCCGTCAACAATTTGCTCTTGTTCTTCGACAGTTTTTTCTCTGGACGATGTGATCGGTCGGACTTGCAAATACTGCATTCCGCGTTTGGAAAAAACCAATCTGATTTTCGAGGTCGTGTAAGAGACGTCATATTCCTTCGGCCTTGGACGTCAACTAATAGACCCTGCGGTGATGATTGCTGGTGGCTCAAAGGGTCTAGGTCGCGAACTGGCATTGTAATGGACAGCGCACGGTAGGATGGTTAGGAGAGAATCTGAAATCATTGTGCTACATAATGACTTGGAAGGTGGTCCTCTAATTGACAAGAATACATTGATCAATTATTTTACATCTTGTATGAGGATTGGTATTCGGATGGTCGTTGGTGACTAACTCTTTCACTGTATACACGTTTTTGGCCCGTAGCTTCCGTAAAACATGCATACCAACCGCTTCGTGTGGTGTCCAGGCATATTGGCCCTTTCCAGACAAGGCTTCCAAGCACTGCGAGAAACCCTCAGCAGAGCGAAGAGGCATTGCTCTTGAGAAGGACAGCATCATCAAAACGAGAAATTTTTAAGCAGACAATACGGCGAGCCTTGGTCTTTCGACAGATATTCGGGAAATGCTGAAGTCGGGAGAATTGCTATCGGTAACTTGATGTCAAATCCGACATCCAGAGACCGCTCGGGTGGTTGCTCTACTTCTCCCATGACTTTTTTTCTGTCCACGGGGTACGTAAAATCAAATCCGCAAAATTAATTGTTTATATGAAGCTTACCACGATGAAAATAATCTAGGATATACGCCGCTCGGATCCACGGAGATGGCCAGCATGATCCGAAGCATCCAAGCATCCAGTACTATTCTGAGGGCCCATGGTGCCATTGGTCCGTTATCCCACGACTGAGTCGGTACGAGATGCACTCGGCGCCTATGCAGGGGGTATTTTCATGTCATATATCCAGAATTGAGACCAGGCGGAAGAGCTCGTTCGGCTCGTTCGATTTCCACCCGGGGGTGACGAAAGTGTGCCGCCGCATGCGCTTCTAGTCCCATAGCATGACAGCCTTCAGTTCCAACAGAGTCCATGCGTCATCCAGCAATCGTAAAAGCTATAAGTAATAATCAGGGAGCGGCTGAGTGAATGGGCTGCCCATTCTGGGGTATCTCGTCTCTGGCGCTTTGGAGTTTCTTGAGGACCGAGTCAAATTGGGCATACAAGCTTTTCTGTGTAGACGAGATATTACTAGGATCTTTGTGCGTGGTGATCAAGGTCTAGAAGCATGCAAGACGAAGGCGGTCTCAGCATCCACAAGGAACAAAGATGGAATGTCGCATTAGCTGTATGATACTTTGAGAATTGAAATTGAAGGAGACATAGTACGTATATAAGACCACCACCCTCTCCAAACACCCATACTTATGCTAATTTTTTGTCTATAACTTATTTCTTTTTTACGGTAGATACTAGTATACATTATTGTCAATTGTATAACATGGCCTCGGAGAAATATATTGTCTACGGATACGAGGTACTTTCCCAATAACCACGAGACATCATTGGAGGGAAGCTAATAAATTACTGAGGAAAAGCGTAACCCCCGAACTCGGGTGGTCAGGATTGTGGTTAGTACCTCTACTCTGTTGGCAACTGTTGCCACAGCAAATGGCTGACTTTTTCACAAGGCCGAACTTCAAGGAATTCCAATGAATTTGGTAGAAGTTCAGCCCCGGCGCAACATTAGACGAGAAGAATACGTATCCAAGTTCCCTCTTAGTCAAGGCAAGATTCCTGGGCTCGAGGGTCCGAAGATTAGTCTGACAGAGACAATTGCGATAAGCCTCGTATGTTTTGAACCAAGTTGAAAATATCAACTCAGGTGCTAACTTCGCTTATGACAGTATCTTGCAAGACTTTCAAACACCGCGCATTTACTAGGTGATGGGTCTCTCGAACAGGAAGCTCAGGTCATTTCTTACGTGAGCTGGGCAAATGAGGAGCTCTTAAACATCTTGGCCAAGTGGTATGATCGGTTCCCTCCAATTGTTCTCCTGTCCATAGTTGGCATATTGACTAATTATAGGTATCTTCCGTTGATCCCGAACTTCGCTAATCCTCCACCGTATGACCGGGAGGCTGTCGAATTAGGCAAGAAGCAATCTCTTGCCCTGTTGAATAAAGTCGAAGAACAGATAGGGCCCAAGGCATATCTGGTGGGTAACAGTCTTACGCTAGCGGATATATTTCTAGCTATATTCATCTCTCGGGGTCTCGAGTGGGTCTTGGGTGCTGAATGGCGAGAAAGACATCCCAACATTATGCGATATTTCTTAAGATTTGCTGATATGCCAGAGGTGAAGGAAGTAGTACCTCATTTCATACTCATCGACAAGGAGACTGCGAATGAGGACCCTTACGCCAAAAAATAATTGCGTTAATAAGAGGTGGATGTTACTATGTTTAGTCATCTATCAGTCTTAGTATAATCTATTGTATTGTCATTCTTCAGGCCTAAAATATGCTCAGATATGCTTGCGAATACGGGGGTCATTGAAAAGTACGCATATTTATGCTCGGACTCCCTGTGTGGTGGGCCGAACATGTGGCGACGGTGCAGCGGGAGCAACCTTGTTATCCCGAGGTCCCATTGAGCCTACATTTCGGACGACCGCTCATGTGGCCGGGACGGAAGCCAACTGTCTGAGTGATTCTCTGACCTGATCATGATCTTCTGCAGACAGATGTAAGCAGCAGCTGAACTGGAGAGCGGCAATCCCACTAGACGTTGATATCAACACCACGAAAGACGTTTGGATAATTGTCTGTAAGAGGGAGAGATCCCTGCATTAGTCTACTGCAGATAATGTCTCACAGAGCATCGTGGTGTTTACCCCATTCTTTATTTGACGTGTGTATTGTCGGCACAGAATTCTCTTTCCAGGGCTGATAGTGGCTTTTCAAAAAGCACGCTCCCTTATGACGGACCCCTGTTGCACCAACGGCCTGCGTAAAGATGATTCTTGGGGGACGTCAGCTCGTATAACTGTTACTTGGTCAAACGATATCTAAGCCTTGCATGCATACCTTCGACTCCGGATTGCTCTACTGTTGATGCCGAGAAACAGACTTTCATATGCTTCATAGAGTCCCGCTGGCCAACAAAGGGGGGATATGCATGCTACCATGTTGAATCACATAGCAACTTCTCTCTGACCTACAGATTTTCCTTATACTTTTAGTTGGATTTGAGGACTCTTCTTATCTTATAAATTATTTTCCACTGCTTGACAAGCGGCTGAGAATGTACATATTTAATGGTTGTTGCTAGCTCATCATCTATAAGCGAACGATTATATTCGCCGCTTCGCCTTTCATGGTCAAACATATTATAGATGGAGTCTTTCAGCAAATTCAGGGAGCGGTCTCTTCAGCATTCTTCTGAAACGGCGCATCCTCCTTGTACACATCGTATTTGTATTTCGATCCAACATGGTCATCCCTCAACTTACTCTGACCTTGTCCATAAATCTTTTCTCGTGCGGTCAGACCGGAGACATCTTCTCTCTTTTCCGGGTACAACCCTCTTTTCCGCAACTCTGGTATCAGCAAATCGACCACATCCTCGAATGTACCAGGAGTAGTGACATAGCCGACATTGAATCCGTCGAGATCGGCTTCTTGAACCCATTTTTCAAGAACATCGGCAACTTGAGAGGGTGTCCCCACAGGAACAGGCCCTAAACCACCAATAGCAGCCGCCTCGGCAATAATTCGAGGGGTGAGAGAGGGCAATTCTGGGGTTCGCGCAGTCAACGTCTCGGAAATGGAGTGCACTTTGTGCTTTTCAAGAGAGTGCTTCTCGGGGTCAATCTCCTCGTCGATTGGTACCTTTGAGATGTCGATACCTGTCCAACCTGAGAAGAGAACCAAACCTCCAATCGTGGAGGCATATTTCTTTGCTTCTTCAAATTTTGCTCTTGCTTCTTCCTCGGTGCGACCAATGATAGGTGTCACAGTACTAAAGAATTTGAGTGATTGCGGGTCTCGGCCGGCTTCTTGAGCCAACTTGCGAATATTTGCTACACGTGGTTTCAGCACTGATGGGCTGTGACCAGAGACGAAAATTGCTTCGGCGTGGGTGGCTCCGAATTTTGAACCAGCTCTGTTGGCTTGTCAGTCGTTGAATCATTCCTTCTGTCAGCATTCAAGGCACTTACGGAGAAGTACCCGCTTGGAACAACAACGGAGTGCGCTGAGGGCTGGGGTCGACAATATGTCTGCTTTCTAAATGATAAAATTCCCCTTCGTGCTTGATAGTGCGCACTTTGTCAGGGTCTGCATAGATATCGTTTTCGACATCCTTCACAATAGCATCTTCGGCCCAGGAACCTTCCCACAACCTAGCATTATGTTAGCACAAATCGTAATAAGATACGACGACAAGGCTGCCAGTATGAAACCTACTTATATAAAACTCTCAAATACTCATCCGCTTGAGCGTAGCGGAGATCGTGATCGGTGGGTTCATCCAAACCAATGGCTTTGAAAGCTCCTTTCTTCCAGCCTGTCACAATATTCCATCCAAACCGACCTCCTGTTAAATGATCTAGGGTCGAGAATCGCTTGGCAAGCAGGAACGGTGGCTCAAACGAGGTTGAAGCAGTGATGGCGAATGAGAGGTTTTTTGTCACGGCAGCCATGGCAGTGATCGGCTAGACAAAAAACAAATTGTTAGTCCAGTTGAACAATGATATACTATAATTTTAAAGACATACAATAGACGGGTCAGTCATTGGCCATTGCGCTGCGCGCCGGATACAATTGTCTAGAGAGCCCTCATACGTATCATAGCCGCCATAAGTATCAGCCAAAAACAGGGCATTGATATCACCGCGCTCTAGCAATTTTGCAAGATTGACCCAATAATCGAGGGAGCGCTTAGTCGCTGATTTATCTGCTGGATTCTATATCACGTTAAAATTGTTAGTAGTTTGTGAAGATTTAGTAAATTTGGATATCATTTACCTTCCATTGACCGGGCGACAAATGTCCTACCGTGGACATGTCAAATGCATTCAAAAGGATGTGCTTTTTGGGAGCGCCATCGCTAGAATTATTTTCGGCCATGATTGATATCTATAGAATTTTAAGCAGACAGCAAATTATTGTCGTGTGATTTATTTTCCGCGGGTGTCATAGATTCAAATGTTAAATGCATCTACTGTTTAGGATCGTCGTGGATGACAATGTATATATAATCAGTCCTCGGCCATCGCTCCGATCCATGGAGGGGTTCTTTCCATCTTATTCCCTATTTAAGTAATTCCCATCGCAACTTCGCCTATCAGTAATATGTAAATCGCGAGACTTTGGCGTTATAATGTGAATTGTTTAGTATGTTGGCATCATCACGCCATTCTTAGCCTGTTGACGTGCAGAGAGCCCGTGTGGGATGTTGGGCGAGACTCGGCAAGATTATTAAGGCCATTATCGATTGAGCAAGTTAAGTATCCAGAAACAAAGATAGCACATCATCGCATCCACTCATCGCATCAAGTGAATACGAGTGGTACCTTTTGGACTCGGAACGTGCCATCGTTATCGGAACAGGGCCCGCTAGTGCTGTCTGATCAGTTAAGCGAGTACAAAAGCTGCCATGCGGCGCAGAAAATCTACTGTTTTTTGTAGGTTTGATTGTTGAAATAGCGCATATTGCTCGCAATGGCGGAAAAAGAATCCAAGGTCGATGATTACAACGTTGTTGAGGAGGCGGCAGACAGCCCCGTCTCTCTCAGTAACCCTGATATCGGAGAAGGACGTGACGGACCATGGATCAGATTTCTCACGTGGTTGAAATGGTATCCCAAGAATATGCCACACTTAGAGAAGAAATTGATCTTGAAACTGGATTTGTTGATTCTAGTGTTTGGTTGTCTGTCATTCTTCACCAAGTACTTGGATCAGCAAGCTATTACCAATGCATACGTCTCGTGAGTAACCATACTTCCCATGATATTCATCCTTCTAACGTAGGCGGGTTATAGAGGAATGAAAGAAGATTTGCATCTACAAGGAAACCAGATCAACTACATCACCGCCGTCTTCTGGGCATCATACTGCACTTCCATGATCCCGGCTTGTTATCTACTGACTCGGACCCGAATCAACATCGCTCTTCCAACACTTGAAGTTGGCTGGGGCCTGTTTACATTTGGATGTGCCTGGGCGCAAAACTTGAAAACAATATATGCAATGCGCTTCTTCGTGGGCATTTGTGAATCGTGCTCCTTTACCGGTGTCATCTATGTGATTGGTTCATGGTACAAGCCTACCGAGATCACGCGACGAGTCGCCTTTTTCTTTATCGCGTCGCCTCTTGGGACTATGTTTGCGGGTTATTTACAGGCTGCTGTATACACCAATTTGGACAACAGTCATGGATTGGAAGGGTGGAGGTAAGTCCATATCCTCAAGTCATAACTAGCTCTGAGTGAAGGGCCTATTGCTAACGAGTGTCTCCAGGTGGCTATTCATTGTTTGCACAGTCATTACACTGCCAATTTGCATCTTGTAGGTCCAATAAAAACCTCACACTTCATATGAATTTCATCTGACTCATTCTCAGAGGCTTCATCGCATTCCCAGACGTCCCTCACCGCAAAAAGCCACGCTTCCTTTCCGAAGCCGAATTCACACTTGCCAGTACTCGTCTTAAGGGTCTAGTGGCCCCTAGTGAGTTAAAAGTATCGCGTTCCCTCATCAAGCGAGTACTTGGACGCTGGCATTGGTACGTCTTTGTAATGCACTGGATACTTATGGACCAAAACTTCGCGCCCTCGGGGACTCCGTTCAGTCTCTACCTCAAATCAAAGTCCAACATCTACTCGGTCACTCGCATAAATACTTTACCGACGATTGCCACTGCAATTTCTGTCGTAGCTGCAATTACGGCCGGCATTGTAGCTGATCGAAAGCGAAACTGGTGGCTACCTTCTGTCGTGGTCACTATCCCGGTTTTGATTGGTGTGATTTTGCTTGTTGTATATGATGTTGGGGAGTCTGGTCGACTAGCTGGATTTATTATTACTGGATTTGAAGGAGGCAAGTCATCTTTCGATTATTGGCTTGGTACGTTGACTGACAAACATGTAGCAATAAGCCCACTTACAATGAGCTGGGTAACGGTCATCTGTCACAACGATGCCGAAGAACGAGCCATTGTAACCGCCTCAATGAACGCGATAGGTCAAGCCATGGCCGCGTGGACTCAGATTCTGCAATATCCAGCTACACACGCCCCTCGGTTTCGAGCTGGGTTCATATCGAACCTGATCACCACGGTTGTGCAATTCATAAGCATTGGCTTGATTGCGTACCTTCAAAAAAGGGACTCACGCAAGAGCGGCCGAGCCAGTGGGATTGCTTAACTACTCTCAAAGATGAATGTGTGCGATACAAACCTTAAATCACGGGCCGCTTGAATTACCCTTTCAAGTGTAATATCTATTAGCAATATTGCAGGTGTCAGCAGTAGAATCTGGTTATTACAAACAGAAAGTTTTCCAATGTCCAAATCTGGTTCTAGAGATCCTAACTCAAATGGCAGTAGAGAGCGATATGTAGCCACTGCCAACACTCCTGCCCTTGTTCCGTCCGACTATGGGTCTCTCTTCCAAAATGATGCAACAAGCCAATCCTTATTGACATGTTTCTAATTGTTTTGTACAGAGATCCATTCCTTCGCCTGCTCAATCCATTCTATCTAATTATCTCCTTGTCGAGATTCGGCAATGCTGTTGCTGGCTGTAGAGTGAAGTTGGCCGCGATTTTCTTGCAATACAGTAGAGAAATAAATCTTATGTAATCTAGTAAAACGTTTGTTTACCATAGTGTCGCGGGAATCAAAGTAGAATAAGGGAAAATGAATATCATTTTTTCTGGGAAGAAAAGCAGGGAGTCGAGTCGAGCAAGGAACGGTCAGCTGTCCAATATGGGTTTGAGCCTTGCTATTTACCCTTGGTGCCTGTCACAGCAAGTTATGTTGCTCGAGGCGCCGTACGTGCTCTGATCGTGGCGCACTCGTCAAAGTCTACAAACTTGATCCCTATGTGTGCCTGTGGGCCCCTTTCAAAGTTGAAAATAATCTTATAATAAGCTTCACGCTTCGTACATGTAAAACAAGGCGCGCCTGTCGTGTATTTCGTTTGCTTGCTTCACGACATCGAATCAATCGGATTACTCATTGCGTGATGACATATATGAAAATATCCCGTGTGCTTGGTAGCCAATAATCAGGAGAATCTCATCCAACGACACCGTTTGTGCAGTTTCTCGGTATCAGCGACAGTTTGTTTGTAGGGTCACCTGACCACTTTGATTGGCTAATTCGAGGTTGTGGGGCTCCGGGGTACTGTATTCGCGAATATGATTGGGCAATGGCATACCATCACATCTCGAACGATCATTGGTCAAGTCCATGCTCTCGAGAAGAACGACTTTCAATCTTATATCTTTATATCGTCGTACTTATCTCCTCTTCTATCCTCTCCTCCAGCCATCACCAGCAGCAGCATCACCAGCAGCAGCAGCAACAACATCAACATCAACATCATCACCACCAACATCACCAACAATGGGTAAGTGATACTATCTCATGGCACTGCGCGACGAGAGCAAGACGAATACTGACCGAAGCTCGAGCTGACCAACTTCCTCCATCCGATCTCGATACTGCCTCGGTGGCGGGCGAAGCCACCAATGCTGTATGATTACAGAAGAACACCAACGTGATTGATGATTAGAGTCTAACAACTGATTGCTAGTCGACCGAAATGGCGAAGCCAGAAGAAACCCTGGCGGCGGGTGAAGCCGCCAAACCCGTAAGTATTACATCTGACACTGATACGATGAATTGAGTCTCATAGTTATCATAGGAGCCGGATGTCAAGAAGACGCTGACCGACGAAGAAAAGGCGGCGGTAAGTACATTTCGAAGAATGCTGATGATCTAATGAACTGAACTGACTTTGATATAGAACAAACGTCGTCTTGATGAACCCATACAATTTAGCCAAGAAATTGGCACGGAAGAGGAGCTGCCCTCTAAAAAACAGCGTAAATGTCCCGATTTGCCTGCTGGTGCGGCGGCGTATTGGAACTTGGTCCGCGATGGCCTGGATACTCAGGTTGCTGAGATTAAAAAGTGTCGCGCGACCGAGTTCCATCCCGCTCGCGATAGATTGCGGGAGGGGGAGAAGGAATTGCAGGAGAAGAAGAGGGAGTTGTGGGAGCTGGAGAAGATGGTGAAGGGGCTTCGGGCCGCCAAAAACAAGGCCCAAGCCAAAATTGACAAGCTTGATGCCGACATCAAGCAGAGCAAGAGCTTGCTGCAGACAATTGAAAAGCGGAAGTACTAGAGTAGTAAATCTTTGAATTGTTTGAGCATCGATCATTTGACTTCCTCGTAGATGCAGGTTTCTTATGGAAGATGGTGGAGTAAATCTTTATTACAAGCTCGGTGGACACCTCGATCATGGCTCTTCGTACGCCGGGAATTCTTTTCAATATCCGACATCTGGGAAACGCATAATTCACGGGTGGATAGCTGAAGAGGACATTACTTGCAACTTCGCCCGCCGAAAAGGCTGGAACGGTGCTCTATGTATTTCACGCGAGTTGTTCCTTCTCTGTCTACGCAACATGATAGGAGCGCTTTGCACCGAGCTTTCAGATATATCTAGCGTGGAGAAAGAATGACTCCAGTGGTTCTACGTCTGTATACACCCTAGGAATTCGCTCAATCTCCGAGTTCCTGCGGCTACGAGACGATTGCATTCAAACCTACCAGCGTGGCTCTTTCTATCTCCCCCGCCTTGCTCTGCGTCAGGACGAAATTTGCACCGTCAAAACCCCATGCTGGGAGATAGAAGCCATTATCTCCGTCGACTGTGACTGCGATACCGTCGGCTTTTGTGTCGAGTCGGAGATGAATCCTGCGGTTCACTTGTCTATTTACTTCTCTATTGCGGAAACGGCAATAGTAGTCGATCGATCCGCATCGACTGTTGATCCAGAGATCAATACATTCCCAGAAAAGGGACCTTTCACACTGTTTTACACACAACCTGATAGAATGGTGGGCGAATCGAAGCTAGAAAAACTACATCTCCGTGCAATCTTTGATGCTGATGTTGTTGAGATCTTCGCAAATGATTGGTTTACACTGGCAACGACCGTGTACTCTAGATACTACGGATGGTGAAGAAAAGTCTCAGCTTTTGCTACAGGTTGCGAACAAAGCGCGTCATTCGAAGAGATCCGGGTGTGGGATGGGCTGTGCCAATGCAAGGACCTGCTTACTGTCAACTAATGGGGAACAACAGCAAGGCTTTTGAATGCTGAGCAAAAAATAGCCAAGAAGACCAAGAGGATCATCGTCAGGGCCTTGACAATGGGTAAAGGCTCGCCATGAAACGATAGAAGTTCTATATTTAACTGAAAGAGAATAGACCAGAAGTACACTGACCAATTCTATCATTGCAGAATATTCAAAAGCAACACATAATGTCGCACGAATCCAGATTTGGGTGCTCCCACAATGAGTAACCGGGACCCCAGGCAGGTATGCTCCTAGCTTCTCGAGAGAAACTCTCCTGCCCCTCTCAAATTTCCTAACCATGACTTAGTGTCTACTGCGGCGTATGATGCAGGTCGTAGAATTGATTTCTATACTCTTGAAGGTGTTGATTCAACTTCTGCTGCATAACTGTCAAGGAAGGGCTATTGGTTTCAGAACCCCAGCCTGTTGTAGCGACCAAGGAAAGACATTCGTGAAGCAGTTCAGAATTGACATCAGTTAAACAAGAAGTTTTTCTCGCTTTTAAAACCACCATGGTAGTAATGAATATGCTGTTAACGGAGTAAGTAMCCGGTGTCAGACAAGCCGCAGTAGAATAGCTAGTCGGAGACTTACCTCAGAAAAAGCGTCCACTTATGAATCAAACACTCGTGAAAGCCCGCTAAAATACTCGGCATTAGCTGGATATATGAGTCAAAGAACCGCTGGCAGTGATTGAGTAGCTGGCCTTCAACTACACCATCCTGCATCGCCTGGTAAACAGCTGGCCAGTAGATGGACAATTTGCAGCAGTAATACTGTACTCGTAGAAAGTTCGATAGCGACCCAATGTGATTTGCGCAATTTTCGCTAGAATTTCTGGGAAATCGAATGTTTTTCGGTAGATAATCATACCATTCGTCTAATTGGCGTTCCAATTCTATAGCAACTCCGGGCGCATACGCTGGTTGCCTTGTTGGACCCAGCGTCACAGCGGAGTTACACCGGTGAAGCATTCGCCGCATCGCAATCTCAGCTAGAAAGAACGACTGAGCCTGATCTGGCCTGGTGCTGCGAGCCGAATGTATGCTCGTTGGGGAATGGCTCCCTGGACTGATGGATAGTCCTTCGGAAGGGAATTGCCATGTATGAAGACAGTTCGGAAGTGGAACATAGTTATCGAGTTCCCAGATGACACTCTTGGCAACATCAAGCTGAACGCTTAATTCGCTATGGGCCATTATTAACATCAGAGTTTCTAGACTAATTACCCGTACAAGCGACTTGCCTTTCCAGTAACAGAACCGCCCAGTACGCCCGGTAGGTCAATTCGAGCACGTCAGGTTCCGTGCCTTGTAAACCACTTGGCAATAATAAGCACAGTGAAGATGAGTCCGCGGAATGACTGCGGTAGCCGCCTACCTTTTAAAGAGATTTTGGATTTTAAAGGAAGCCACTAGGCAGTAGTCATGAGCCTGACAGGGTTTGAGAAGACAAGCGTAATAGATGCTCAAGAATATCAGGCATTGAACACTAACTAGAGAGCACTCAGCAAGAACCAGCGGTAATGATGATAGAGCAGCTGTTAAGAATGGGGTCTCGCGGTTTGACGTGGGATCATGTGCCGCACAGCCAACAGCAGCCACTAGAAGAATTAAGCATGACTGGCAAGATGGCTTGAGAGGCTCGGACAGAATCCGAAAGTATTCTTCTGCGAAATTTAATGGTAGAATAGGATAGTAGGTATGAATGCGGTCCGAAAAGGCCGCCAATGCGGTCACGGCCTGCTGCTGTGGGACGAAGAAAAGCCGTGCATCAGAGCCGTTCGTTGAGCCCGTGAGGTAATTAATTCTCTCGAGGCGGATAAGACTCTGGGAGAACTCAGGTTCAAGGCCTAAAACTAGCATAACGGAGCTAGTTGCGAGTAATCGAAATGGAGAATCTTCATGTGAGCTGAGCGCGGCGACATCCTCCTGCGGTTCCTGCACCGGCTTCGGATGCTTTGCGAGCAGACTAGTAATGTAGTCAAGGCGCTGGTTCACGATGGCTAATTCCGATTCGACCCTAAAAAATAAGATGCGGAGCACTTGTCTCAATGATCAACTCACATTCTAGGAAGGTGGCATACGTACTTATTTGCAGGGTTAGCGGGGGGTTCCTGATACAAGCAATGCAGTCCGCGCGCCTGACAGGGATTGCAGGAGGGCTTCACACCATCGCATTTAGTTCTTTTCGACCGACAAGCGTCGCAGGCGAGAATCAATCGCTTCCGGGTCCTAACCGAACTGACAGGCGGCATTGAGGTAATGTTTTTAGTGTCCTTAGTTCGTACTGGGGAGTTGCGGAGTCGTGTCAGAAGACCGCGCGGGATGGTACGGGTATGGCCGTTTTTAGTCTTTATCATCTACAAGTCATATGGGACTAAAATTTTTCAGTCCTAGTCCGATGGAAATTAAGAAAAAAATCCCACATTTATAGATGGCCTGTAGAAATAATATATATAAATACTTCTATAGGACTTCTATAAATTATTGCAATATTGATTTCTATATACTTCATTATGTTTTATGTTCTAGATATAGTTTGGAATCTTTAAATTTTATTATTCAAATTATTTTGATTAGATTTAAAATTACTGTATTAGATTAGACTATTTTTTGGGTTCAGTTTAATTGTTCAATTACCTTACACCATATTAAATCATTCTTAATTATAACTTCAGAACGAGAAAACAAAAAGGGTATCCCTCGCGGAGTTCTCGTACAATTCCACGGACACCTAGCTACGGATTCCAAAAATTGTGTTTCCTTGTTTGTGTCCAGAAAATGAAGAACCATGATGTCCTCCGCTGACTGGGGGTCTGTCAGATGGTCTGTGCTTGCGACTAGAAAACAAGAAGTATAACATCGAAGAGATATCCAGAGATGTTTATTTTCTTCTCGATTTTAGTACTGAGGTAACAGGAAAAAGCGACACCCATTCGTATCATCTCGACAGCCCATTGTTTGTCATCAAACTATGAATTCCTCCCTCGGAAACCACCTCCTTGCGGATATCACCAAGCGCAAGATTTCCCGCAGCGCCCGTGTATCCAGCTGGGATCAGAAAGGCTTGAACGAAGATGCCTTTGTGGTCTTGCCACGTGAAACTATGCTGATTGCAGATCTGGAGGGCCCTGGTGCCATTACGCATCTGTGGTTTGTCCAGACATGCAGAAAGATTCTGGGACCTGGATTAATTCACTATTCGAAGTCTGGGGTCGCCATGATGGAGATTCATAACGCCCTCGGTCTCAACTACGAAGTAAACGACCCGGACTACTATCGTAAGGTGCTCATCAAAATGTATTGGGACGATTCCGAAACGCCTAATGTGCTCGCACCAATCGGTGACTTCTTCTGCCTTGGCCACTCCATGGCTGCGAATTTCCAGTCGCTGCCATTCACTGTATCCGTAAAGCCCTCAGAGGAGAAGAAATTTGGGGGGGCCGCCGCCTTCAACTGCTACCTGAAAATGCCGTTCGACAAACGCGCTCGCATCGAGATAGAGAATCAGAACGACGAAGCATACATTCAGTACTTTTATATCGATTACGAGCTGTATGCCCAGCCCCTTCCTAAGGATACGCTTTATTTTCACGCGCATTGGCGCCGGGAGAACCCAACCAAGGGTTGGGCCCCAGCTGATATTCAAACAAATAGCTTGGAGACACAGGTCAAGAATCTGGACGGCAAAGATAACTATGTCATTTTGGAAACCGAGGGCGCTGGTCACTATATTGGCTGCAACCACTCAGTCCTCCACTTTCAGGGGACTTGGTGGGGCGAGGGGGATGATATGATCTTCATTGATGATGATACATGGCCGCCTAGCATGCACGGCACGGGAGGAGAGGATTACTTTTCCCAGGGTTGGGGTATGCAGAAGAACGCATATCCATTTTGCGGCACCATTATTCACGAGGAGGACGTGCCCAATTACCAGGTGAGCTATCGCTGGCATCTGGCTGACCCCGTCAGATTTGGCAAAAAAATCAAAGTCACTTTGGAATCTGGTCATGCCAACCACCTTCGTGACGACTGGTCGACCACTGCCTACTGGTATCAAACATTGCCGGGTCCCAAGCTCGAAATTTTGCCCGTCGCTAGTCGTCTCCCTCATAAGCCCGAAATCATTCCTCCCGCCCCAGATTTGTCTGAGATTGAGATCTCCACGCTAAGCTTAGAAAAGAAAGAGAAGTTGGCACAACGTAAAGCGAGGTATGATATGTTCGTTAAGGACCGGAATGAATGGTTGGAGCGACGAGCGAAGGACTCAAGGGAACGGGCGATGAACAACGTGCAAATCTGCAAAGACATTCGTCAACGGTTCTTAGAAAGCCTGAATGAATAGATCGTCAGACTTAGCTAAAGGCTTGATGTATGGGCGACCTCTTCGTGATAGTACTACATAGGTAAAACTGTGGCACTTTATCACAAGCGCTTTTCCTCGCCGAGTGTTTGACTTTCAGTCTCCTCGCAGACATCATCCGATATCTTAACAGTAGAAATCCCCAATGAAGGTCTTTCTCGAGAATATCGAAATGATATATAGGGGTTAAATTTGGCGGGTTGTAACGTGCGTTACGCTATATTAGTATGGTCTTTTCGAGAATGTCTGTGTTTATTAATTTCGAAATCAATTATGATCCTGTTGCGTTCCACTGGGTCGTACCTAAGTAGAAGCCTGATAATAACATTCCACTGTTTTGCTTGTCCCACGATTGGTGTCATGTATCCATAGTCGATCGACGGAATCGTCGGTTAGCAGCTACTGCAAATGAAAACCAAAAAATCATGCCGGCAAGGCTTCAAGTTTAGGGTGTCTCACAGAGTTCGCTAGGGGGTCCTGGAACCCACAGTTTTACCTATGCAATAATATCACGTAGAGGTCGCACATACACCATATCCTAGCCGCTGCATAAGATCTCAAGAATACTTAAAACAGATCCTATACAGAGATTCATGAAGAATTAATCCAAATGTATTACCAGATTCTGATTATGATTACTTCGCTTACATGAGCTCCATTAAGAAGTATGTTTATTAATCATTAGGTACTAGAAAAACCGAGCATTCGTATCGGTCTCGCGGAGTTCAACCGGACTCCGCRAAGCCGATTTCAAGAACGAATGATCCCGAGGGTCCGAGCCTCGATCAAATTTTCTGTTGCTCTCGCAACTGCGCCAGAGGGCCCAGCGCTTTCCTTCCTCAGAACATGTGTAGACTCAAATCACCCCGATTTCCCCGGATTATGCTAAATACACAAAGCGGGGTAGAAATGTCGTGACATTTCCATCTCCTACACCGCGCCGACCTGGTAAACAACAAACTTCGATAACCTTGGAAGAACTTTCATAGGGAAAAAATGGAGAGTGCTGCTGAAATTGCTATCGATGGGCAAGCTTCTTTCCCGCCCCAAAGACATTGTAAATCGAATTGCTGACATGCAAAAAGGGTCGACTACTCAGTGATTGACCCATCCCACCGATGGCATATGCTCCTTTCACAGAGGCGGTTCTGTTTGTGGTGTAAATTCTACTCCAAGTCCTTGTAGAGGTCACAATTGACAAAAACTGCTCATCTAGGTCTCTGGATATCGAGCGGTGTTGTCATGCAGGGATTCGATCTTGTCGCCGGAGGCCAGCTCGCTGCTTTGCCGGAATTTCAAAGACGATTTGGATATTTGCAGCTAGACGGTTCTTTTCTGATTCCCGCGCACTACCTTTCCGCCTGGAGCTCCATTGCTCCTGCATGCGAAATAGTTTCCACCCTTATTTTCGCTCCCCTGCTCGAGAGGTTCGGGCGGAAACCAGGAATCCTATTTGCCTCCCTCATTTCCACAGCGGGTGTCATTCTCCAGCAGCTGGCAACTGATTGGCGAGTACATCTAGCCGGTCGGGGTGTGAATGGTTCGTAAAGATTGTGGGAGTGCTCTTGGAGTCAATACTACTTTTGTAACTAATGCAGGATTAGGCATCGCGATAGGGATCATGTTCACCATCTCTCCCCTATGGATCGGTGAAACGTGTCGACCGGAACTTCGGGGCTTCTTCCTCTGTTTTTTCAACACTAGCATTGTCTTTGGACAATTTGCAATGTCGGTCTGGCACTCTCCCATCATATTAGAATCCGTTACTGATCTCATTTAAGAGCCGTGGTGGCTAGGGGTAGTATCCATTTGAGTGGCAAATGGTGAGTCCGATTATTTCTTCCCAATTTGCTCCAAATATTCGAGTTGACAACGGCAAGGCAATGGTGGTTGCCGATAGTGGCAATGTATTTCTTTCCAGGTAAGACCAGATATTCCTTCCCTATTTTTCACAACATATATACCACTATCTTACTGATATTTCGTTGTGTTCACCCTTCAGCTATTCTGTTATCTGGCTGGTTTTTCTTTCCAGAGTCTCCGTACTGGCTGGKGCGCCAGGGAAAAAACAGAGAGGCCCAGATTTCTCTACACACAGTATACGGCTTCAAAAGTGAGGCATTTTATACCGCAGAAGTCCATCGAATGGAGTCGGAAACTAAACGAGAGTCATCCACCCGCGGTAGCCACGCTGAGGCCTCCTACAAGTTTCTCGGCATCGACGTGTCTACCGAAGCTGAGTGCTTCAATGGGGCTAATCTGAAGAGAACTCTAACTGCAATCTTCACCGCTAGTGGACAGCAGATGATTGGAGCCACTTTCGTTATTGGCTACGCAACATATTTCTTAGAACTGATTGGAGTAAAAGATTACTTCGATGCGTCCGTTGCCCTTTATGTGGTGATGTTGCTGTCTAGCATGCTAGCCTTTCCACTCTCTGAAATTGTTGGCCGGCGAACGATGATAGTGTATCCTCAGTTCTTTCTGTGCTTCGTACTTCTACTAATCGGCATTTTGGCATGCATCTCGAACGCCGAGACGGCAAGCTGGGGTATCGTTGTTCTCATATATATCTGGGCGATCGTATATCAGCTTTCCATTGGAGCTGTGGGCTTCGTGTTGGCTTCGGAAATTGCTACCGCGCGTCTGCGAAGTACGACTCAAGGCCTCGTTACCATCACCAACGCGTTGTGGGGGCTCATCATGCAATTTACAGTCCCATATATGGTATGAAACTATTACAGACTTCACTGAAATCCATGTATCTAAATATTGCGGCACTAACGATGAAGTTGTTCGTCCAACAGATCAATACAGATGCAGGCCATCTGGGTGGAAAAGTTGGATTCATCTTTTTCGCGACAGGCTCCATCGCAGCCATTGGAGGATGGTACCTCTACCCAGAGACTAAGGTATAGCGGAACAACTATTGAAGTAAAACCGAACCATTGCGGCTAACGAATACCAGGGTATTTCTTTCGAAACCATGGACGAGCTTTACGCAAACATGACCTCCCCTCGACACTTCAGGCGAGCCGTGACCGCGCCGGGTGAGATAACGCCCCAGATATGCAAAGCGGAAGTCTCTATCCATGTATAAGTAACCAAATCCTGTTCGTAATGAAGATTTTTGCGTCAGTAGCATATCGGGTATTTTTTTTACCCGAATGTCTACCACATTGAAGTATTGTTTCTGCGTTCTGCTATCATGTTTAAATTTGATGTTGAACAACATGTACGGGTGAGAACACGTAAAAGGTTCCTGCATCGAGAAGAGCACCTCATGTTTAGTGAGAGATGAGGAGAAATGGCTATGCTTATGGTTGGTATACGTATATTTTGATTGATTTTCATGTCAGCGAGACACAATTGCAATGTACTCACTATCGGCATCGACCATCTTTTTCTACCAACAGCATCGTACGCGATCCAGAAATAACAGAGAATAGCAGCTTAACAATAATTCTTATCTTGATCAAGTAGAACCGAATATATCACGCTGATACTTTACTCCACTATACGATATTTAACGAACATCCTTCGAGTGTTTTTCTATGACCGTTGTGTACAGAATATTCTTCTGTTGATATTTCAGAGGCTCCCAATGTCAATTTGTGCGAAGGCATGTCCAACCTAAAATACACGCTTGTGATTGTGGATGTCTTTTTTCAAGGATACAAAAGAAAACTGACAACTTCAGTTGCACCATAAATGGCCGTTCTCAGCTGTTTAAGTACTTAAACACCTAGCTTTTCCATCTTCTGGCCATGCGATCACGTGGAAGTTTCGTGGTTTCTTTCAAACTCGCGTTGTTCTTCAGTTGCTGCTTCATCTTCGAATGCCTGGGCCTTGCCTGTCATTTCCATGAATGTGATGCTTGGCTTCCAACCTGGGCTCTTTCTTGCATCCTTGACTTCGCTATAAAGCTCGTCCACCTCTTCCAGCGTCAACCCTTTTGTCTCATAGATCAGAAAGTAAACAAATGCTATGCACAGAAAACAGCAAGCAAACCAAACAAAGAAGATTTTCGATTGTAGATTCGCATTGCCGGGCCCATAGTTGACCAAATAAGGCGTTGAAAAGCTTAATGCCCAATTAAGAAGCCAATTCGTCGCAGTGGTCATAGATAGCGATTTTGCTCTAGTTTTCAGAGGAAATATCTCGCCGGTCACGACCCTACAGTTTTTTAATCCCACATATTAGAAAAACTGCCTTGAAAGTGCTTGGGAAATCTCGGGAATGTGACATGAGAAGAGGGAAAGGGACACTCACCAAGCTATCGGGCCCCATGAAGCGGCGAAGAAGAAAATGTATATACAGATAAAGGCAATGGCGGCTTTTTGGGCGGCCGCGTTGTTAACGACAATTTCTCCGATACTGTCTTGGCTCGTGGTTGTAGTACCGAGAACTGCCACCAACAGCTGTGAGACGGTCATTCCAATAGCTCCCAAGAGTAGGACCGGTCGCCGACCCCATTTATCAATTGCATAGAGACCAGGAATGGTAGAACCGACATTCACGCAGTTAATGATTAGGTTAATCACGAACTCGTTCTTCACGCCGGAATTCTTGAAGAATTGTGTGCCATAGTAAATGATAAAGTTAATACCTGATAATTGCTGCAAAGCCTGTAGGAGACAGCCAGTAAGAAGACGCTTGGCCAGATTCCCCCGTACGCATTCACGGTAACCAGTATTTCCTAAACTTATCTCATACTGATGGTTGGCTTGGATCTCTGCAAGCTCCTGGCGTAGGGCGGGGTTATCCTCGGGCAGGCGACGGAGTCTGGCTAGGCTCTTCACAGCACCGTTGTAGTTGTCCTTTTTGATAAGATACCGAGGCGTTTCTGGGAGTAGAAAGACACCGATCACCAAAATAATCGCCCAAGCGAACTGGACTGCAATGGGGATACGATAGGACCCGGAGTCATTTCGGTCATGAGTCGCATTATTCACGACCGACGCAAGTAGAAGACCAACAGTAATTGCGAATTGATAAGAGCCTACGATGAACCCTCGGATCCATTTTGGTGCAGTCTCCGACTGGTAGAGGGGAACTAAGTAGATGTCAACAATCAGCAGCTGATATCTTTTCTCCTTTTCAATTGGCTTCCGCTGCTTATGTATCCCACATACGCAGAGAAGAGGAGATGATTATACTTACCAAGTGCAGAGATAAGCCCAACTCCAAATCCCGCAAAAAAACGGCCGGCAAGAAAGAGAGGAATGGCTGTTGCAGCCGTCTGCAGGGCGACCCCGAATACAAAGACACCGTTCGAGATAATCAACCCCCAACGACGTCCAATAATGTCGCCCATCGGAGCAGCGCTAAGTGCACCGAAGAAAGTACCCGCTGACAGAATCGATACTATAGCTGATGTCTGACTGGAAGTGATATTCAACTTGCCGGAGCTGTCTCTATAGCCGGTTGAGAAGGTTTGGGTCCAGTAAGGCATAGCGATAACACCGCTGATAGTGCCAGTGTCATAGCTATCGCAATTAGCATGAAATCAAAAGCATCATTGTCCGGGCATGGTTAAAGACTGAGCTCACCCATATAGAATTCCTCCGAATGCTACAAACCCGCTGATGACAATTGCAGGCCACGCCTTACCGGCGCTATCTTTTGGCTTTTCGAATAAAAACCCCATTTTCGGACACTTTGAAGGATGGTAGATTTTTGGTTGTGAAATAACGCGGAATGAGGGAGCGGGGGCCGGATACTTATAACCGGATAGCATTGATGCATAGGAACCTCAATGGGCCAGCATTGTTATGAACAGCCTAGCTGACCGATCTAGCTAGCCGCGAGCATACTGTAAAACCGCGGACGAGTGGATATATTCCGCGAATACGATCGAATTGATCATTGGAGACGAGAGAGCAAACAGTCGCATGATCAGCGGAGCGGTGGAGATGCTCCCAAAATTAATTACCGGAAGAGACAAGTCCGGTCGATGCGTTCAGGCCTACCATGTAATAGCTCAATGGAGCAGACTATTTCCATTTCCGTCTATATTGGGGTCAGGTTGTAGACCGTGCTACAATTACCGAAGTATCCGCTTGGAATGCGGTGAAACATATCATTACCTAGCGTACTTCTGACCCTTATACCGTAGTAAGAATAAGTCGAGTATATGAAATTTATTGGCTATCATATCATATTAGCACCAATAAGACTGGCCGGTATTGGCGATGCAGCTGGTATTATTGATCTAGACTTCTTTAATACCCCAGATACAGATGAGCTGTGTCCTATACAAACCCCTGTCAGGTCCCGCACAGCATTGTACGAGGTTTTCGAATGAGATCCCGAGTTCGGTCCGAGGAAACTATCCGATCTGCCACGGCCCTGGTTACACCCTTTTCCAAGCTCACTTGACCCATATATGATGAGCACCACGTCGGAACGTATTTTTGGCCAAAAGATCAATATAGATAGCCAGAACATATTGACTGACAATGCTGATCAGTCACCGATGTGGTATATATCCATGGCATTGTCCGCCAATCCTAATGCAAATGATTCACAAGTATATCAAGTATGTGATCCCGTCGAATTTCTTCATAGGAAAGCGTGACATGATATTTTTTTTTTTTTGGCAAATGATACCAGAAGAACGTTGCTAAAAAGGAGCGATCAAACGCTGACAATTATTTTTGTGGATGTTAAATACGATAACAGAACGAACTCCTATTAAAAATGGTGATTTTTTTTTTTTTTCATGGAGCACTAGCTAGGAAGCGATGTCTAATGGAAACTTCTCTCCTTCAATATTGTGCCCATTTTGGCAAGCGAGGGACTGACCCCTGTCACATTTTCGAAAAGACGACCTGCTTTTTCCAAACTCTGCAGCACTTTCGGGGAGACTGCACCAACCAGACACGCTGCCGACGATGCTGTTAGGGCTGCCATTGATATTGTAAACACGCTGTATCTGGTTAGCCAGTAAAAATCTCTTCGATATATGAATAAAATAATTTACCTTGCATACAATGTCCACATATTTGGTATACATATGCTGACAGATATAGCCGCACTTGCGATGAACTCGATGTAATTATCAAAAAAGCTCCGACAATGAAGAAGGAGGTCATCGGCGGCCTCCCCACTCATCATTGCCTGGTAGACTGCTGGCCAATATATAGAAGCCTTGAATGCATAGCATTGCGTATGCAAGAATTGCGCTTGCGCTGACCCTCTAAAAGGTATTGTGTCGCCATGATCACGCCTGTGAGACAATTCATCTGGAAGAAGATCGTACCACTCCTGCAACTGCCGCTCGAGCTCTGCTGCAATCACGGACGCATATGAGAATTTGGTTTGTGACAATCTTTGAACAGACAATGTGCAACGTTGAAGCAGCTTCCGCATCGCGATTTCAGCCACAAAATACGACAAGTCGTGCTGGCGCAGGGCTTGTTTAAGCATTATCTCTTCAGATCCATCTCCAGTTCCGCTGACAGAGAGAAGAGAAGGATGCCATATCCAGGTCTCGTAGCTGACTGGCACTTTAATGACTGAATCCATACTGCAAATACCACTGTCGACCAGATTCAGCTGGACAGTGATCTCGCTTTTGACCGGAGTTAGTTAAAATTCATCTTTTCTGCCGCAAATTTATTGATATCAAACGCAGGAATAGGGACTAGAACCTTTCAATCAAAAGCGCAGTCCAGTAGCAGTTTCCGAAGACTGATGTTAGAGATAACACATCCTCATCATCGCATTGACTAGGAATAGGCCATGAAGATTAGACAAGAGTGTTATTCACGTTCAATTCTGGGTGCTCACTTTCTCAGACTTTCTTGAATTCCATGTGAGGCTATAGCCACAAAATCATGTGCTCGACATGGTTGGGCGTAGCAGAGATAGTAAACGCTAAACAAAAGCAAACACTGCGTGCTTCTAGTACTGTTATCTGCCAAAACGCAATGGAGCATAGTTTCCGCCGCCTGCATGTATATGCTTTCTGGGAGTCTCATCTGCGCATGCGAAATAGACTCACATCCAGTCAGAGAACCTATGGCTAAAACCAGAAGAGCTAGGCAAGAATCTACGGAGGGCTGAAAGGCCGTTGATATCGCCTGCAGAAATTCATCCATATAATCGGCATGGAGAATCGGATACCAAATATGGATACGTTCAGCAAAAGCATCCAATAGTCTGCATTCCACCGATGCTTGACGTCAGTTGTAGGCCGACCACCAAAGAGACAAGTAATTTCTCTGCCACTTACTCCAGTGCCTGAGCCAAATCGATCATCACGGCTGTGATATTGCTCGGGCGAGGATGAAGAAGTCGGGTCCTTTCCATTTGCTCCAGTTGAATCGGTAATGATTGATCTAGGCTCAGAAGCGTTAAGAATGACTGGTTCTTGATGGTCATGATCGGGAATCCGGCCAATGGATGTTGATCATTAAAAAGATCGTTTGATAAATGCTCCTTGACTAAGAAAGTAAGGTTGGAAGCTCCATGCTCTATGGACTGGGTAATGTGGTCCAGTTGTTTCCAAATCTTGCATAACTCTACCGCAAAACTGCAATCTATGTTAGAAAACAGGCGAGTGTCGGCCTGGTGCAGCATGGTGTTCACTTACAGAGAGGGAGGGTCTGCATTCCCTTCGTAGCAACAATCTTTGCTCCGGTGCATACAGAACGAGCATTTAGGCCGCAGACCATCACATTTTGTTCGTCTTTCTCGACATGTATTGCAGGCCAGAGAACTCCGGTGTCGCTGACCGTTCCGTGGCAAGTGACGCTTAAGACTCATGGATATTCTGCACTCCCCTACAGAGTGATTTCAAAATTCATTTATAGTAGGCTTTAATCTAATCAAATTTGTGCTATTATATGACCTTTGTGCGTTGTGGAATTTAGAATGTAGGTTGTGGCTCAATGTAAATTCTGTATAAATTTCATTTTGGCAAGGTTGTACGAATAGGCTGCCGTAGGCACTGTCCTCTTAAGGAAAATGACAAAACCCGTTTATGGACGCTGGTGACCAATATGGAAGGTGGAAATTCAGGCCCCGTGATTAACGAGGGGCGTCTGATGTTGATGACAGGACTTCCAGTTGGAAATATGCATGGGTTAGATTCCACACGATCAGCTATACGCTAGTGCTCCGTTAATTTCCCGGTCAGTTGCTGAACGGGCGTTGTTTATCGGAGCACGAACGTCCGATAGACGACCTCGTTTTTTGTGACCGATGTTCAACAGTAAACCGACGTCACAAGACAATGCCAGATGCACAATTCTATGGGGTGGATAGCGCCAATTCTGGCGTTATGTATCACGGCTTGCGAAAAGTTACGGTCCAACCTAATGAAGGATTGGGATACTCCGCAATGAACAAGATGTAGTCACAACTTATCATGGAGGCATATATGGGGATAATTAATGCCAAGGTTGGGGTGCTTCACTTGCCCTGACTGGCTTGAAGTAGTAATCAGTGATCTGCCACACTATTATAGCAGACTATAGCAAAACTGGGTAAAATTGTCATTCCAACAGGCGCTTTACAGCAAGTCCAGGTACGGATCGAGGCACAGTTTAAGTGCCGACTCCCCAACAGCCTGTTCCCATACCACTGGGGTGCTTGCCGAGAACTCCGGTCGGGAGTGGTGTATTGTTAGCAAGGTTGGGTGAATGGGCACGGTGAATGAAGAAGGATTAGGTATTGGTATCAGTAAGTTGCCTCGCGGAAAAAAGGGCTTGTTCCGCGATGGCTTGACCAATAAAGATCATTAGATACAGACCAGTTACCACAAGGTATGATACTTCAATTCACCTCTGAATTTAGTACGATACTCTCCATAGGTAGCCATACGTCCATCGATCACAAAGACGCAACTTCAAACAGATCAGAGTACTATATCATCCACTGCCCCAGGGCGACAAAGCAACCTACAATGTGGTATGATACTTAGATTCAGATTCGATTGATTTATCATAAGCATGGCCATCAATACACATCGACCCGGCTTCTTCGCTTGCAATCAATGTCGAGAGCGCAAAAGAAGATGTGACAGAGTCAGGCCCAGGTGCTCGTCTTGCGCTGATTTGGATGTGGATTGTTTCTATGAGCCAGCTTCGGAGGGTCGACCATCACAGTACACCTTTTCACACCGTTTTTCCCTCTTTTGAAAAGGCTAATCAGATTACACCAGACTCGTCCAAGAACTCTCCAGCATTCGGGAAAGATTAGACCATATAGCACCATTAGTTGAGMCCCTCAGAAACCCGCCTGCATTCCGCAAGCGTGACCAATATTTGGATAATCAACCACAAGCCCCTCCGATCAGCATCAAATCCCAATCCCTGATGCAGACAATTGGCTTACGTTCGGATTTTGCGTCTTTCGTCTATCGACTAGAAAACACCACCCCATATATTCCCGTGGCTTCTGCGGAATCTAATCTTCTCCAATTACCGGAAGATAAAGTCACCGAGTAGGTCACATATCAATGAAACAGTTCAAAGGGAAGGAAGTAACGAAGACATCTCACCAACAGGACTCTGCGCATTTTTACGGAAAGGGTTCACATTTGGTACCCCTGTTTTCATCCGAGCGTCACCAACCACCTCTTTGAGACGAACAGCTCATGTTTCTCGCCTTCGACCAAGTCCTGCTCAAGTCTCCTCGTTGTATCAATTGCATTGACTCTGATTCAGACACAGTCATCCTCTATTCATTTTGAAGCTGCCTCATCGATGCTTCCAATAGTACTCCAAGAAGACAGCGTTGTAAGCATTCAGTGTTTGGTTCTCTTTAGTATATATTTTGCCTGTCGAATGCAACCACTGCAATCCTACGGATATATCCGAATAGCATCCTTCCGTATACATTCACTGTTCAGAAGGTATGTTTTCATTGCCGCAATATGAAGGGAAACGCAGTGTCGTGGTGAATTTGCTCGCCTTATGCAGCTAACTTATAGCCAGAAAAGCCTATTCAAAGATTTCCACTGAGTCCCAACTGATAAAACGCACTTACTATGCAATATACATGATTGAAAGGTCCGTATTTCATATCCGTGCGAGTTTTCTCTCCTCCACCACTTGAAACATACCTAAAAAGAGGCCAGTGAGATCTCAATGCATTTAAATCTACCTTCAGCGCGCAGTCGGTCACAACCCGGTGGCTTCTACGCACCTATTGCTTCTCCTATCTATGACAAGCATTGGGACATCTTCGCTGAATCTGGTCTTCCTCGCTCATGGTCGACTCCATCGGGGAATCCCCATAGTCATTTGCAACGTGATTCCTCACACCTTTCACAAGAGCTACATTTGCAACACTTGATAAATAAGCATATGGACTCGGTGACTAAGCTAGAATCAGAAAGCACATCCTCCGTGGGAGACCGCCTTTTCCTGCAGTGGCTATTAGATTCTTTGCCACCATTACCGTCCTTCAGCGCGACTTCAATATCCCAGGATATTGCCAATTGCCACCAGTACGCTGCTCTTCTTCGAGCGAAATATCACGCATATGAAGTTTCCAGCTACTGGCCAGCGATCTATCATGCCATTACACTTGATCTTTCTGTATCAGAGCTACTCACCCACGCTTCGCTATTTATCAATTCGATAGTAAGCTTTTTAGAGACAGCCAATTCCGCCATTAGGGTATGTGTTCCAAAGTCCTGGCCACTTGCAGCAAGGTATGTGTATATGGAATAACAGCAATTCCCTTTATTCTATGTTCGTTTGCTGATGTTTGACATTTGCACCTACGTAAGTAGCCTTTTCATCGTGTCCATGGTGACTATTTGGACAGTGGACAAGCTGCAACCCCAAAGTCTTTTTCCACCTAGTATCTGGAAACATCTCAAAGATACCTTGTATACTCTTAAGAGATTCGGCGAGCTTAGCCCGTCAGTAAAACACATGGGAGAAGTGCTAGAGAACAGGTTGCACAGTTTGTAGAGGTCAATGTTCAACACATATTATGCCTATGATACGCGATCATACGAAGTTACGGGTACATGCCCTTCTTCAGTAATTCAATATGAGGTAAGCATAAGGCAAAATTGATGACTTATAGTATATTTATATTGAGCGCATCGATGAAAAGTAATGAGTATTCCTCTAGGCCCCTCCCAGTGAAATGGAAAGGAGCAAGGAAGAACTACTAGATCCTTAAGAACAGTACTCCATCTAATGAAAAGGACATCCCGCTACAGACTTCAGCGTCGCGATACACAAGCTAACTTTCCGTTATATGACGGCTTGTATTCTAGGAGATGTTGGGTTGAGAGCATTCCCAGTCCAATTTTGGAGACTTGGGGCTTCATAGCTCAGTTTCAATCATACAGCTCAACTCCTTATGTCCATGTAGAACGCACCTCGCTTATACAAATCTGCACATCGTTGGTACTTCCACCTTCAGAGAAAAGCTGCGCATATGTGGCATTTTCGGGGGGGAAGATTTGGGCCGTCATCGTGGTTTCCCCTTGTCCACCGAAGACCTCCACGCTTGACCAATCCACGAAAATATGTAATTTTACAGTGTTATTCAAACTTGGGGAAAGAGGAGCATAGTAGAGACTTGGAAATGTGCTGTCAAATGAGATATCCCCGGATTTTGTTCGATCGATGAACACTTGCTGAGTTGTGAAATCATATCCTATTCGTGTCTGCTCACTGAAATCTTCAGAGGCTCGAACAGTGATTCCAAACTCAGATTTTCCATTTGCTGCCTCCGTGCTCGGGAATGTCAACTGAATTTCCACTGCCTTCCCGATATCACCGAGATTGTAAATATTAGTCACAGAAGGTAAGGTCAATACACTCCTGCTCCGACTGATAGCCTTCCAGCTTTCTTCAGGCTGCTGAACTACAACAATACTCTCATCGATTGTTTTCAAAGAAAGCTGACGAGGAATGGTCATTGCACTGCGCCAAGGGCTCGTTGGTATGGTAGCACCATACTGCCAGTTGTTCATCCAGGAGATAATCGTCCGTTGATACTGGGCCAGGCCATTGTAGCCTTGGGCAGCGTAGAAGTCTGGACCCCAGTCTAGCCAGTTTGCGTTGTTATTTGTGGCTGGAGAATTGGCAAAAGAGATTTCGTCAACATTGATATGGCCCCAGCCCCCCGTGGCGAGGTCAATAATCTCAATCACGGCACTTTGGTTTTGAAAGGCACTGACGTCCCAGCTTTGCCAAGTAAGTTGTTCACTATTGGATCCAGTTGTAGCGTGCACAATACTACCATCGATCTGGAGGCGAATTGCAGTTTGGTTGATATTGTCCCCTCCTCCGACGAGAAAGTTTATGTACTTATACGAAACATTGAAAGGAGGTGATGTCAGAGTTCCTGTAGTCAAATCCCCATTCAAAAATGTGTTGACCAACTGCTTTCCGAGGAAGCCTGTCACCGGGTTCTGACCTGGCAGAGTACCAGCCGTGGGGGATGTCCCTATGAAGTCGCCAGTAGCCACCCATCCGCGATCGGCAAAGGAACGGTTTCCCTCAAAATCTTCGAATATCAGACTACCATCCGGGGGGCCCCCATCATGTATGCTCTTCGGATCTGGTGTAAATATGGACCCATTGAAGTCACCTACGAAGTTTTGTATGCCCGAACCCACAGTTCCAGGCGGGCCTCCAGGATTAACACCGACAATGGCAGCCCATTTAACCTTTGATTTATCTCCATCAACAGGCAACGGGAAAAGGTTCGGACACTCCCAAACACCTCCAACAGCGTTAAAAGGTCCAAACTCACTCTCCATGTTCCATTGCTTGAGATTTGAGGATGTATATATGAGGAGCTTGTGAACTTTTGCAAGACTGATAACAGCAACCCATTTTTCAATAGGTTGATGCCAGAAAATATTTGGATCCCGAAAGTCAAGATACTGGTCCTGGTATGGGCTAGGAGGATCCAAGATGATAGGATTGCCATCATCGTAGGTAGTCCATGTTGCCCCATGATCCAAACTATAAGAAATGGACTGTGCTTGCTGCTGATCGCGAACTTGCTTCCCACTCGGCAAGACCTGCTGTGACGGATACTAAACAAGAAGCTACATAAGTTCAATGAACTGTCAATTTCGATCACGACACTCACATAGGAAGTATACATAGCCACCCAGGGCGGATGTCCCTTGCGGCCGAAACCACTGGTATTGTATTCGTCGATGACCACACTTCCAGAGAAAAACATCTCAGTAATGTTGTTTGGGTATCCACGCGCGAGGAGGGCGACAGGTTCTTCTTTCCAATGGGTGAGATCATCACTGGTGGCATGGCCCCAGGACATCGCCCCCCAGGTATTGCCACCTGGATTGTACTGGTAATACATGTGGTATGTACCATCAGCATACACAAGGCCATTTGGGTCGTTCATCCAGTTCTGTGCAGGAGTGTAATGGTATTGAGGACGATAGAGTTCCGTGTATGATTCTTTGGATTGGGCTGCATCAACCTGGGACACAAATGCTCCCAGAAGAAGCACCTTCAACAGCATCCCGAAATTCATCGATTTCATGTTGAATCGTTTGTCTAGATAAGCAGTATGGAAATTTTTATTTGGCTGCTTGAGGAAAATAGACATTATTTCTGTTTTATATTTGATTTTTCAGAGCAAGACTTCGAACTTACGGACGAAGTCATTAGAAGCTGACGCCTCTGCTATGTCCTCGCTAGTGGAGAAAGTGCGGAGCTCATTGCTCCTTGACTTGGTCTAAGGTTTTTTTAAACAAAAAACACAGCCATTGACGATGTAGAGTTGAAACAGAAAACCCTTAACAATCAAGAATTTCGCGGAGCATATCTGAGGCTCCGCGTGACAGCCCTCCGCAATATCTTATCCCGCACTTTTCCCCAGGATCGGTCAACGGACTCGGTGATTAATCGGTCATTACATTCCTCATTATGCAACCAAAGCTTGAACTCTTTGCTATGCATTCTAATCGTTTATTGCTTAAAGCATAATAAGAGGTTTCGCGGAGTATAACCGAGATCGGCAACATTTATAAATTGGTATACCAGACCTCCCGATGCATCACCTATCTATATACACTTTTAGTTTAAGTTTGCGACCGATGAAAATCACTGTTTAACCATATGCTGAGCTTATGGGTTACGTTACATTGCTATTATCTCGGCGAAATCGTGTTTTTCCACTACCGGACAGTTCCTTGTTATGGGGGGTTCGGTTGTCACATCATATTTTTTCCATATGTTCACGCTAGTATTTCTGATAATGAAGGTTGTCGCTAGAAGTCTATTGGAAAGATGAAATTAGCTACAATGATGGCATTATAAATACTTCATGTCTGCGACTGTTGAGAACCTAGTTCATTACTCATTCTACCAAGGCACTCTATCTTCACTTCCTCTTTGAACGAGCCAAATTTTCCACTTCGCGAGCCATATCCCATATCATGATATCCCTAAGAATTGCCTTGGCGATTAATGCCCTTTCATATATTTGTGCCCTCGTTGAGCTAGCGGTGGCGGATGACTATCGTCCAACCTTTCATTTCTGCCCGGCGGAGAATTGGATGAATGAGCCCAATGGGCTGATTAAGATTGATTCAACATGGCACTTATTTTATCAGGCTGACCCAACAGCAAATGTATGGGGTAATGAGTGCTGGGGCCATGCAACCAGCTCCGACTTACTCCATTGGGATCATCTGCCTGTCGCAATTCCAGTCGAAAACGGAATTGAATCTTTCACTGGCACCTCTTATTATGATGCTAATAATACATCGAGGTTAGGCACGTCTACCAATCCACCGTACTTAGCCTTTTTCACTGGGTATACCTCTTCGAACGGAACGCAGGATCAGCGCCTTGCTTACAGCACAGATCTTGGGACAACATGGTTGAAATTCTCCGGTAATCCAATAATATCGGCAGCTCTGGAAGCACCTCATGATGTGACTGGAGGCCTCGAAAGTCGTGATCCTAAAGTGTTCTTCCATGAACCGTCAGGAAAATGGGTTATGGTCCTTGCGCATGGTGGCCAGGACAAATTAACATTCTGGACGTCACTAGATGCGAAAAGCTGGACGTGGATGAGTGACCTGCTAGCTTCCCAAATCGAGGGATTCCCATCTAGTATCACTGGATGGGAAGTGCCGGATATGTTTCAACTACCTATCCAAGGCACTAATGAGACCACCTGGGTTATAATCTTTACACCAGCTCAGGGATCTCCGGCTGGTGGTAACGGTGTTGTGGCACTTACGGGATCCTTTGATGGGGAAACATTCCTGGCTGATCCTGTGGACTCTTCAACGTTATGGCTAGATTACGGTCGTGATTTTGATGGTGCTATGAGTTGGGAAAACGTACCTGCATCAGATGGTAGGCTAATCATCGCCGCTGTGATGAACAGTTATGGTTCAAATCCTCCTACCAACACCTGGAAAGGGATGCTTTCCTTTCCGAGGACATTAACACTCGAGAAAATCGGCTCAAAGCAATACTTTCTTCAGCAGCCAATCGCTGAATTAAGCACAGTCGATAGCACTCTCGCAAGCATTCAGAATCAGACAATTGCGCCAAAACAGACGTTACTTTCATCAATTCACGGAAGTAGCTTAGATGTCCGGATCGCTTTTAGTGTTGATTCAGGTGCTACGCTGTCACTAGCAGTCCGAAAAGGGGGATCTGAGCAGACAGTCATCCGCTATTCCCAATCAAACTCGACGCTCTCCGTTGATCGAACCGCGAGTGGGGATATCTCCTATGACCCAGCAGCAGGAGGTATCCATAGCGCGCAATTAGCACGGGACAATACTGAGCTAGTCTACTTGCGAGTTTTAGTCGACACATGCTCCGTGGAAGTGTTTGGAGGACAAGGAGAAGCAGTTATATCTGATCTTATATTCCCTAGTAACTCTTCTGATGGCTTATCTTTGGAGGTAATTGGAGGGACGGCCACTTTGCAGTCTGTGGAGGTGTTTTCAGTCTCACTTTGATTGACTCCTCTGCGGTCGCTGATAGCGGTAGTGGTAGAACCGTCCGTTGCACACAGAATGAATTATACTATACTTCTTGTCAGATTCAATAAAGGACAAATACGGCAAATCTCCTTCAAGACTTCATCTGAACCTAATAGCAAATCTGATATTTTATCGCAAAGCTGGGCCTATTCATTTATTGCTAATCAGTGCGGAAAAAAAACCCAGGCTGGGACACTTTTGGTGACTACCATTGCGCTTACAAGGTTATGCTGCGTAAATACCTTGATTTTACTTTCATGTAGCCTCCACGTCCTCTCCGGCAACGCATTGCAAAAAATTACTTTGCTTTTGCAAATCTGTATCAATCATGGACTCGCTAGTTCTAAGTTAATCTACACGACTTTTCCACTATGAACTTCTATATTAATGCCGGTGATGAACTTGATTTTTCATCAGATTCAAGGAACAAGTATGCTTTTGCAACATCAGAGGCCTCGCAAAGACGTTGCAAAAGAACCTTCAAATGAATTGAGCTCTGTTTTCAGGTCTTAAAGCTGACAATTTCATGGTAAATGTCGAGCAATACAACTGAACAATTTTTTAACTTTCATACATCGAGTGTTCCACTCTTAAAAACAATACATGTTGAAATGAACGTCGCCAATACATTCGGATATATCAAGTAACCTTTTTTGCTATCAAGTAGGTCATAAAATATTCAAAGTAACAAGAGGTTTCCCCCCACCCGTCAAAATCGGACAGACTTAGTATCGTACCAACGAGCTCACAAACCTAATCTGTATCCCAGGTGTCACTAACAGTAGCGGTAGTTGTACCACAAGCTGCAGGAACAGTGTAGTCCCTGTTTGAAATGTCTTCCCATTCAATGGTTCCATCGGACTCCTCTCGGATGAACTTATACTCAAATGATTGTCCAGCCGGGAGTGAAATTGTCACAAACCAGAGATTGTCAGAGCTAGTATAGTCTGCTGCGCTCAACGCAACGGCGTCACTGGTGTCCCAGTCACCGAGTTGGGAAGAAGATCCGGATATGTAGATATTTTCACCGTAGGTTGTAGTCGCGATCAGGTCGAATGTGACGGCGACTGCGGTTGGTGTTGAGCATGCTGTGCTGGTCTTCGTTGTCGTCGTTGTTTTGGACGTACTGCTGGTAGTAGTGCTGGAACTGGTCATTTTACTTGTTGTTCCGGTTGCGGTAGTAGTAGTTGTGGTGGCAGCAGTAGAACCCCCGGTAAGTGTAGCAGGCCATGTTGTAGCTGTTGCCGTGCTGTAGGTTCCAGTAGCTGAAGTTGCGACGCAAGTTGCAGGTACGCTACTAGCAGAAGTCTCGCCCCAAGCTGCTGGTACTGCTGAGTCCCGTCGATTGACGGCTGACAAGAAAGCTGCATAAGACCAAGTCAGATTTGCTGCCGAAATGGATACTCCGGTACTCTTGTCATATTGCTCTGAAAGGGTGAGGTTTGACGGAGCGTAGGTTTGCTATTGTAGTGTCAGCCAAATTCTCAGGCTTATGATAGCGCAGCTGGAGTTCATACCGCAATGCTTAAATATCCATCGGCGTATGTCTTCACAGCAGAAACGATGCTTGAATAAGCTGTAGACGAAGAAGAGTAGGTACCAACAGCGGCAGAGGAGTATACATCCTCGAAGAATGCTAGTGACGTGCTGTCAATTGTAATGGAACCAATTTGATTCCATTGATATAGAGCATCATAGAGGACTTCCGCAGCAGCAAATGTACACAAAAACCAAGGATTTCCCCCGACGTAGCTATCTTCAGGATACCTACCGATTGCTACACCTTCGCCTTCCGCAATACCACTATTGATGGTGTAGATGGAGCGGAAGGCATCCGTTACAACTTTGTGGTTTGCCAAAGCCCTAGATGAGCAAGGCTGGAAAGTAGTGTCATCACAAGCAGCCTCGGGATCAAAGGTGTGGATAGTTCCCAATAAACTGTTAGCATCCTTGCCAGATCGACTGCTGTCAAAGTTAGCAAGAATGAAGCTTCCCGTCCAGAAGGACTGTAGATAGCAAAGCACTTCAGGAGCTTGAGACGCGCAGTTGGTGCAAGTCTTTCCCAGGGAAGTTGCAAAATTGGCTCCTTCAACTAGGGCACGGTGCTGCACGGCGATAGTAAAGAATGACGAGCCATCAACTTCTTCCCACAGATCTATTCAAAGTCAACATTCTCTACCTTGGTCACTTTTCCTGGGTTTGGGATTAGAAGTACCATATCCAGTCTGATTCCAATACTGGGTCACATAGGCAAGGTCATTTTCAACGACCGGCCAAACGTTGCTCAAAGCCCAAGAGCTGTATCCATTGTCCTGGGGCAGGATCAGCACACACTATTGTAATTTATTTTCTTGCGTGATTTAGATTCAGTAAGCTTACCACTAGCCACTGGCCATAGGCAATCAAAGCCGTAGCTCTAAGCGCAGGTCCGTCTCTTTGTGGACGTCCCCAACTAATTCCTCACTGTCAGCAGCCCTTCAGGATACTTTTCGGGGTGATACTAACGCTCCGGTATAAGCAGTCATGTCCGCATTGAATTTGGGCTCTCCAAGACCACCAGTAGACAGATCTCCAGACGGATTGGACACGGTCTGGAGATAAGCCTGAGCGCTAATGTATTCCTCAATGATGGTTTGCAACGAAGTATCCCCTGCTATAAAAAGCTCAACAAGCTGTTTAATTGTTAAAGCAGAGTCACGAGTCCATGTATAAAAGTCTAAGCCATTTGTCAGAAATGAATATATGCTCAGCGTATCAGAGGTTCAACATACAATCCGGGTTGCTCGTGCTTGGGCTAGCAATCACAATCCCGGACGCTGCACCAGATGCCAGGGCCCCTGATGAACCAATGTTTGCAAGAATTCCTTCCAAAGCAAATGAACTCTCTTCAGCGATCCAAGAATCCAAGGTACCAGTCACCCTGGCCTCGAGCCCAGATGGAGAAGCAAGAGCTCCATAGAATAGAGGCAAGGCAGCCAGAGCTAGAATGAGACTTCCAGTCATTTTCGATCAATCTACAGTTGTGCAGTTCAAATTCTTATCGATGTAAGCTCATGGATGAGAAAGGAAAGAAAGCTAGAATGTCTGAAATTTGAATCATTTTATATGCTTGGAACATTAACCAATTTCCGCTCTCAAATCTCTATCATTACTCAAAACCCAGTTGTTCACCATGATTGCTCATAATTGATACATGATATCGTTTTCTGGTCGACAATCAGCAGTCCAAACTATGATAATTGCATAATTGCGTTATTATTCCATATTAAAGTGTCGGTATATCCCAACTTTAAAATTAAGCTCATGCAAGCCACAAGCTTTATGGACCAATCCTTCACATTAAATTTGCACATTTCTGTTGGTTTCATACATCTAGCAACTGCCGGTAATTTTCCGCGGTTTTTCCGACCCCTGGAAACTTGTTTCGTCAGCTTTAAATGCAGATTTGACTAAATTTCCGTGTCCGAGTGTAACACCCCTCTCTTTAGATGCAGGAACGGGATAAAAGCTTAGCAGACGCCCAAATCAACGATATGGCATGGGAAGGCGTCGTCATCTTATTTGCGGAGAATCACTGAATCATTCGCGCAGCCACAATTGATCTGCATTGGTCGCTATAGTGACGAAGTACTATGTCAGAAATCACTTCCATTTTTTGGCAGTATTTGTATGGGCTAGGTTGTGCATTTTGAAATAAATTAGGAGAATAGATTGCTATCGTCATCTAGGTAACTTGAAATAATAAAGTATGCCGAACATGCCTTCAACAACCGAGGTACCATGCCGGCCAATTCTTAATCACTAATAAATCAGATATTTGTATCTCTGAGGATAAAGCTCAGCCATTAAACTATGTCCCAACGAGGCGATTGGCCGGAGATTTGATAAACCGGCGACCTACTTGGGCAGCGTCGCCTATCCGGGCAACAAAAATGAAGGTATATTTGGTAAGATTCAAAGGGATGCTAATTTCCGAGGTGTGTAGCTTATTATATATGTTAATCACATGAGCTAAACTGATAATAATCTTTGTCCAAGTTGGTATCCGCGATTCCTGAGGTTTGAAACTTGCGCAATAAACTATGATCTTGTATATTAAAGAAGCTAGATAAGTCCTCCATGTACTCTACTAGAAATTCGATTCAGTGGTTTTAATAACCACGTACACATCAAGATATCGAATCACAATCACCGATACCTACTTTCTGACAATTATCTTGTTCTTTTCCCCCGATCGCTATGCAGGTTATCATGTCGGCTAGAGCTAACATAGAGCAAATGAATCATAAAACCTGGGGATCTCCGCATTCGCAACGAGCTAGCTACCATTGCCGTGTTGAGCCGGGTAAATGACTCAATGATGTCGCTTTGGCCACGCGGTCCGCGTCCAGCTTCCTCTCCTGCAGACTATCCTACCAAATGACCAAAGAACAGAATAATTTTTTTTCAATAACGAAAATTTACAAGTAGCCTAATCAAATTACAGACCTCTTCTAGGCATTTAACAGATGGCTCCAAGCAAGAAGAAGGAACCAGAATCATGTGATGATGCATGCCATTCCGAAAGTAGTGTCGCCCAGTCAGCACTAGTAATAGAGTGATTGACAAATCATTAATTCGACCCCTCTTGTTTCTTAACGCGGTGAGTTCAAATCATCCATTTCCGACCTCGCGATGCTTTCCAGAGCCGGCTTTGCAAAACGGGCCTCGTCCGCTTGGATTCCGAAGTCAAATCGACTTACAAGCGTCCGTCTGACACCAATTTTTCATTTATCTACCAGCCGTGTCTGCCCGAGATATGCAAATCGGTCTGAATTTCGGCCCAGGCGAACAATTACAACGCAATCAGCTAAACATGCTGAAGCTGAAAAGTGAGGGTTTCTTTAAAAGTTGCCATATTGTTATGCTAATAGATACAGATACACTACAGCATTCGCCCTGTTTGAAGGCTTGTGGGAGGTAAGAATAGCATTGTAAGCGACAATAATAATACAATCTAATTTATTAGGCCGGTGTAAAAACATGCTTCGTCAATCTTGGCTCCGACCATCCACCAATCGTTGAAGCTATTATCAGAGGCAAACGAGAGCGACCACACAACTGGCCTCGATTTATAACATGCCCAAGTGAAATCACGGCAATATCCATGGCTGATGGCTACGCTCGCGTGACTGGGCAGCCGCAGGCAGTAATTGTCCATGTAGACGTTGGTACTCAGGCGCTTGCACATGGTGTTCACAACGCCAGTGTTGGCCGTGCGCCCGTCTTCATCTTCGCGGGTCTCTGTCCGTACACGGAATCTGGAGAATTGACGGGCTCCCGAACGGAATATATGCACTGGCTCCAGGAGCCTGCTGATCAAAAGGCAATTGTGCGCCAGTATTGTAGGTATGTTGGAGAAATCCGAACTGGGCTGAATGCGAAAGAAACGATAGGACGTGCACTGCAGTTTGCTTCTAGCTCTCCGAAAGGTCCTGTATATGTTGCTGCAGCCAGAGAAGTGTTAGCTGAACAAATCCAGCCGTACTCACTGGAGCAAGCTAAATGGGCTCCAATCGGACCTAGTGCGTTGCCGGATGATGCGGTTCGCGATATTACAGAAGCTTTAGTCAATGCGAAGAAACCGCTTGTGATTACTGGATATTCAGGTCGTGATCGTCGAACCCCGAAACTCCTGGTCGAACTTGCCGACAAGATTCCAGGTCTTCGAGTTCATGACACTGGCGGGAGKGATATGTCTTTCCCTTTCGATCATCCAGCATCACTTGGATTCCGTCTGGGTGACAATAAAGATGCCAACGATGCAGACGTTATACTCATGCTCGATTGCGACGTGCCGTGGATTCCAGCACGTAACCCGCCGCGCAAAGATGCCATTTTCTACCATATAGACGTCGATCCATTGAACCAGCAGATTCCAGTCTCATTCTTTCCCGCACACGGGCGTTGGAGGTCGGACTCATACACTGCGCTCACACAGCTGCTTCAACATCTGGATAAAAAGTTTGTTGATGTACGGAAAAATCCAGAGTATACCGCACGCAGGAAAGCTTTAGCAGTACAGCACAAAAAGCGATTGGATCTTATTGACAGCCTACCGCATCTTGAAAACAACGCGGCACTAGATGCGCACAACATTGGCCGGCTTTTGCGAGAATGTCTACCGGATGATACCACCTTCGTAGTGGAAGCTGTAACCGGATCTACCCTAATTGCCGACCAGCTCCAACCCAGTCTTCCTGGAGGCTGGATTAATTGCGGTGCGACTGGTATCGGCTGGAGCAACGGGGCAGCCCTGGGAGTGAGAATGGCGCTTCACGATGAAAGGAAACCCGGTATAGTATGTCAAGTCGTTGGTGATGGAAGCTTCATGTGTGCATCTCCGACAAGTGCCATATGGGTTGGGTATAAACACAATATCCCTATCCTGACAATAGTGCTGAACAATGGGGGTATGTATAGGCCAAGTTGTTGCCATTGCATGATGTACTGACTGTGCGATAGGCTGGAAAGCACCACGCAAATCAACGGAGCTGGTATATCCGGAAGGACTCAACAAAGATGCCACAGACGACGAGCTAAGTATTTCCATCAGCCCGTCTCCGAGTTACTCGAAACTGGCCGAAGCTGCTGCTGCACAGTCTGATTGGATGCAAGCATCTCGAGTCACAACGGTCAAAGAACTGCGAGAGAAATTGGTTGAGGCCGCTAAACATGTACAATCGGGACGTGGTGCGTTAGTAGAGGCTGTCACTATGGATTAAACCGCCAGTTAGTTTCAAGATCATAGAACACAAGTAGAACGTTGAGCGAATCGTTTCGATCCAGCTAGAATGCGTATACATGAAGCTTTCAGGAAGCAGGATCCTAATTTTAGAATGTGCCGAGGTAGCCTGGATGATTCGAATAGCTAGAATCGTGAGGCTGCTCACTACGGCTAGCCGTCCATCATAGCTCCGCTATCGTAGAGAAAATCGTCAAAGTTCCAGCCCAAGTCCTGGAAGATATCATTGCTGAAAATATCGGCACCTTGAAACTCGAGGGGAAAATCGCTGTTGCCCTCATCCTTACTTCTTCTTGTTTGAGCAATCCTCGTTGATAGAGCCTCAAACTTCCTGATACATTGTGATACGTATGTACTCAGATGTTCATGTGCTCGGAGGGCCGACAAAACATCATCCCACGACTTCGACACCGACTCGGTGAAAAGCTCAGCCGAAAACATTGCTGCCAAAAAGTGGGTTCCTGCGATATGCAAATAGTAGATGCGATACCACCATGGCAGGAGACCCATTGGCTCGTAAGGGKCTAGTATCTCGATGATCATCTTTGTGAGCTTTTGTGCTGCCTCGACACAAACTGTAGCACAGTCTTTGATAACCCGATCACTTAGGCTCGATGGGTTAGTTGACGTTTGATTTTGCACCATGTCAAAGTTGATAGAGTAGACACGTGCCAAGAGCGGTCTGAAGAGGAAAATTCGCTGTAGAAGAAGTCTTATATACTATAATCAGTACTAGAAAGCAAAATAAATCGAGATAGTGCGATCTATTCATCCCAAAGATGGCAACGAGTATGTCTTACCGAAATTGCAACAGATACCCATGTGTCCGAGAGACCCTATCAATGACCAGTGGGAGATTCTGCAACTTCCAGTGAGTAGGAAGTTTACTCTCCCACCTATCAAGACAAGTGTCTAACTGCACTGCCACAGAGTGGTACTGTTCTTGTCGGTATGGACGTGGTAGACCCAACTTAGCTCCAAAAGTATTCCGAGTTTGCGTCTGTGCTAATTGGATTTGGTTTCCAATCTCATAAATTTCCAAGTACAGATGTTCCATGTTACTTTTGTCTTGTTGACCGTCATTTAAAGGTGTGGGATCGGATCCTTCAGTGCTTTGCCATGGAAGGACCGGGAATGAAGTGGATATCGTGCCGAGTGACCACGACACGCATCTAAACCTCAGTCAGTGTAAAGTACACGACGGAGGTCTAATAACCTGCCAACCTATCGAGTCCAACACAGCTTGCCCATATCTGTTGTTTCAGTTTCCGATCCTTGGTAGACTCCTTGGACGAAGAGTCATAGGCGAGAAAGCAGCGCAAGCTCTGAGCAATTCGCATTGCTAAACCCGCCGTCGTCCAGGTCTTTTGTCGATTGTTGGTACAGTGAAGATATCTATTCATAAGCATCAAGCATTGAACCATCTCGAGCGAGCCAGACTCCCACAAAACTCTTTCTAGAGGAAGAAGCGCCCATGCACGCAGAAAATAGCTATTGGCCTCATCATCACGCTGTTGTACAGGGATCGTTTCCTGCCTCTGTACCGCTAAAGCAAAGACAAGATTAATTATACTGAGTTTAAGTGTGCAATTGCCGTCGACAGAAGTATTGTGCGAGTTGCATATACCCTCGTAGTCGCGTAAAAACTGTTTTTTGTCAAGGATTGACTCGATTGGGTGGACATGTTGCCAGTATACACCCACGAGTCTATCGGCATATGCACGGGGAGGTAACTTTGTGGGCGATCCAATACCACTACCTGAATGGCTCCACTCTATTTCTCCAAATAGTGGTGCATCCACAAAGGGGACTAGACTTGTAATGACTGGCGACGGAGCGAGGCCCGCTCTGTCGTCTACTGCGGCTGTAATGTCGCCAGCAAACTGCCCATACGGGGTGTAGTACGCGCGATCGTCCTCCGGAGCCGGATTTTGAGTATCCTCCACATGATTCAGTGAGTATAAAGGTTCAGCAAGCTGTGGGTCGTTTGACTGAGAGTTCGAGACAGATGTAGACGGTCGGTCGACAACATGACTGCGTATGGGTGGTTCATATCCTGTTGCGGATACGCGTTTTGTTCGGCGCCTAACTATAAGAGGCTCGGATTTGTACATGCATTCTTTCCTCCTTTCCAGACACCTTGAACATTGTGGGCGAACACCGTCGCACTTAACCTTCCGCCCCCGACAGGCTTGACAAGCATTGGCAATCCTCAATCGTGGCCTATGCGGTAATGAGGACGGTGCATCGTGGTCATCATCCGGCTGAAAGGATGTATCCATGACTTCTCCTTTGCTGACTTCCATAAAACGAGGGAGGAGACGGCGATACTTGGAGAAGATGAACTTCGTCAGCTCGGTTCGGATGTTGTTGCTGAGGAAGGAGCAAGATCCACTGCGGAAATCAATATTATTGGCTTTCTTTTAGAAAAGCCTCTAAGCCAATCATACTTCTTGCCGACGTCGGCTGCTCAGCCAATGATATTAGTTTCCGTCCCCCGACAGAACAAGTTGGGCCTTTGGGTTATCAGCAAACCTGCTTATAGAGTCGATAACCTGTAGACTGGCTGTTCCTGAATATGATCGGTCTATATGTAATTAATTTTTCAGGCTACGCTTATTCTCAGTATCAATTTTGTCCATCTGAGCTTGATATCAACTAGTGGACATTTAGCCATTGGCCGCATCGATAGAATATGTAACATGTTTTCACAAATGAGCAGCAAAACGACAAAGGATCCCGACATCGAGAAAACGCACGCACGCATTGATAAAGCGGTCAAGGCACAAAACGGGACCCTTTTGTGTTAAATTTCAGAAGGATGAGTCAGAAAATCTAATAAATTGGTGCTCAACTAGGAGTGGTTCCTTACGGCCATCGTAACCTGGTCCGTTTTCGTCGTTACATTTACTTCTTCAGCATACTCTGAGTCATACAAGAAGTCATAGATGAGTTTTCATTAGCACCGAGGTTTTATAGTTGCAGTTTCTATCTTCGTGCTTGGCTTAGCAATTGGTCCTGCTGTACGATGTCCTTTGGTAAGCCGAGCCAACTAAACTTGTTTGTCAGAATAAGAAGAATATCTGACGTAGATCTATTCCCAGATGACATGGACAGACCAAAGTCGAATCTCTCGAGGATATGGAGCAAGGGTAAGCATCTTTTAAGGTAGATTTATTATCCCCTTTGTAGGCTAACAAAAAATTCTCCTAGTGTTCAACTTTGCAAAGACAGCAATCGACCAATCGACTTTGAAAAAGTTCATCACGACGCTCATGCCATGTTCAACCCCGATGATTAGAAAGAGAGTGTTAAGCACGTGGAGTGAGGAATATGCTCGCCATTCTGTCGCATTTCCAGTGTCATGCCGCAAATAAGTAGAAGAAAGTATGAGAATCACGCAAGAAACGGATTATTGATAGGAATACTCTAGTCAAACAAGACCAATTCGGTCCGGTCAATCATCCTGCCATTGTTAAGGCCCAGGCTGAGGAGAGATGCATGCCCAGAACAAAATCTAAAGCAAATACATTGACGCCTGAACACCTTATTGAAAGACAGATAACGCAAAGAAATAAGGACACATGAATAGACATGCGTTATACATAGTGGCACAAGACAAACAGGGCCTCGTTGACTTACTCGCAGATCTTGCCTCGAATCAATAGCGATGTGAAGTGTAGGAAGCAGTTGACATGGGCTTTGTACGGAAGCCGCTTGAATCGATATCCATAGGAGATGATCCATAATAACGAGCGACGGCTGCGGTACGATCAAGGTCCATGGGCGTGGTGGGGCTCAGTGCGATGACTTGTGTCCAACTCATGTCATTGAAGACTCTGACTTGACCCATAGAGCGAATGTTCCTATCTGCGACAGTCTGACAGCATTGTTCAATCGCGTCTGAAATAACATTAATGATGAACATAAACAGGCGTCAATCAACTTGGGACGTCATACCTGTGCTCCATGGTAGCTGAATGTAGCGATTGTCGTGCAAAAGTCTAAGCAACTGCTTGACCCAAACACGGCAAGTCCATTGCCTTTCTCCTCGAGGGAGGTAACGGGTATCCATGAGTCGTATAGACGAGGCATAATGCTCAAGAACTTGAATACCGGGCGAGTTTGAGATCTTCAGACACACAACCATAGTTCTTGATTTGATAGGATTTGTTACTTTCCGAACCTCTTTGTAGAGATCCAGCGGAGCTTTTCCTGTATCTGTGGCGTGAAGTAGATGACCCTGCGGCGGGGAGCTTCCTGTATTATATAGAGCCCAATGCTAATGCCGTCCTTAGTATCTGCTAAATGCAAGTTTCCAATGTGGCGGAACTAATCGATAATCAAACATACATATTTATTCCGTCCGTCCACAGTACGTAAATATTGAAGGGTGATATATAGAGAATTCTGGGTAGTCATGATGAATGTGTCTCGGATTTTGTTCGAGGTATATAAAATTGAATCTTTGAGCAGGTATGACCTTATTGTGATAGGTACCTATAAACTGAATTGCTGTGGATGACTATTAACGATATGTTTCTGACGTGAAATTCGCGGACTCTCACGGCTACGATTATATTATATTTCATTTCGAATATCCGCCTATGCCTCGAACGACCTGAAACACACCCATCACTTTTTATAACCCTGACGCCGGCACTGACTAGGGTCGATTGGCGATATGACTCGAATATTATGTAAACTATTGGATGTTATGCTCAAGACATCCAAGGTTCTGTTGGTCTCTCAAACAGCCATTAAGAACGAACCCAATTTATCCAATCATTCAATACTAGTTTTTTATGCTACTGCCAAAATTGGCAAATCAACGCCGCTGTTACAGTGGCTTGGGATGGTTCAGCGGCTAAGTTGGCGGCTATCATAAAATTCGTCACTGGCGAGCCAAATAGAAAATGCACTGATATTTAGGTAATTTTAGGCATGAAACTTCAAAGAGTTTCAAGTTAAATGTGCCTATTTATAAATGGTAGTCCCCCAAGAGAAGGGTTCACTAACCGAGTCCCTGGATTTGACATGGATAGAGGCGAATGTACCTAGCTAATCAAATTTTTTTTGCGTACCTACCTATTAGCTGGCGAACGTCGATCGGTGGCATTTCTACACGAAGTGAAATAGCGGATTGGAAAAGGCCTATCATCTACAAGGAGAACTCCTGGCCGACTCTAGAAGTGTGATTTGATATCGTTCAATTGCCTAATACGTGAGTATTGAGAAAATCTACAGCGTCATCCATTCCTTGTGGTGAGTTGAACCAGTGTCCTCCCCTGGGGTACTCTTTCCACTCAACCTGTGCACCATACCCACGCAAAATGTCCCGTAACCCACGGCCATTTTCAACCAATACTAGCGGATCGTCAACGCAGTGCTCAAGCAACATTGGTGTATTTCGTAGAGTATTGTCATGATCGGGAACACAATCCAAATCGAGTACATCTCGCATCTCGGATAATGTTCTACCAGCAAATGGACAGCGACAGGAGAATCCTAAAAACGCTCCAAGCCTGCCGCCTTGAGTTGCTGGCACGTCTAGATTGAACAGTGTGTGGACGCTAGTGGCTGCGCCCATACTTATTCCTGCTAGGACGATGCGATCAAACCGCCCTCCTAACAGAGAGGACTCGCTGTTTAAAATGTTTCGTATAGCTGGAACAACCTCTTTGAGCCCAATAGCCTGGAGTCCTTCGTGATCGGCAAAATTTCGGACATTCCAGACATCAAACCATTGCGGCCAGATGTCTGAAGACGTCGCACATTGGCGTTTTGGGGCCTGAGGGAACACCCAGCGGAAAGAAGGAAACCTATCAGCTAGTGTTTTGCCTTGGGAATCGCGCCAAAAGTTTAGCGCCCGAGTAAAGTTGTGTACATTGTCGCCACGGCCGTGCAGAAAGACGACAGTATGTGTATGTGGTGCCTTGGGGGCGATGGCGATGCACGGAATTTCCGTCGAGTCCGCCATTTTGAGCACTGGTCACTGTGAAAAGAAGTGTAAGCGTCGAGAAAAGAATGTTAGATGTTGCAGATACTTACAAAATATAGTAGGGCGCGTAGTAAATAAAGGCGACCCCACAGCGGGGCATGGTATTAATCTATTAATAGTGTACATAGTATGCTATCGGCTGTAGGACCAGGCGAACAAGACGAGTCAATGCCGAACTCTAGAGACTAACTAGCGAAAAAAGACACAAAGAATTGCGAACGTGGTATCATTAATGTGCCTATCGTATGACGACCCAGGTCACACTCCGTCGCCTGACTCCCAGCTCCTTTGCTCAACATCATACTCTCGCGAATAATCACCGAATTCTGCGAAAACTTTTCCAATCATATCGGTATATCGCCGGAATCCTCTGAATCCTTCGAACATGGCCTTGGTGTAGTCCCAATACTCGGGATAATATCCTGATGTTTCCCAGTCCACAATCCCAGTCACCTCCCATCCACGGCTTCCATCCGGCTGGATTACTCGATCGACGAGTATATTGCGAGGATTAAGATCTGCATGTGTAAATACTATTTCGTGTCCACGTCGAGCAGGTTCGTCTGAGAATCGCAAGGTTTGACTGAACGCTGCTTCGTCCTTGAAAGGTCCAACTGGCTGTCCGCCCTGGATCCGTGGGTCATGACAGGCTTCACCAAGGGTGTTACAGATTGCCATCTCTGGATTGACTGTTCTAGGAATATTTCGTAGCTGGGATAAGTAATCTTTCAGCTGATAAGAAATCTGTTCGAGGTCGAAATCTGACAGAACCTCGAGGCAGCGCGATAGGGGCTGACCAGGAAGTCGTGTAGTAAGTAAATACGCCTCGGGAGAAGAGAATGGATCGTCTAAAACAGCGGGCTTGATTGCCAAATCGAGAGAGCGTGGAACTGGTATTGAGGTATTCTTTTGAACCACTCGCAATGCATTGAACTCGTTGCGAAACGCCTCAACGTCTCCCTGAAATTTGAGGTATAGTCCGAATGGAAGCCTCTGAACGGTTGAGTAGTTGTTCGGTGTACCGTATATGCGCTCTCCAAGTCGTCGCATGACGCCATAGCCAGCTAATCGCAAATTCACTGGAAATACTGACCAGATTGCACCAAAAACACCTGCGAAATAACCTGTCATAGAGAAGATCCCTCTACGTAATCGTTGAAAGGGTAGGAAGAAAAACGAGACAGATCGCCATAGTAATGAACCTGAGACACGAGGCAGGCGATCTGCTGCAAATTTTTGAGTCAGTTCGAGATACCGTACGCTCTTACAAAGTCGGGCATGAGTGCCGATAAATCTGGGATCTATCTTCTCGGTGCCCAACCGTGAATGGTCGCCTAGTAGTGGGTAGACACCGTCGAGAGGTATAGGTTCCTCTGGCCCCATGAGCACATGTCTAACCTCGTACTATCGGATATAGTCAGGGGTTAAAAAGTCTTGAAGAAAGCTGATGGTACTTACCTCGATAAGAGATGGTTGAAGTCTATCCAGCCTGATAAATCCCCGCGCAAAAACATCTGTCACGGATCGTCGAATCAACCAATGGTTGGAATATGGTCCGATGCGACTGGCACTCCTAATGTAAGAAAGCCACCAGTCTCGATATTGAGGACCAAAGAATGCTCCAAGCATCTCAGAGATATGTGCCTTTTTCGAGTTCGTTAGCCGTCCACTCCGGAAGATCCAAGTACTAGCCACATGCCTTTTGCGTATCCCATCCCAAGGGAATCGGAAGGATGGACGCAACTACAAGAGGGTCCCAAAATGTGCCTTTTCTGCCAGTCGCACAGCATCTCAGTCCATCCCTTCGAATAATAGCACTTTTAGCTGATTCCTCGGGCCGCGCCGGAGGGCAACCACTTTCAGTAACTATGCAATAATTAGCGGGAGTTACTTAATAAAATTGAAAAGCACATACTGCAGTTAATTATGTAGGTCCAATCAGCTACTATAGAAGAAGGATCTTCGGTCGATAGCCTCTCCTTCAAATAGTGGGCTGCATGTACCGGGCTGAGAGCTTCGGTGACAAAAGATGCGAGTAATGGACCACCAGGATACGGCAATTCAACGTTCTCAATGAGAGATAGCGTTCCATTTACAACGGGATTATCGGAACTCATGGCCTGATGTAGAGTGTTTTGGTTAAATCAGGAGGAGTTGTTCATGTTGAGTACGCGTCGGGCGAGAATGGCGCTTAGTTGGCCGCGGAGATAAGATGGCTGTTGAACAAGAAATCACGTGATACGAAGCGTCACAAGCAGCCATAATAGAATACATTCAAGTCCGTTACAATATTGCCTTTATTAAGGGGATCTCCTTTTTCGTAAAGAGAAATTACAGCTCCGTCAATGACGTTAATCCACGTGACTTTTCACATGTTTATTGCGCGAAATGTATTCGGGATAGCTTCATATGGAAAAGAGTCCATATATGTCCCCCGATTTACATCAAGCTGTGAGTGAAGACGTAAGTATCAGAGGGTTGATGTCTCCTGAGTATCTCGAGCGCGCTCGTATCCCTTCATCATTGGGAACGCTGAGATCTACATAGGTATGCTATGCTGTCCACCTTTGATATCTTTCAACCGTAATTCTTCGGCTTAACAAGGCTGTAGCTGCATTCACAGGCCTATAGGTATGAAATCGTGGACCATTCTCCAGGTTTCATTGGACAAATCGTGCTCATTCCGCGATATATGTAGGTAGGTCTGGCCAGGTCGAAGATGGGACCTTACAATATCTTCTTCCGTCAATCCAGGAGGAAGATTGTCGCCTAGTCGGAAAGCACCATGTGGCCGGATGCGGGCATCCTGGGGGATGACGGTAACTGCCGTTGTTTCGGTTTCCAAATCTGTTAGTGGGGATGATAAGCCTGTGGCAACTTCGGACTCTAAAATGCTGAAGGGACTGCTTGATACACTACTGCCATGAGAGTAGGACTCAAAATCAGTAAACTCGTCGAATGGTTGTGGTGACGTGATATTGTCAATGCCTTTGGCTGCATTCGTCGTTGTTGCAGATGTCTCCTCTAGCATCATAATCAATTCGATGAGAGCAGCTCCCTGGTCTCGCTGAGAGAGCCCCTGCACTTGATGTGTTCGACGTAATAGAGCAAGTGCCGCACGACGAATTGTTGGTTCACGACACCTCAGACAAGTAAACCAAAGCGGAAGACCGAGACTGAGTTCAAATGTGTACGGCGCTTGCGTGCCGTCATTCCGCGCCGAATGATTGATAGCAACAGCGGCTTTTTCGACTATAGCTTGGAAATTTCGTATGTAGTTGTCGGTCGTAATCCGTAATGGAGACCCACAGACCGCGAGGATGACGTATAGCATCTCGTAGTAAGAGGAAAGAAGGGCGCTGATGCTGACATGCAATGGTGATAAATCGCCTCTTTTGCGCAAGGAACCCAACAAATCAGTGAAAGCAATATTCCAGCTCTCTAGCCTGGCTGATAGTGTTTTCTGTTGAATTGCCATATCTTCTGATATTTGCCAAGCACGTGAATTTTGTAGATATTGCTCGCAAGTCATTTCGAATAGCGAGATCTCCGCGGATAGCATGACAATCGCTTCCCGAGCGGACTTCAGAGTGGGATATTTCTCTGGCAATGTCAACGTGTACTCAGTCTCCTGCACCATGGTGATTGCCAAACTCCAAATATTCCGGGGGGAGAATGATGCCAATCGGATGAAAATCGGGATAATTGTATCCCTCAGCAACGAAGCCTGCGTCGCTGTTAAGGTCCCGCTGGACTTTTGTGCCCATAAAGTAAGAATAAGATGGACGCCTTGTCCATAGAGGTGCGTCGCTTCTTCCAGACCGCCCAAGATGGACTCGATACATATAAAAAGAACGCATGTGATCAAGCAAACAAATGAATCAACGCCACCACGTTCGATTCCTTGACGAACAGCGGACACTGAGCGTGAATACCAGTCCAATGCATCTTGTTGGGGTTGGTTAGAAGCACGAGATTGACCCTGGCGAAAAGAAGTGAGACTTGAAGACGAGTCATAGGTGGGACTCTCGAATAAAGAACTTATTGCAATCATAGCATCCCACACGGCAGGTTCGCTCCGGCAAATCTGCGGGACTGTGGTCTTCCAGAAATCAGCATCAAGTCCACCGCCGATGGATGTGGCAGCGTGTTGAAAATAGTAGGCGAAAGCGCGACGCTCTCGTGATCCTGTATTCGGTGATGGAGAAAGAGATACATGAGGAGTAGATGTCAAGGGAGGTGTGGAGGTATATGTGCGGATAATAGTACTTGCGTACTCGCACTTGCGACCTGTGCTACTACATCGCAAACACAGTGGCTTCTCTTCTCCGCATTTCACTTTTCGTATCCTAGATATATATCAGCGACATTTCCAAGTACAACACAGAAACTGACACTCACTTGCAGGTTATACATCCGAGTCTTGATTTCAGGGGCTTGATAGAGCCATTTCGTGACGTGAGCGACATTTCGGCTTCATTCCTACGCCTGGGGCCTTGACCCGGTATATCTTACGGAACGCAAATTGGATGCCAAGGTATCAACGGCGACACGATAAATAAAGTATGCGGGCCTAGTCTGTTAGAAAGATCGTGTATTATCGACTTTCTTCTGATGGCAGTGTCATTTAAAGATTTTGAAACACGTTTGAGCTGATCAGCCTTAACAACACCGGATTATTGCTGACCCGAGATCTTGCCTGACATGGACTAGCACGCCTTGGCATTTGCGACTCAGAGGAAGTTTGAGAATCAGCCCTTACCACGTGATATGTAGCAAGTGCTTGAGTCACGTGATCGAGAAGCCCTAGCCCTCATTCTCTATCGCTGGACCGTGATTACCTTCAGCACAGTATCGCTAATCTACTGCTCCGGCATTTGGTCGATGAAAGCAAGGACAGGTTTTATTTTTTCCGGGGTTATCTGGGGTGGATAGGCGCAATGCATGCGGTCTATACAAATGTTCGCGGTCCTCCGATCTGGGAAGAGTGTAATTAGTGGATACTTTTTACATGTAGCTAGGCCCCACAGCTCGATTAGAGAAATCTCGAAAACCTCAAAGGCTCACAGCAAGATGTCTGGATTTAGGGAGATTGCAAGAATGTTTCCTGGTCGATTTTGACCACCATGTGGGAAGCTTATCTATCCTTTGACGGACACCGGGTTGGCCGAATGGAATTGAACTATAGATATTGTGATATATATACTGCGTTAAGGTCTGGTTGAATGATGTGCCATCTTGACTAGAAACACCAAACAAAATTATTGTGCCTTAAATTTCAACATGAGAGACAGTGTCCAAATGCAGCCTGCTGTACAGGTTATGAGCCATGATCAAGACCCCAAAGTTGCGGCTTTGGCCAAACATGGTGACGTTGCTCTTGGTTTCCTTGAGACACACGAACCAGTGGTCTTTACTCCGGAAGAGGAAAGAAAGGTCGTTCAGAAGATTGATCGAGTGTTAATGCCGCTAGTGAGTGAAAGTTGAACTATACGCCATACAGCAATGACTGCTATTCCTCTGATCGGACTGCACGATTGACCAATTGTGTAAAGATGGTCATCAGCTACACGATTCAGTATATGGACAAGAGTGTCATGGCCCAGTCAGCTGTTTTTGACCTGATGTCCAGCCTTGGATTAAAAAACCAAGAGTATTCATGGTGTGGGTGAGTCTACTATTCTCCGATAAAAAAAACCTCCGATTTTCAACACGAGCATTAAACTGACACTTTCAGTTCCATCTTTTACTTCGGGTACCTCGCTTTTCAGCCATTCGCTGCTCGTTTACTGGCTTKGATGCCCCTAGGACGATTTGTCGCGTACACTTCAATCGTATGGGCAATAATTTTGTTCTGTACAGCCGGTGCTTATAATTTCTCTGGCATGATGGCAGTCCGATTCTTCCTAGGTATGGCTGAAGGTGGTATCTCACCCGCCTATGTTTTGATCACAGGCACCTGGTACAAGAAGAACGAAATTCCCTTGCGCATCACATACTGGTACTGTGGAAACGGGCTCGCAATCATAATTCAGTCGTTCATCGCTTATGGTATCGGCCATATCAACACCGGTATTGCAGTCTGGAGATGGTTCTTTATTATATTTGGCATTCTTGGTCTGGCCTGGGCCGCTGTCCTGTGGAAGTATATGCCAGACACTCCTCTAACTGCCAAATTTTTCAATGATCGTGAAAAGGCCATCGCTGTGGAGCGTCTTCGTGAAAACCGCACCGGTATCGCCAACAGGGATTTCAAGAAGGATCAATTCATTGAAGCTCTGACTGATCTAAAGGTCTGGTATGGGTTCTTGTACGCAATCGCCTGCGTTACCCCTTCAACGTCAGTGGCCAATTTCGGTGGCCTCATTATTAAAGGCAAGTTTCTAAACTAGACATGCGTCATCAAAGTCACCTTCTAACTTAATAATGGCAGGCTTCGGTTATGGCAGCTTTGAAACATCACTCCTCAATACACCACTTGGCCTAACGGAAATAATCGGTTTGCTGGTGACTGGCTATGTCACCTTTTACTTCCGCAATACTCGCTGTTTGATGCAGTTTATTTGCAACGTGCCTTCTGTCATTGGTGCTGTGCTTGTTTACACCCTGCCGAAATCTAATCAAGTAGGCCGGCTCATCGCTTTCTATTGTACTAATTTCACAAACGGCTCTCTTCCCATGATGTTCTCTCTTACAACGACAAATATCGCTGGCCAAACAAAACGCGCTACAGCCAGCGCTATTATGTTCCTAGGTTATTCTGTTGCATTCATAATTGGCCCCCAATTCTTTCTGACCAAGGAGGCTCCTCAGTATCCTACCGGTTTCAAGGAGATGATGATCTTGTATGCTGTCGCTTGTCTTACTCCAGGTCTATATGCCATGTATGCAATGTGGTTGAACAAGCGCAAGGCCCAGAAGCTACAAGAGATGGGCGATGCAGATATCCATATTGAAAACGAAGAATTTTTCGATATGACTGACAAGCAGCAGCGGCATTTTGTGTACTCGTATTAGGTCGACTCGGACAGATATTTTCACTGGAAGCTACTATATCTGCAAGGACCAGGTCAGATGGATGTTTGTTGAAAATTGGTATTTCCGATAGTGGCTAAATGTTGAGGAAGTCAGGGTTGAGACAATACATGTAAAGATATTGTACGACTCCTTCGCAATTAAATAGCCGAATGACAAATCTGTAGAAATAGGTTCGAGCAATATGAAAAGTGGTTTAATACTGCTTTAACAAGATCAAGTAACACCTGGGACGATGTACCATTCTGGGTCCCATTGGAAAACCTCCATACCGTCAAACAGAGGGTTTTCCAAAAATTGCGACCCATCAAAGAATTCGAAGGAAAAGTCAGCATCCACTCCTTGGTTCCACGTTAGTGGCCCATCCGAAAAGAGCAAACCGTGTATCTCTTCAGTAATCGCAATGTCTTCGAATGAAAGATACAGTGGGTCTGTGCCTGCGGCGATAGCGGAAGCAACTTTTTGAACCAAAGGTCTCAAACGATCAGCGCATGCAGCAGCTTCATTCCAACGGTGGCCAATTTTTGCGAGAGTTTGAACGCATTTCGGAAGAGAGTTCTCGATCATCTCCTTGATCTGATCTACAAGCAAAGGCGAGTTGCGAGAAGACCAACAGGCCTCTAAGGAAATCACCACTGTCTCAAACAGAATGTGCACACCGTGCCATGGGTAGAATAACCTTCGACGTCGTTCCTGACCTAGATAGTCCTCGATTAGTGCAAAAGAAGATTCGAGAACAATACGGTGGTCTTCAGGAGTCCTCGTTCTTAGTCGAGGTGTAGGCCGATGGATTCGCACTAGGAGATGATAGAATTGCACATGCTTAAACTCTAGCATATTGTATTGCGTCCATGACTGCGCCTTCTCGTACCACGTCGATAATCGGTCTGAGATGTTTTGAATCCAAGATTCAAAATCCGTACATCGAAAGTTCTGCAAGTCCTCTTGCAAATGGAGGACTCGGTGGACTTCGGTTTCTAGCGCTCGATATAAGTAGATGTGAGTTGCGGATGACTTTTTTCTCACGTCATCTTCGGTGGATAGAAAGGAGGGTACATCGCCCGTGGGTATTTCCAACTACAATAGTAAGTAATGCGAAATGCGAACGAGTGAGCGAATATTCGCCTACCTTATTAGAAATTGCTTCTTCTGCGAACGATAATGGGAGTCGAAGATTGGTACACATCGATCTTTCCATCCCATATGTAACCCAAAACAGGTCTGAGCGTAGTTGCTTTTGCTCCGAATTCAAGCCGTCCGGGCTTTCTCTATATAGTCCCAAATTTAGGACAATTCTAACTGCATTAGCTATGCATGTCCAATTGTCCACTCTTTCCGGGCACATGTGAGCGTAGTGAGCTAGGAGTAATGATATCTGCAGGGCTTGTATCTCACTATGCTCCTGTAAAGCTTGTAGATGATTGCGCGCAGAATTAAAGAAAGATTCCGATGCCGCTCGGGCTTGATCCTCAGCTTTCCAGGTCAGGGTTAATGCCGAGATAGCCAGGGCAATAAAGAAAACAAAATATTCGAAGTGGCCTAGTCCCGAACTGCTTGCTATCGCTTGAGGAGGTGAGGATTTGGTATCTTCCAATTGTATTTCTTGCGAGTTCATCACAATGTTCTCCAACATCGCTTTCGGCACACAGGGGTACTGTGGCAGATGCGTCTCGACATAGTTCTCCATCATCTGCTGGATAGCCAGATGCGGCACACTGCTAATATCTATAAGGGTATTTGAAGAGTGTCCACTGTATCGATCCGAAGCCCAAGATTTATCTTTGGATACTAGTTCTTCGGCAGAGATATGACCTCGTTCTCGCACAACGGCAAGCGGTGGGCATGAGGGCCGAAAGAAAAGATTTGGTGAGACTTTGGAGCGGAGGAAGGACCCCGCGCTTGGAACTCCGAAGGAAATAGTAGCTTGTGCTATTCTAGAGGCCATGGAATAGGGTACATTTTGAGGGACGGTTCGAATTGCAAGCACTTTGGTTTCGAGTTCCGCTACACGAGCTTCAAGTGATTTAACTAAGCTTGGAGGGAGTCAGTAGTGGTCTTTTGAGATAGTAAAGGCGGAAATCTCATGAAGACCTACCTTCTTGGAACTGCCTTTCTCGTTGCAGGGTCAAATCCCAAACAGGTCGCGTTTGCTGATTTGCATGTCGTGCAAGCAGGAAACTTGAAATCACACTAATCGTTATTTAAATAAGTGGAGGTACTACATAAAGCCTTTGAAAGAAAACACCATACCTTGGTTTTGCGCTTCCGGCAGCGAACGCACACCTTGGTAGACCGTCGCTGAGATCGCTGCATTGTGGGCTATATCGGTATATTGTATTATGGTTGAATGTTCCTACATCTCGGGTTTGTTATATAGTCAATGTTATCTACAGCATCATCAAGAACAGATATTTTCGCATAAATTGAAGTGATCCCAAGCAGAGGAGGAACGGGGAGTTCTTTCCCTTTTCCGGCCGGAAAGAAACCCGAGCCGCGCCACGACCCCGTGACGCGTCGATTCACGTGCATTCTTTCGGGTTCTCCGTCTAAAAGTTGGCTCCATTTTTGAATGCAGACTTACTGAAGCAAGACTCACTATAAGCTCATCCTGGTTCATAACTGTTTAGTCTATACTTGTCGGTAAAGCATAGGACACGAATCTGCTTGATTGACTGAGTCAAGGCTTAACTTCCACTATTCGTGTCATGCTTCGACGAGATTGCTCGTCGAAGCTGCAGCGTAATGTTGCAAACATGCACACGATGTCGGTCTAGACGCATTAAAGTATGTGGTCTTCCAGGTGGAGATGGCCGACAGCGATTTGACGATTTACGACGAATTAGTGTGACTCTCTTCTTCCAGCATGCGCGAATTGCGCCAAAAGCGATTTAGAATGCACCTTCAGAGACGATGCTCTTCAAGAAGACGTTCCTCGAAGGTATGTATACAAGTTCGCCTAGATGGACTTTGATCTTGATCATTTTCGCTTACGTGGAACAAGTTATGTTAAAGCGCTTGAAGATCGGATCCAAGAGTTGGATTCTCAACTGGCCCTGCATACAGAAAGCCCCATACCAAAGTAAGAGATGAATCCCCTGTAATTGCTCTCTTAATTAAATTATCAAAGAAGCATTTTTCAACACGATGGAGTATCGCCCGTTTCAATCGGAGCTCGCCATAAGCCGATGCATGTCTTGATGCCCGGGCCTAGACAGGATCTGTATCTGGACACTTCGTTTCCATCACGCATCACAAATGTCACTTTTGAGGTGTTGTTGCAATCAAAAGACGTTGAAATACCAGATTTCCCTGATGTTGAGTCTGTTATTCCGGAGATTCTTCAGTCTGATAGGTCTCTTATCACTCCAAGCATAGTGCGCCATCTTCTCGCTCGCTATGACCGCTGCATTCGGCCCCAATATGACGCGATTGCTTTGGAGATCCCATCGTACGATGGTGCAAATTTGAAGAAAGTGCCAGCCGATCCAAAATTCAAGATTCTCATGGCTTGCGCTATCGCCGCTGCTTGCGAATCTTATAAGGCTCCTATCTGGAAATCAATTGCATATATCTGCCGGGAGTGGGCTAACGACCTCACAACAAGTATTCTTTCGGCAGCAGACAGAGAATCATTGACAGCAACGTTACTGCTCCTCATATATGAGCTCGCAGACTCAAGTAGAGGGGCGACTTGGGAGTTGCTTGACCTAGCTGTACGAATATGTTTGCAGTTGGGTTGGCATCGTACAGATCATGGTAAACAAAGTAGTCCTCATTCCATGGATGGCATGAACCCTTTAAATTCGATCTCGTGTGGACCAGATGATGTCCAATTAATGTCGGTAATAAAGAGCATCGACGGGTAGGTACAATAAAAATAATCACCTTGGCCCATTCGCCTATTGACGCTTCGCAGATCTTTACGAACAATCTTCGGTCGACCAAATATGTTGAATGGATCTCAACTACCTTCAACATCTGATACCGAGTATATACTTTCAACTTATATGCGGTTGTCTCACGAGATATACGATACAGATCAGCATTACGAGAACGAAAGTTGTCCGTTTACTGGAGAAATCTATCTGTTGATGGGGGTCATGGAAGGGTTCAAAGATCAGCAGCCAGTGGTACTAGAAACGTGGTTACTATTTCTTCCTGTCTGTGTTAGACACAAACAGTGTGTTTTCTGTTTTCAAGAAGCAGACGAGCCCATTGCCAGGGGCATGCGATCCCTGAGACACCGAGTGGTGGTTGCTGCATCGAAATTGATCTCAAATGTATATGAAATGGCGATAGCTCGAGACGGATTCGTCCCCCCTCTCATAGCAAGCGCACGGGCCTTTGTCTCTGGCTGCTCAATCGCAACTGCTATAACAAAAAGATGGACAACACCACAATCCCACATCAGAGACCTAGCTAGATGCACGGAAATACTCACTCTTTTTGCACCGCACTGGAAAGGTGGACATCGATATCTGGAAATATGGAGGAATATCATCGACATTCTCGACACGAATCAAACGTAGATGCAAGATCCCTTCTTTGTGGCACGATTTCTACGCTACTTAGCACCGCCTAATTCGTCGGGGATGCTTTCGAAAACTGTCTAAAGCACGACTCACTAGAAACTCGCCACATTTATCCGAAATCCTGAACACTCGACGGTCCTAATTTGGGAACATCTGGTGACCCAGGCTATGAGGTGTCATGGATGTTCATGAAACCTGAAGGACGCGAGCCAATGATTTGTGACAAGTCTCGGTGTATCCCAATAGGCATTTTCAAGGCTGATTCGGTAAGATCGAAGGAAATGGCTATTTCCTATGCTCCTCCCGCTCATTGTACCAAGCGAACTTTGATTGTCTGGATAACATTGATGATGAGCAAGGTGTATCATGCAGAATACTCCATGGCAGAACTATGACCATGACTGGCCATTTTTCTGTATCCAACGGGTAAAAATGTCCCATTTTACTCCAAGGAGACAAACACGGTGTTGTCCAGGGTCTAGGCGTCGATCAACCTGCTTCGATACTTTCAAGATGGGTTTCTTGTATATGTTGATCCATACTGCAGTTTTATATTCGGAAATTTCGTCATTAATCGTTGAATTTGATTTGGTGGACTCCTGTACCTCTCGGATACTGAATTTCGTCATTATAGCCTTGTGTCAAAGAAGTGCGGGCTTGTCTCGGCAGACTGAGTCGCGAACAACTGTAATATCATTTTTCAAAACAGTTAGTCAACGACCAATTCTTGTAATTGTAGTATTATAGAACGATGTATCTTCATAAGTCAATCCGCGGACCTGTGCCATAATTCGGTATCCACAGACGGTCTAAACCGTGGCAGATGGAAGGAAATGTCATGCAACGAGATAATGAAATTGATTGAGCTCTACATGAAACCAAAGACGTAGATGACTCAGTCGGGGTCCACCTTTTTTGAAGTTGCGAATACGAGAGAGAGATTGATCAGTATCTAGGGTTACGAAGTATAGGTATAAACGAGAAGGTACACTGTATAGGTCTAAGAGCATAAGCTTGTTGGCCATAAGTAGGTAGCTGTCTTATATGTAGTCTGCTCAAGTGATTATATTTAGATTGGTTTACTGTCAATCTCAAGAGTTATTTGTAAGCCTGTGTTTCCTCCAAACAAACACGAACGAAACAGGAAGGGCTTGCAATATCGTTCTAAGTTATCAACTCCAAATATATAACATGTGATTAGTTTCAATGGTTCCAAGAACAGAAATGTATCCACGAATATAAACCAAGTAAGTTCATTGAGCTTGTCTCATCTAGTCGGAATTAGAGGTCACACCCTTGAGAACCAGTAATCGACCACCTTCTGCACGTATGACTTTCCCATCCATAAAGGAACCGGCTTTACTCATCAACCAGAGTGCAGTTCCCACCATATCCTCCTCATTGCCAGCTCGCCTAGCGGGGGCTTCTTCCGCAAGTCGAAGATTAGATGTTCCATCATCTGGCGTCATCCCAGATGGAACAATTCCAGGCGAAATAGCATTGACACGGACTGATACCTAGGTTAGATGGAGATCGTGGAGTTGGGAAGATTTCGTCGAATGATGGGACTTACTGTAGAAATCTGCAAACTCTGCCGCCATTATTCTCACAAGGTGGTCTACCGCGGCCTTGGATGTCTGATAAATAGGAACAAATTGATGATTATGAACACTGGCCGGACTGCTAAACATAATAACACTACCCCTCCCATCGCCTTTCACAGCAGCTGCTCCCAGAAGGGTTACCAAACCAGCTGTCAAGTAGTATGGGGCAAGGACGTTGACGCGGAAGACTATCTCCCATCCTTGATATGGCGCAGAAAGAGTGGCGGCTTCGAGCTTGCTGAGCCCATCTCCAGGGGTATAGGTAATATTGTTCATGAAGCGTATTCCAGCGCAATGAATCAAGCAATCGAGATAACCATGGGAGGATTTGATAGTCTCAACTACTTTTTTGACCCCTTCTTCACTTGAAAGATCCCCATGGATTCTTCTCACTCATTAGTCCAATCTAGAGCAAAAATCTGTGGGGATAATATCGAACCCACGTTTGAACTTTTAAAGAAACCCAGCCAAATGTTGGGGCGAGCCCTTGTAGCTCGGTTTTCACTTGTTCCAAAGCATTTTTATTGACATCTATGAGAATGGTGTTGGCGCCATTGATTGTACAACCTCGTGCGAGCATATGACCAATTCCACTAGCTTGTCGTTTGTTAGAGATTATGGAACTAATTCTTCTCGTTACACATAGGTCTTACCTGCTCCTGTGATTGCGACCCAATGATCCTTAACGGCAAAGAGCTGGTTTATCCTCAAATTATCGTTCATGTTGGCTTACAGAAGAATTGTGAAACTAAGATAGAATGCGATTGTTTCATTAAAGAGCTGCTCACGAAACAGATATTTTCAACGCGTCGAGAGTCGGTAAAGGTCTTCAGTAAGGCGTAAAATTTACCCAATTACTTGACGAGCTAATAATGATCAACTTGATTTTTTATTCTGGCTCAATTGTTCTCCCCATAAGTCGGCGATCAGCTATAAAGGGTGGTGGATCTTTTGCACAGTGCCGGCGCATCTGCCCGTTGCCTCGTATCAATGCGACGCTCTACTCCGACACTCACAATTTCCATCGTCAGAAAGCTTGTCTCGCTGCTTATCGCCGTGGCTTAGAGTTAAATATTATTAGCGCGTAATTTATCTCATTGTACTTCACTTCCAAAGATAAATCCCAAATATGGTAGAACAACTGGCACACTTTCACAAAACATTCCGGTCCTTACAATTTAACAAGTTTGTCCAACAAGTCATGCCATCAACCAACTTCATGACCGGGATAATCGTGCCTAATGGGTTTGCTGTGCTTGGCCTGGCGACTTGTGTCATTGGCATCGCCGTTGTGATATTTTTGCGCTTCTTTTATATTGATTTCCCAAAGATTGAAGGAATTCCGGAAATACCAAACGGGGACCTTCTTGCTGGCCATTTGTATCAACTTGATGATGATCACGCTACCAAATCAGAAACATGGGCGCGTACATACGGCTGGCCAGTTTTCCAACTGAGAATGGGTAGACGGCGGGCAATTGTACTCAACTCTTTTGAAGCTGCTCGGGAATGGATGGTGAAGAATCAGACTGCGACCCTGGATCGACCATGGTTTCATACGTTTCATGGAGTCATTTCGGCAACTTCAGGTATTTGAAAATAAAGAAACATTACGGAAGTGCATGGCAGGGCGATATTGATTTTCTTTTTGTATAGCTGCAACGATTGGAACCAGTCCCTGGGATGAACGGACCAAGAAGCAGAGACGTGTGATAGGCTCATTTACTACAGGACCATCCATTCAAAAGCTGCGCAATATGTTGGATATGGAAACGTGCGCTATGATTTCGGCAATATATTATGGCTCTGACAAGGGTACCAATGAGATTATGCCTCATATTTACCAGAAGCGGCTGGCATTAAATTTGATGACCATGTTCTGTTACGGAACACGATTCAGTACTACTACCGATCCAATGCTCCTCCAAATTCTTTCAGATGCCAGCACCATTGCGAGGTSGAGCCACTAAATTCCTATTCGATGAGCATAGCTGATGGTGTTTAGTTTTCGATCCACAAACTCTACTACGCAGGATTTCATCCCTCACCTGAGATATTTTGCAAGGAATGGACGAAATGAAACAGCTATTAAAGTCCGAGCACGCAGGGATCAGTGGTTAGCGACAGCTCTGAACAAGGTACGCGACACGGTAACGTTATTCTCGGGAGATAGGAAAAGTGTGGCTGCTATGCTACTTACTGATAATCAAGAGGGGTTGACTCCCCGTATGTATTCATACTATATTCGCTTGCAATAGACTGAAGCTAATCTGTGCAGTTGATATCAAGACTATCCTTGGTGGTCTCATGTCTGGAGGTTTCGAAACGGTATTTTCAACAGCCATTATCACTATTGGCATGTTGTCAACAGCCGAGGGCCAGTTGATTCAGCAGAAAGCATATGAGAATATCATGTCATTTTATGATACGGCTGAAGAGGCTTTCGAAGCTTGTGTATCCGAGGAGAAGTGTGCTTATATCTGTGGCTTGGTGAAAGAAGCATTACGATTCTATCCCCCACTCAAGCTTCTACCAGCTCGACAAACCTATAAGGAGTTCAACTACCATGGAGCGGAGATTCCCAAAGGCGTTTTGGTTTATATGAATGCCCAAGCAATCAATAGAGGTAAAAACTACTTTTCTCCCGAACTGGCAATCTTCGACCCTGACTGACTCTTCTAGATTCCACCACATACGGAGCCGATGCGGACCAGTTCCGTCCCGAACGTTGGGTTGACAAGACCTATGATGTTCCTCCACCATATCATTTTGCTTTCGGTGCCGGTGCGCGAATGTGTACTGCTGTGAATTTTTCAAACAGGGTACTCTACGCAATTTTCCTGCGTCTGATCGTCTCATTCAACATCACGGAGAGCAAATCCATGCCGGCCGACGTTCATTACATTAACTATAAGCGGGATCCAAGTGCATCAAATGCAGTTGCTTCGGACTTTAAGGTCAAATTTACACCAAGGTCGCATGAGAGCTTGGAGAAGTGCCTTGGCGAGTCTCAAGACAATTTGGCCGATTTCATGTCTAAAGACTCGGCCGAGGTTTTGTTGAGGTGATAGTAGTGTTTGGGAGATTTCATAGGTCAATAAGAGCTGGACTGAAGGCAGGCCCTCTCAAAATTGGAATATCAAATAACGATCGTCGATTGTAGAAATCAAATTCTGTCAATAGATGATGTATCTGTATAGCATTACATGCATTGAATGAGAGGAAACGACGATCTTTTCCTTTCCTAACTCTCTTACGGCATATTTTGAGACTGCCCTTTAGCTTTCCACACCTGGGCATCCTTCATAACAAAGTTGACCTTTCTGAGCGCATCAACAACATGTGCAGGATCTTCATCTAAAGCGATAATATCTGCTTGATTTCCCTCTTCAAACCATCCAAATCGTCTTCCACACAGATCGCCTCCACACGCTTCCCAACCGCCCACAGTGCATGATTCCAATACATCCGGAACAGGAATACCAGCCTCGATCATCAGTTCCAGCTCCCTAGCGTTGTCACCATGGGAATATGTCCCAGTATCTCCGCCGCAAGCTAAACGAACGCCGAATTTGTGGGCGCGTTTGACATTGTGCAGAATTTGATCAAAACGTTTTGCGTGCAGCTTCTCGGCAATGGCGAGCGTCGGCACAAGAATAACATTCTTCTCTACCATACGTTTGAACATCTCATCCGTGGTGTAATATGCATGTTCAATGGTATTAACACCTGCCTCGATAGCAGCAAGTGCTCCTTCAAGAGTGCAACAATGTGCGGACACAGGGGCACCAGCCAATGCAGCCTCGGAAACAATCATATTCATCTCTTCCTTAGAAAAGACCATATAATCTGGATTCGGGTCTTTTGGCGGATACAAGACACCAGGGATGTAAGGATGTTGTTGCTTGGGCGGTGCTCTCATGATTCTTCGTCTGTAGTCTGCAAAGAACTTGATGATGTCCGCACCGGCCGCGATTCGTCGTCTGACGGCTTGCCGACATTGCTCCACACCGTCTACAGCATCGCAGCCCGCTGGTACACAATGTCCACCGGCGCTGTTCTCTGTGCGGCACTCATACGAGCCGGTGCTGGCAAGCACTTTGGTAGCCACAAATAGTCTGGGTCCCGGTGTCAATCCACGAGCAATGGCATCTCGCAAATTCGCATCTGATTCCTTCATTCCTTCTGATCCCAGATCCCTGTGTAATTGATCGAAATTAGCTTACATACACTCTTTCTACTCATCCAAGCCTTCTAAACTCTCTGAAAGCCTACCTATATGTTGTGTAGCCCGCAAGGAGCGCAGTCCGGCAGTGGTTCACACCACGAATGACTCTTTCAGTCGTGCTTTCATCTCTTTTTTGTTGTAGAGCGCCAGCCTCGCTAAACTTGCCGATCAGTTTTATTTTCACCTGGAATAGGAACGGGGCTCCGAGCATACTCATAAGAGTGTAAGAAAACATGAGTATGGGCGTCTACCAGGCCCGGCATCACATATTTCCCGCGCAAATCAATATCTCCATCTTTCATGATCTCCGCAAAAGGTACATTCGCATCATCGCGGTCGAATACTTTGACAATAAGGCCACTAGCAGTGTCTACAGTGATAGAAACATTGTCGCGATTCGTCTTCAATGTCGGATCGAATAGTACCGATGTGTGTAAAGTGATTTCGGGCATGGCTTTCGCTATTCTTCTGTACTCGCTTAGATTTATTATTGACTGCGAAGAAGCAAACACACATTTAATAGTTTCTAAGATACAAGCAATTAAAACATACAGCAATTGACTGCAACAAAGATTGTACGTAATAAGATGCCTTATATGGTAAGTTAGAATCGAGTCGCTAGAACCCGTCGATAAGCACAATCCTCACGGTTTCCGCCGGGACTAGAATACTGATCGAACGTTCTGCCTTTCGCTATTGAAAATCGAGGTATCGCATATTTTCGCTTGTTGACTAAAGTTGACTCTCGTTGTTTGTCATTCTTCTTGAATGCTATATATGAGTTTCTGCTCACCATAATTCGGATTTGGTCCCAAACGCGAGGTATGCTCCTAAGCACATTGTGTGTTTTGACATTTAAACTGAAATTGAGATCATACAAAATGGTGACTGTGGATCGCATCGGAACTATATGTGAGAGATATCGATTGAGACATTTGAGAAAGTACTCAAGAAAAATTGATGTACAGTACAGAAATAGGTCTAGCCCTCAGGCAGGAATAAGGTCACGAGAGTTGCATTTACCTCGAGTCTATGCTGATACGTGGTTTTGTTTACTCATGAATTTCTTCACCAAGCTTATCCACCGCAGCTTGTCGTTCCTCAGTAACTTCCAACTGGCTGATGTTTTTAGGAACACCCAGTTTCTGTCTGATTTCTTCACCCTTGAACATGAGTACTACGATAGGTAGGAAGGCCGCTACGCTACCTAGCATAGCAAACATGAAAAAAGCCCATTGGTAGCCGATCTTCTTGCAAAGCAGAACCACATAGAAAGCGTACGTCATACCAAATGTCTGTCGGATGAGATTGATGAGTTGGGAAGTCTCGGAACCTTGTGCGCGGTACGAATCGATACTATATGTGTAGCAAGTTGTCGCAATAACTTGAAGTCCGAAGCACGCGATTGCCATTCCGAGAAGCGGGACGAACCAGAAAACATGATACTGAAGAGTAAAACCGTAGATGATCAATCCAGTAGGGACTAGAATTGCACCGGTCCAGATTGCCTTGAGACGCACTTCAGGCGGTGGGTTTCCGCCATTACGACGAGCACGGTTGACAATCGCATCGAGGACGACACCACCTGCAATTTCACCGAGAACACCTCCGATAGAAAGAGCACCACCATATGCGAGACCAATTTTGAGTGTATTCCAATGAAAGGCTTCGGAGAAGATACTTGCGACGGTGACCGCAGGGAGAATCGAGGCGAATCCGTATTGTGCGGCATAGTACACTGCTGGAAACAGGACGGAGGGGTATTTGGCCATCTTCAATGAAGGAATGACAAATTGGTTCCATTGCAGTTTGAGCTCCGGGAAAGATGAGTACAGCCTCAATCGAGAAAAGTAGCTTCGCGGGGTGAAGTCAACTTCTCTTTCATACTGAGTACGAGCAAGTCGGGTCGGGTCACGAATGTATAGAGTTTCCGGAAGCCCAAATGCGATCACGAGAAGCATCACACCGTCCAAGATAGCAGCAAATTTGAAAGTCCATCTCCAGCCAAGAAATTGGCCGATCAGTCCACCTACGATCGGTGCGATATGTGCTCCGGTGGTAAGAATGACAGTAAAGAGGCCCATTGCCCTTCCTCGCTGGTGATAGAAGAAAAGATCGACCACGGTGGCTGGTCCAAGACCCAGAGCTGCCGGCCAGAGACCATTGAAGACACGGGCAACAATTAATTGTGTAAAGTTCTTCGAATATGCCGATCCCAAAGCAGATGCGAAGCCGATGAGGGTCGTGAGGAGATAGATGGGTCTTCGTCCATATACGTTTGCCAACGGGATCCAGATAAAGGGTCCGATTCCGTTGAGTGCAATAACTACGGTGGTCTGGTAGGAGGCGCGGACTGTGGTGATACCGAATTCTGCTGCTAGAGGGCCGTATGCGGGGTTTATAATGGCGGTATTGAGCGTTCCGAGACTGGCAAGTAAACAAACTTGAATTAAAATAGCGATCTAGAGAGAATCGTTAGTAAACGAAATCCCAGAAAGAGCGTGTAATCCCACCTTCAACCAAAGTGGAAAATTCAATGGATCATTGGGGTCATCCGATGGTCTTGGAAGAAATGTATCTCGATTGTCGTCCGTTGCGACCATTCCCGTCTCTATGGTTTGGCTGTTGGGAAGCTCATTCTTCTCTTGCGACGCCATACTGGGTTGGGTTTTGTGCGAACAAACTCAAATGGTCGGGTGGCTGATTAAACTCGCAATCGGAGGATCAATGCGCAGCCAAATTGGCGATGAGATAAGAAGAATAAGAAAAAGCCAAGTGTTCCAAGTTCTTGGAATTAGATTGGGTTTATATGCGCCGAAAGCCCTCATGGCGGACTTCTCTCCGGCATCCGCAGCCGTCTATGGAAGAAAACAGAAAAATGTCCCAAGGTTTGTAAACTTAACGCTCCAGTTTTTATGACTCGCGACAGCCCACGTGTGATGAGTGGATCAATTAAAACCAATTAAGAAACGCTTAATCTTACTCATACTGCGGAGATACGACGACCTGTGAAGTGGGGTGTATTGCTTATTAAACTCCACCCGGGAAACCTCCGAACCTGTTGGGTTACAGTAAATATAGATCTAATAAACTCTATATACATTTATTGTTTTGTCCCTACGAATGATTCCCATGTCTGTATAAGACAAAAAAATTTGCAAATAGCTCTGTGGTCATAGGACCGATACCTAGAAACAATATTAAAAGCCAAGAAACCTGGAAGGTAGTACTATTCTGATAGTATCTCGTAAATTTTCTTAGTATCTTCCGACCTAGCCATTTTGGATCTTGCCATTTCCACTGGTGTCCGACCAAGACAATTTTCCATTGACCGGTCTGCCTGGGATGACGAGAGCTTATACCTTAGCGCTGGGCCGCCAAACTCGGTCGAGTTAATATTCCAGCCGTGATTGAGAAATTCTTGAAAAATAGGGAGATTATATTTTCGAGTAGCGGCGGTAAAAGTCTTGTAGGTAATATGAGCGCCGTTTGAGAGAAGGAACGCCGCAATTGGAGCGTGGCCTTTCAAGGTAACCTCGTAGAGTGTGTCATTCAGTTCAGCTTGGGATGGATTCCAATCAGAATCGAGTAATTTTTACACTTTATTCACATCACCGTCAGAGCAAGCAGCAACCAATGACTCTGCAGCCATGATCGCCAGCTTTACACTTGGAAGACAGTCGTTGGAGTTTCTATAGAGTGATGTCGCTGATACTACCCCTCTTTTATAGGGAAATAACTCCTTAGGCATAAGCAGGTGCACGGACCATATATGGGTGCCAAGACTTTAGTGTTACCTACGCTAGCTCCGGGTTCGGCGGGTTTCCGCGGTCTTGGCGTTGGAGCTTGTTACAACAAACTCAGGATCGGAATGCGGCACAGTCAGTCAAACAGTCCAGTGACTTGATGCATGAACATGTTAGTAAAATATTCGATAGCTCGTTTGATGCAAATACTAGAATGGAGTAGCTTTGACAAACATCCTCCTTCTATCAAAGACTTTCGGGATTTGTCAACAAATCTAAAGCAACCTGAGCGAGCTTGAAGACCAATACCATAGAGATACTAATTCCGCACAAGACAGCACGCGTCGAATCCATGCTTCCCAAGCCATTTATATTGTCAATCTAGAAGAGTTCTTGAATCGACACCCACATGTTCAGAACATCTACCGCGGGCTATGGCCTCTCAGGTTGTTGGCACTACTGCTGAGTTCAGGCTACACTTTTTCAAGGCGGATTGTTACCACTTTGTTTGTTATGCCACTCAATCTCTGGGCATGAGCCGCCATGTCACAAACTGGAATTTGTAATTCGCGTAGATGGGGTGTAGAGGCTTGGTAATTTTTCAACCACGCTTCTACTACGGCTAATAGATCGTCATCATCATCCCACCATCTGCACTCGTCATTCGTGGCTAGATTATCAGTAATAATCAACTTTTCGAGGCTTCGAGGAAGGTAATCCTCCATTCTGTTTATTGGGTTCGTGGACCATGTCCCAATAAGGAATATGAACGGCAGAGTGAGATTCTTTAGTCTTTTGAATCTGGCAAGCCCCTTCACAGAGCCTCGAATGGTCAATGGTAGTGGATCGGGATCATTCTCATTAACAGCCGAAATAGTAAGTTCAGTCAAGGTTTCCCGAACGTATGATATTGAGTCGGCAACCTGTGTTAAGTCTAGAATGCGCGTGTGATACGTTTGGTCGTAAATGTGCTCATAATAGTACCATTTCCAATGAAGTGATCGGAGCTGATCCGTTACCGAGAGTATCTGCCCAAGAAAAGGCTCCCGTATTCTCTCCAATTTCAATTCTCGAAGGCTCAATGGAGAAGGTCGAAAAATGCCTGGCCACGAAGAAGGTCGAAACATGCCTGGCCACGAAAACTCGAGTGGATTATCGATTGAAGCAAAAAGACGCTTAAGAGATGGCAGATAGAACATGGGGAGAATGTCCGCTGTATTCCTCGCATTATTGTTGAACCGAAACCGATCGACGGGTGATTGTAATGATACTGTCTCTAGATGACGTAATTGAAGTCTTAAACCACACTCATAGGCATCAGAATCAAGAATCGTCGACCGGAACACGAGACCTATAAAATGACTTTCCCAAAGGAAGTCACCACCAATGAAGAGAAAAGTAATAGTCAATGGCTGGGATAGTAGCACGGCGATAAATGCGTCCATCGTCCCAGTCCGTAGCTCTTCCAACCATGTCCAGCGGAAGGGGACTGCAGTATGCTCCACGAAGGAAAGAATCTCATTTAATTCGTTCTCCGTCACTTCTATTTTAGGAGCCCTCCTTTCCATGGTAGGATTGTGAAACCGAGATCCAGTCAGTGAGACTGTTTTGACATACGTCGCTAATTGAGGGCGGCGTAAAAGACTGCGCAGTAGTGATGTGACGGGATGAGGCTGCAATCTTTTCTCCCATGTGAAATTGATACTTCTATACAAGTATCGCTCCGCAATAATGCGCAAATTACTGTGCACAAGGCAAAGATTGATGAGGTCATTTCGGGATAAATATGAGAAAACAGACTGACATACTTCCACTGGACATCCAAGCAAAGAGTGAGCCTGTAGAGAGATTAGTGGGCATCGAAGTGTACAATAGACGCAGAGATCTTCTCACAGGTTGATAATCCATAGCGAGCAGATGTACAATTGAAGATCATTCAACTGTTGCTTGCAGGGAGAGCGATCCTTGAGGGGGAAAACGGGGTTGCCAAAGACAAAGCTGGTCCTTCATTGCATTAGTTGAGACCATATGTCAAATTTGCACAGGAAACAGAGTATTTGTAAGCGATTGACGGAATTTGCCAAGACGACCCAACCCATGCTATGAAATACTGGAGCCTCAAGCAGCCTACCAGGTCATGCAGTTAGATAAATAATCATGTGGCGCGGAATAATAGTTACAAAGAAAGGAGTGGGTACAGCGCCGGCAACAGGGAAGTTTCACAAAGCGCAAGTCAGATTGCATCCATAGGCAAATATTGAAATGTGATTGAAGAGGGGGACAGATTCAAATGAAACAGGGCGATGTTGTCGTTTTTGATGAGGGTAGAGAACATGGTCCGGCCAATCCAACATGGTGAGAGACGGCACACGATAGCTAAATAAGCGACATAATGTGTTTTACACTAGTGAAGCAAAGGCACACGGCCATATGTTATATACACGTGTAAATTCGATTGGCCGAAACATTGAGCGCCTAGTCCCAATATAGACTTTCCCAAAAAGGCAATATCACAAACTTCGGAATCGCCCCCAATTCAACAAGCTCGCGAAGCATAAGAACTCCCATCTCCCCAAGTTCGTGAGGATCTATTGAATGTCCGCCGATATTGAAGCCTTATAGTCCAGTCTAATTCTGTATATATTTAACAGGCCCCGGCGGCGCAGCGGTTATAGCTAAGATCTAGGCTTGGCGGAATTCCACGGTCTTGGCGTTGGCACTAATGTCCATGCGTAGATGCGGCGCAGTCGTGCTTTCAAGAGCTCGCTAATTTGATTCACGTAAGTACAGAGCACGGAATATATTGTGTAAACTACGCGAGCTAGTGAATGGGACGCCACCTTTTCCAAGCGTGAGCCTATGAGATGCTATCTACGCTCTCGAATCACCACCAAGGCTTCCTGTAGCTCTTGAACGGGAAGATTTTTACCACATCCCCCCAGATTTCTCAGCGCTTACTATCGCTCTTCGCCAGATTTTTGCGGCACAGTCTATCCTACCAAAAAGAAAAAAAAGCCTCATGATCCGTGAGATATGCATGGTGGTCCTGTATTTCAAGTAAATTATACGGATGTGACCCTGGTCCACATATCAAATAGTTTTGATTCCTGGGCCCCTTATCTCTTGTAACTTTCTCTACTGAGGGAGCGGTATGTAGGTGTATCTTGCGCATCACACTTTAGCTGTTGAGAGTCTGCTGGGGGAAACTAGATATAGTAGCTAGCTTCGTAGGTTTTACAATTAGACTATCTAAATAAATACTGATCAAAACCATTACGTCGTGTGAACGGCTGAATTAGCAACACAAATTTTACTCTTAGAGGTTCCAAAATGCATTATAAAATTTTTGTTATATTGTTGTCGTGCTATCTGAGCTTCTTACAGCATGCTTATAGTCTTACCGGACTCCAACAACCTCTCAACGAGCTGGGATTAACCCTCAACTACACTTTGGCAAATTGGACGCCCGACAACTCGAATGCCAGATCGCCTCGTAACTATTACTTCAGCAGCCATATCACATTCAACGAACCAATCAGTCAGATTCCTGTGAAGCACTTGTGGTAGATGGCATTCAATGCCCATGATTATATAGATGCGGACATGTCTCAGTATCATTTCGGCAAAAGATTCAAAAAACCCGGAGCCTTGACAATCTTAGCTTGGGGCAACGAGATCATCCTTGCGTCCTCACAGAAAGGAAGCAACTCGGTCACGTATCAGGGTGAGCCCAGCAAAGTGCTCCAAATTCTTCAAATGTGTCAAACTACATACCTGAAGAAGCATACAGATGGTACAGCCGTAGAGCATAGGACACAAGGAAAATGTGGCGAGGAAATGTCTGCTCATCTATACTACCTTCTTCCAACCACTAAAGCATCCAATATTGATCTGCCAGCTCAATATGCAGT